TGGATGACCAAGATAAGACAATTACAGATCAAGATCCACCAAGTTTGTCAGAACACAATGAAACGAAATCACCTTATGCGATCGCCTACGCCTGACTAACTAGCATCTTACTTTCAAAAGCCACTTCAAAAGATTCAACTTTTTAGAAGTCTCCCAGAAAACTTTTCTATAAAATTGTTTTTGTATCTTATTTTGCAACCATATTGGCGTAAAAAACACAAGCGATTCGGATTATCTTGTCTTTCTATTGAATGTTTAATTAAGGGGGTTAGAGAAAGCCCTCAGACATCTTGCAGCTCCACAGAATTCACTAAACATTCAAATGCAACCAATTTTTCTCCTCTACATCTACTCCTCATATCATGGAATAGTTATCTTTATTAAACGTCTAATCTAACACTTTTCATGGTCTTGCGAGTTCGTCTCTGATGCATCAATGATCTGCACCTTGTCAAACTTGTCAAACTTGTCGCCACTCTCCCTATCATCATCATATACAATGTCAGCTTCGTCAATATTACTTTTGGGTCCTTGGTACCACTTGTGTGCATCAACAAGGAACCAAATGGACACAATTAGAATCGATCCGAAATAAACCAATACTGTCCAATTCATTTCCTTTGGATTCAAATCTTTACCCCTGACGGTGGGGAAGCACAAGATGGGGATCATCAAAGTTATGAACCCAACAGATAGCCACCCAACAGGCTCTGAAAATCTACCCAAATTCCATGGTCCTGGTTTGAATGTATTTCTAGCGCATGTAATTTTGAGCAATGTTGGCATTGTAAACGAAATGAACCCTGATATACCACCAACGGAGAAAGTTGCACCGATAGCTACATCACCAGCGAAAAGCAACAATAACAACAACTGACCTAGGATAACATTGATGACAACTGCCCATATTGGAGTTTGTGTTAATGGTGAAACGCGCTTCCAGATGTTTGATCCTGGAAACAATCCATCTCTTGAATATGCATACGTCACTCTTGAAGCTGCTAGTAAACAACTTTGAGCCATTGAAAATGATGACACAACAGTAAATGAAGTTGCAGCCAACACCAATTTCTTCTCGATAATTTGGGTCAAGTAAGTGACAAATGGCTGCCCTAATCCTTGTGGATCTGCTGATATTTCATCAAGATTAACAACCGTGTATGCGATTGCAATCATGAATACAAATCCAACAAGTCCTCCAATGGAGCTGGTCAATACAATTGCACGAGGTACATTGACTGCAGCATGAGCACACTCTTCAGCCAAATGGAATGGTGAATCGTATCCTGACATTGCCCAAATGACACCCATGAATGAAATCAAAAATGAGATTCCTTGTGGCCATTCAGCTTGATTATACAAAGACCAAGCTACTCCATTGGGGTTGTACTTTGTAGTCACACCCTCATTCAATTCCATTCTCTTGTTTCCAGCTAGAATCATAATGAACACAATAGTCAAAAATATAATGTTGCAAAATGCACCAACTGAACTGACGCGTCCTGCCCATTTAGCCGGCAATGAACAAATGAAACCGCAAAACACCTGAATACCAGTGGCTAGTCCATACACATGCCCGTTGGAAGGAGTATAGTTTCCATCAGTAAACGAATACAACGCCAAGATCAAACTAGCACAAGAATAACACACTGAAGGAGCAGCAGTGATTTGACATAACCAATTAGTCCAACATGTAAACCACGTCAAGTATGATTTGTACCGTGGTGGAGCCAACTGAGATACAACATATGGAGTTCCAGCAGAACAGGGAAACGCCGACGCCACTTCTGCCATTGACAATGCCACTGTCGTGATGAATACCATGGCAACTAACCACGGCACGGGCGACATACCAATGACCAATTGCTGGTAGTCGAAAGTAGCTGCTATTGAGGGTAAGAGACCCAACATTGAAAAACTGACTGAAAATACCGTCCATAATGAGAACTCCCTCTTCAATTCTTGCTTGTACCCCATTGCTAGTATCATAGCTTCATCTTCATTCACTTCGTGATCCACATTGATGGTAATGCCTCGGTGTGATAGTATTGATGTTACTGGTAATGCGTCGACATGCACTTGTGATACTATTGGATGTATACCCAGCTGCCCAGTTGCAACTGGTGACATAGTTTTCTTGCTATCTTTGGGGTGCATTTTGTTTGACTGACGATCTTAGTTGAGAAAAAGAAAAAAATAAAATTAGATAATGGATGTTTCTCAAACGGTTTAGAAGATGTACAATCTTTCCAGATATATATATGTATATATATGTATGTAGATTGGTGGAAATGACTAGTGTGTACTTAGCGGAATAACGAATTATAGCACCTAAGAAAAAGAAATGCGAAAGGAATATAAGATAAACTTTTTTTTTTTTTTTTATTAATAAAGTTTTTGCTATTGTTTTACTTCTCTTGTGAGGCGAAATACAGAGAAAGATCAAACGTTAAATGGGCGGTTAATTTGGAAAGATAAGAAGGGAGATGATGATGATGATGATGAAAAAAAAAAAAAAAAAAAAATTAAAAATTGAATTAAATTAAATTTCCATCTTTGTGTTGGATTGAATATTAGAAACAACCAAAATTTCTTTTGACTTGGAAAGAGAGAGAGACAGGGGAACGGGTGAATTTTGAAATCGTCTGGACAGGTGCGAAAGCAGAAGCTTTTACTCCGAGTACAATACATCAAAACAATATGTACAGTCATACCAGAGACACATTGATACTATTTAATTGTCAACTTCTTATGTATTTGTTGTGCATGATGTTGTTGATTTCAGTGTATTCAAGCAACCCCCCCTCCTTTAGATCTACAGTAGGTCTTGGAAGAGGAGATAAGTAGTCTCCACCTTTTATCTTTGGGACTTCGACCCCAAAACATACGTTGCACAAACGCCTATTCAAATGACCCCGTCATAAGATTGAGATTAATGCGCTCCATCATTCTAAGATTTACCTGATTTGGAAATGCGCCGCTTACATTTTGGGAAGGTGTTGATGCGCTTACGTAATCGTAATTGGAGATCCCTCAAAGTGTAATAACACTTGCTGCAAATGCAAAAGAAGAGCGGGTTTCTTCACATCACCTAATCTTGACCATGGGCCATTCATTTAAGCTCCACATGGATGACGAAGGTGAATCATGTCAACTGTTTAATCCAAACTATCCTTAGCTTTTGATGATTTGAAAAGAAGAAAAAATAGAGAAAACGTGTCAGGACTTTTTTTGCGCGTCTGGTGGTTTCTGATGAGATTATTATTGTCTCTTTCTTTTTTTTTCTTTTCAAATGTGGTGGTTATATACTCCATCTTTGGGACAGAACAGGTATAGCCTCATCATTTGGTGATGAGATCAATAAGCCTACAATGGAACGTCTACTTACTACTAGTACTCACTAACATCGTTGGATTTGTGCTATTTCTATGTGGGTTCTTTCCTTCTAAAGTTGTTTTACCCGGTACCAATACGTTTCTTCAACAAGATTTAAACCACCAGTCGCCGTTCCTAGATACCAAAAGCAAGCCACAATTTGAAAAGTTGATCTTAATGGTGGTTGACGCAATGCGTGCGGATTTCTGTTTCAGCGAGGAGTCAAACTTCCAGTACTTGCATCAACTCATCAACGACGGACATGCAATTCCACTCACCACATTTTCAAACCCGCCAACCGTAACCCTACCTAGACTCAAGGGGATCACAACTGGGGGAACTCCCAGCTTTCTTGATGCTATATTGAATGTTGCCGACGATTACGATGATTCTCAAGGATTACATGCCCAAGATTCTTGGGTTCATCAATTTAAGCAACTCAACAAGAGCATCCACTTTTTTGGTGATGACACTTGGTTGAAATTGTTTCCTACTGAATTTGGTGAGTTTGAAGGGACAAATTCGTTCTTTGTGAGTGATTTCACTGAAGTTGACAATAATGTCACTCGTCATTTGGATCATCAACTTCTGTCGAACCTGAACTGGGATGCATTGATTTTGCATTATCTTGGATTGGACCACATTGGACATAAGGGTGGTCCACATTCAACGTTTATGAAGCCAAAACAACAAGAAATGGATCTGATTTTGAAAAGACTATACAAACACACTCAACAGAATCAAGATACATTGATTGTGCTTATGGGAGACCACGGAATGAATGAGGTGGGCAACCACGGTGGCTCTTCAGCTGGAGAAACATCAGCTGCTATGGCATTTATATCTCCGAAATTTAAGGTCTCAAATGCTAAAGCTCCCCTTCCACTGTCAACGGATTACTCATATTACGATAAGATTTTCCAAATTGATCTTGTTCCTACGTTATCTAGTCTTTTCAGCTTTCCCATTCCCAAGAACTCACTAGGTGTAATAGCCAGAAGGATTCTCAATCTCTGGCCAGAGCACCAAAGGAGACAGATTATTCTTGAAAATTGTTTCCAAGTGATGAGTTTATACGAGGCAAAAAATGGACCAACTGGTAGTATTTGGAATACATGGGAGGATTTACAAAGAGGCGAGCGTCCAATAGATGACTACTACACATTCCTAGAGGAAGTTCAACTGGAATTGGCGTCATCGGCAACCAACTATAACTACACATACATTTACATTGGAACAGGGCTAATTTCTTTAGCAGCATTGATCACAATTGCTGTTTTCAACTTGTATTTTTTTTCAGTTAAACAGATCGCCACATACGTCATTATCTCATTTGAATTATTTGTTGGCATTTACTCAATTCATTTCCACGGTTCTTCATTAATTGAAGAAGAACATCAAATTTGGTACTTTGCCACCTCAATAGCCATACTTGCATTTGGAACATACTATTTCAAAGTATTTGAGTCAAGGTCCAAATTCCAATGGTTTTTGATGTTACTTGTATCTACAAGAGTACTAAAAGGTTGGAACAATAGTGGACAAAAATGGTTTTCTGAAGGAACTGCAGCAAATTATTTGTTCAACCACAATCAGACCTTGCTTTGGGTACTTATTACCTTAACGTACGCTGCACTTGGAGTTGCCATCACCACGCAAGGGAATCCAAACTGGTTCTTGAATGCGTTGAAAACTAAAAAAGTTCCAAATATATCGATAGATTCGGCAATAGTCAACATTTGCGTGATTATGGCAATATTTGTATCGTTTCTGTTCAAGCTTGTGCTGTATTACATTGATGGAAATGTTCCTCCAGGTGTTTTCGATCTACTCTTGTGGTTGGTTTTGGAGAACCACAATGTCGATTTGGCTACGTTGGATATCGAAGATATCGACGTCAAATTTAAACTACAAAACATAAGCATTCAATTGGCTAAATACACTACCATATCAACAGTTGGGGCGATTGTTTTAATCTTGATTAGTCGTCGTCTTCAAAAAAGATATAGTGGGACCATCACCGACATCTCCAATATAATCACCTTGTACTTGATCAATCAAACTAGACATGCAAACATACCCGTATACTTGGTGCTTTTCGTGGCCAAATTTACACTCGCAAAGTTGATACACCTGACATCAACAAATGTAAAAAAATTCATCATTGATAATCACATCATATCCACAACATTCCTATGCTTATGCTTGCAAAATCTAACATTTTTCTCAATGGGGAACACCAACTCTTTAGCCACAGTTGACTTATCAAACGCATACAATGGAGTTCAAAACTATGATGTTCTCGTGGTGGGTGTGCTTACATTTATATCCAATTTTGCTGGTCCAATATACTGGTCCTTAGCATCGTTACAGTTGATTTACGAACCTGGGGTGAGTAGCTTCAGTGGTGCTTCACCTACAGACCTCACTTCGTATCCACGACTCAAGTATCGTGTCTTGTTGACAAAGTCCTATTTGACTTTGTTGTTGTACACTGTTTCAGCTGCAAATCTAGTTGCATCGTGCATCAATTTACGATTCCATTTATTTGTGTGGACGGTATTTTCACCAAAGTTGTTGTATTTCGCAAGTTGGTTGATTTTAATTAATGTATTAGTTGACTTGGTGAGTGCTGGTTTTTTGATATCCTTGTAGAATTACGGACAATCTTTTTTTTTTCTTTTTAAAAAAAAAGAAAAAATTATTTGGTACTATAGAAGTATAACTCTTTACTGTAATAACTGATCTCTATAATGTGGTTGGTTGTTGATGAATTTGGCAGCTCTTCTATCGTTGACATCTTCTCTCTTCTTTTCGTTTCTCCATGTCCTCTTCTTACTGGCCAATTCTTTCCTATCTTGAAGAGTCAACATGTGTCTCGTCTCAGCAGCGATAACAGTTCCTTGACCTTCAGATAAGATACGTTCAGGAGCAAGATTTTGTCTGTAGTATCTCGCATTGGAACGGTGTCCAACGACGGCTCCCGAAGGAAGGATCAATTCGTTTCCATCTTGATAAATTGCATCTCTTTCACTAGATGGTAATTCCTCGTCGTCATCAATACTTTCAGCATCGCCTCCTTCCTCGTCTCCACTGACATCTTCCCACTCGCCATCTTCTTCGTCTCCAGCTTCACCTTCTTTCACAACGACATCGACATCGTCATCATACGTTGATGAAAAATCGTAAAAGTTTGAAATCTCCAATTTCTCATCCTCAGTTTCATACGGTATCCTCATATGTCTCTTTGTTTGCATGTGCTCTCTAGCAGCTTCCGTATTTCTCCCTTGGTAGTTACAAGCTATGCAGAAACCAAATCCAATCTTTTCAGCAAGATACTCAATTAATCCCTTCTTGTCCACCAAGTACAGTGCTTCTGGGATATATAAGCCGTGGTTCTTGAACATGTGCTCGGTGTTTTCATCAATTGTGGTGAAGTCTTGTTTCAATTTCGGATGACAGAATAAACATGTCGTTGGTGGGATCTCAACCTTATTAGAAAGTTTCTTTTGGAACTCTTTTTCTTCTGCTTGCTCGGGTGTCAACTCTGGTTCTTCATCTACGTTATGGTCTTGTGGCTGTAACTTCTCTTCAGCTAAATGTTCTGCCAGCAGCAGCAGCACAACCACTGAGCCATCCTGCACCTCTCCTTTTGCCTCCTGCTCAGCCAACATTGCCTTCCTTGCCTGTTCCAAAATTGCTCTCTTCTGCTGTAACAATGCCTCTTTTTCCTTTCGCCTCTGCTCCTTCTTTGTTTCTGTTCTTTCCTTGGTATCCTTCTGTGATTGCATCGAAGCAACTTTAGTGTTGAATAATTCCTCCGTTAATGGTGGTAATTGTGCAACTTTTCTTTTCAAGTTGTAACGATGCCAATCTGATTTCATGTGAACCCTTTGATCATTAGACTCAGGGAACTGTAAGTTACAAGTATTGCAAGTAAACATCCTTGTTGTTGTTGTTAGTTGTTGTTGTTGTTGTTAGTTGAAGGAGAAGGAAGGTAAACTTGTTAAGGTGTTTGATTTAAGGGAAAAGGATGTGCGATGAGGTTGAGATTTCGCATTACTCTGCAATTTTTTTTTTCTTTTTCTCTTCCTTTTCCCTTTCCCAAAGGCACACATAACCTACCCACAGTTCATCAACCGAATCTGACTACGGATAAATATGCTGACAGAAGAACAAGATATATTCAAAGACGTGCTTCCAAAACTAATGGGAACTATACGTGCAGCGACTGCATTGGGTGCTCAGGATGTGAATTTCTACAAATCTGTCGACTCAAACATTAGTCAACAAATTGATAAACGAGGGATGAATCTCCTAACCATCACAAATGACTTGCTCAGGACTGCATCATCTCAAAGTAGTCCAGTGGATTCAGTACGGTTTGGACAAGAGAACATCTCAAGTGAATCATCTTGGAACCCTGTCAGCAATGTCATTGATTCGATCTTTGAAAAGATAGATTTCAACTTTGATCAGCTCAACAAGAAGCAAACTGGAGGAGAACAGAAACAATACCTTGAGGATGGAAACAACCTGATTTCAAACGAGCAAATCCAACGAATTGAAAAGCCGCAATTGAAGTTTAAAGTTCCTGTTGATAACTCAGAGCAAGAGCCTTTCAGGCCGAAAATTACTAATAAAGTAAATGCCTTGCAACCCTGGGAATCAGTTAATAAACTCACGAACCCTGCCCCAATTTATGAAGAGTCTGTGGAGATTGTTGATCCTCCTTACTATGCACATCCATACGAGTTTGAGATTGACTCTCAGCCGTACCCTGACTCCATATTGAAAAAGGCAGAACCTATCCCGCCACAAGACTGGAGCAGCACAACTGCAATTTGGGTTGATACAGTAGATGGTTTAAATGAAATGATAGAGGAGTTGCTGAAACTGTCCGAGATAGCAGTTGATTTGGAACACCACGACTACAGATCTTATTATGGTATTGTTTGTTTAATGCAGATTTCAAATCGTGACAAAGATTGGATCATTGATACATTAGTTTTGAGAGATGACTTGACATCTTTGAACAAAGTGTTTACCGATCCTAATATCGTGAAAGTGCTTCACGGTGCGTTTATGGACATTATATGGTTGCAAAGAGATTTGGGATTGTATATTGTCTCATTATTCGACACATATCACGCATCTAGACAATTGGGATTTTCAAAATTTTCATTGCAGTATTTACTAGATACTTTTGCTCATTTCAGAACTTCGAAAAAATACCAGCTAGCTGACTGGAGAATAAGACCACTACCAAAGCCAATGTTGGCTTATGCAAGATCGGATACGCACTTTTTACTATATATTTTTGATCAGCTTCGGAACAAATTGATTGATAGTGATAAACTTGCACGTGTGTTGTTTGACTCAAGACAAGTTGCTAAAAGAAGATTTGAGTACACCAAATACAGACCTTTATCCACTAACCTTGGAAGCAAAGTTTCATGTCCTGTAATGGCCGCTAATCCAAGCGAACCTTGGGGCTCAATAATGTACCAGTACAATGTGCCTTCCTTCAAGAGAGCAGTAGTTGAGCAGTTGTACAAGTGGAGAGACTTGGTCGCAAGAGAAGCAGACGAGTCAGTGAGATACATCATGCCAAATCAATTGCTCGTTTCTTTGGCCACTTTGGAATCTCCTGTTGATGTGGGAAAAGTTCTCAATGTGCCGTCATACGTCTCGGAGCATGTTCGGCGAAACGCAAGGGAGCTAGCGGAGTTGATTGATAGGACTTTGAAAGAAAGTGAGCAGAATGACTGGGCGTTGGTTGACAAATGGAACAATCTGTCGAAAGCTCAGGTAGAGGAGCAAAATGTGGATGTACGGGATGTTAATGGATTGTTGGAAACTTTGTTACTGAATTCTTCTGCATTGTTTGATGGTGGCCCCCTATTGAGTGATAGGTCATCCTTGGCTATTCCTGAAGTGCGCGAGACACGGAACTATACCTATGAGTTCACTAGTCAAGGTATCAAGAAACATGATTTTGGCAAAGAGAGCATAACACTCAAACACAAGTTGTGGCAAAAATTGTGCGAGGTTGATGGCATCAGATCGATTGCTGAAGAAGAATTGGAGTCCGAATCTGGAGAAGAACATGAACCGAGTGAAGCCACTGAATCCACCGGAGCCAGCTCTAGCAATGAGAGACCCAAATCAGGTCAAAAAGTCTTGTTCAGTAAAGACGAAGACATCAATCCCGATGAGTTGATTGCACTTCGCAAGACAAACAAGAATTCTAAGAGAAATAGTAACCAGCTTGTTCAATATAATGAACCAAGTGTAGATTATGCCAATGCTGATAAGATCCTCATTGATCCGAAAAAGAGTGACAAGAGAAACAAGAAGAGGTCGTTTGATCCTTACAGTAGGGACTCGGCTGGACCCAAACCGGCAAAGAGAAAGAAGGTAATTACGGGAGGAAAGACATCTACTTATAAGTTGAAACAGAGCAGGTTGAAGAATAAGTAACTTTTCTGTTAGATTATAGAGGAATGCATTCAATAAACTACCCATCCTAAGATTTCTCATTTCAATGTGGCTAATAATAGGCGTGATACCAAATTTCCCAACAAGAGACAGTACATAATATAGCTCCTGTTGTCCATAATATTATATAAACAGCAATTTGGATTTTTGCAGCGCGTTTGGATGTGGCTGACCAAAAGCAGTGGGAATCAAGAATTTGTTGTCGGTGTTGTGTTGGTGTAGTAACATCATCATCGTCAACGGTTTCCATCTCGTTTCTTTCAAACGTGTTGTTTTTTATCATTCTTCCAAGTTTGATAACTCTTTTTATAGTGGAGCTTGTTGATAATATGCTTGAGATGGAAATGACTTCTAGAAAAATAAAGAAAGGAGCCCCGATCTCTTGGCCGGAGCCTAAGCGTTGTTTCGACTCGATGATGGATTGAAATGTAGCAATCGGAGGCATGTTAGCAAATAAATAATGATAAAGAAGAAGAAGAAGAAGAAGAAGAGTTTCAAATTTTGAAATTCTACTCTGTTTTTTGTCGATGTATATATACCAATACTAATTGTAGGATCCTTCTGTTTCAATGTTATGCTGCAAAAAAAAAATGCACAAAAAACACTTCATTTACGTTTCCAATTTTTGTGCAACATGTATTTGCCTTACGCGGTTTGAGGTGTGTGTGCAAAGTAGATGCCATAAGCTATGCCGTAAGAGAATAAGAGGGCAAGAATATCTCTGTAAGAGTGTGCATTGTTATGAAGTATAAAAGCTAAGCCTTTCAAGTAAATGCTTTCTCTAATCTTATTACAAGAAACTGTCCCCAAGCGCATCTGAAAGGATCTTTTCCCACGCCAGAAAGGTCTGGAAAAAAATGGCTCCTACAAAGTAACTCTATACCACGGTATGAGACTGTCTCAAAGCTATCTTTGAAAGGTGAACTCTGTTCCACTTACTCTTTTCAAAGGGAAGTAATTATATAGCCTTCGAAAGCTTCGGGTTATTATTTTTGAGTTTATATTTTCCTTGAACAAAAATTAGACAACAACCTACTTATACATGTACTCTACTGCGATGAATCTCCACGATTTACCAATCGAGATCCTTACAAAGGTACTCCCAATCCAGACTAACTTGACTCGTTTTTCACAAGGGACAATCATCAAATGGCTCAATTTGCTTCCCCAACGTCAACTGTTTGAAGTACTAGTTCAAGCAGGGGTGGGCATAGTTATTTCCAAAAATTATGGAACATTCCATATTGAAAAAGAGCCAGGAGTCAGTCAATTGTGGGCTGTAGGGGCCATGAATATCACATTGGCCGAGAAACTGGAGTTGAACAAGCTTTTCCAGGATGTGGTATATCTTCATTTTGGGTCATCAGCGGCGAAAGAGTACTTTGGCAAGTACTTGATATTTCAATTTCAGATAGTGGAGGACCTTCTTGTCAAAAATTGTGACCTCTTTCGATTGATGAGGATATGGAGTGGAGATGAATGCATTATTAATTACACCAGGATGTGTTTCTTTGGATGCAATAGTAGTGGTAGACACGCAAAAATTTTATATCCTTTAATGTTGGATGCCGAACATGAATATATTGAAAAGTTCTGCTACTCTATGCTAAAAATCAATTCAGACACTTGGTCTAGAACATTGAGGTTTTGCTATTCTTTATTAGCTCGAATCAGATCAATTGAGGTGATCGTGACAATCAAGCAATACAGACGGTTTGTTGAACGCATGTTAGAGTGTGGATCAAAATTTCATTTATGCCCAATTTCACTATGTGTTAAGATTACATCGAACACAACAGACCTGAACAACACCTTAACTAATCATAGCATTGACAACACCCTTCCCAACGATTTCCCCATCAAATGGATAACCAATGTTTTTTGGTTTACATAATGTGCGCTTCTTTAGTTTGCATATGTTTGCACAAAACACTCAAATAAGTCAACTTGCCCTATTATTATACCAAATGAAACGCTTGACCCAGCTTGACTTGAGTTTTTGGCAAATTGGACGTTCCGGAAATTCCCAAAATGATGTGGCCTCAAAAGCAACCTCTCGCTATTCAGCTCAAATGTAGTCTCATGAATTACTTTCAAGTCTGGCCCCGGCGAAATACTGTTGAAAAATGGTGGCTTTCTGTTCTGGACGACCATGTGTTATTGAACTATGCGAGGAGCATGCAATCAAAAAGCAAGCTCATGGGTCTAGTACTATTCCCAAAGCCTGTACACGAGAAGCGTAAGTTCAAGTCTCGGGCTCGCAAAATGATAAAACAGACCAAAAAGACGAGCTTGTAGTCAAAGCAAGACAATCGAAGTTGCTCACATGTATTATGTTGAGCCAATCAACACATTCAACTCCTCTTTGGACACTGGGATCATCACACCCTCAACATCTTTGTTGCATATAGCACAACCAGATTTTTTTTGTACTTTATAACGATTCAAAAAGCAAGATTGGCAAAATAAATGGCCACATTGAGTCTTGATTGGACTCTGGTAGTCTTTCTTACATAGTATGCATTTGAACGGCGTGGCTGTGGTGGTTGTGGTATCGTTCATCTGCCGATCTTTCTTTCCTTGCTTACTGTTCACGACAATGTCTTCCCAATCTTTCCTTATTGGTTTCTTTTGCCTAGATTCATCTCGTACGTGAAGAAATTTGCATGTGTCGCCGTATCCGCAGTACCCTGTTTGCTGGAAATCTTTGCATACGTCAGGCTGGAAGTCCATAAATGTTGTAATATTGATACTCTCAGGCACGGGCTTGATGGTTGATGGTTTTGTCACAGGTTGCTGGAAAGGCTCTTGTTTCTCATCATTTTTTGAGTTCTTTAGTAGCAGCGATGCTGTCGTTGATGCGAGGATGGGTGTCTTTGAGGACGATGATGTACTTGTGGTGGGGTTTGTCATTATCGATCGTTTGTAGATGCCAAGCTTCTCTTGTGGAGAAGTGTCTCCCTAATCGACATCTCCCAAACCAATTCTCTGTCTATCAGAGTTACTAGAAGTGTCCTCGAGTGGTGCCCTTTTTCTTTGTTTTGAACATGCGTGGGATGCCAATCGAAATCATCTCGTGGAGGCGGTTTGATGAAAATCTTTAAAAGATCGTGTCGTACTCAATATTCATAATTGGTGCGATACATTATAAGATGGGATGTGCGACACAGACGCGTTTTACTCTTCTTCCCCTCTCCCACCCCCCTAAACCGATCCACGACATCACTATGGTATTGCCATCACACCTACAAGGTAACTTGACCCCAACTGAGATCAATTTTCTAGCCGAAAATGAACTAATCACCATACTTCCTAGATATGCGATCAAAAAGATCAATCTCATTGGTGTATGTACCTCTACAAGAATTTACAATTCACAATATCTATACTAACAACAACACCACCACAACAGGCCACTGTTCCCAACTTACGAGCAATGAGACGAGAAAAAGTACCGCTTTGGGTTGCACTCATATTGAAAGCACAAGGCAAGTGCAATATAGTCCCTCCGAAATGGCTAAATGTCAATTACCTCAAGGAAAAATACGATGACGAGATAAGAAAACCAGCACAATTCAGTGATCTACCTTGGAACTGGCTTGAGCTTTCGAAAATATTACTCACGAAGGCACCTGATGACTTACCCGATGCTGTATCTGATCTACGCTCGATAATTCAAGATTTACGAGAGATTCGATTGATCAAGTCGCGCAAAGGTTTGAAAGAGTTGAATGAGTCAAATATTGCCTTGAATGGACTATCATTGATGGAGATTAATGAAATCCGCCCATTCGTTCTTCCAGTAATGAATAAGTTGCGGCAGTTGCATGATACTACGGTCAAGCATGATTCGGGGACAAATGAGGAGAACATGGCGGATGTTTCTGATGATGAGTGAAAGAGGGGTGGTGGGGGAGCAGACCTCAATTGTAGACGAGTACGGAGTCTTACATGTGTGGTATATTCCGGAACCATTCTTTTGTAGGTATGCACTAATACACACATATCAATCGGGGTAAAGTGTGTAGATCAAATATTACCGCGTTTAAATCCAATTTGATTTTCACATCTTCCGCTTCGTAAGTTTTGACTCACCAACTTCTCTCCCTCTTCTCCCCTCAGCCTCGCCCCCCCTTCGATGAGCAAGCTAAAAGCACTAAACCGGCAATTTATATCCAATATAGAAACACACAAAGCAGTTACTGATGCCAAGAGAAACCTAATATTGTCCATCTTGAAATCAACGACAACAAAAAGAGAGGCCAAAAATTACTTGACAAAGTATCAAAATCAATTCGACTTTAGTGATTTGGAGTTTAACAACGTTAGTAATGAAATCAAGCCATTGAATAAAAAAGAGAATCAACGGGAGCTATTCATCCAGCGATTCTTGAATCGACAAAATCCATTTGTTGGTATTTACGATGAAGATGACAGAAAGTTGAAGAAAATCCCGCTAAGATTGGCAATTTTCAAAATCAAATTCACCACAATTACAAAACTACAATGGTCAGGTATAGCTGAGTCGTTCAAAAGATTGATCAAATTGGGGATACTGCCAATAATCTTGCTAGATTTTGACCATTTGCTTGACTCTACATTCAAGAATAACGAGTTGTACATCATGGACCAATCAAACAAATTGTTGAATCGTCTTGGCAACCCCGAGGATCAAGACCATTTCCAGGTTACAATATTGCGGTCTTTGTTTACGAAAGCTGATGGGCACCTTTCGATAGACAGTTTGGAACTGATTTTGATTCCATTGTATCAGGGCACCATTCCGATCCTTCTACCAATTGCATACAATGTGAATACCAGCACGCAAGAGTTTTTGAAAAGCAACTCGTTGCTATTTGCATTATGCTCAGCTTTGGTGGAGAAAAGAACAACAAACCTCTTGTCGATTGAGAAAATCATCATGATTGACCCACTAGGTGGAATTCCATCCATCGAAAGGAACCAAACAAGTCATGTATTTATCAATTTATCGCAAGAGTACTCGGATATTTTATCTGAACTTTATATTGGACACATAAGTCCCAAATTACGTGATTTGCACGTAAGCAATTTGGACAGCATGAATGAGATACTCAGCTTCATTCGTGACAGATCTGGGAACGATGAAACTACTGGTATTATCACTACGCCCGAAATTATGTCGATTAACAATGATCAGTTGAATCCAATAATATACAATGTACTTACTGACAGATCAATCATTTCTTCCTCGTTGCCCAGTCTGAATAAGCGCACACCACAAGTATCTACCACAATCATCAAGAAGGGAGTCAATGTGCAAATACTAGACCAGGACAATTACCCGGGTGAATTCACAATGGCTAATTTATTTAATGACAAATTGGTAGACAAGTCCAAATTAGTTGCCTTGTTGAATGACTCGTTTGGAAAATCCCTTCAAGTTGACGAGTACTTTAAGCGCATAGACAAGAACTTGGCCACTTTTATTCTTGTTGGTGATTACGACGGAGCTGCTATACTAACCTGGGAAAAGAGCCCCCACAGAAATGGTAAGGTTGCATATTTGGATAAATTTGCAATTGCCAAACGCAATCAGGGTCTTCCTGGGTTGGCCGATATTATATTCAAGATTATACTACAATCGCACCCGCAGGAGTTGATATGGAGGTCAAGAAAAGTCAACCCTGTGAACAAATGGTATTTTGAAAGGTGTTGTGGATGTATGAGCTCGCCGGAATCGCAGTGGAAAATATTCTACACGGGCGACGTATTTGATAAGCGAATCGATCGGTTCAAGAGGAGGTCGATACCTCCTGGAGTGATCAATGTGGGAGAGAAGTTGAAGGAGTACTCTGATATATGCGAAGGTATACCACCCTCATTTAAATAGGTAGATGTTTATAGATGGAGCCAGTCATGAGCACTGGTACTAGTGGATTCCCGAATCCCAACAGAATTTGGTAAATGACACAAAAATGTTTCCGTAGACGCATTCTCACGATATTAATTGCGTTCGTTTTTATTTTTCTTTTCTTTCATATGCAATTGAAAGCTTACATTCAACAAAAAATTGCCCATGCAACCTATCACTCGCTTCTCTACTTTGCTAACTTAAGCCATGGTATCAGCGACTCAATCCACTATAAGACAAAGACAGAATCAAAACTCCACAAAGGACACCAAACAACAAGCACCCAAGTTAACTCTGGCACTGGACCCGGTTCCAACCGCCAGTAGTCCCCTTGCAAGAAGATTGGCTTACTATCACGAATTAGACGAGTGGCAAAAGGACAATCATTACATCCGGTCAGGCTACGTTCGAGGAACGTCTTCGTATTGGGAAAGTTTTAAATCGTTGGGATATTTGCACAATGAGACAGTTAACATTTACACCCACTTGGTACCTTCAAGCATCTCATTTTGGTTGATTTTATACTACATAAACTTTCAACTCCGGATATATGATAACTACTTGGGCGTATGGGAGAAATTAAATTTCATTCAATTTGGACTAGCATGCACATTTTGCATGTTTATGTCGTCCGTATTCCACACATTAAAATCGCATTCACATAAAGTTAGTAAATTTGGTAATCAATTGGACTATTTTGGAATCGTCATCTTGATTACATGCTCATTGATTTCAATCATCTTGTTTGCATATTATGATGAGCCTTGGGAGAAATGGATTTTTGTTGCATTGACCTTGTTTTTTGGAACTGTATGTACTGTTTTCACATTGCATCCGGAATTTTCCAAAAATTACTATCGGCCATTTAGGTCCACCATGTTTATTCTTTTTGGACTTTCTGGAGTTTTACCAGTTGCGTTTGGAATTTACAAATTTGGAGCTGTAACAACACTGGAACGATGCGGAGTCAAATGGTTGGTCTTAGAAGGGGTGTTTTATATCCTGGGCGCGGTGTTGTATGCAGCTAGATTCCCCGAGCGATTGACATATGTTGAGGAGGCGGATGAACATCTGTCGTTGCTCGATCCGAAAACTGGGAAATTTGATATTTGGGGACATTCACATCAAATATTCCATGTGTTTGTAGTGATTGCTGCGTATTGTCATTGGTTGGCGTTGGTGCAGTGTTATCACTATTTGCATCAACACATCTTGGTATAAAGTTTGTAGAGAGCGGTAGAAAGATAAAATATTTGGGTTATTTTGAAAAGAACTAGTCATTGTATGTAGAGAGAGAAAGAGAGAAAGAGAGAGAGAGAGAGAATTGCAGTTTCGACTCCTCAAAAAACACACATCCTTCAGCACAATCCCATGACTTGCGACATCAATCACTTGATAATTGTACCATGTCATGGAATCTACAAGCTTGGCGAGCCTCCAACAAAACAAGCTTCATGGTATTTAGCTTCGTTTCAGCTTGATGGAAACGATCATCTCTGTTTCCTAGATCACATTGAACAAGCCGTGGAACAACTTCAAAGCGACGCCAATTCATACTTGATCGTATCAGGAGGAGAAACCAAAAGGGAAGCAGGCCCCATCTCCGAAGCACTCTCATACTATACACTAGCAGCCGCGCAGATTGCTAAAAAGAAACAAATCGACGTAACTGATAGAATAACAACTGAAAACTATGCTCGTGATTCATTCGAAAATGTCATTTTCCTGATTTGTCGATTTTATGAAGTTTGGCAAAAATATCCAACGTATATAACCATCATCGGATTCGAATTCAAACGGGATAGGTTTCTAGATCTTCACTTGTCGCAAGCGTTGGGTTTCCCTAGTGACCGGGTAAACTATATTGGCAATAGTCCAAATCCCAATTTCACTACTAAAGAAGAGACAGAGCGGTATTTCGAAGACTTGCGGTCTAGTGAATACGCAAACGCAGTGCGAGAATTTAAGGCAGACTGGTACGGTGTTCAATCGAAATTGAGTAGCAAACGAAGGAAACGGAATCCGTTCTCGAGGCAGGCTGGTTACGCTTTGAGCAACCCTCCCCTAGCAGACTTTTTAGTGCAGTTAATGGTTGATCCAAATACAAGGACCAATGAGGAAATCAAGGAACTACTAAAAGATGCCCCATGGCGATGAATATAGAGGTTGTAAATTGTAAGAATTACTTGTGTCCCAACCAATTATTTTATTTTTTTTTTTTGAATAAATATCCTATACATTTATTTATATCTACAATTTTAGTTTCCTCTCTCTTTTTTCTTTTTAATTCTCCATTTTTTATCCAAAGCCCCCTTGCTTTATGCCTTTTGTTTCAAGCTTCTCCTTGCTTGGACAGCTTTACTCAATTTGGTCAACATGTCAACGGTAGTTTCCCAAGAAACACATCCATCAGTGATTGAAACACCGTACTTCAAAACATCCTTGTTTTGACCAGCTGGTGGCATTCCTTGTTTACCTTCATTGATATGTGACTCAATCATGACACCAATCAATGATTCGTCACCTTTGCTTATTTGTTCAGCAACAGTTTCCAACACGTGAGGCTGGTTTCTGTAATCCTTCTTTGAGTTGTCATGAGAGCAATCAACCATCAACTTGATGTTTGGATCGGTGGACTTGCTGATAGCTTCCTTAGCTGCCTTGACTGACTCAGCATCGAAGTTGGTGATTTGCTTACCACCTCTCAAAATTATGAAACAGGTGTCGTTACCTTTGGTGGTGGTGATGGCAGCAGTTCCATTCTTTGTGACGCCCATGAAATGGTGTCCCTTGGAAGAGGCTTGTACAGCATCCAAAGCAACTCTCAACCCACCATCAGTACCATTCTTGAACCCAATGGGGAAGCTTAAGCCAGAGGCCAACTCCCTATGTAATTGAGATTCGGTAGTTCTAGCACCAATGGCACCGAAACTCAAGAAATCCAGAAAGTATTGCGGCGATATCGTGTCCAACATTTCAGATCCAATTGGTAACCCAGCCTCAGTCAAGTCCGAGTATAACTGGCGTGAGATCCTCAATCCTCTGTTGATATCAAAAGAGTTGTCAACATCCGGATCATTGATCAACCCTTTCCATCCAACTGTAGTTCTTGGCTTTTCCAAGTAGGCTCTCATAATAATACACAAATCATCCTTCAACTCCTCACTCAATTTCTTTAAACGGTGTGCATATTCCAAAGCAGCTTTGGTGTCGTGAATGGAACATGGACCAACGATAACTAGACACCTATCGTCATTGCCTTTGAGAATTTGAGATGATTCGAAACGACCTCTAATGACAACGTCCAAGGACTTTGAAGTTGCTTTAATTTCGTTCTGCAAGACTACTGGGGCTACCAAAGCATCGTAGCCAAGAATCCTAGTGTCGTCGTATTCAGCTGGAAGTGGTGTATGGCTCATTATTGTAGAAGTATCGAGTATGGATGTTTCCTATGGGAAAGTATTGCAAACTTTTCTTTATTTTCTTAATTTCTTTTTTTTTTTTTTTTTTCGTTTTGCTTCCAGTGAAAAATTTCTCTCTTTTTTCAAAGATTGATGAGTGTGCTGTAAACAATAGTCACGCTCGGAGTAGTGTGGTTCGTGAAGAAACAAGTACAATTGAGACTACAGAAGAGGGAAAGAAAGAATTTAAGATGATGAACAGATGAAAAATTTTGAACTTAGAGTAGAGCTTTATATACAAGTAACTCTTGCAGAGCACAGTTTTGGGAAATGAGTCAATGTGCTTAATTATTTCACAAAGATCATCACAACGTGTGTGTCATAATCTTGTTGACTCTTTTTACTTTGACTTCCTATTTGGGTAGCATGTATACGACGTACTGCGCCAAGCCTGAGTTTATCTATTTTCTTGTAAAGTCATGTGACTGCTTCTGCTTGTGTCTTCTTTTGTGTAATTATTTACATTTTTACATAGAGAGAATCTTTTTTTATTTTTTTTCTTTTTTGGTTGGTGATTGCATATCAGATGTATGAGCTATCTAGACAGAACAGTCAAGGAGAAGGGGTTAGATTGTTTTTTAGTGCTCAACGAAGGTACACATTTCAAAATATACAACTAGAACGTCTTTCCCTCCTCAACAAACTCACCAATGTTCCCACTACAGAACAAAACAAAGATTTTCACTTCATTCTTTGTGTTTGGACTTTTGAACAACATACTTTATGTCATTATTTTATCAGCGGCTATTGATCTTGTTGGTTCGGCCACACCAAAGGGAGTGGTGTTGTTGGCCGATGTTATGCCTTCATTCACATTCAAATTAGTTGCTCCCTTTTTCATTCACCTTATACCCTACAAAGTACGATTATACTCCCTTGTGGGGTTATCGAGTTCCGGCATGTTGCTAATATCACTAAGCTCACAACAATCAATTGGCATCAAGATATTTGGCATCATGCTAGCGTCGTTGTCGTCAGGAATGGGAGAAGTGAGTTTCTTACAATTGACCCATTTCTACACCGGTGGCGATGCGAGTGGTGATAGCTCTGTGGGGATCAGTGGGTTCTCTAGTGGTACTGGTGGTGCTGGACTTTGTGGAAGCTTCTTGTTTATGTTGATGACAAATATGATGGGTATTCTGGTGACTGCTGTGTTGTTGATGTTTGCTGTTTGTCCATTGGGGTTCTTGGCGACTTATTACTTGTTGTTGCCTGCTCCTGACCATGAGTATCATGAAATTGCAGACACTGCGTTGGAAGACTCAAATGATGAAGGAATGGGGATTGACTTTAATTTTAATGGTCTGCAATTGCCCACAATCTCTTCCGTCGCACACCATTTTAAAACGACTTTGGGAAAAATCAAACCATTGGTTGTACCATTCATGCTTCCATTGAGTACGGTGTACATTTCAGAGTATGTAATTAATCAAGGAATTGCACCAACATTACTTTACCCGTTAGAAGATCTTCCGCATTGGTTGTTTACGTCGTACCGCGACATTTACGTTGTTTATGGGTTCTTATACCAACTTGGAGTATTCATTTCGAGATCGTCAATCTCATTTGGTGTTCGGATAAAGAAACTCCACGTCCTTTCCGTGCTTCAGTTTGTCAATGTCATCATCACCACCATTCAATCGGTGTATGACATTCCATTCACCACAATCTGGCCACTACTAGTGTTGATTTTATACGAAGGATTACTAGGAGGGTTTTCCTATGTGAACACGTTTGTTTCAGTAAGTGAAGGCGTTCCCAAGACCAAAAGAGAATTTAGCATGGGTTGTGTGAGTGTGAGCGATGGATTGGGAATTGCAATTGCCGGGTGTATAAACTTGTGGCTTGAAAGGAAATTGTGTGGCATGCAAGTGGATAGGGGAAGAGATTGGTGTTTGAATGGAGGATCAGCATAAGACTACTAAGTTTTTGAGTCTGCTCTATAGATTAGATAAGTTTTAAACTCAAGTAACCTTTTGCTAAATTTTCGATTGGTAGCACAGAGACGGAACTTGATTTCTTGAAAACCGATTGATTAGCGACTCCCGCTGGCTCATATGCCTCTACACAACTAAACCACAATACGTACCCTACAAATGCTTGCAATTCGTCGAGCTCACAAGCAAGTGAGCTTTGGTAAACCAGCATCTTACTTCCACACCACATCGGCTCTTCTCAAACCACCCAACAGAAACATCGCCTTTGTATTCGATATCGACGGGGTTCTCATACGAGGCAAAAAGCCAATCCAGCAAGCGAAACCAGCTTTGGAACTTCTCAATCGCGAAAAAATACCTTACATCTTGATGACCAATGGTGGTGGTGTTCTGGAATCACAGAAAGCTGAAGAAGTTACCCATATAACTGGTGGACCTGACATTTCTCCATTGCAAGTGGTTCAGAGTCATACACCAATGAAGGCATTGGTGCAGGATCCAGATTTTAACCGTGTATTGGTGGTTGGGGGTAAGGGCGATAATGCCAGAAAAGTGGCTGAGCAGTACGGATTCAATGATGTGATTATGCCTATTGATATTGTCAAAGCCAATAAATCAGTATCACCACATGCAATGTTTACACAACAAGATTTCGACGAGTATGCTATTGACATTGACTTGGAAAAGCCTATTGATGCGATCTTGGTGTTTAATGATCCCCGTGATATGTCAACTGATATGCAAATTGTTCAGGATTTGTTGAATTCAAATGGGGGGTTGATTGGGACGAAACGGAGCGTGAAGCAGGTTGGAGATAGAACAAAACCCTCGATTCCTATAATCTTTAGTAATAATGATTACATCTATGCCAACGATTTCCCATTACCGAGGTTCGGACAAGGTGCATTCAGGATCATCACCGAAACATTATACAATACCACAAACAAATTACCTCCACCAAAGAACTTGGAGTCGTTAATCATGGGCAAACCATTCAAGTTACAATATGACTTTGCCCATCATGTCTTGATTGATTGGAGGCAAAGGTTACTCTCTCAACGATATGACACCAAACAAATTCTTCCCTTGCTTGGATCAGTTCCTCAGGAATCTCCATTCACAGATATTTATATGGTGGGTGACAATCCTGAGTCGGACATTAAAGGAGCTAATGACAATGGATGGCAGTCGATCTTGTTGAGAACGGGGGTTTTCCAGGATGAGGATTACGATGGTATTATTGCCAAGCCTACAGTGGGGGTGTTTGACAATGTTGAAGAGGGCGTTAAGCATGTCTTGCGAAAGCATAATATACCAATAGAATAGATTGTATAGAGAGAATAGAAATGCTTGGATGAGATGTGTCTGAGTAGAAGCTGAAGCTGGCATTTGTTTCTCGAAGTCTTCACCTTTGGCAAAGGAGGAGCGCCCTGCTCAGAACAACACAGTGCCAGCAAGGAATGCTTCTCAAAGACTGGTTAGAGTGACGCCACTCTATTCCAGAGAGGTTGTCATCGGGTTTGCATGTAATCTCTGTAACTGTATTTGAAATGCGAAGGTTAAAAATTGAACCTGACTGTGGAGCATACTTTTTGTGTACCGATGTATACAAGCGCCGTGCAAGTGCAACGCAGTCTGTCTAATTTGCTCAAAGCGTACATCGCCTATTTATTCATCTGTTGCTGCTGTTTGCCCCTCCACTCTCCTATACTAGTGCTTTAACGTGAGGGATGTTAACTTGGAACAACGCTGTTGTACAAAGGGAGATTTGAAATTGTGATCGTCAATTCTTTACTGTACAAAGCAGCAATTGCAAGGAGCCTCAACAAAAGCCACGGATAAATTCATTTCCATACATTACACAACACCATCCGATGATGTCACAACAACAGAGCGCAGTGAACGATACAGACTAAAAAGATCCAACCATTTTTATTGGCTAAATCAATACTTGAAACAGAGCAAACCGCATTTATTTCCTATTTCGTGCTAGAATCTTCACCGCACTCTCTTGGAGGTAATGAATGTAAATGACCTCCCGTCCCCATGTTCAGAGACGCACGGTTGTACCGTACTGAGGTTCAGGAAATCATGCGTTTCCTTCTCGCTGGAACCAAGTGCACCGAAGTCTGCACTTTGCTTACGGCGTGAGCTTTGGCTCATCGTGCTCCACGTTTGAATCACTTTCTGCAACAGGGGCTGTTTCAATCCGTGTGACTGTTTACATTCTCTTGAGAGCCCTCTTTTTTTTTTTCTTTTTTTTTCTCTTTTTTCTTGGTGCCTCAAACTTTGTGTCTGTGCATCTTTGGCATCTTTGCATCCACGATGGGAATTTCAGTTTGTTTTGTCCACAACTGCGGAGACTGCTGATGTTTATTTATCCGCAAACCAGTGCATTCTTTGAAAACAACGTCGAACAAAATATAGCGATCATCTGCTTGGTGAAGATGAATCTGTCCATTTGATAAACACCGTAAAGGGCTCTCCACTTGGACAAAATTATGAAAGCCCTGCATGATGAAAATAAAACTAGCCAAGACAAAAACAGGATCGTTGTAGATCAAGACTCATAACCGCTGTAACCAGGAATACCGATTTTAAGATCGTAAAAGATCCCTTGATTATCTTTCACTCACTCAATCACTCAATCACTTACTCTACAGCAACTGACAACCACATGCAGGGAGGTTTAAAGTATATTATTCAACTTGGCAGTAGGTGATATATTATTAGTAAAGATACATTTTATAGATTGATTTTCATCTACTTCCCGGAAATATGGCAGTCCTAAATAGGAAAGTACAAATATAATTATGTACTATAAAAAAAAGGAGGGAATGTTATGAGGATTTGCGCAAATTTCATAATCTCCTTTCAACTAACCGCTGTACTGTCTTCTTTTTTTTCTTAGGAGTGCATTATGTTCTGTTTGGATCGGGAATGTACTTGATTAGACTATAAAGTGCAACCAATGTCTTTTCCAGAGCGAACCCACGCAGATGGTAAGATCTTGTTTGATCCCACGTGTATGATAAAACTATGACACTGTTTTGTACACTCTTTGCTGAGTAATCAATCGCATGATCACAGAGATTGACAGACAGCAAACGGAAGCCAAAAAATAAAAATAAAAAAAAAAGACATAGAAAAAATAGCAAAATATAATACACACGCGAAGCGGCTAAACAATTCAGTCATAGATCTTAATTCCGCTTCATTGATGTTGAATGGGTTAAATGAAGCAATAGCAATGTTGTTGCTCCTTCTACAACTCTGGGAAACAATTACTCGCTTTAGTTGAACTTTTTCCAAGAAAACACGAATCGTTGTCTAAAGAGTATTGTCACTTTTATTTTCAGAAATTGTCAAGAGTTTAGTTAAATTCCAACCCGCTATTTAGTTCTGTCTTTGACGATGCAATAAGCGGCTTTAGCTTCATAGTCATGTTCTCATCTACCAAAGTTTTGCTCGTATGACTAGTTGGAAGAGACATCGTTTTATGTACCAACAGATAAAAATACAAAGTGAAAACTAATGGGTTTGGGAGAAAAGTCGAGAGTTTGTAAGAAGATCTGCGTCGCCAGTTGACGACGTACGTCCGCCCCCAAGATTAGGCGATTTGCTGGAAGGAACAAAATTATGCACATGTACGCCTAGTAAAGAACAAAAATAAAAAGGCTTTTTGATGATTTCTCGCGAAATCTTGAAAAGTCTGGTACTGAGTGTGGGTTACAAATATGACTAAGTGTTGGAAAGCAAAAAAAGAAAAAAAAAGAAAGAAAAAGTCAGATCCATCTACAGTTACAAATCTCATCTGAGTTCAGGGTATACTCTGAATTTAGTAAGTCGCCAATTCTTACCTCCTTTTATTTAGTGAATAAAAGATTGAATCTTCTGCAAATCAACTTCTCTTCTCTCTCGGTTTTCACTTAAAATGTTTTTATTTTTATTTTTATTTTTTTTTAAGTTTTTATTTTTGTTCTTTGTTCGTCTAAAGTGTCAAATTGTGTATACCGAGCGTTACCTTGACTTTTCTCAGTTTTAGTTCAGTAGACACCAGAAGTACAACGTCAAACAACGTAGGCTCACAAGGGCCAATTACAGTATTACATTCCGATTGCTTTGACTCGATTTGAAGAAATACTACTGCAAAGCGCAACATTCGGAACACTTTACAAGGTTTAACAAAACCCCTTCCCTTAAAAAAGAAAAAGAAAAAGAAGTAGAAAAAAAAAAAAAAAACTAAAAAGACAATAGAATCTCCGTTGGCAAGATCTTATGTGAGATTGAGTTTCAGATCCCACCAGAAGGCAGAAGGAGGGAATAGAAAAGAGAGAAATAAGAAAAAAAAAAAAAGACATTTTACAAATAAAGCACCAACTTTGTGTTCTCCAATTCCATGAACGCCTGAGTTAATCATAGATGAACGAATGACCAGAGGCTAAACAAAAAAAGCTCACAAAGAAAGACGACAAGATTTGATAATTTTGGCGAGAATTAGAGGCTTGTTTTTTTTTTATTATTATTAAATCACCGGCAAAGTGTTTTGCTTAGGCAAGTTGCATAGAGGCCGCAGATTTGCCTGTCCTTTAGTAGCCCTGTTAAAGCCCCCCTCTCTTATCATGTTTTATATTGCTGATCCTTCGCTTGCAGTTTCCACTTCATAATGGCTTTAGATTCGACAAAGAGGATTAGTGATCGACAGAGTCAATAATGGAAGTTCATTGATGGTGAGCCGCCTTATCCAAGAGAACTATCTTTAGTAAGCCGCATCAACAAGAGTCAGCGTTGGGTCCCCCCTATTCAATTACGAGCAGGTGAAGTTGTCTGAGTTCACTTCCCTTCCGCGTTCTCACTTCCCACTCCCAGTCTCTATAGTTGCTTCTGTTTTTTTCTGGGCATGATCGCAACGAAAGAAATCCGTCAAAGTACCAGCCTCGTAGTATTTAGATTATGCGTTTACAAGACTACATGCCAGCTTAGTAAATTGTGAATTTCATTTTGTTTGCTCTCTGACATATGGAGAGCAATTTTCCATCCTCCCACTCGGATTCCAGTTCATATAAGTTCGTAAAAGTTACAATCCCTCTCTCCCTCTGTCTCCGCCACTAGCACCTTTAAAAACCAATACGTTTGTCCTCTGCAGAGAAAAATATGCACCAACGCTTAAAATATCGCCAGAGAATAATAAATTGACTCCGGAAGAAAATTTTGCCAGAGAGAAAATTTCATCTTTGACTTAGAATATTGGTAATGCGAATTGCTAAAACCATTTCTAGACCCTCTACGATTGAATCAACACAACAATTACGAAAAAGTGCTCACAGCAACTTTTTGTGTAACTTTCTGGTACTTTGAAATGTGGAAGCCTCAACAACCTTTAACCGGACCTCTGTCAGCATACGGTAGATTCCAGGCTTATCTATATGGGCCAACCTCTGCAAAGTTAACTCTTGAGCTAGGCAACATCCGCACCTGGATATCTCTACGTTGTTCTTCACATCACATGAATATATATTTGATCAAGCATAATTCATAGAGTTTATAACATTGAATCTTACCATCAGAGAAGAACTGAAACATAGCAAAATAAGCAGGGATCCAGCAACCTTACCATAAGTTCCAAAGGAGCATATCAATCTCTTTTTTTTTTGTGTCATCGTCACTTAGTGGTTAACTAAAGGCATCGGTGGAACTTGATTATGGTGATGGTAGTGCATCGATGAGTTCACGGGTAACGCAGGAGGTGGCATTGTCACGAACCCCTGAGGAATATATGAGGAAGAAGTTGGCGGTGGTGGGGGTAACTGTTGATGTTGCAGGTGATGATGAAGTTGTTGTTGTTGTTGTTGATGAAGCAGATATGCTTGTGCGGTTGGACCTGCACCAGAGTGCAATGGCGCTGGTTGCAAGGGGCTAGTTGTATGATTTGGCGGAACAGTTGCGAAATGAGCAGCACCAGCAGCAACAAGATAGTGTTGTTGTTGTTGCAAGTTCAAGTTTTGCAACGGAACAAACATTTCCCCTCTCTGACGCTCACCACTTATACTACTCCCCAGCAGTTTCCTAGTACTAATTCTTCTTCCATTCTTACCTTTAGTCACACGGTTATTCAACACTTCTTCAGCAGCTACAGCAGCACCTTTCCTTTTGACCAACTTGGCATGGAACAACCCACAAGCATTGCACAATGTTCTCACTCCCTTGGGTCCCCTCCTCCATTCTGGTGTTTCTGTAGTGCCACAACGATGACATTTGTTGGCGGTTTTGGGTACTACTTCGGTTATGGTGTAAGGCTGGTTCATTTGTAAGCCATGGTTGTTTGGATGGTGGTGGACTGCGTAGTGGGGTTGCGAGTAGTAGGGGGTTGGTGCTGTTGCTTGGTGTTGGGGTGTGATGTAGCGTGGAACTGGTGCAGAATATGATCTCGAATGTTGATGTTGGTGTGGAAATTGGGACCCGTTGTACTCTATTGGGGATTGATACGATGTAGGAAGGGACTGTGGTTGTGGCGGTAACTGCTGTTGTTGCTGTGATGGTGGTTGTTGATAATGGTTTGGTGGTGGGTGGTGGAATGTAGGCGATGGAATTGTTGTTGGAGAAGTAGTTGCAGTAGCAGATGCTTGAGGGATGCCATGCTCTGGTCCTGATCCTGGTCCTGGTCCTGGCAATAGCAGGTTAGGTTGGTTGGAATAATGACCAATAGCTGGTGAACCAAGCGATATAGCTTTTGACAATGTAGTATTATTACCCTGACTTGCAGCAGTTGGTGTGCTATTAGCTGACCCACTCAATGCAACACTGGAAGGAGTCATTGGTTTAATAGGTGGTATTTTGAATGTACTTGTTGACTCATTATTAACACTGCTCGTATTCAAACTAAGACTTGGTAATACAACCGGCGGCTGTGATTGAGCTTGTCCTCCCTTTGCATCAACAAATGATCTTGGTGACGATGCATGTGGGCTGCAAAGTTGGGCCAGATTTGAATTCCCTGTAAGCTCGTGAATGGAGGGCAACCGGACAGAGTTTGGAGCTCTGCTTGTGGTGGTGGTAGACATGTTTATTATACTTGTGTGCACCCAAATGGATAAATAGACTTTTTTTTTTTTGCAAATGGAAATAAATGTGGTTACGGATCAATCAATATCAGCCGTGACGTAAAATGAGGTGAAGGGAAATGAGGTGAAGTGAAATGAAGTGACCTCTACCGTATAATAAGAGGGAAAGAGAGCCGAATGCAAGTGGGAACTGTCTTTCTTTTATATACGACTTTAATCTGAATTCCTGCAATAGTGTAAAGTTTAGACAAAGCTGTAGAACCTAAAACGCTAAAAAAGAAACAAGAGTCTAATAAGAAATAAAAGACAACTAGATTTACCCGGAGGTCAAATTACGCAAAACCCAGAAAATAGTAATAAAAATTGAATAGGTTTTGTTACATCTAATCTACTATAGTAGTAGTATTCTATTTTTAATTTTGGCATTGGCGCAGGAAAAAAAAAAAAAAAGAACAAGTCCCATGGAGAAAGATTAGCACAAAAGCGAGGTTGTCAAGGGTGAAGAGACAAGGAATTATACTAAGTGAGATACAAAGCTGAAACATACAACTTTGGGGAAGTGTCGTGCATAATAATATTTTGGCGTACAAGGTGTCTGTAAAAAAATTACTTTTAGGTGGAAGTGCATTGCATATGACAGAGAATAAACCAGTGTACTTGTAATAAATGAGAAATAATATGTAAATGTATATGTGTATATGCACAGACTAGTATCTATTTAACTTTCTTCTTTATTACTTTTGTGTACCTTCTTATTGTTAGAAATTGCTCTTTCTTTTCTATCATTATACACATCTGCACCTGCATATAGTTACATTCATGTTTGTGTGATTTTGTTAACTCTATTGTTCTTCTGTATTCCCAATTTTAACCTTCTGCGCATTTTTCCTTTCTATTAAAAAAAACATTCTCTTGGAAAACAAAACAACCCCTCCTGCAAGAATTTAAAATCCACTTACGTATAGCCCCTCCTCACCCCCCTCCTCCACCTTATATTTAGGAACAAGATGAAGTTAAGACAAGAACAAACCATACATATACAAATATATCATATATACGAGATTTCTCAGAACTAAGCTCAACTTAAAGAGGACTGCTCTGCTGCATCTACCCCTTTTCCGCGGTTTCCAACGTATTTCCACTGCATTGACGCCTCAGTCACTGTTTCACTGTTTCACTGTATCCACAACTGCATTAGCCACTTACATATTGTGTGTGTGTGTGTGTGTGTGTGTGTGTGTGTCTGGTTGACGTATATGCACCTGTGCGCCACCGCCAATCAAAAAAGAAAAATCTAAATATATGAATAATACAATTGAATACAATACAATTGTAATTACATGTTTGTTTTTGTTTTGCAAAAAAATCCAGCGCTCGTTATTATAAATATCCGCAAAAATAAGGAAAAGCAAATAGTTAACACAATAGATCCCCCAAAGGGAAACCAGTCTAGCATTGTAGTAAGCTAGAAACTTCGGCCGAAGATTAGGCGGGTGTATTTGATTGGTCGATAGTGTGGCAAGTGACAGCAATGACAGCATCTAGATCTCTTACACACACCAAATCAAAGAAGGGCACTATTTATGATTTCACGCCGTATTGTCAAGAGATCTTCTGAAAGCATCTATGTGTTTCTTTCTCCTCTGTAGCCATTCGCCTCACGCCTCCTCAACCTGTTATACAACTTTGAACAAGACTGTGATCGACGTTGGCTCTCCTCCACTCCTCCGCGAAGTCTAAAAGATGAAGAAAAAAAAAAAAAGAGGTTGACGGTGCAAAAACAATTTTGAATAAATAAAATAAAAGAACGCTCTAATCTGGGTCGTTGTGTTTCCACAAGAACGTGGGGAGAAGAACATGGTCACTCTGTTTTTTTTCCTCAAAAGAAAATGTGCATACTCACTTAACTCTCTGCCTGTTGTTTTGAAAGTGTACAAAAGATGCCGCCATATAGCAAACAACATGAATGGTTTTATTTTTTCTTTTTAACTATTATTATTGAAACCATTTCTTTTGTCTAGATTATCTCCATAACTACACGGGGAGATAAATATTTGTAACCTTAAATTTTTTCTCTGTCTAAATATGATTGTTTTTATTTTCTTAACTGGAGTTTTCTTCATATAATATTTTGTACTTGACGCTTGACAAGCAACCCCTCTCTTCTACTTCATTCCTTGCTATTGAAGGTAACCTATCCCTTTGGGAGTAAAAAGTTTGTCTGATGTTTTTTTTTTATTTTGCTATTTCTTTGGCTTTGTTGTAACAACTCCCGTTGTATTGTTTTTTGATCCTTTATTCTGTATTCCTGCATTTCCCATTCCAACAAACCGTTTTATTCTTTTCTGTAAGATTTAGTGTAAGCCTTTCTTCACTAAAAGGAAAAAAAAAATAAAAATAAAATTGTTGAAACATAATCTGACATTTCCGTCAGGGTATCCTTCATTGCTTCCGGCTTCAAGAATAAAACAATCTTGTATAATACTATTCCCTGGCTGCACCTTCTACTCAGTGAAGTATTGTATTCTTTATCTTCTTCTTCCTGACCAAGTCCCCGTGAATAAAAGCTGGTATTCTAATCTCTTTTATTTTCTTCCTATTCTTTGTTTGAAACGGTGGAAAAATAAAATACAAACCAAGTAAATAGTATAATTATTATTATTATCATCATTATTATTTACCATTGTAATTGTTATTGATGCAAATGCCTGGCTATGGTTTCAGAATTTACAGTTTTGTATAAAGAGATTTGCTCAAAATACGAACTGCAAAAGGGTGAGCAAAGCAGTAGAGCAAAAAAGATCCCATTCCCCTATCTCATATTTTATCCGTTGCGGTGTGGTTCTACTTTTACTTTTAGTTTTATTTCCAACTTTCCCTCCTTCTTTTGTCTTAGTGCTAAGAAGGTAAGATTATCACTTACTGTGGATAATTTACACAGAAGTATGAGTTATTGTTTTGTTCTTTTTATTTTTTTTTTTTTCTTTTTGTTAATGATTGATCAACACAGATGAAATAGTTTCACTCTCTTAGCTAAGCTAAAATTTACTATAGAGGTTTGCGCTTCTGCGCTAATTTTAGGCTTATATTGTGCTTTTGTGCACCCTGAACCCAAAGTAAACACAATAGGGTACGTCATTTGATCATACACGAGAGGAGTAATGCAAGTGTGTATGTGTGACGTACCATTACTATCCGTCGTTCCCCTGTACTTTCTTGACACGACGAGTTGTGCATCAATTAAGTATATTATTAAATCATATTATTTCTTAGGTAAACTTGGCAAATGAGAGAAAGCTTTTTACTTGTGGCCAGATCTCAAGAGGTAAAGTAGCTGAGTGCAAGAAGTGTTGAAAGGTTCGTACTTGGACATGATCTCAAGTAAAGCTAAAGGACACCCCAAGCTTTAAGGCAATATCTTGGCAATAGTGTTCAGTCCCCGCCTTCCTTTTTGTTTTGCTTTTTTTGCATTCTCTCTGTATCAGATAACGAATTTCACAATTGCACGTGAAGATTTTTGTTCTCCTTTCCATGCATACAAATTGCCTCACTTTTCGGGTAAGAACAAACAGCCTCAAACAACTAGAATGAAAGCTACAGATCGGACCGATTGCACAAAATGTTGGCTAGATAGCCCTTTCAATGCAGATAAGGTTACTTTAGTTTAAGAGGAGAGAAAAAGAGAATGCCACAGTCTCACGGTTCGGAGAATTAAATTCCATGCAGGAAAACAACAATTTCAAATCTAAAAAAAAAAAGGTGCATTTGTGTTTATACAGTTTGTCTCTTGTTAAACTTGAACTTTTATATAGATCGGATCGATGTATTAGGTTTTGTCTTTTGTATCTCTTTATTTGAACACAACAGTCAAGTATAACATAAAACAGGTTAACCATAAAACAAAAGAGAAAGGACGCAAAACAATTGTTTTGTTGACAAAAGATCTTTCCAAAATCTGACAACAATTGAAAAATTTGCGCAAATTAAATTTCAGGTTGTCTGGGGCGGGGCACACGTGGGCCCTCCACCATTTCACTCCATTCTCACATTTTAAAGGTGGCTTACGCTATAAGTCAGTAAAAACGCTTTGCTTGGAGGTCGAGATTTTCAGTAAGACACCTTCTTATCCTCCTCACATTGCTGCGTCGCATGTATCCCTCCACTGACAAAAAAAAATGCTTGCTTATTAATGCATCAGATTGTGTTCAATCTATTACACAAGAACCGTATCGGTGACACCTCATTGGTTGAATGAAGCAAATAATTGCTTTTGTTTCCGCCGAGGAGAGTGCATTGTTCCCCCCCCCTATGGAAGTAATCTTTCCCGGTATAAAACAATAGGAAAACAAAGTTCCAGTAAGAAAAGCAAAAAGGAATTGAAAGAGTGACGTTTGCAAATAAAAAAAGACTGCATAGTCGAAACGGCTGATGTATCGCCCGAGTGTCACATCATTTGCCATTGTGTACTTGTGTTTCTCCAACATATAGCCTATACTAATTTACACTATGACGTAGTTCAATGAATTAGAGAAATCAAAATGTCTATTAGATCATAAATAGAATGTGTGCAAAGATTTTCATCGACTACGAATTTCTCGTAATTTAATCGTGGATTAGTCAAACTAAAGAGTTGAAACTTAAAAACACCAATGCTCGTAACTAAAAACAAGATTGGTTAGGGAACGGTTATAAAAATCCTTTAGTTAACAAACACAAAAGGATTAGGAATTTTAAAATAATAACCTTGAGCTTATTTCTTTATCTTAATATTTTTTATTTCTTTTTTTTTTTTTTTATTGCTATTTTTTGATCTAATGCAAGTAGAGTTGAAATTGGAAACCTACTACGTCACCACCAATTTGCAAACTGTGGATGCGGGAGAACTAAGCCAAACGAGAGGATTCCAATGGGAACCCGATTTTGAACGTATTGACAGTCCTCAGAAGACAATTGGTGTCAGTTGGGTGTCACTTTTGTGCTGAAAAACAATAACGTCAAAAGTGTCAGAATTCCATCGAAACGAAGCAGAGAGAACAAAAAAAACAAAAAAAAATATGTATCATACTAGTTTTGCATATGTGTCTAGTAGTATATAGGGTGCACAAACTGAAAGGACGCCAAAAGAATAAAAAATGTATGCCTGTAGACGCCTCATTACGAAGGACTTAAGCGCCGTTAATGCGGAGACACACGCTCTCAACTGTAGACGACGGTCAACGAATTGGCCAATCGCAAAAAAAAATAATAAGAAATGAATCTCTGGAAGTTACTGATGGGGACGACTGTTGTCAACCTCAATCCTTCCTAGCTCATAACCTTCTATCTCGTACATGCTATTATAATCTGCACAAATTCTAGATGCTGAAATTTTTGCGTGACTTATTCGACTTTCTTTTTCTAAAAAAAAAAAAAAACAACTTTCACACGACTACACCTTTTCAATATTGCGTATTTGTCCTCCACTATTTGAAAATGTAGCTGTTGTTGTAGCTCTTGTTGTTCAAATCTTGTGTTGTAAGATTTCATTTCCAACGTTTCCTCTGTCTATGTCTCCAAATATATGACACTGTTGCTCTAACTCTTCTGCAAGCTGTCTTAAACAACAGCAAATAAAAAAAAAGAAAAAAATAAAAAATATAAAACAAAGGTTGGAAATATTATTTTGTGTAGCCTTCTGATACTTTTTATCTGCTATATATTTTTTATATTATTGTTCTTGGGGTTTGCGCTTTGTCACAGACGAAAATTCAAACTAACTACACTCGATTCCACAATTCAGAACAAAATATAGAGCTGGTTGGGATCCCACCACATTTGAGCTTCGATTACTGCTTGTGCCATCAATTGGCAACTTTTACAACTCAAAACAAAGTTAATTTCAAAAGTATGTTAGCTCTGTAATATGGGGGTTATTTCATTACTGAAAAGATCTGGCCATATCTCCATTCAAAGCATTCGTTATCTCCGTATGCACCATTGTGTTAATCACCAACACTGTCTGCACAACTACAATGCAGTGCAAAGCGCACTGGCAACAAAAACTGGATAAAACCTACATCTCGAGCAAGGATAACTTTCGCAGAAATGGAGTTTCCTGTATACTGGTTTTGTAAATACTTCATAAACCTTACATAAAAATTAAAACCCTAACCATGCATAAAGGTTTTTAAAAGAAAAAAAAATAATATCATAACCATTAATCACCAGACTCTCACCATTCCTAATCATTTAGCCCCTTTTCAAAGGGCTCATAACCATGGATCATCCGATTAAAATAATTTGAAAACAATGTAACGACATGGTTGCATTTCCATATCTTATTCAATCTGAAGCCAGCACCGTGTAACCAAGTCTACGAAAGACATTTTGTTTCGATATTACCGCGGGTATATCACGGTTACGCTTTCCGGTATAAACCACTACATAAAATTGTAAGTACTAGGAGTTTGGTACCTCTTTGGTTGGCAACTATTGCAACGGAAGCTGTACTATATCTGAGATCGTAAAGAATGGTTTGTTGTATAGTTACGTTGTCAAAAAAGGTCATGGGTAGTAGCATCGATCTAAACAGAATTTTGAATGGTATATCCTGTGTTTCAAGTAAAGATTTTGAAATTAGTGATATATTATTCAATCAATTCCTCTCCATATGCTAAATTTCATTTAGAAATGCTGCAAAAAATGTCTACTATTTTCAACTTGCTTTGAATTTGAACGGCTGTCAGAAACAAACTCGAGTACCCATTCCCACACTGATTCTATCACTCATACTCGCCTTTATCCCCTTGCTTCTCCAGAAGGCTTCAAACCAAGCAGATTTAGCTGCTGCTGCTTTGTAATGTAGACCTAATCATTGACGTAGAGAACGACGTACTACACTTGCCCTTTTTGGCTCCATCCAAATTAGTTCTCTTCCAGACACTATATATTCTCTCAGTCTCATTTTTTACTCCCACTGCTAGCTCATTTCGGAATCGGTTCATTTTGAGCAATCCGTTCCATTTACAATATCACTTGGTAGCATACTTCCGAGATTCAAAATTTTTTGCACAACGGAGAAAAAAAAAAAAATAAAAAAGGTCCAAGTAACAAGGTCTAACCTCATTTGTCGTTAATTGCATTATACATATCCACACACCAAGAGCAATGGGGTCATCAGAGAACTACACATTTCCGTCTTCTATACGTATGTGCCTTCATCATTCCTAGAGGGTTTACCTCAGATGTATACTTTTACTTCTCAACAATGGTAGTACTAACAAATTCAACTTTTCTAGCTTCACAACAAGAATTGGATGATCATAATGTTCCATTTTACTACAGAGACAAATGTGCATCTAACTTGATTGAATACTACAAGTGTCTTGAAAAGGGTACTTCATTTTGCAACCAGACGAAGGATGAATTTTACAAGTGTCAGTATTATTTATTGAAAGGAAGATTGGACAGTTATATCAAAGAACAACAACATTGAGGGACTTGAATTCCGGTCGGCACATGGCAAAGGAATATTAATATATATTGGTCTTGATTGAAGAGCTTGTGTTTCAGTGGGACATTAGTATTGTTGGAGAATGAGAAGATTAGATTGTGGTGGAATTTTCAAAAAAAGGGTTGATCGTGCTCCAGCAGTTGATTCCAAGAAGACCTAACTCAGTGGACTTACTTAAGCCAGTTTGATTTACTTTATGCATGTGTTGATATACGATTATAAAAAATAGAAAAAGGAAACAAACTTGGTTTCCGTCGTCAAAACTATCTATCAATTGAAGAAACTACTCTGCTATCCCGATTTCACCTCTCAGCTCTTCTAGTATATGCCAGATTGGACTCGTTGGATAACTTCCTACACTCCATTTGTAGCGTTTAGTTGTCCTAAAGCTCAATGTATTTGCACCTTGTGAATGACTTTGCAACAAATTTTATTGGTCCCTTCCACTTCTCAAAGATTTTTTTTGATCAAAGGTACACTACTTGTACAATCGAGAAAACAATTTGTGAGAGGGAAAATCAAAGAGAGTTAGCGTTAGGTTTCAGTCTTAAGGAAAGAGTTGCATACATATTCCCATATTCGCAGATGACAGTTACTCAGTTCCCACCACTTCGTATGTACATTAAAAGAGATTATTGACCAATGTTGGCCATGCTCGATTGTTACTAACGTTTCTTTTTGTTTTGTTTTTTTTTTAGTCTCTGAAGATGATTGTCAGAAATATAAAGTCCCATTAAAATGGAGAGATAGGTGTGCTGCTTATTTTGCATTATACCAAACTTGCTTAATTAGACAATCGGCCAACTCATCAGTTGATTGTAAACACGATAAACATTCATGGGAAGAGTGTGAGAATTTGGACTTGATTAGAAGAAGAAAAGAATTGCAACAGGTTAAGGAACAAAGGAGGGAGGAGTTGGCTTCTGCTTCGTCGTGAGGAGAAAGTAAAGCCATGGGGGAGGGGGTGTCTTAATAGTGCAACATTTCACAACAGACTAGTTTCTACTGACTGTTTAAAGAGCGTTGGATAGGAGGTTATACTAGTTGATGTTGAAAAAAAAAAGAGTCACCTTTATATATGTAATCATAGAAAATGAAGAATAAAATATCAGTCAAAGTAAGAAGTCGCCACATAAGCATTTTACAATTTTGAATCACTTACTACTTCTAATAATGTAAATCTGGAATGAACTGCAATTACTGCTAATTTGAATCATATGGAGTAACCCAATTCAAAACTCAATTCATAAACCAGACTCTTTCAGCAAGAGTGTGTTTCCACACCCTCCCCTTCTTTCGATATTCCTCCGCTGTCCACACTCTATATTCATCTCAGATAATCTCTTTACAAATATAAAGCTCTAGCTATGTTCGGAGTTATTTAAAAAATACTATCAAAGAAGGAGAAAGAAGTCAGAGATGAGACCGGAGGTTGAAGAAAAAAAAAAGGGTTTGGTGAAAATTTTATACAAAAAGAAGAGGGCGTGCGCATATGATCAAAATGTGAAGGATACACATATTGCTAATTCACAGTACCTGATCCCTTCTCTTGTGCGTAATGAGTTTCTAGTGTCTCCAATTTCACGGTAAGTGAGGGTTCTTGGAAATAGGATTTATGTACATTCGAATTATATCAGCTTGTCTTTGACTACTTCTACACCTCAAGCTGCTTTGAATTTTAAACCATCTCGGTGGCTGTACCCTCAGACTGCCTTTCATTCAGGAATGTTTACAACACTTGCTGAATCAGTAGATTCGCCTACAATACACCCTAATGTCTTGTGCACATTTGGCAATCAAAAAAAAAAGTGTAGTGTGCGGCTTGACAAAATTGACGTCGAAAGGGAAAGGTCTCCGCCACAAAAAAAATAAAACTGTCACTATGACCTCCCCCTCTTTTTCAACTTTTCTCTGCGATTAACATTTGATTCACATCAAACGACACATCAAAATGGCAAAAGGTAAAAAAGACGATTTGAAAACAGTAACTGCTGAACCATTGGATTCAATTGATGATTCCAAGTTGGAGAGGAAAGAGACTCCGGTTTCAGGCGATAACGAAACTACTGAAACTACTGAAACCACTGACACTGCGAAGGAATCAACAACAAGCGAAAGGGTATCTGAAATTAACTCGAAGCTGTCCAAAGATAATTCGGAGAAGGAAGCTCCTATTGAAGAAGTGCCACTTGATGATGACAAAAGTGGCACCGCTGTGAAAGATAGCAAATCCAAGGATAAGGACGATGATGCAGCAGCAACGACAATCAAAGCTTCATCCACCAAGTCTCAACTGCAATCGCAATCTACCGAATCTGGCGATTCTGTACCCCCACCACCCCCACCGAAAAGACCCAAAGACCCAGTCGAACAAATTGTCCAAGATTTAAAAGATGCATTCCCACAGAGTGACGACAAGATAATCACCGCAGTCTTGATTGCATCTCAAGGAAACCCCGAGCCGGCATTTGGCGCACTACTCTACTTGTCTGATCCCACATTCAAGCCTGACATTCCCGTTTATCCCCAACACCAACCCACTGCCAACCCGCGTGCTGCTTTTGGCAGTGGAATAGTGAGAAGTAGGGCTCCTAGTGATACGTCACATACATTTACTGATGATGAGATATTGGCTCGTAAGTTGCAGAAGGAGTTTGAGTTGGAGGATGAGAGACAGAGACGCAGGCGCGAAGAGAAGGCGAGGCAGAGGCAGTTTCATGGAGAGAGGGGTAGTCGAGGAGCCGGTGGTAGTGCTGGCTCGCGTTCAAGTCGTGAGCGTGTTCGTCCTCGTCGTAGTGGAGATGGTGATGAAGATGATTTCGATCAGTCTCCTGACGAGTTTGAAACTATAAAGGAGACATTCACACAAGGTTTGGAAGAGGCTAGAACCACAATCAATGGATGGGTCTCTGGATTAGCCAAGAAGTTCGATAATGCCAGTGCAAACAAGGGAGGTGCAAGATATGACCGAGCAAATGACGATGATTATGACTACGATTATGCCCATGATGATCGTAGATATGAATCACGCGGTGGTGCAGCTGCTGGTGCTGGTGCTGGCCGTCAACAATTTGGCAGTAAATCACATCGTGATGGAGGCAACAATTTTGGTAATTTGGGCGGTGGCCGATACTATGATGACTGGAGACATAAAAACAATCGTACTCGATTCGATGAGGATCCTCAGATTATTACTGGCGATTTCCAGGATCAAATCACCATCACTGATCGTGATGATGGCTCCAAGGGGGAAGTCGAAGGCGGCAACAAGAACAAGAGTAATAGTAGCAGGAGTCGAGGTGGTGCAGGTGGAGTTCTGAAGGATGGAAAAGATGCTAAAAGTGAAGATGATCCAGAGACGACACCTACTTTGCCTCGTCGTCCAAGAATGTCGAGCGATGTTGCTGATGATTCAAGAAAGGAGCATGTTTCCGGCGCAGCATCTAATGAGAAAAAGACCATTGGTGGTGCAAGAGCTGGTGCAGCAACAACTGCTGCTACTACCGACAATGCGTTTCTGGTTGATGATAGTGATGACGATGATGAGGGTAGCAATTTAGTAAAGAGCAAGTGAGTTTTGCCTTAATGGTGATGTTGTTTCATTTGTATAGGATTTTAAGTACGGTAATTGTATGAAAGAGTAATTGCTCTTTACACTCTTTTATACTAAATTTTATATCAATTTGTATTTTATATACGTATACAGGTTATGAACAAGCTGCTCAAATGACAAATTTAAAAGGTGTGTCATTCTTGTTTGATTTAGATGACTCCAGCTGCAATTCATGCGATAAGTTGGCCAACGTAGGATGGTATTTTCCCCACTGTATATATGGACAAGTTACAAGTGGTGTAGGTTTTGGTAATCCCAATTGATCTCCACCTTGTAGTAATTTCGAAACAAATTCAATGGTTTCTGACTTGGACGATGTGGTGATTTGTGATTTGAGCTTAGATAAGTTGATTATCTCTTGTTTTATTTGATTGCGTTGGTTTTGAATTAGGGTTAGTGTGGATGAAAGGGAAACATAGTCGGTGTTGTGGGACAACTTATCAGTAGACTGCCCTGGTTGTTCTGTTTCCAAAGTAGGCGCATGTTCATTTGATGCTTGTAAGTCAGATTTGGCTTCCAGAGCCAGGTATTGCGAGGGAAATTCTGGTTCAATTGGTGGGGTTCTAGTTTCGACTACATCCACAACCTTCGTTTCAAAGGACTTTTCTTCCTCATCCTCATCATGTTGAAGAGATTCAGGTGGAGTTGACGGGTAGACAGATGCCAAATCTTGCTCATGTTGTTGTTGTTGTTGTTGCTGCTGCTGCTGCTGTTGTTGTTGTTGTTGTTGTCTATGTCTAGCCAATAACTCCTCTTCCAAGTCACTGTCATCATTCTTGGGTGTCAACAATGGTGAGCTTTCAAACCCCCTTTCTTCATCATGTGGTAGTTGAAAAGTGACAGACTTACAGCGTCTGTGTTGGTAGCGTTGATGTTGCTGTACCTCATCTTGAGCATTAGTCGCTTCGTCGCCATCATGTTGATTTTTGGCGTGTGATGAGCTGTTAAAGTATCCTGACTTTTTAGACATTTCTTGCAACATATACTCTTCTTCCTGATTCATAGCTGGTGGGGAGGAAATATCGGTGGGAGATGGTGATGTTTGACAACGATAGTGTTCTTTTTGATGTGTATAGTTTTCTGAGTCAGCAGAGGAGTGAAGGTGGCGTTTGGTTTTGCATTTGAGTTGGTGTTTTTGTTCGCCTTGTTCCTCCTTTGCTCCATAGTTTTGTTTCTGCTGAAGCAACAGTTGCTGCTGTTTCAGATCCAGTCTAGTGATGGGCTTGTCAGGGGTAGTATTAGCTGAATTAGAAGTAGAAGCAGTTTTCTTGCTCTTTGGTGTACTGATGTCGGCATCTTTTTCAGCGTCAGCTTCATCCTCGTCACTATTGTTCAGATAATTCAAATGGTTAACATGTTGTCGCTGTCGACGTTGCCATGAACTATTTCTATTATTGTTGCTGTGGGGACGACGTGAGTTTAGGTGGTGATGTTTTCGTTGTTTGAGAATGGGTGTGGGTGTGTTGGAAATGTCACCCAATTCATGCAACTTTCTTTTGGTATGAGCAGTAGCAGACGTAGAAGTACTAGTACTGGTACTAGTCCTGGGTGACGATGTATTCGTGGTGTGTTTTCTCAATGCAGTTGTAGACACCATGACTTCCGAAATGATATATATCTGTATGCAGTTTGGGAAAGGGTAAATGTTATTAATTGTGACGTATAGAACGTTGAGTTTATACGTCGTGTTTTGCGTGGAAAAAAAGGAAAAAAAAAATAACTGAAGAAGAAACAGCTGGTGAATGGGTGGTGAATTTTTGTCTTCAACAACAACAACAACAACAACAATAAAATAAATAAAAATAAATAAAAATAAAATTTCACTTACGCAGTAGATGGAACAATAAGCACTATGGAAATGAAATACAAAAAAAGAGAAAGGAAAAAAACAAAAAAAAAAAAAAAAACTCCGTTCAGTCTTTTGGACTATCAAAAGGTGATAGGTAGCCACTGAAGTTTGCTTATGGTACCTGCCTGTCAATCACTTTGAGCCCGACTATCAGCTTATGGTAAAAGAATTGATGTGGAGGAGGAGAGTCTTTTCTTTTTGTTGTTCTTTGTCTGCTGTTGTTGGGTGGCAAAAGATTTCTGAAATTTAAAGGAAAAGGAGAAAATAAAATAAAACAGAAAACGATTGTTTATTTTTGTAATATTGTACACGACACACAAAACATAACTACACTCTTACACTCTTACACTCTTACACTACCCCTTGCATTCCATTCTGTCAGACCTCTTCTAATACAACCGGGTAGCAAAGGAGCATGCGTGACCCAGTGCACTTGTCCTAAGTACATTTTTCATGAATGCTCTGTCTTATTCAACAAACTAATACTTGAATGATTGACAAGAAGAAAAGAGGGGAATATGCAAGTACTGCATACAAGCCACTGAAATATTATACTCAAACACACTAACGTATTAGGGGACAAAAGGAGATCTGTATGTTAAAGTATGTATGTATGGATGTATGTTAATTTTTACATTAAAAACGATAGCTCAATCAATACAAAGCACAAATCTTATCATTCCATGCCTACTTCTGTACAGGATAATAACACATAAATTGAAAAGAAAACAGCTCTAGAATGAGTCAATGACAACCCGTTTTACCTTTAAGACACATTTTATAACACAACACGATCAAAGGTTTTCCCTACCTTATTGCTGTGTACACCTACACCCCGGCTTCCGCTACTCTAAACTATATACAAAGGGTGAGCTCATTTTCTAGGTAATTGCTTTGGCTCTTTCTTCTCTTTTCCATCGCCACCACTCAAAAATCCACCCACTTTACCCACATCCAGTTTCATTTCACCTAGCATCAACTTATACCTCCACAACAATCCATGCTGTTGTCTCAACCTCTCCTTCTTCTTCTTCACTTCACGATTAATTATACCAACCTGTTGATCATAGGGAACACCGGCCTCGGCTTCCTGAAGGGTTTCCTTACCAAACAAGTAATCAAACACTCTTCCATCAGACCAGAAGAACCCCTTCCGATCAATTATCCAGCTCTTCAGCTTCATTGCAGATATTTTCTCTCTCAATACAAAGAAAAAGAACCCTTTATCTGAAGTTCCATAGAACCCTTTACCCGTCCACACACGTGCTGTTTTACGACGACTCAAATTCTCCAATGGCACAGTATACACGGGTGTCGGTCTTCCTGGAATCAATGGATGCGACGTAAACTTTACATACTCTTTTGGTCCTGGTAAATACCACATTCTCCGAACCAATTTGGTGGGGAAGACAGCAGCACCTGCAGCAGCAACAAACATGGTAATTGAAGGTATCAAATACATGGCCAATGAAAGTGCCCAATCTCTATTTCTTAATGCTTCATTGGTTTCTTCTCTTTCATTCTCATTATACTCCTTACGCGATATCCAAAATGCCCATTCAAACAAGACACAAGCATATATGGTAAACATTATTGATAAACAAAAACACATTAGGAAATATAATCGATGGGGTTCACTTTCATATATGAGTTCTGGTTGTTTCTTGTTCTTCAATATATTGATCACTTGTTTGAAAGTGTACTGCTTGCCAACTTGAGGTACGCCAGGTCGTGGTAGCAATGTTGGCACATTCTCTTTACCAAGCGGGAATTTGGGTACACGGTCTTTGACAGTGTTGGTTTGGGTTTGTTCACCAGGTATGTGAAGTTTCAAATTCTCCCACTCGCTTTTGGAAGGCACTTGTTTCCCAGTAGAAGAAGGACTGGTAGGTAACTGCGCATCATGGCCCTTCCCTTTTATGTCATTTTGTTTCTTCTTTGGTGGATTTGACTGAGGTAGGTTGGATTTGAACCTAGTGAGTGTCATTGGTACAAACAGACGACTTCGTACGGGACTAGGTACAGCAAGGCATGGGGACACCCCCATGAACAATTTTCTGAACCCGACACGATACATCACTGCAGAGTTCCTCCTTTGACAATTTACTTAGAAAAGCTCCACAATATAAGGGTGTATCAGCCTTCTGCTAACTTCCTCTTTTTTTCTTTTTTTTTTTTTTCGTTTCTCTCTTCCTTTTCCCTTTCACGTTCACCTATTCGACTTGTTTTTGTGTTTCTTAGGCACACTGGATTCAGCTCGTTTCAACTGCACAGGAAATTGTCCAATATACTTCCCATTCATATCCTTAAACGCTTGTAAATAATCGTCTGCATTGGCAAACGCAACGAATCCATACCCTTTCGGTTTTTTCGCTTTCTTATCAATTGGCACATGGACGTTGCTCATGCTTGTGTATTTTCCAAATGCGCCACGCAAAAGGTCATCACTTGCATCGGGACCCAAATTGCCCACAAAGAGGCGGAAATGTTTTGGGTTCCATGACGGCTCTTGTTGTGTGGGACTTGATCCATTGCTAGCCAGCGGTACAGATCCTCCTTTTTGTTGTTGTAGCCGCTGCTGCTGCTGCTGTTGTTGTTGTTGCTGTTGTTGTTGCTGGCGAGTTGAATGTAAGTAGCTTGCTGCCTTTTTGGCACTGATATGTTTTCCATCTAATACATTCACCTGTGGTGGCTTGGTAACTTTGTAAGATGTACTTTGTTTGGGAGCCATTCTGTGGGCTGTAATATGGGCGACTTGACAGTTTGGTTGTAAATGCAGTTATCATTTTTTTTTTTCTTTTTATATCATCGCAGAAGAGCATCACCATCAAGCAACTCTTCAGCAAATCTGCTTGACAAGACACCTCCCCATCCAGGCAATTCCGTCCTTTTCCCATTCTACTCCATGTTTATACTATCCGAAATCAACGATCTAATACGGATCCCTCCACACACATTCAACATTCCCATCCAACACGCCATTACCGACGAGCTCAACAAGAAATACGCCAACAAAGTCGTACCTAAGCTTGGCGTCGTCGTCACCGTATGGGACTTGCTCGACATCAAAGACGGGCTACTAAAACCAGGAGACGGTGGGTCATTTGTCGAAGTCCAGTTCCGATGCATCGTTTTTAAACCATTTGTTGGTGAAGTGCTAACTGGATGGGTGACAGAATGTAAAGCCACTGGAATCAAAGTACGATTGGAGTTTTTTGATGATATTTGGATCCCGGCAGATTACTTGTTTGAAGACTGTGAGTTCAGAGAGAGTGAGCTGGCTTGGGTATGGAATTCTGCCGATACCGAATTGTTTATTGATGTTGATGAAAAAATTCGATTCAAGGTGGAAAAAGAGGTGTTTTACAATGTGAAGCCAAAGAGTTCGAATGAAGCTGCGGGGATTGAGGAGCCCGTGAATAAGTTGCCACCTTATAGCATAATTGCATCTTGTCAACTTTCAGGTCTTGGATGCGTCTCATGGTGGGACTAGTAGAGGACGATTCATAAAACATTATAGACAAGTGGCGTTGTATAGATTCTGTCTATATAAACTTAATTATATTGCATATATTCACTAGTTGAACTGAATTTCAAGTTACCCTTGATGACCTTATCAACTGCCTTCAAAAAGTCTTTCTCATTGGCAACTTTTCTTCTAGATCTAATTGCAAACATACCGGCTTCTGTACAAACAGACCGCAACTCTGCACCAGTGGCATTAGGACATAATCTTGATATTAGCTCCCACCTGATATCCTTCTCACAACTCATAGTCTTGGAATGGATTCGGAAGATGTTGGCACGACCTTCCAAATCAGGCAAAGAAAACTCAACTTTACGATCTATTCTTCCTGGTCTCAACAATGCCGGGTCCAACGTGTTTGGTCTGTTGGTGGCAAACATAACCTTGATGTTACCTCTTGGATCAAATCCGTCCAATTGAGTAATCAACTCCAACATGGTTCTTTGCACCTCATTGTCACCACCTGCACCATCGTCGAATCTGGCTCCTCCAATTGCATCAACTTCGTCAAAGAATATAATACATGCCTTCTTGGTCCTAGCCATTTCAAACAACTCTCTAACCATTCTAGCACCTTCACCAACATACTTCTGCACTAATTCAGATCCAATAACTCTAATGAATGTGGCATCGGTCCTGTTGGCAACTGCTCTAGCACACAATGTCTTACCAGTTCCTGGTGGTCCATAAAGTAAAATACCTTTAGGAGGGTCAATTCCCAACTTGACGAATCGCTCAGGGCTCAACAATGGCAACTCAACAACTTCTCTCAATTTTTCAATTTGTTCTTTACAACCACCAACATCGCTATACGTCACATCTGGCTTTTCTTCAACCGTCATCATGGTAACTGATGGGTCAATCCTTGGTGGTAATGGCAATTGGATTTCATACTTGTGTCTATCAACACCAACTCTCATTCCTTCCTCAATATCTGTAGGGGAGACTCTTTCACCCAATCCAACAACAAACTTGGCAATCTGTTTTATATTGATGACGTACTTAGTTCTTGTGTCGGCATTCTGCAAGCCTGGTGTGGTCACCACTTGCTGTACTGGCTCTATAATCTTTGTACATCTGGCAACTTGCAAAGACTGCTCCTCTTGCATTCGCTGCTTGTCCCCCAAAACATCCCAAAGATGGGTTGGAGCTAATCCGGTATCACTTTCTTTTATACCTATGTTTTCCTTTATTCTCTCTTCGACATCCTTCAAATCCTTCTCAATCAGTTTTATAGTTGACGCATATGGAGCTGCACCATATGTCTTCAACACTTGAATGTCACTCTCTGACAATGGCACTATCTTTTCTTGCTCCTTCTCCTCGTCTTCTGCCGGTGCCACATATTTATCCCAATCTGCTTTTGGTGGCATTGTTTGAAAAATGAGCTGTATATTAGTTAAGGTTGTTGCCTCAAGAAGGAAGGGATTCAGTGGCAATTGCAAATGTTGGTTTTTTTTTTTTCTTCTTTTTCTCCTTTCCTCACGTTTGTCTGTTCTAAACAATTTGGTAGCACACACTACAAAATGCTATATAAACTCAGTATGCTCTAACAGTTGGTGGCACTGGCTTGCACTCCGTTTCATCCAAAGTGTGTTTAATCACATCTCTGTAATCAATCTTAACGTCAGCACCAAAGCCCAGCTGCCATGTCAATGTGTGCTTCCACCAGTTAACATCGTCCCTCTGAGGATAGTCCTCTCTCGCGTGAGCACCTCTAGATTCTTTTCTTGCTGCAGCGGCAGCTGCCGTTTGAGTAGCACACGTGAGTAAATTCTGCAACTCCAACGTTTCAACCATGTCGCTGTTCCAGATCATGGACCGGTCCGTAGTTTTCACGTTAGCAAAGTCCTTGTCAACTTGGCCAATGTGTTCTACACAAGTATCCAAGGTGTCTTGCGTTCTAAAGACAGCACATCCTTTTTGCATTGTCTTTTGCATATCTAACCGTATCTCCGCCGTAGTTTTAGATCCGTTGGCAGTTCGCAATTTGTGCAAATTTTCAATCGACTCCTTTCCTAATGTAGCCTCCATTGGCTTCAATGGAGTGTTTGGAGTCAATTGGTCTCTAATTGTATGAGAAACAGCTCTACCAAACACGACCAAATCCAACAATGAGTTTGCACCGAGTCTATTGGCCCCATGTACCGATGCACATGCAGCTTCCCCACAGGCTAACAACCCAGGCACAACTTTATCCTGCCTATTTTCGTCCTTTGTGATGACCTCGCCTTTCCAATTGGTAGGGACACCCCCCATGTTGTAATGAACCGTTGGCAAAACAGGGATAGGCTCCTTTGTAACATCAACACCGGCAAATATATGAGCAGTTTCAGAAATACCTGGTAACCGCTCCTTCAAAACGGCAGCTGGAATATGGCTAAGCTGTAAATACATGTGGTCCTTGTCAGGTCCAACACCTCTTCCGTCATTAATCTCCATCGTTATGGCTCGAGACACGACATCTCTACATGCCAAATCTTTTGCTGAGGGAGCATATCGTTCCATGAAACGTTCACCTTCAGAATTGATTAAAAAGCCACCTTCGCCTCTTGCTCCTTCCGTGATGAGACATCCAGATCCATATATTCCCGAGGGGTGGAATTGGATGAATTCCAAATCTTCCAATGGCAATCCGGCTCGAGAAACCATAGCATACCCATCGCCAGTACATGTATGTGCAGAGGTACACGAAAAGTAAGCTCGTCCATAACCCCCGGTTGCAATAACCGTCCTGTGTGCCCTAAATCGATGTAGGGTACCATCCTCTTCGTTGTAAGCAATCACTCCAACGCACTCGCCATCTTGCATTAACAAATCCATAGCAAAGAACTCAATGTAGAAATGGCAATCGTGTCTTAAAGATTGACCATAGAGTGAGTGCAACAACGCATGTCCGGTTCTATCAGCAACAGCACAAGTTCTATAAGCTTGCCCACCTTTACCGTATTCTTTAGTTTGACCTCCAAATGCTCTTTGATATATTCTACCTTTGTCATTCCTAGAAAATGGCACTCCATAATGTTCCAATTCGTAAATAGAGGCCGGTGCTTCCCTAGTCATGTAATGTATGGCATCCTGATCACCCAACCAATCAGATCCCTTTACTGTATCGTACATGTGCCAATGCCAGTCATCGGGGTGCATGTTACCAAGAGCAGCGTTGATACCACCTTGCGCAGCTACCGTGTGTGACCTAGTTGGGAAAAGCTTCGATATGCAAGCTGTACTGAATCCGGCTTCAGCTAATCCAAAAGCTGCTCGAAGTCCAGCTCCACCGGCTCCAACGACCACGCAGTCATATTCGTGGTCAATGATTCGATACTTGTGTTGAAAGACTTTGCCGGCATTGATTTCGCTTGAATGTATCTTGGACGCGATTATTTGACATCTCCGTGAAGAAGTCATTAGCAATCGTCTGCCAATGTGATTTGTGTACATGGCAAAACTTAAAAAGGATGGGTGGAGAAAGTTGCTTCTAGCCTGTGTTTAAAAGACAACGTTATTCAAGCAAACAAAGGTTCAAATTTTTGTTACTGATGACTCCCCATTGTTGTTGTGGTTACCAAATTGGATTTTGAAAAAATTTGGTCTCAATTTGATACAAAATTATTGATGGACATTACAGACATACAATTCATTCATACAAAATACAAAATACAAAATACAATACTAAAAAGAATTTCCCACCTTGCGTTTCACGTTTTCAAGAATCCCAAGCACACCTGAGTTATCCCCTTCTTCATCAAACCCAAGCAAAACTATACCCAAGTTTTCCAAAATCTCAATCGTTTCATTCACTTTAGTAGACAATTTTTGATAGCCCTCCAAGTGAAGTAAAGACTGGAACCCTCTTATATACTTTAACAAATTCAAATCCTGCTGTAGAAATTCATTAAATTCTCTTATTTTATAAGATAGTTCTGGATCTCTTGCTTTTAGAAAATGGATCAAGGAGTCAGTGCTGTATCTTATAACATCAAATAGTTGTGCATACCAGATGCCAGATGCCACAATGGCAACCTTAGTATTAAGCTTGTCATTCGACCCTAGTGACTTGTCCGATGCAGATATCAATGATGTGAAGGAGTGAAATATAAAATTTGATGGAAACTGAAAGCTCTTGGTGGTAGACACTTGGTCCATCACTGTTTGCATGTAATAACTTTGAATATTGATCCACGGTATAAGTTCTTGCAAACTTGGTTGCGATACGTATTTTAGACTTATGTCTTTGGTAAAGGTTGAAACCCAGCTCCCTATGCTACTGGATATGGAGGTGAGATTTTCACTCGAATGTGACAAAACAGCATCCGCTAACGAGTCCTGAATCTTACCGAGAGCGATATAATAGTTGACAAGCGATAAGTTCTCATCCTCATAAAGTGCAGTGTCAATGTCCTTTTCTTCAATATAAGCGTACCGGGGAAACTGCGACGGTTTATTAGCAACAACACTGATCTCCTTGTCTAAATTGTGTATGGACCAAAATACTCGCTCAATCAGTACATCGTCAAGCTTTTTGAACAAATCGAATTTCAAAACTGCTCTGTTTAGCAACCCAATCAAGTTCCACACCATCTCGTTGTTCAATGATGTTAGACCATAAATTGACAATAATAGCAAAAGATGGATATTGTCCTGGTTGTACTTTCTGAACGACAAGTCCAAAACATCTATAATACTGTAAATGCTTTTTGTTTTGAAGTAAGCCGAGTAATGAGATGTTTGCGTCTTTGCATCATACAAAATACACCCAATACTCAAAAGCAAGTAAATATCCAAATTCACAATGGAGTCCTTGGAGAAATCAATTTTCTTCAACTTCTGTAAGAACAAATCCTTATTGATGAACGGGTACTTGTGACCAAAATTGTTGAAATAGTTGAGAGCAAACGCCAAGGGTAAACTGTCATCTTTGATCTCCTTCATGGTAATAAACTCCTCTTGAATGTTGGATTGCGTCGCTACTTGAGTAGTTTTGTAGTTGATTTTGTCCATACTCTCCTTCTCTTTTTCCAAAGCCCTACGCGCTGACGAAGCTAAAGCAGCAGTGGCAATCTTTTTGTGTTTCAGCTTCTCCCTATTTTTGGCTTGATCATCACTTTGATCGGCAATGAGTAATGACGATACGGATATTAACTTATGAGCATCCACCTCATTCTGCGTTGCATCGGCGCTGGCAATGTGGATAAGCTGACCATCCGATTTGGCCAGCTGTATTACACCATCCAGCGATTTCTTTCTTTTCTTGGTCCTATCTACATATTCACATTGTGATCCGGTCCTTTCACAATGTGAACACTTGGGAATTGCCCTAGTACACTTTTTCTTCAATCTGTAGCAACGGTTACAATTGCTGGGATGATGAGTTGAGGAATTTTCTGCATTTTCTTGTGTGGGTTCGGTCTCTCTGTCGTTGCTTTCGGTGGAGGAGGAGGAGGTGGTGGTGGTGGTGTTGGTGTTGGTGGTGGTGGTGGAAGTAGTGGTTTCAAAAACTGTGGTGCTCTCATCTTCCTCGAAACTTCTCTTTGGGGCAATGGGTGTTCTGAGATTCGACTGGTTTGACTGCACCTTGTTAGTCAACTTGAATTTACTGGCAACTGTGCCGTTTCCCATCAGTCTATTATAGCAGAAATCCATGACTTGAAGGTGACAGGTAGTGGAGATCTTGTAATGACAGAAAAATTTTCCCATTTCATCTTTTTTTTTTTTTCCCTCTCTTACGTTTTCTAAGCGGGAAGAACAAAGTGAATGAGCGGGCCTTTGTTACTAAACAAAGTGTGGCGGTCATTGAGAAACAGCAAAAAAAAAACAGAAAAAGAAAAAAACATAAAATTAAAATTAAAATTGTGGCCCGATGGTGTTATTCACTTGAATCAAAGGAAGTTAAACACAATTTGGAAAGTGTGGATTCTTTCACTTGTTGGCTGTTTCGTAAAAGGGAGTCCGGTTTGATTGACTGTACTTTCCCTTATTGCTAAACACATACTAGTAACCACAGACAGAACTTCAATTGCCACTTTTTTAAAGTGTGCCACAGTTTTGCCGATCCCCGATCCCAAAACGGGAAAACCAACCCGACTCACGTGACAAGTCCCAAAGAGGAAATCTTTTGTACGATCAAACCGGTTATGCCACTGAACAATATTTTATGTATTATTCCATCTATTTACAATACTATATTTACCATCACGCAACCACAGCATCTGAGGTTTGTGCCCCCTCCACATTCTCCTGCTTGGCTCTTTCCTGGGCAAATGCCTCAACTGCTTTGGCCCTCATCACGTCCAATAAAACAGTCTGGTGTTTGAGATTGAAAACTGGTAGCTTATCGTGTTCTACCAAGTCGGCTCTCCAGTATTTGTCTTCACCTCTTCTCCACTCATTTTCCCAAAACAACTTTGTCCGTTCCAAATTAAACTCATCTATTACATGAGCCAAGTCTGCTACCGCCTCTTGTGAATACGTAGGTCTGTATTGTCCTGAAAACCATACGTTCCCGTCATCGTTCTTTCTTCTTAGTTCGTTTGAATTCTTTTTTTGGGAAATATCCCTGGCTTTCCTGAGATCAAGCAATCCTTGGTAAGCTGCGTTCGCGTACTCATAATTGTCAAAATTTGCAACACACATGATCTTCCACAAGTCCTGTCTCCTTGAAGGTTTTCTATTCTGCCAATTTGGATTAAGGAACTGGGCATCTATCTGTTCTTGGTGATAAGCAGGCACTTGTGAGTACAAAATCTGACCACTAAATAAATTTTTAAAAACGAAAACTTGTGGGCCCAAATTCAACTTTTGTAAGTCCTCTGGGGTCTTGTGGCCCTGAGCAATTCTGGCACCGTGTTGCTGACGTTCCTTAAGTTGCTCGAGAAGCAACTTTCTCATTCGCTTCTCAGCTCTCAAACGCATAGGCATGATGGATTAGGTTTCAGTGTTGAGCGTAGTAAGGGATTTGAAATTTTTCACTTTCCAATTGTTTTTTTTTTTTTCTTTTCCTTAAGCATCTAAAAGCCATGCATCATCGTAAAGGTTATATATATATATATATACAAGACTTATCCAAAGAGCAAAGTTTCTTGTCGCAGTTGATTTTGATTACTGTACGAGTTTGAGAGCTTTTCTAGGATCTTCACGCCATGTATTGCTGGCCACATCAGGCACCACCCGACTGTAGAAGTTCCCTTAAAAAACATCCGTCGTGTAAAGGGAGCTAAAAATTGTTTTACTGCACTGAACAGCAAATGGGCTGAAAAAAAAAAAAATAAAAAGAAAATCTCTAAAAAAAAAATCTTCTTACATTAGTTAGTCATTGTAAACCCCTTGACTTTCAAAATTAGAGCATTTAACTTTATTCGAAATATATCAAGAGTCTCAAAGATGGCAGGAGTAAAAGAGACCAGCGTTCCATTTTCAAGGGACTCATTGGAGCAATTATTGAAAAGAAGATTCTTTTACGCACCTTCTTTTGAAATCTACGGAGGAGTCGCCGGATTGTTTGATTTTGGCCCTCCAGGATGTGCGTTCCAAAACAACATCATTGATGCTTGGAGAAAGCATTTCATTTTGGAAGAAGACATGTTGGAGGTAGAGGCAACCATGTTGACCCCCTACGAAGTGTTTAAAACCTCAGGTCATGTTGACAGATTTTCGGATTGGATGTGCAAAGATTTGAAAACCGGTGAGATTTTCAGAGCTGACCACTTGGTAGAGGAGGTTTTGGAATCAAGGTTGAAGGGAGATAAATTGGCAAGAGGAGAAAATGTCAAGGAAGAAGAGGAGGACGAAAATAAGAAAAAGAGAAAGAAGAAGGTTAAGGAAATTAAGCATGTGAAATTAGACGATAAGGTTGTTGAAGAATATGAAAATGTTCTTGCTCAAATTGATGGATACTCTGGTCCACAATTGGGTGAATTGATTACAAAGTTTGATATCACCAATCCAGGAACAGGTGGAAAGTTGGAACCACCAGTGGAATTCAACTTGATGTTTGATACTGCAATTGGACCATCCGGTAACTTGAAAGCATATTTGAGACCAGAAACAGCACAGGGTCAATTTTTGAACTTTAGCAAGTTGTTGGAATTCAACAATGACAAGATGCCCTTCGCATCCGCATCGATTGGGAAATCTTTCCGTAACGAAATTGCCCCAAGAGCAGGTTTGTTGAGAGTTCGTGAATTTTTGATGGCTGAGATTGAACATTTTGTTGATCCAGAAGACAAATCGCATGCCAAGTTTGACGCAGTGAAGGATTTGAAGTTGAAGTTCTTGCCTAAAGGAGTACAGGAATCTGGGTCAAGTGAGCTTATAGAGAAAACTGTTGGTGAAGCAGTCAGCTCAGGTATGGTCGACAATGAGACCTTGGGATACTTTATCGCTAGAATATATTTGTTCTTGACCAAGATTGGTACTGACCCTTCCAGATTGAGATTTAGGCAACACATGTCCAACGAGATGGCCCACTATGCCTCGGATTGTTGGGATGCAGAATTGCAAACATCCTATGGATGGATTGAGTGTGTTGGTTGTGCTGATAGATCAGCTTACGACTTGTCTGTGCATTCAGCAAGAACTGGTGAAAAGCTTGTGGTGAGACAACCATTGGCAGAACCTCGCGTTGTGGAGAAATTTGAAATTGAAATTGCAAAGAAGAAGTTTGGACCAAAATTCAGAAAAGATGCTGGTGTTGTTGAAAAATGGCTCTTGCAAAGGACCCAATGTGAATTGGAGGATTTGGGTGAAGAGTTGAACAAGAATGGAAAGATTTCTGTTCAAATCAAAGACATTGATGGTGTTGTTGAATTGGATGCTGATCTCATCAGCATTTCAAAGGTAAAGAGAACTGAGCATGTTCGAGAATACATTCCAAATGTTATCGAACCATCTTTCGGTATTGGGCGTATACTTTACTCCATTTTCGAGCACCAATTCTGGGCCAGAGGGGACGACGCAGACAGAGGAGTTTTGTCGCTTCCACCCATTGTTGCACCAACCAAGGTATTGTTGGTACCATTGTCCAACAGTGCAGAGCTTCAACCAATAGTCAAGAGCGTTTCAAATGTGTTGAGAAAGGAGAAGATTCCATTCAAAGTAGACGACTCCTCTGCTTCAATCGGTAAGAGATACGCCAGAAATGATGAGTTGGGTACCCCTTTCGGTATCACCATTGACTTTGAATCTGTAAAGGATGAATCTGTCACTTTGAGGGAAAGAGATTCGACAAAGCAAGTTAGAGGTTCAATCAAGGACATCATTGAAGCTATCAAGCAAATCACCTACTCTGAGGTTTCTTGGGAAGAAGGAACTTCCAAACTCAAAGCTTTTGAGTCATGAGCGTAGAAATTTTGTACATATATAGAAGCTACATAGATCAATTATAAATGTGAAGTTTTACCAAAGATTTCAGACAAGAATGCTTCGGAGTTGGGCTTTCTTCCCAACACTTCTTCCAAATTGTCCATGATTTCTCTGGACCCCCCTCTTTTCAAAACTATGTCTCTGTACCGGATACCATTCTCCGTATTCATTGGGTCCTCCTTGAAAAGGGTGTAGTAGATATCTGCAGCAAACACTTGTGAGTACAAGTAGCCGTAGTAACCAGCCTCGTAACCTCCGGCAATGTGACCAAATGAACAGTACCCTTTAGTTGGATTGTTTCCATCGGGGAGCAAAGTAACATCTCTCCTCAAAGTGTTCCAAGTTTTGAATAAATCTAACTTGGCAATCTCCTCCTCACTTTCGATAGAGTGAACTGACATGTCAAACAATCCAAAGAACAATTGACGCAAGTTGGATAACCCAGTGTTGACATGTTTGGTTTTTATCAACAGATCAATCAAGTCATCACTTATGGGCTTGCCTGTTTCGTGATGAGATGACAACAGTCTAATCTCGTTCTTTGACCAAACCCAATATTCCAACATTTGAGAAGGAGCTTCGACAAAATCGTACTCCACATTTGTACCATGAAATTTGGCATATTTCGTTTGCGATAACATATTGTGAATTCCGTGGCCCAATTCGTGGAAAAAGGTGACAACTTCATTATGCTTCAACAACGACGGCGTGGTTTTGGTTGGCTTGGTAAAGTTGCATACCAAAACAGTTTCAGGATTCTTACGAGTGCCGTTTTGATTCAAGTATCCTGGGCCAATTCCAAAGTTGGCTGCATGGCCATACTTTCCCTCTCTTGGATGTAAATCAAAGTAAATCACTCCCACGTATTCCAAAGTTCCAAACTTGATATTCTTGAAAACAGCATACATTTCAACATCTTCATGCCAGACCTCGGTTGGCTTTGGACTAAGCTTGACAAATTTGGCATCCATGATAGTCTCGTAGAAACCCAACATTTTCTTGATGGTGCTTTGCAACGGAAAGTACTCGGATATTTTCAAACTATCAACTTGATACTTTTGCTCTAATAGCCTCTGGTCGTAATAGGCAAAATCCCATGAATAAAACTCCTTCTCAGGAGCCAATCCACGAGCTTCCAAGTCCTTGCTTTTTAAATCTTTCAACACCTGCAACTCAGATTCTCCAACTGGTGTTAATTTGTCTCTCAAGTCATTCAAAAAGTTCAAGACAGTGTCTTTGCTCTTGGCCAACTTCACCTCCAATGCAAAGTCTGCAAATGTGTTATATCCCAACTCTTTGGCAATCTGAAATCTGAGCTTGATTATCTTTGTCAAAATTTCCTCGTTCGCTGAACATCTGGTTCCATATGCAATGTTTGCAATTTTTCGAGTCTCTCCTTTCGATGCATGTTGAAACAATGGGATGATGTCGGGATACTTGAATGTCACCTTGAGTTTAGTTTGTCCCTCACTCTCAACTTCCTCGTATTGCTTCAACACAACTTCGGGAACACCTTCTAATTCTTCCTTGGTGAGATAAACACAGCCTGTGTCTTCCCCCAAATTTTTGGCAAACTTCACCTTCAAGTCGCTCAATTCAACCTGCAACTTTTTCACTTTCTCCCTTTTTGCATCTGTAAGGGCCAACCCCTTACGTTCAAACTCCAATACCGTTTTGTCTAGGAAACGTTGACTTTCAGGATCCAAATCAAGCTTCTTATCCTTCAACGACTTTAGTACTGAGTAAACATCATACCTCGACCATTGCTCTATAGAATTTTGATCAAGAATTTGCTCTGCTTCAGTCGAAGCGTCTCTCAACTTTTTATCTGCTGATACGTGTTGGTAGAAGGTAATTTGATTGATTGGAAACTCAACTTCATTGTAAAACTTTGTAAACGGATTCAATACGTTTTCAACCGTTGGTTCTTCTACTGAAGCTATGGTGTCGAATAACTGTTTCTCTTGTAAAGCGTAATCATTGGCAAGCTTCAAAACCTCTTCCGGAGTTTGATTCCATTGAGGATAATGTTGTTCCTTGACGAGTTTATCAAAATCAATGGACATTGTTGTGCTTATACTGTAAACGATATACGCAATGGCGCCAACTATGAAGGCTGTGTACATGTATTTATACCCTACATAGAAAAAGACCGTGCCGTTCAAACAAATGGCACTACGTATTCCTGGGAATATTTTATTTTTTTTTTTTTCATTGAGGGGAACTTGATTCGTGGCGTCACAAAAGTCAGTAAAACACGCAAAAAATGACTCGGTTGTCTTTCAAGTGACTCTGTGCCATTGTTCGGCTGTAGGTCCATATCGCATTTTAAATTAACCCCGCCATTACTACCGTTAGTTCCCCCCTCAAACTACAAATACCTCTATAAGCTTACCGAAATCTAAGCCATCACCCGTAGCAACATCGAAAATCTTCAATCCATCTAAGCTGAAGATACCTTTAACATTTCCAATCAATTTCAAACCTGTCTCAAACAGGCCCTGTGGTTCCAAGGGTCCTATTCGAATGTCATTTTCCAATATTATGACCCCACTCGCCTCGGTGTTAACTTTCAAAGTGTTGTACAACGAGTAAAGCTGGGCTTTGTTGTAAATGATAATGTCTTGGCTGTTTTGTGCATTATTGTTGTTGTTTAACAAATTTGACGATGAAAAATTGTTATTTGGGGCGGTGTTGCTGTATATAGGGTTGAAATTAATTGGATTCTGTACAAGTAGTGATAGATTCAATCTGTTCATTGAATTGTTGATGGCTTGCATTTTCCACTTGGTTACCACCCCTTGCTTCATATCCAATCGACCAATAAATGTAAGTTTCAACCCGGCCAATGAGGAATTGATATTTGTGGATAGGTTCACGGTCACCGATGATGACGATTCGCGTGTGACATACAGCTTAGCTCTCTTTCCGTTCATCCCAACTAGATTGGTGTTCAAATTGGAGAATGTCGGGCTATCCATTTTGTACAAATTGTTGAGCATTGCTCGTTGTCGAATATTTGTTCCATTAACAGAATTGCTCATTTGCGACAGAAGATGCAGTGTGTTACTATTTGTTTTCAATGCATTGTTAATTGGTGGCGCAATTAAGCCTAAATCCAAGTATGGTCTCCAATTGGTTTGTATGAGGTTGCTTGCTCTAGTGTAAACTCCTTCTTGTAATTTCTCAATCGTTAAACATGTGGTTATACACACTTGTTCTGACGCTTCCCTTCCAAAACGTTCATGATCGTCCAACTTGAAAACCACGTTCAATGAGTCCTCTAATCGCATACGTTGTGGGAAAATTTCATTCATTGGGGTCGCAGTACCAACAACGGAACTTAGCTCAAGAGAGCTGATATTGAAGTATAGCAAATCAAGATCTCTCTTGTTGGCTGTGAATATCTCCTCTGAGCGTTCTAGACTCAATGCCACTAGTAACAAGTTATTCCTTCCTGCTGGTTTTGTTGATTTCATTTTTATCACTAATGCCATTACAATGGGAATACTAAGTTCTGTCTTGACAACACTGTCGGTGGTCTTGGATTCGATTTCGGTGGTTGACTCATTCGTTAGTGCTTCTCTCAGGTCAGTCGTTGTATAATCTGACCCATTCAACTCCAGTACATTCAACTTGAAATCTGGCAATACAATATCTTCTGCCACACTGCTTCGTCGTTGGCAAGACTTGGTACATTTGGTGAGTTCACAAGAAAGCAGGAGATGTGGACTTGACACTCGTTTACCAGGTGGTTGAATACTAGGAAGGTGAAATTTCCAGATGGTGGTGCCTTCACTTTGCCAGACAGCTTTCGTCTTGTCCAATTTGACCCTGGTATCAATTCCCAAACTGTGCTGATCTAATTGGTTGCGGAGATTCCCTCCTCCATCTCGCGTCGTTACTTTGGCAAGTAAGGTAATTGTGTCAGATCCATGAAACTCTTCGTTGCAAACGACATATCCTTGAACCGCCTCATAAAAGTAAACTTCACGCCTCGTCTCTGCATCTTTCAAGCTCTTTTCCAGAAAATTTTCGTGGTCAAACGTGGCCGAGGGTAAAACTATCAGGAATGTCATAAATGCTAGCTTGGAATATGTTCGAGTGATGGAAAGATGATCTTTTGATAAAATTCGCGTGTGTTGTTTTTTTTCTTTTTTTTCACGCGGTGGAACATTGAATCCACAGAAGTGTGGAATAGCGCACATGAGAGGGAAGGTCTCAGTCCCCCCTCCCACCTCTACTCGATGACATGTTAAATAAGCAATGACCTGCTGTCCCAAAACCTATAATTTTCAAATTCACAAGTATAAGTTTACCTTGAAGGTGATCGCCATTCCATTAATATCCTATATACAAGCCACCTCCCCTTTCATCTAGCTTATCTACTATGAACTGAACTGCATCGGATTTCGGGTCCCATCCAAGCTTCGCCGTACACTGTACGTTTTTCAACAACGGTAATCGATCGTCATCGAGAGCCACGGCCAAATCCATGGGGTCGAGTTTTGTCAGAGTACCTAGCATCCCACTGCTGTTTATATACAATGTCCTCAAGGGTCTTGGTGTATCTGGGTACCCTAAATATTGCTCATCAAAAAACATCGAGGATACGTAATCAACACTAATTTCAAGCACTCGTAGGTTGGGACAAAAGTAAAAAACTTCGTCTAGTGTATTCTGTTTCAACGCAGGCATGGGGTACTGTATTTTTAGTGTTGTTAATTGAGCGCCTACTCGATATAGAACTTGCTTCAAGCCCATATCTGATATTGCAGGGCAATGTGCAAGCTCCATGTTTGTGATTGATTGGGGAAACTTTGAATGATATAGAAACTCGTCACTAATCCCACCCGATAATCGCAAAAATGTGAGTTTGGTCGGCCATGATATACGCTCATAATCGCTTATTTCAATGGATGATCTGGGGAATGATAGGTGGGTCAAGGAAGACAAGTTCTCGATTGAGTGGAAAAGCTGTGCTAAATTCACAGTCTCTGAGACCAACCGCAAGTCCAACACCTTCAAGTTTTGACAATTTTTCAACGCGATCAATGGCCCAAGTCCAAAACTTGTCTGAGGAGCTACAAAACACTCCAAATTCTTTCGAGATTGCTTTAATAGCCTAGCAACAAATGCATTTTTTCCCGATTGGATCACATAGGCTAAATCAAGGTTGATTATGAAATTCCCAAGCGGCTTGTTGTTGGATAAAGTTTCAACAAAATTGAAAAAATTGGTTGCTCGAAGGTGTGGTGCTCGATAAATGAGTGGCAAAATCATCGCATAAAAGGCCTTACACACCCTCATAAACTTAGGATGCAACTTGCCAGAACTATCTAGGATTTGGAAAATCCTAAAGAATATTTCCAAGGGAAGTTTCATCATTACCGTCTGCTCGTCTCTCTCTTCCACGCCAACATAATCCATGTTTCTACCATTAATAGCGCAATCCAAAACATCAATCTTTTCAAATTTACTCAAGGGCCAAATCTTTCCCTTTATTTGGTTTGTATTGGACAAATGGTATATAGATCGCACATCGATCCCACCTTTGAATCTATTCGTATTTGTGGTGTGTATCGTAGTTTCCTTCTCGTTGTCATCTTTCTCATCGTCAGATTGTGTTGAGAAGGAGCTAGATTTGTAGCTCCGATACGGAGCTCTTACCTTCTTAGGGCGACTTTTGTTGGCTATTTTTGGAGCAAGTTTGAAGTCAACGAAGCAAGGGGCAGGATCAAACTTATCGTGCGTATGTGTGTTTGTGCCAAGCGACAACAAAATTTGTCAAAAGTGTAGATCCCATTTCTTTAGATCTGGGTATGCATTACATTATTTAGTAATCACACATTCAGACACGCTGCACGTGATTAGAAGAGCAAAGGAGTTACAAAACCAAACAGCTGGCACTCAACTTTCTCGACTTTGTTAAAAAATAGCGGCAAGCGTGTTACTATCCCGCTTTACCAAAGCAAAACCTTATCAAATGTCGAGTCATGACCATCAGTATCCGCCCTATAAAGTAGTCGTTCTTGGTGAATCATCGGTGGGCAAAACCTCGCTAGTTCACAGATTTACGTCGAATCGTTTTGATACCCGAACATCCAACACCATAGGAGCGGCTTTCACCACTAAAGTACACTGTTCGCCCAATAACCCAGAGAGGAAAATCAACCTTGAGATATGGGATACTGCGGGGCAAGAAAGATACCGGTCACTTACGCCGATGTATTACAGAAATGCAAAAACAGCTTTGGTTTGTTTTGATTTGAATAATGTGGAGGCAACTTTGGAAACAGCCAAATTTTGGATACAACAATTAGAATTAAACAATACCTCTTTTACAGAGAGTGGAATAGAGATACGGCTTGTTGGAACAAAGGCAGATTTGTTAAAGGGGGATAAGAAAGGGTTGGAAAGTCAAGTTCAAGAGTTCTTGCTGCAGCACAAGTTAATCGCCACTTATTACGAGACAAGCTCAAAACTAAACGAGGGTATTACTCCATTGTTTACAAGTATAGTGGAGAATGTCAGTGACGAGTATATTCGACTGTTTTACGAAAATTTAAGTGATGACAATGACATCAAAAATTTGCTTGGCTCAAAACAGATGTCTAGCTGTTGCTGAGTCAAAAATATGGAAGCTGTGGGGTTATGTGTCAGTGTGTACTTGTGTGTGTGTAGGAGCGGCGTGAAGAGTGGACATTAAGGGCAATCGCTATTGCACATTTTGCATCGAACGTAGTACTACCAAAATTTGGTGCATTTTTATTTTTTTTCTTTTTTTTTTTTTTTCTTTTTTTTTTCTGTCATATTTTTTCTTAGTGTTGACAAACCGCCCATCCAGAAGGATAGAGTCAAGTGTTATGGGCACCAAACGCCAGCGGGATAAGAGCAATAGCAAAGGGGATCGAAAGAGGCTTAAGAGTCTGAATGAAAGAATACCTGCCACAAGTTCGCGCAAACGGGAAAACGAATATGGGAAGCTTCCACATCTGGGGGATGAGTCTGATTCCGGCTACATTTATGATTACAATAGAGTTCCGTCTCCGGAAAAGGAAGTGGTATTGGTAGATAGCGACATCGAAGAAGACAACAACAGCGGTGACAATAAACACAACCCTGATACAAAGCAAAAAGCCGAAGACAATGCTACTGAGGGAAATGAATTGACAACTAACCAAGATTTCATTCAGTTCGGTTTTCTGTCTTCAGATGAAGAAGATGACAATGAGGTCAACTATCAAGAGAATAAGGCTCTGCCTGCTAATGGACAGCCATTGGAATCGAACTCCCTTTATCCGTGGATAAAAGACCACGACCATTCAACGCAGAAGGAGATTGCAGATTGGCTTACAATGGAAATGAAGGACTTTGTCAGTTACATATCCCCGTCAAGGTCAGAAATCATAACTCGAAACGATGTTATAAATACATTAAAGAAGGAAATAGCTTCCTTCTGGCCAGGGACCGAAGCGCATGTTTTTGGCTCTTGCGCAACAGACTTGTATCTTCCAGGTTCGGATATTGATATGGTGGTCATCTCCGCTACTGGTGATTATGAAAACAGGTCTAGATTATACCAATTATCATCATTTCTTAGAGCAAAGAATTTGGCCAAAAATGTGGAGGTCATAGCTAGTGCCAAGGTGCCCATAATCAAATTCGTTGACCCCGGGTCAAATCTACCCATTGATATATCATTTGAGCGTACAAATGGTTTAGATGCTGCGAGACGAATACGAAAGTGGCTTATCTCGACACCCGGGTTACGGGAGTTAGTGTTGATAGTAAAGCAATTTTTGAGGTCCAGAAAATTAAACAATGTGCATGTTGGAGGTCTTGGAGGCTATGCAACAATCATTATGTGCTATCACTTTATGCAATTGCATCCAAAGATTTCCACAGATACCATGAATGCGCCAGATAATCTTGGGGTTTTGCTAATAGAATTTTTTGAACTTTATGGACGCAATTTTTCTTACGATAATCTTATACTTTCAATTGATCGGGAAACGCAATTGCCACGCTATTTGCTAAAGGGAAAACACCCGGCTTTAAACACCGCAAGAAACACTTTTTCAATTGTGATACAAGACCCGGCTGATGCAAGTAACAATATAACTCGGTCCTCCTATAATCTTCGTGATTTGAAAAAGGCATTTGGTGGTGCTTATCAACTTCTTGTTGCAAAGTGTTATGAATTGAATGCTGCTCCGTATAGGGAGAGATTGGGTCAACTGATTTTAGGTGACATAATCAAATTCAATGGTAAACAGAGAAACTTTGTTGACGAGAGGCATTTGGTTCAAAATGACGCTCTTATTCAGCACGAAGAAGAGAAAGAACTGGTCTCGCTTGATGGTGTAGGGAATAATGGGCCAGAGGGGAACGACAAATACTACTTTTCTGACATGACGGTGGAAAGCGAGGATGAATACACCCCGTTACCGAAGAATCCCAGTACAGTTCAAAAGCAAACACCATTGACAAATAAAGCCAAAGATACCAAAAAACTCGTTGAGTCGTACTTGAGCTTGGAGTCGTCTCCTGAGAATCAAGAGGAACTTTTGAGCAAGTCCCCTCCTCCGAAACCAAGGCTACCGAAAAAGCCGAGTATCGATAAGGATTTCAAGAGAGACTACTGGAGACTGAAGGGTCTAGATTTGTGATGGTCCGTTGACTTTGCATTCTATATCAACTCTATTTGTACTCATGTGTGTCCCCCGCCTATGGTATATACTAAAACTACACATAGTGAAATAAATGTCAAAGCAAGTAAGCTAGATCTGATGGTGGTGTATTTTTCCAAAATGAGGTCCAACGTGATTGTGACATATATTGCAACTTTCAAAACAGTCTGGGAAAAGTGTGGGGAGTACAATGACAAGTACTCTAACAACAAAAGCTCGACGCTGTAAAGCGGCAATGTCGCACTACGAGGTAGTGTGGATGTATTTCTGGCCAGCTTGAGCTTGTAGTCTAATAGTGGCATAGGCTGAGGCTCAAATTCTTCCTCCGTTAAATTCAAATGATCTGTCTCATTCTCCTTTTCGTACTCCAAATCCTCCTCCTCCTCCTCCTCGGCATCGGAAGACTCTCTAATCGATTGGTTTCTCGGATGGCCAGGTTGATATAAAGCAAGCTCTTCAGTGTTTGACAATTTTGATCCCGGTCTTTTAACTTTTTCTTCTGAAGTTGCTTCGATGAACCTTTTCCATTTGATATCATTTAAAAATACAAGCACGTCTTTTGTACTCATTCTTATAATGTCGCCAGTGTTATCTTGTGTATCACCCTTGATCATGTCATAAATCAATAGCTTGAAGTCCGACATGCAGTTATCCATGGCCCTTTTTCTCCTATTCAAGGTGTCCTCAAACCATGCACCAAAAGTCTCATATGAGAGAGACGTATACCAAGACTGGATCTTTCTTCTTGACACATCAGGGTCTACTTCACCTTTTATTAAATCTGCAAATGGCAAAGTTCCGAGGCATAAGTAACAAAGTATCAACCCTAATGAATATACATCACTCTCGTAAGAAAACTCGTTTATAAATCGGCTATCATTCGAACAAACCCACAACTCAGGTGCAGTGAATTCCAAGGTACCTGTATTGCCTTCCCTATTACTTACATTTCTTAATCCTGTGTTCTTGTGTTTGTCTGTGAATTTTCCTTCGCCGAAATCGGATACTAGAATTCTCGGCAACTCAAACACCTTTTCTTCAAACAGTTCAATGGTTTCAAAAATTTGCGGTAGCTCGGTTGGATGGTATCTCAGTTCTGCTAAACAGTTTGATGGCTTCAAGTCTCGGTGTAGAATACCATTCTTGTGCAAATAATTTACTCCATTGGCGATATCATGAAAAAACTTCCAAATTTCAAAGTTGGATAGCCATGCATGTTCCTCCTCTTGCTCCTTTCCCAATTTTTGCAATTTTCGTCGCTTCTTCTCCAACTTGACTTTATCTGCATAGCTCATACTCTCCTCCAATGGGAAGTTCTCCTCAATAATACCTTCGAGATGTCCGCCATCGCAGTATTGCTGTAAAATAAACATGTATGGAACTTTTTGAGAGCCCTTAGGGTCCAGAGGATCAGCCAGTAGAAAGTACGAGCTCAGGTCTTCCAAGTCCCCCAACTCCAACCAGACATGATTGTAGCGAATCAAGTTGTTTTCCCCATCACTCTTTGCAGATAGCTCGTACAATATTAGTACCTCGTTCAAAACCTGTTCTAGCTGTTGAAGTTTATCGCCGACGCTTATCCTCTTCACAGCAAATGTCCCCAATACAATATCATTGAATACATGTTCCACTTTATACACTTGAGCTCGGGCTCCAGACCCTAATGGATTTCGGCCAACCTTCCTGAAGAATTTCTGAAAGTAACCCTGGTTGAATATTCCCGAGGGGATTCCTTTAGTGCTGGTCCTCTTTCCCTCCCCCTCCTTAGAGTACGGAATTTGCGACAACAATTTGAAGTAGTCAGTGCGCATGTATGGCTTCGTGTATGACGATATAAAGTCCTTTATTTTGGTTGCGCTAGGAATTGCTTGCGCTCCTACTGAACTCTTTCGTCTTGAATTTCTGGTCTCAAATTGATCCCACGTGAAACCACAGCTGGGGCATCTTATGGAATCTGCCTTTTCGCCGAAGGATGGAAATCGTTTAGGGTCAAATTCGTTGGATCCTGATCTTGTTCTGAATTGGGGGCCATCTTCCTCTTCAGTGGAGAGCAATTGAATGGAATTCTCCTCGGTGTCATGTAGGATGAGAATGCCGTCATTGGGGTTGTGATACAAAATGTCATTGTTCGGGTTGTACGGAACGATAGACATCGGGATTCAATAGTTCTTAGAAGAAATAATCTGAAAATTGTATGCGGTTTTGGGGTTGATATGATGATAATTGATTCTATAATGAATGTTGTTTTCTGGTGGTTAGTTTGGTACGCATTTATTTTGTGCAACTAGTTTCATCAAGTACATACACTACAAACAATTCAATTAGAACCAAGTACGCCAATCACATCATTTTGCTGTACCTAATTCAATTGTCTTAATCTTACCATAAATTGCAATAAGTCAGATTCTAACTCATACTTTTGCTCAGGAGTGATTGTGCTTAACTCGCGGTCCGTTTTCTCAGATAAAAGTTTCACCAAGTCTGGAGCTGTCAATAGCGGCGGTTCAGATGATTCGTCACCCTCAATTATTTCCTTCTGAGCCATCACATCAATATGATTTTGAACTGTTGTAAAATCCTCCGCCAAGACCTGTACATCACCAGAATCTCTCTCAATCATGTTGTCATTCCCGTCAATCAAGTTTTCAATAGCCATAGTATTCTTTGGTACAGCGTTTTTATGCACACCATCCATCTTCTCCGCGTTAGCAAGTTCACCAACAGTTTTCTCCTTGCTTCTGCTGTCGTTAAGCAATCTTTGTGTCACTTGGTGACTACATAACGGCAACTTGGAAAAATCGACCAACTTCTGCAAGAAGCTAATGTCCATATGTAAATACTTGCTGCAGCCAGAACCCAATATATCAATGAGCAAGTAGTCGCAGCCCCCTTGTAGACTCTTGAATCTGAGGTACATTTCTAGGAGTTGAGAGCATTCTTGAAGTGCAGAGCCATCAAGCCTGATGACCAAATCAAAGAGGTGCCCACTAAGCAAAAACAACTCACTAGCAAAGTCATTCTTGGTCACAAATGCCAACGTTTGAACTAGTGAACCCTCAAAACGACGTGATATCACCCCTGCCACAAAATGATGTATTGATTTGGAAGGTGCATTGCGCAACAATAATAGGACGTACTCACAAACGTGTGTCGCCCATTCGTCAATGTGTAGCACAGACAAACACTTGCAAATTTCGCTTGAGTTGGGATTTGCAACAATTGACTGGATTATCTTTTTCAAGAAAAATTCAAAGTTGACCGTAATCTTTTTGCAAATGATGCTGTAAAACTTTAAATCAATTGTGTTCAGGAGGATGCTTGACTTGTTCAAAAACTCTGTAAAGATTTGTAGTATATCGTCGGACACTGTGGGTAAATTCAAAACATCGGTGACAAGCATTAGAGCCTTGGTGTGAGTTAGTGACTGCAAGATAAGTTTTAAAATAGTAGCTTTTCCTTCGGTTGCTAAAGCGTTTGTGGCTTCAATAACTGGCACATACACATTAATGTCGTTGTCATATCCATCACAACCAAAATCTCTATTGATCAATAAGGACGGGTTGAATGTATCGTGCATTGCAACAATAATTCTCATGAGTGCTTCTGAACTCAAATGCTGGGTTCTTAAAAGCTTTTGCAACAACAACGGAAGATTGTCAATCAAATCATAAGTGATGGGTGACGGATTTTGTTCTTTTTTCACAACCACTCTCACCTTACTCAAAAATGAAAAGAAAAGGCTCAATTTTTGTTCAAATTTGATGGAATCCAATTGATATAGTAAAATCATTGGTTCCATGATTTTGTCAAAATGTGTATGAACAAATCTGGCAGGGAGTGTGTTGACTTGATCGAGACTCATGGCTTCATTTGATAACACCCGTAGCTCGTTAAAATCTTTCTCCGTATGCGGTATTGATGATTTGAGGAGCGCAGTCATAACTTCCCAAGCTAATCGATGGACATGAGCATTTAGCCCCTTTCGAAGGTAAAATCTTTTCAATATTGGTTGTACAATTTTGTCCCACAAAAGTGGCAAGTACTTGGTCCACAGCTTTAGAATCGAGGGTCCAAGAATGAGGTGTATTTCAATTAGAAAAATATTGTGGATTGAATCGGTCACCTCCATCGAAAAATCCTTGGAAGTATGAGCGTTGAAAACATGTATTAAGGCTTCCACTTTTGACCGCAATGCGCCGGTAGCGATAGTCTTCTCGTCTCCTGAAGCCAGGAATTGAGTACTGTCAATAGCTTTGCGGAAATCAGCCAAACCGTTTTTGCATAAGTTGAAGCAAATAGCTCTGTAACATGATATGGCCAACGCAGTTGCTTGGTGTCCCATGCTGAAACAACAACCTGGAACAGTAAGCCACAAATTTAAATCAGTGCATTTCTCAAATTTCTCTCCGCCAGCCAATAATGTCAACCCCATCCACATGTCCATGGCTAGTTTGCTATCAGCGAGTAATAGCTCTCTCAACTTGTGAACAACAAACTCACTAAGTCTTGCATTTTCTAACCGTTCTATATTTCCAGAAAATTCTTGAGCTGGAATAAACAACTTCACATTGTCAGTTACTGGCAGCAAAAATTGGTTTGAAACAAATTCGTGGACATCACTGTTGTCCAAAAAGCACTTTGCTGCTTCTAATAAACAATAAACACCAACGCTAATGGACTTAATGTAGACTGGGTGGTTCATATTGAGCAAACTTAGCATCAATGGCACCAACCAACTATCAATGCTCTTAGCCATAAATTCGGGGAAATTCAAAACATAGTTCTTTAAGCAACAAAGTCTCTCTGTTACCAAAGATGCACTTGGGAAGCTTTTAAAATTGAGGACTGCAAATAACATTTTCCCAAGGACTTCCTGGTTATGGAATAATTCCCTTCGTCGGCTTGCATTCAATTTACAATCCTTGATTATGGACAAATACGGCGAGATGGCTGCTTTAGATATGGTGGGGTGCACAAGACTTGTGGAAGCAAGTTCGTATATCGAAAATATTGTCTCCATCGATACAGAGTTGTTCAAGTCCTCATGCGACATGATCTGACTGAGAAGCTTTAAAGACTGTGTCAAAGTACGTATCTTAAAGGGGTCACATTTAGCCTGGTCCTGGTTTTCTTTGTTCGATGCTGAATTGTAAATCTCCTCCTCACTTTTCTGAATGTCTATGATGATCTGCGTCACAAGCGGTCTCAAGGTGCTCTCACTCTCTTTAGTAAACAGACGAACCACCAGTACTGTATTTGCTCTGAAAATGCTATTCAACGATCCGTACACCTCAAACCGCCTGTTGAAATTTTCGTCACTCAAAACCGATAAGCATCCTGCCACGAGTGTTGAAAGACCCTCAGAGCCTAGCGGAGCCTGCACTATAGTGCCCGGAAGCCAAAACTCTGCGTATTTAGAGTCAGCCCAATGTAGGGCATCAGTAGTACGTGGTCCTCCGTTTGGAATATTGACATTAGAGGGTTTTAAAATAGATCGCATCGGTGTACTGCACCTGTCTGGCGTGCTTGGAAGATCAGAAACCAAATCGTCCGAAAACAACACAGTTTTTCTGCTTTTTGGGGTGCATTTCTGTTTAGTCGGAGTTAGGTCTTGCTGGGTACTGAGTTTCTTTATTGGAGATGAATTGAGCTCCACTGATGGTGACTTTTCTCGCGATGATCTGTTCTTTCTGTTGGATCGCCTTTTCGCACCTAGTGGCAGGCTATTTTGCTTCTTGGGGGAACTATTACGCGCTTTTGCTGTCCGAGTTGATCTTCGAACCGGTGCCATTCCTATAGCAGTGAAAGTAGTAGTCTTATTGAAAATGACTGCAACAACCTCTTTCCAATGTAGAAAGCTGGTTTTAGTAAAGCCACGCGAAAAAAAAAAAAAAAAAAAACAAAATTAACTGTAGGACTATCGCGCGACACCTCTATTGAGCGCGTTTATATGAGAAAAAAAAAAAATAACGCGTGAAGAGAAAGTGTTGCAGTTGCAAAGAGTCCAGAGAAATTTGCTAGTCAGCGCTTCCTACAACGATTTAATAGAACTGCATTCTTTATTGGCTTGTGTCGTATCAGTACATAAATCTATCAAGTTTCTGCTTTTCTCTTCCACCTAAGTAGTTTCCAAGCGTATGCGGACCTCTTGTTCTTCAAGTCTTCATTCTCTTCCTTCTCCAACTCCGTTTCTATCTCTTCAAGTTCTAATGCCGCTTTTTCGGCGTCATATTTGGCTGTTTGCTCTAATTTGGTCAATCCCCTCTCGGTCCGCATTTTTTTAGACACTTGTGGAGTAACATAGGTGTTGAAGCTTCTCTTATTTTTGTAGGGGTACAACTTTTTGAATTCGTCTTCTCGTGTGTCTAGTTCTTGAGGCTGCAAAAGTTTGTCGGTGAAAAAGCCTTGATTTTTGTCGTCTTTTCCATGAAGTAACCATTTCCACCATACTTTTTCATCAATACTTAGATGCAAAAACAAAAATGGCAAAGAAGGGTCAATCTTCTTCAATAGTGAGGGTAAGTCCTTTTTGATTTCCTGGTAAATCTTGACAGTGCTAATGACTGGAAGGTCCTCTGTGATATGTTTTGTGGTCACCGGAGCGCCAATGCTTTTCATGAATTCACTTTTGTTTGTCGGAGTCAACGCAGTGTACAACACCGCCAAGATATAAATCATCAAAAGATACTGCACTCTCACTTTCGAGAGTTCCAATTGATGATAAATAAATTTGTAATCTGCATTTTGGGTTTCATCAGACTTTGGCCCCTTTTCAAAGTTAGATTCAAGGTAAGATTCTGGAACGAAGACGCGGCGGAGATACTTCAGTCGCAAGTACTCACGTTCTGATTCTGACTTTGACCCAGTAAAGGAGAACTGATCAGGGAGGGGATTCTTTTCCCTAAAACGCAGCTCTTCCTCTACTAGCTGGCCGTAAACTCTGTACAATTTTTCCGTCAATTTACTATGTTCCAACACACTGCTCTTCTTGAGGTAAAACAATGGATTGTTGAACATTTTTTGAATACTCAAAACATCACTGATAAACACATCTTTGGTTTCAATACTAGGAGGCGTCGCGTTGTGTATATGAAAGTACTTGTTGAGACCCGTATTATCATCAATCGCTAATAAAGCATTCATAAAAATTCGTACTCGAGACTGGAATCTATCATTAAAAGTATCCTTCAATGTCGTATCGGCTTGCCATCCTGTGGTCAGAGTGTCGTATTTGTTAGTTAACGAATTTCCAAGCAGAAGAATTGCGATTCGTTCACTGAAACTGTTTTCAAATAATCGAGCTTGGATTATCGGTAATCTTGCTTCCACTAGCAACCAGAGAGATTCAACGAGGGACGTGGATATTGAAAATAAATGGTTCAGAGCCACTTCCAAACAATAGTAGAATGTAGTCTTTGCTGTCTTATCCACCTCAATGGCGAGCCACAACAAGTAGTCTAATACGAATGCAATTGTATTCACCAATGGGGTATCCCTATTATCAACGTATTGATCAAGAAGAGCCAATAACACCTTTTGAAAGCTTGTATTTAAAACGGACTCCTTTATCTTGGCAGAAACAACCTCGTTGAACTTCTTGACCTCTTCATCTTCGAGCTCTTCTGAGGTATTAAACTTGAATTGAGAGTTGTCGAGTGCTAGCAGGTCAACTGTTGCACTCTTGTACTCTGCGAATACGTCTCCATCGAATTCATCATACCCTTCCGGTTTCTTCTCTATAGCTGAGTCTATGAGCTGTACGAGACGCGTCACTTGCGCACTCAATGCTTGATCCATGCTTTCTGTAAGTTGTAGTCTCCCTATCTTGAACGATGGATCTTTTCTCAAACAGCAAAAGAGGAATAAAAGAAAAAAAAATTAGAAAAAATAAAAAATAAAAAAATAAAAATTAAGGAGGAGGAAACACCACCAACAAAGCGAATTATGTTGCAAAGTCGATTGCCACCATCTTTTAGGATACAGATCAGCAGTCTCAGGTACCTGTGTTACCGGCTTTACTCCAACTCACTGGAAATTGCTCAGTCAAAAGAATGGCTAGATACCTTTGATAGCTCGCAGATTCCAAGACATTTGTTCAGCATTTCCTACAGTAGATCTTCGGGACCGGGAGGCCAAAAAGTCAATAAAACATCCTCAAAAGCGACTGTAGCTTTGGGCGAGGGCGAATGGCTACAAAGCTCAACGAGCTATTGGATACCTTCACCCATACGACAACAACTTCAAGAAAACCCAATACGTTACGAGACGAAATCCAAAGGACTACTAATTCAGTGCGATACGAGTAGAAGCAGAGACCAAAACACTGAGGAATGCTTTTCGAGGCTATTGGCGGAAATCAAGTCAAAAGTGTACTTTCCGGGGGAGGTCAAGGAAGAAGACAAAGCTAAATGGGTTCAATTGGAGGCAGATTTCAAGGAACGAAAAAAGTTTAATAAACAGAAACAATCTGAAAAGAAACGAAACCGGGTTAAAAAGTTTGATTTATGAGTGGAAATTCTAAATACTTGATAACACCTTGGTGGCATCTGACACATCAACTGAGGTGTTGTCTGGTTCAACAAAAGTTTGCTTGATTTTACCATCTTCGACCAATAAAGCGTATCTCTTTGATCTCTCGTTACCAAACACTTTGCTAGCATCAAACAACAAGTCAAGCCCTCTAGTAAAATCCCCAGTGCTGTCTGCCAAAAAACGGACTTGGGCACCATTTTTCAATAATCCCTCTCCCCAAGCTTTAGTGACAAATGGATCATTGACAGCTAATACAAAAATGTTGTCAATGCCCTTGCTCTTGAACTTATTTGCGTTCTCAATATAGCCAGGAATATGCTTCTGTGAACACCCAGGACTAAATGCACCTGGAACCCCAACAAGTAAAGATTTACCTTTCCCAGTTTCTTGAGCCAAATCGACGTCATTTCCAGGCGAGCCTTCAAAAACGCTTGTGCTTGGAATTGAGTCACCAACTGCTGCATAAAATCTATAAGATTGCCTTAAATGGAAAGGAGATTGTCTAATAACGGGCCTGAAGAGGTGTTGCATGATATTAGTCTGTAGTTGTAGATGTGCAATTAAAAGAAGGCAGCGATACTTAAAATGATTGCTGTGGCGAAAAGTTCCCTCTTTTGATGCGTCGAAAGAGCCACATTTTTTACCTAATTGAGAGAATTTTCTCTTCTGAAGAGATTAATTGCACGCTATACCGAGTCAACAAGAGATGGCTACCATTGATAATCATCTGGGCCAAGACCAGATAACCAGAGATGATGCACTTAAACTATATACCAGTGCGCTCAATTTCAATGTAATCAGCCGCTACGATCCCGCAATAAGCCAATTGGTATGTCATACATCTCACTGTGTGCTTTACAAATTCAACGAGGAGTCCGAAGAGTGGGTCAAAACAGATTACCAAGGTGCTTTGGCATTGTATGAAAGAAGCGCTAAAAACGAATCCGAGATAGAGAAACCTTCTGAATCTCCACCGCAACAAGAGTTCAAGTACGGCATCATAATATTGAATCGTTCCAACCCCGAATGCTTCTCCTTGGGAATTTTACCTGAATCTGGAATGGAAGTAGAGCTAAATGATAATCTAATTATTGTTCGAAGCCTTGTTGGAGAGATATATGGTTTGTGGTTGTTTAATGAGGAGGAGAGAGACTCATTATATAACACGATAAGGTATCTAGTTTAATAAATTAGAAGGGAGGAAGCGCCAGCAGTTACCTTCAACTATGAAATAGTCCCAGAAACATTATCCGTAATCTAGCTGTACTTTTGAATACAAACAAACAGCGTAGTCTTCAACATGTGGAGGAGGTATTTGAAAGCAGTACTGTGCTTAACCTGCATCACGTGTCATTCTTATTTTTCAAGCACAAGAAAAAAAAAAAAGAAAAACAAAAAAAAAAATAAAACCTTGCAAGACACAATAGCCATTGAGGACATTGTGGAGCATAAACTAAACTTTGGATCGTGTCAGTTAATGCTTAATCAAGTAATATGACCAATTTTGAAATCTCTAACAGTGTAGGCTCGACCATAGCAGCCAACAGAGGGTCTTTCAATTCGAGCCAAACTCCGCAGGCAGTGCTGAGTGTACCTCCCAAGAACCAAGTCTTACAAGAGAAACAACATCAACAACAACTGCAACAACTGCAACAACTGCAACAACTGCAGCTAAAGCAAAGGGTAAATCTTCGAAACTATCATTTTGCCTCGACTACGGAAGAAATACTACGAAAGTATGCAAAATATCCTGCGTCGTTAAGCTTACATATTTTTGACAATCACTACCGATTCAACAATTCCCAGGATTCTCAAATCATACCCAAAAATTCACCCATGATCAAAAGCTTTATGGACCATGTGTTGAAGGAGGAGATTCCAGTGGAGTTGAGTGAGTTGTTGAAGGATTTCTCGATCAAGTCTTATGATGGTTGTCTCATTTTGCAAGTGTATGACCATCGAAACATGGTTGAGACATCGAGTTTCAAAGCAAATGCGTCGCCTTCAAAGGATGCAAAACCTGCACCGATTATTGTGTCGAAACCAAGAACGTACAGGGTACTACTCAGGCCAACTCCACTATCACTCTACTATGATTTGTTGTACCATACAGATTCTGCATTGACGAAATTCACCGATACCTTATCATTGCAAATGGAATCCGAAATTTTGGCCTTGACTAATAGAGACTTGGATCTCTCTGTGAAGACCAATCCTTACCATTACGATTACTTGAAGCCTGATTTTGATGAGGAAGAAGGAAAGGCAGAAATCTCTCACAGAGCGGGTGTCGACGCTCCAGTCCGCAAGGTTCACCAAGACGAAATGGTGTTGCACAAATCTTCCGAGTACGAGGAATTAATGTTGTTGTTGTCCAATAGTAGCAGGCGGTTCGAACACACGCAGGATAAGAAATTGGTTGTTGTGCCCCCTGCAATGCCAAGCGCCGCATCCACACTGTCCATTACAGCCCCGCCTACTAAATCCAACAGCAAAGAAAACTCTGTTGCGGCTGATTCCAAGGGGAAGAGAAATGACAAAACCTCTAGCTCATCGGCGATTCCTACAACTGTTGCCATTTCTCTGAACCCGGTTAGGACTTCTGGTCAGTTTATGCGGTTGAGATTGATTGAAGAAATACGGAAGAAAAGGGAGATTGAAAAGAACCAACAAGAAGCCAAAATACAGGCACAAGCGAATTCAGTACAAAGTGAGATGTTAGCGCAGTCTGGTGCAATCCCTGGCTCAGGTCCTGCCCCTATTGAGTCACCATTTCCATCAGCAAACAACTCAAATCAGCCTCCTATGGATGCTCAAATTGGTAACAAGCGGCAACAATCTAAGTTGCCTCCAGCCGGTAAACGAGCTAGAAAGGATACGATACAGAATCAAGTGGCTGGTGCAAATGCTGCCAATCATGCCGTTCCTCATGGTCCACCGGGCTCTCAAATTCCATTTCCACCATCAAGTTCCAATTCGCAAGTGCTGTCAATGAATAATACACCTCTAATGGGAAACCCCAATGTGCCACAACAGCCAAATATCAACCAAGTCCCTACTCCCCAGCAAATGCCAATGAACACTCCACACATGGGTCAGGGCCCATTACCGAACGCATCCTTTCCTCATGCTTCTGGTGCAAGTCAAGGGATACAGGGACCGCCTCCGCCACAATTACAACATGCGCCACAACAGCCATCATTGCAGCAACAGCAACATCAACAAATTTTCCAAAGCTCGTTGACTCCGGAGGAACAACAAGTGTATAAACAAATTCAGCTGAAGATGAATGCGTTGGCAATTATGAGTCAGCGGGGAGTTGCTCCAAATGGCCAACAATTGACTCCCCAACATAAACAACAGGCAATGCAGCAAGTTAAAGTTTTGCAGCAGCAATTGTTGCAAAAGTTTCCCGTGTACTTTCAAAGGTTGAAGCAGTTCCAGCTTTATCAAAAGCAAAAGCAACTACAGCAACAGCAACAGCAACAGCAGCAGCAACAAGTAGCAGCTGGTACAAGTGTTGGTGGAAGCGGGAGCCCAAACTTGAATGGGCAGTTTAACAACAACATGATGCTACCCCAACAACAACAGCAGTACATGAATCAGTTACCACAGACCGGAGTACCGCCTATGCACAATTCTCAACTGGTAAACACCGCCGCAGCGTCCGCGCAGCAGTCCGGTGGACCAGAACCCAAAAAGAAAAGAGTTTATAAGAAAAAAACGGCAAAGTGATTCAATGGTGTGTTGTTGTTTCACGGCTATGTATGCCCTAACATATCTATCGGGGGCAAGTGAATACGTTACATAGTCGTTAGAGAATTGACACACTCGTAAAAACACTTTGAATACAAACTAAAACTACCCTAAGACGCATATAGATTAACCGACACCAAAAACAAAATAAAACAAAATAAAATAAAATAAAATAAAAAGGCCCGCAACCAATAACCCACAAAAAAATATCTTGACACCAGGTCAAAACAAACTTAAAGCCTACCTATAAAAAAAAATAATGAAAAATATAGCTTCGCAATAAACCAATGCATTCCTATTCCTCCTCCAAGGTTGCACCGTAAATACCGAGTGCTGTGATTGTAGCACCGACGTAAAACAATCCCTTTGCCACTTCTTTAACAATGCCCTTCAATTTTGAGTTTTCACTGGCTGATCTCTTGCGAGGTGGCATTGCAACCTTGTCTTCATTACCATTGCTCGATCCACTTCCGGGGTTATCTTCTTCTTCTCCTTCGCTCATTTCATCGTGTGATCTCTTCCTACTGCTTGGCAAACCCTCTTTTGTCAACACTTCATTCCGTTTGCGACTGGAAGAAGCAACTTCGGCTTTTGTAAACAAGCCATTCGCAACCACAGCTCTGTCTTTGCTCTTATCACCATATTCAGATCCTGCAGCAACACGTTCTGCATATTCCCGCGCTTTCTTCATTACCAAGGGGTCCAATTGTGGCTTGTCGCAATAACAATCTTCTGGATCGGAACATACACAAAGATTTACAAAATCAACCCCACTCTTCTCCAAATAGTCGCAAGTGTCACAATTACACTCAGCATACTTCAAACTTGTACTTGAACGTCCGTCCAGGTGGCCAACCTTATCTTTATCACAAATTCCCAAATTCAACCACTGCTTCTTGCCACAATAGCAACCCTCTAGATCTGAACAGACGCAAATGGACTCTTCCTCCAGATCAATCACCTGCAAGTCAAAATCCAATGATTGGCTATTCTCCTCCCAATCTGAGCTCCAATGCGAATGGTTCGAATCACTTTGAGAAATAGCGTCATCAAAGTCACAACCTGACTTTCCAACTCCATCAACTACATCAGCATCAGAGCTATTGCCATCACTCTCGTCGCATTCAACATCATCATGATCAACAAAATGGGCTAAATCGTAAGGGTCATGTTCCTTGTCCGAAACTTCAATTGATGAAGGGCTCTTTGAAACCAAATTGTCCGAGTGACGCAATGCTGAATCAACCATTACATGCTTGTCGTCTGGCATTGTATTGTCTGTGTTAGCGACCCCTTCTCTCTTGTCATGGTTGTCCTTTTCTGAATATTCACTCTCTACATCGCTACCTTCATAGACAATATCTGATTCGCTCGGCGGTCCGTCTTCTTCGAGGGCATCGTCATCATTTGAAACCAAACTGATGTATTCTTTACTGCCTTCTCTCAAATTATCCTTTTTCAAAGTATCATCTTTGTTTTGGCAGTGATACGACCCATTTTGATTCTCCATTGTCTGCAAGGCATTTTCTTCCTTGCTGCCCTCAGTTGGTTCACTCAATGAAGATTCCTGAAACGTTGGCAAAGGCTCATCTTCATCCTTGGTTAATAGTTTGTCACTTTCATTCTCCTTATCAAGGTCAATGACGATCGAGGCTAATTTCTTCGTCTTCTTCTTCTTCTCTTGTGCTTCGTTACAATCCTCATCGTCACTTTTTTCTCCTGACTCAGCATCATTCACTGCGGATTCGGTATTGTCAAAGGTTGAAATATTTGTTACTGAATCTTCGATTGTAAAGTCACTACCACGGCCAGTCTCTTCTGAGCTACTCGGAACCAATTTGAGCACCGAGTTGTTTATGACAACTTCAAACTGCATACTAACTTTTGGCAGGTCAAATTCAGCAAGGGGAATACTTTTGTGTTCCCAATCAGAATCAAATGCTTTGAACACCTCCTTGATTTTTGATGAAGGTTTGGATAAGATAAATCCCAAAGTATCCTTGTTCTTCAACTGATGTCTCACGTTGTGTTTGATTACGGAGTCATTGATGATGGTTCCAAAGGTGGAGTTGGTATCTTCAATAGTGTATCCGTCATTTTTGTCGTACCTTACTGTGGCGTGTTGCTTAGATAAGTGCTTGTTCTTGAAAAACAAGTTGGTGATAGTTGCCACACGGTCTCCGCCTCTACTAGAAACTCTTTTGACATGAGCTTCCTCTCCGTCTTGTAACACTAAGATTCGTTCATTTGTAAGCATCTTGGGAGGCAAAAGCAGATAAAGTAATGAATATGAGGTAGCGTATTTCCGTAAACCCTCTGTGCTGTGTGGGTCAATTCAGACACACCCTTTCTTTCGTTGCAATCGATTTAAAGGGCTAAATGTGTGTGTGTGTGTGTGTGTGTGTGTGTGTGTGTATATGATAGACGCTGGTTGTAGCTTGTGGTTACAGAGTAAGAGGAGAAGAATAAGGAAAAAAAGAAGGAGGAAGGGAGAAAAGTAGGAGATTAGATAAAAGAGAGAAGGAAACATCAATGAGGGAGGAGCAACAGAATCTTACACAAAAACTAAAAATGGTTTTCTTTATCTATAAAAGAATAGTTTGTATATACACAACAATGTGCTAGGGTATATACCATATACCATAAATGTATCTACATGTATCTACATGTATCTACATGTGTCTACATTGATTGTTGTGTACTTGTGGGTTGAACATAATACATCTGACCAATCCATTCTTAACAACAACAAGAGTTTGAAAATACAACTACACAATAATAGATCGTAAACAGTAGTATTTCATTCTTGCTTCTAGCTTCAAACCACCATACAAGTATCTCTACACTTCTACATTATAAACTGGATCATTCAACAAGTATACTTTTAATTAAAGTCTACTCAATTACCCACCAAGACTTAATACGTACTTCATTCAAGCAGACCAATAACAACATAAATTTAAACATTCCCCATCAATTATTCAAAATTTTCATCCTATTTACCACAGGTTCATGGGCAAACATGCACAATCCCAGAGTTAACGGCGTTCGAATTTGAAAGCAAAAAAAAAGCAGCCAGTAAGGACAGAGAACAAAACATACATCTCTAGCATGTGTTGCAAACTTCAAATCATTCAAATGTAATATTCAAGCAGTGAAAGTGGTATAGCTCGTGAAATGATTGTTTGCCTTTGAACAAAGCAAACTGATGCAAAGCATCCAAAAACAGGCTCCTTAAACACCAAGACTAAGACTTGGAACCACAAACCGTGAACAAAGACAATAGAAATCTCCTAGCAAGAAAGGAGTATTCATTGAATGATTGAAGTAGGTTCCCTTTCTTCTTTTTCATAAAAATTTGGGATTCTCTTGAGCTATTTATAGTGTGACAATTTCGGAACTCCTCGTAAATCTTTTTTATATGTTTTTTTTGGTTATGTTCTTTTGTACACTTTCAAGTGAAGAAACCAATTGCTGAAACGATAAAAGATTGAGTAAGCCACCAGAACCCTAGGTAAATTGTATTATTTTCCTTGAACTCATATTCATTCCTGCTCGAAATCCTAATGTTTTCAAGTGGTGTATATCCAGTGAATTAACAGTGCTGCTCTTTTTGAAAATGCTTTATATCGAGACACCAAGAAATTGGGCAAAACCCCGTGAGAGATCACATATAGACAAGACAAGAGGACATTGACAGTTTGCTTTTACTGACTCATTCCTTTATGTAGGAGCATACATTCATTTGCGGTGTTCGACTAGGTGGTAGCGCAGATTAGATCTCGATTAAAACCTCTCGTATGTGAAAGTCAGAGCCCTCTTTTCATCTCGCACACATTGACACAGCTCTCAAAGTGACTCTTGTTAACTTGCACCAGCCAATAATGACAGCAAGAGATTCACCGGGCTCTCAGCAGGTCCTCGACCATGAGAGCACTCGACGAACAGCAGACATGACTGACAAGATGAGACATGGGTTCGGTGAAGATTACAATTCAGAAAACTTCTTAAACACCCTCGCCAACACCTTTTACATCTATTTTGATGACAAAAGGCACAGTACCACGGGGAACCCTCTCACTAAGGAGATGAAAAACAACCCCAAGCATTTTAAAAACTTTCAACCTATCCACGACTGGAAAATCATGAAAGAAAGGCAAAAGACCATCAGTGCCGTGTTGGTGATGTGTCTCAATTTAGGTGTCGACCCTCCGGATGTCATGAAGACTTATCCATGTGCTAAACTCGAAGCGTGGTGTGACCCAACTACTTTCACCGACACCAAGAAAGCAATTGAAAATATTGGTAAGAACTTGCAAACACAATACGAAACACTTTCCCTACGAACTAGATACAAACAATCATTAGACCCTTGTGTGGAAGATGTAAAGAGATTTTGCAATACATTGAGACGCAATGCTAAAGACGAGAGGATCCTCTTTCATTACAATGGCCACGGTGTACCACAACCAACCACCAGTGGAGAAATTTGGGTTTTCAATCGTGGGTATACTCAATATATCCCTATATCACTTTATGACTTGCAAACCTGGCTAGGAGCTCCCGTTATTTTTGTGTATGACTGCAATAGTGCTGGAAATATCGTCCACAACTTTAAAAAATTTGTACAAAAGCGAATCGATGATGATAATGAAGGTAATCACGATGCCAGTGCACCCTCGTCAACGTCAGCTTATCTTGACTGCATTCAGTTAGCTGCGTGTAAAAGTAATGAACTATTGCCTATGAGTCCTGACCTTCCTGCCGATTTATTCACTTGTTGTTTAACATGTCCTATTGATATCAGTATAAAGTGGTTTATCATGCAAAGCTCGCTTAAGAAAAGCTACTATGATTCGCTACCCAAGAATCAAATTGGAAATGTCATTGTTCCAGGAAAGTTGACAGATCGAAGAACTCCACTAGGAGAGCTCAACTGGATATTCACTGCAATAACTGATACAATCGCGTGGACCTCCCTTTCAAGACCAATTTTCAAACGACTCTTTCGACAGGACTTGATGGTGGCTGCACTATTCAGAAACTTCTTACTAGCAAAGAGAATAATGCCCCATTTGAACTGCAATCCAATAAGTGACCCACCATTGCCAGACTCGGTGAAATATCATCCAATGTGGGACTCTTGGGACTTGGCTATTGATCAGGTACTTTCGCAATTGTTGAAAACGGGAACCGAGGAGCCTGTGAGTCAAAATGCTAGCCAGTCCCAACTATTGATAGCAAATGGCCTGGCAGCTGCTAATGGGAGCAGCAGCTCGCACCTGGTACCTCATGCAAATGGATCTTCATCAATCGTGCCCACAACACAAAGCTTAGGAAATTACCAGCATTCAACTTTTTTTGAGCAGCAATTGACTGCTTTTGAAATATGGCTAAAGTACGCAGGTCCGTCGACAAAAGAAGCGCCCGAACAGCTTCCAATAGTATTGCAAGTATTGCTATCTCAAGTCCACCGATTGAGGGCATTAATCTTACTTTCAAAGTTCCTTGATTTGGGTCCATGGGGAGTTTATCTATCTTTATCCATTGGCATTTTCCCGTATGTGTTGAAACTTTTGCAAAGTCCTGCTCAGGAATTGAAACCAGTATTGATATTCATATGGGCGAGGATAATGGCTATCGACTACAAGGGTACTCAGCAGGAGTTGTGCAAAGACAAGGGCTATAATTATTTTTATTTGATCTTGAATTCTTCACCACCAAACCAGGTAGGTGGTACTCACGGATCCGGAGGCTCTGCCTCGAGTGCCGCGATGTTAATTAACGACGATCATAAAGCAATGAGTGCATTTATTTTAACACTTTTCATAAAGGACTTCAAGAATGGCCAGAGACTTTGTTTCTCCAGTGAAGTTGTCACCAACTGCATACGCTTCATCCAAACAAGCGAAAATCCGTTGTTAAGACAATGGTGCAGCTTGTTACTTTCTCAATTGTGGAACAAGTACCCGGACGGGAAGTGGGTGGCGTACAAGGATGGTCATATAAATCAATTGCTGTTACTTATAAATGACCCTATCCCCGAAGTCCGTACATCTATTGTGCTTGCTATGACCAACTTTCTTTCTGATCCTGCTCCTCCACCATTTGGGCAACCTCAAAGTACACAACAAAAGCCATCACAGTACAGTTCGACTTCCGAGACCAGGAAAGACGAAATGAGACAGCAAGATTTGAAATTAGCTAACGTTGTATTGGGCCTCTTGGGTGATGGTTCTCCGATTGTGCGGAAAGAATTGGTGTTTTTCATCAACAAGTTCATCAAAGCATACTCCAAGTTCTTTTTGGTGGTTGCATTCAATCAATTGGAGGAGGAAATTGTACTTATTGATAACCCGAACAACTTGAATGATTTTAGAAAACGTTCCCCGGCATATGGCTCTATATTCAGCTCGATCTGGAAAGCGCTTTTGATATTGTCAGAAGACCCACACTGCGAGGTGAAGAATTTAGCTGAAGTTGTGATTGATTTTGTCATGGTGCATTTGAATAATAGTGAGTTGGGTCAGTTGGTTACGGAAATGCAAGGGTACTTGTTGAGTAAATCCACCCTCAATATAAGTGAAGCTTTTATATCCGGCACGCCTATTTTGAGTAAGCCCACTGTGGGTACTGTGGGTGAGAAAAGACAAGTGTCAAGTGCATCAATGGTTAATCGAAAGAATAGCTTACTCATAGATGGCTCTTCTTTGAAAACAAGAGCCGTTTCAGCAAAAGAACATCACTTGCCAGACACTAGATCTAACAATGAATCCATTACATCGAAAATTAAAAATATGTCCATGTCAAAATTGTTGAAAAGCTTGCATCTAAACGAAGAGTCGGACATGAAAGGATTCAGTCGTATATTGGCTTCAGGTCCAACTCCTAGTCGATATGGAGGCGAATATAAGCCTAAATCGGCATTTTACAAACCTCGGGATTTGACAGAACTACCCGAACTTCCAGCGGAGTCAGATTTCTTTGAATACAGTTGTGAGTACTTTCAAGAACCGCAAATGTCCAAAAATGAGGCTGACGAGCCGGGTTCCAGAGAGTATGTCAAGAGATTGTGGCGCAGGAATCGGAATGAACAGATAATTCAAGAAACTCAGCCACAGAAGGAGATGGCATTACGTGGGGATTGGAGTACAAACGTCAGAGTGTTGAACAACGTGTCGCAACCCAAATGTGTCAAGTTCACGCAATTTGAAAAGATTTTGGTTGCAAGCGATGAAAAGGATAATGTGACAGTTTGGGATTGGGGTCGTGGTAAGATTGTTAAGAAGTTTTCTAACGGGAACCCCTTTGGAACCAAAATTACGGATTTGAAATTTTTGAATGAAGATGATCAGCCTTTGTTATACACCGGCTCGTCTGATGGAGTGGTGAAGATTTATAAAAACTTTCACAATGATGAAAGTATTGACGGCGGTGACGATGAGGATGACGAATATGATCCATACAAAGGCAACAAGATTAATCAAAAGCATGGCTTCTTTGAAGAGAACGACAACGATGTATATACCAACAAGATAGAGTTGGTCACAGGCTGGAGAGCGCTAACAGACTTGCTCCTTACTGCAAAAAGCTCGGGTCTTGTTTCGGAGTGGCAACAATCGAGAGGTTCGCTCTTGGTAAGTGGTGACGTTAAAGTTATTCGTATTTGGGACGCGCCACGTGAATTGTGTCTACTGGATATACCTGCCAGGTCCTCGTCATCGATCACTAGCTTGACCTCTGACCAAGTCGCGGGTAACATCTTTGTTGCAGGATTCGACGACGGTAGCATCAGAGTGTACGACCAAAGGCTTGATGCGAGAGAGTCGATGGTACGAATGTGGAAGCAGTCAAGACAACCAAACGGGCAACCATTCCGCAACGTTGGACAAGGTTCTATAAAAAATATTCAAATGCAAAGAGGGGGTTACAGGGAATTGATCAGCGGTTCATCTGATGGGTTTGTCAACTTGTGGGATATAAGACTAAACGATCCAATATTGACCTACAATACACCCGGTAACCAAATCCGTAGCATTGATGTTCATGAACATGCACCCGTTTTAGCAACAGGCTCCAAATCGGTAAACATTTGGTCAACATCCGGTGAAGATTTGACAACTTTGAAAAATCCTTCTCATGAAAAGTACTTGACAACAAATCGAGGTATCAATTATCTTTCAAGTGTGACATTCCACCCGCATAGGATGATGCTTGCTACAAACTACACGCAGGATGCTAACATAAACATATATACTTGTACAGATGTAGTTAGTGAGTATTGAATTTTTTTTGGTGTGGTGGAGAGGCTCTCTATTCTGTAGACTTGAAAACGCTTTATTAGTAAACCGCAGTCGCAGAACCTTTCAGTGTTGTGAGACCATCCTAGTGGGCGAAGGGAAGCAGCGAAAGAAAAAAAAAAAAAAAAAAACAAAAAAGAAAAAAAAGAGAAAAGAGAAATTATTTGAGTGTGAGTGTGCGAATCGGGTAAAATCTACCGAGCAATGCAATTTGCGAAGAGTCACATTTTGCATTCAAGAGAAACGACACTTAAAGACACAGTACAACGTCAACGTTTCACTGATCAACGAAAATATCTAGTATTCACTGTTGAGAGAAACACTCTTGCTTGGCAGCCTCATACGTTCGGCAACACAGTTTTCAAATGTCACTATCATCTGAGTTAGCAGGAGGAATAGAAGACAACGAGTTGTCCTTTGGTGACAATAAAGACAAAATGCCAACCCATAGAAATGGGAAAGAGCAGAAGGTCGTCACGGACGAGAATATCTCAGTGTCCCAGAGAATGATCAGTGCTTGTTCCGGGAGTCTAATTACTTCATTGGTGGTGACGCCATTCGACGTAATACGAATCAGGATCCAACAGCAAGAAATTCTACCGCAGAATGAACCTTGTTGTCAAGTGCATTACCCTGAGCATTTCATGAAACAATTACCGAAACACGAAGCGGCAGCTCTTGCTAATTCACCCGAACTATTTTGGATACACAACAAGTACTGCAGTCCGGGAGCAGAGCAGTGTACGCGTATAACATCGACCTTTCAAGGATTTTCCACGATCACCAAGCACGAAGGAATTGCAACCCTATGGCGTGGGTTGTCGCTAACTTTGTTGATGGCGATACCATCAAATATCATCTACTTTACCGGATACGAATATATCCGTGATCATTCGCCATTTGGGAACTCGTCATTCAATCCATTGCTTTGTGGTGCATTAGCGCGTATGATGTCTGCAACATTTGTCGCCCCGGCTGAGTTGATCAAGACGCAATTGCAATCGATTCCAAGCGATTCTAGAAACTCGTCCCATGTATTGAGTCATCTCTTGAGAGATTCAATGGCGTTGGTGAAAAAGAATGGAGTGTTTACATTGTTTAAAGGTTTACAAATTACCCTCTGGAGAGATGTTCCCTTTTCCGGAATCTATTGGTCGTCGTATGAGGTGTGCAAAAAGCAAATTGCCCGTGCTTTAAAGACGGATTTCAACAACACCACTAGTGGAGGTGCCGATGATTGGAAAGTGTTTACGACATCGTTCTTGTCGGGATCTATATCCGGTGCGATTGCTGCCTTCTTCACCAACCCCTTTGATGTCGGAAAAACAAGGCTACAAATAACCATGGATGAAGGTGACATCAAACACAAGCACAAGCACAAGCCAAATATGTTCAAGTTTTTGGCAAACATTTACAAGAATGAAGGTGTTGGAGCGTTGTATTCGGGTTTCGGTCCAAGAGTGATGAAGATAGCTCCTGCGTGTGCCATCATGATTTCTTCGTATGAAGTTGGAAAGAAGCTTTTCAAGAACGGAAATGTTTCAAACGAGTAAAGAGAGATAGCATAAAAACATGTATATAAATTAACGAAATGATGCAGGATTTAATGTAGGCGTTGGCATTTCCCTCAACTCCAATGATCATCAAGAATCGAATTGCCTCTGAGGGGATCCTGGCGAAACTCATCTCCGTATTGTGAACTTTGTGACTGCAATGGGTAGATCTTGGAAAATGTGCGCCTAACACCAGAGTTTTGTTCTTGAGAAGGGAGTGATTGCGGATTTGGCTTTAATTGTTGAGTGCCATTTTCTTGATCAACGTGTATGCAAGGGTTTTTTTTACACTCAGCACAAGAAGATTGGGGTGTTGGTATATCGTAATTTTTCATCTTGATCTGGTCATTGTCAGTATAGATCTGGTGGACTTGAGGTGATTTTCTCTTCAATGCCAATCTCGATAATCTTGTTGGTGATGTGCGACCGAGGTCACTGTCCCTCAAAATGTGATTCTGATTTATGCCATTTGTTTCCCCACCCTGCTCCAACCCCAACCCATTCATGCAATGATTTTGTTCCAATGAATTCACACACTCCATAAAATCCTCGCAAACTTCGTTCAATTTACGTGACGTTGAGTGTAATGTGCAAACATAATCAATGATGCTCTCCTTCAAATCGTTGGCTATTGACCGCACAAATTGTTGTTCAACCACTTGCAAACTACAATCCACCTCTTCCAACTTTTCGATAATCAAAACAGTTGATGATGCTTTAGGACCAACCCGTGCTTTGTTTTCCTTCAACTGCTTCTCCAACTTGATCTTGGAAAAGAGTAACTCCTTTTGTTTCTTCTCACGCTCGTTAACAAACGACAAACTTAGCTTTATCTTCTCCAACTTTTCATTCAATTGGGCACTAGCGTTTGTCTGGGCAGAGAAAATGAAGTTGAAATCTTTAATGATCAGGGAACACTCTTGTGTGGGAATCGAATCGGACCACACATTGGCATCACTTAGAATCTCTTGCTCTAACTTCTTGGCCCTTACTTTTGTCTTAATGAGCTTGCTCAATTTCTGATGGATCTTGTGTGAAGACGATCTTGATAACTTTGATGTATGCTCATCGGTAACGGTGCTGTCATTGTGCAGTTGTGTACTTGCTGATGCACCAAACCCGGACATGGACACCACTTTCTCCAAAACGCGATGAAGTGCAGTTCCTGGCCGTTTTTCATCCATTGCAATGCTCTTTCTTATTGTAAGGGATGCGCTGTTGAAAATGCTGTGCTCTTGATGGTGGATAGTGACTAGCACACTCTTGGTTATGCTTGACACAAGTAAAATCATTCGCAGCCAAAACTAAAACTAAAACTAAAAAAATAAATAAATTAAAGGAAAAAGAGACTGCGGTCGTGTACTTTTGAAGAAATAGTGAAACTTTGTTATACAGTTTTACATGTGTCTACTTCTTCTTCGAAACCTCTTCATCCAAATTGAGTCCAGTGATGTTGGCAATGGACTTTTTCAAAGAATGGGCTCCACTTTCTGCACGTCTGACATTGCGTTCAGCACCTTCTTCGATAGATCTGGCCAATCCAACAACATTTTGGTAAGCATTGGCTTGTTGTTGTGCAACTTGGGGAACATTCTTTTGCTCCAATCTCCATGTAAACTCCCGCGTGTTGTCAAATGTAACTGGTAAAAAGTACTTGAAAGCTGCCAAGCCGGTTATCACAGGAAATGTGAGTTTGGCAATCACTCCACGAGGTCTAGCGGCAATTGTTCCTGCCAAAGCTGCAACTATGACGTATATACCATTTGGCAAAAGATCCTCCTTCTTGTGATGTAAGTCACTCACCGTTGACGTAATGAGCCTTTCCGTGTCATTGAATTTTGTGTAGTTCTTGTTGACCCAGTTGGATAAGTCAGAGGCCCTAGCTGAAGTAAACTCTCTAGCGTTTTTGAAAAAGTTCTCTGTTGAATCGGTGGATCGTACCGATATGCCATCAACAAGTCTGTTTTCTCCCAATGTCTTGACCTCGGAGGCTGGCGCGGGGACTATAGTTCCAGGGAGTGGGACAACCTCTGCGTCGTCCTCATAGAATTTTCTGCTTGATGATGAATCATTTTTGATGATTGATGACTTGGATACAGCCATTCCCGTAGCTAAAACAGAGACGCCTAGCGAAACTGATCTTATCATTACTTTGTTGATTGGATAGTAAGATAAATTTTCAACTCTGACTTTTTTTCTTTGCTTTGCTTTGCTTTGCTCGCTTTTTAAAAGAAATATGATTTGCAAATTCCTCTCTCATCTCATTTTGTCCTTGCAACCCATTCACGATGAGTCTAAGTCGAAGAGGCGCCACACGGGCAAGAAGTGCACTAGCGACCATTATAAGAAGGCAGCATACTCTACCGCATAGTCAACTGCCGAAACGAGCTAGCCAAGGGCTCGATTACGAATTTGTCAAATCAGAGGATCGTTCGAGAGCAGAGATTTTGAAAAACTATTTATCACAAGAACAAGTTCTTAGTCATCTTGAGGGAGAAGAAGACGGTCCACTGCAGTTTGAAGACCGATCTCCTTTTAGAAATGAAGACGGATCATTAATCAAGGGTAATAATGCTTTGGAAGCTAGACTAGATAACCGAACTTTGCAAGGAAGAGTAGATCATTCTGTGACCGCACTACCATCTGAGATTGCCAAAACGATTCAAAACAATATCTTGAGCACCACCATTCCGGCAAAACTAAGAGAACGTGTGGTCTCGATGTATCAGAATTTGCAAAAGAGTCAGATACAACAAGCACCACTGAGCGAGCTTGATTGCAATGCTCACATTGCTGGTCTTTTTTTACAAGATTATAGTCATGTTAAGCAGGTACTTGGTGAGTTGAGACACAGGGTCGGCCATGACCAATTTAATCCAAGGAGAGTGTTGGATATAGGGTATGGACCAGCAACGGGGGTTGTGGCATTGAACGAAATCATGGGACCAGACTGGGTCCCTGAAGAAAAAGATGCTTACATTGTAGGAAGAAAGAATAATGAAATGAAGAAAAGGGCCAAGATAATCTTGTCAAGGCAAGTGAATGAGAATTTTTCAGGTACTGGCGAACCCAGTGAGCATCAAGTCGATGAAGAAAAGGAATATGTGGGTCCAATCGATGCCAAAAGAATTCAAATTCGAACCAAGTTGAGAGATAGTATGCCAGTGACAAAGAGTTACGACTTGATCATTGTGCATCATTCGCTTCTTACTAGAGAGTACAATTTCCCCAATGATGTTGATGAGAAAATGAGAATGATTTTAAACTTGCTTGCCCCAAATGGGCATTTGGTTCTTGTTGAGCGAGGCAATTCGGTTGGGTTTGAAACCATCGCAAGGGCAAGACAGTTGATGATACGTCCAGAGAACTTTCCTCACGAGTTGGGCAAGATTCCGCGTCCCTATGTTAGTGGCTCTAGTGGTAAACCACAACACTTGAAGAAGGAGGATACGATGATTAACGAGGACGATGTGGAGTTTGAAAAGGAAATGTTGGCGAAATTAGACTTGGAAGAGGCTAGAGAACAAGGTATCAACTTGGAAACTGAATTGGACTCTAAATTTGGTAAGCTCAACGAAGAAGAAATGAAGTTTGACGAAGAAGACGATCCAAATTTTGATGTGCTTGATGTTGAAGCAGCTGTGAGCGATTCTTCTTTAGAAAAAATTGATTACCACTTGAAGGTGATTGCACCATGTCCACATCATAGAAAGTGTCCTTTGCAATTGGGTGATCCAAAGTATTATAAAATTCCGTCACATAAGCATCGGTTAAACTTTTGTTCGTTTTCCAAAATTATGGAAAGACCGGATTATACAATGGAGTTGAAAAAGGGTAAGAAGTTGGCGGTGAAATGGGACAAGAATTCCGTTGATGGAATTGGTACACTTCGTCGTAGTGAGTTGAAGAAACTTGGTGGTAAAGGTAGACCAGGCGGTAGGGATACCGAAGATGGTTCCTATTCCTACTTGATTGTTGAGCGAAGCAACAACACTGAAAAATCCATTGCCCAAATCAACAATCTCCGTGATTATAGTAACAGCGACAATTCACCTGTTGGTAAAGACGACATCAACAATTGGCCAAGAATTGTTAGAACACCAGACAAGTTGAAGAAAAATGTTAAATTGACTGTTTGTTCTAGTGAAGGGAACATTGAAACGTGGCAAATTCCTCGATCCTTGGGTAAACAAGCTTATCATGATGCAAGAAAAGTCCAATTGGGTGATTTGTGGGCATTGGATAAAAAGGCAAGCACCAAGAGACTGCCAATTTCAAATGAGGTAAAATCCAAATTGGACACCTTGTACAAGACCCAGAAAAAGACATTTAAGAAGGAACAACAACGTAAGGTTTGGAGAAAAAAGGTTGGTGTTAGTGAAAGTGAATTTGATGATGGGTTCTTGGCAACAGAAATGATGGCAAGTAAATTGGAAAGTAGTCGCTCGTACAGGAAACAAGGAAAGCGATTGGATACAAATCCAGAAGAGTATGAGGGAAAGTGATGGATATAGAAAGTATTGTATATAGATTCTAGCCGGGTATTTATTTATTTGTGCACTGCTTCTACACTTTTCCTTGTATTTTAATTTGATATCGTTACATTAAACATAATATACACTAACTAATAAACTTAAACGGTATGTATTCTTATTAAATCCGGTAATAAGGTATACACCACCAATATGCAATAAAAAAGTGAAAAAAAAATCAAACAAACGTCAGTCATGCTAAAGTAAATGCACCAAAATAACCAATGTAACTTCAACCTAAAATTCGACCCTCCCAAAAGTCTCTTCATGATGAAATTACCGCTATTGATAAACACTTCTTAATCGTATTCGTATAGTGTCGTCATGAATGGGTTAGCTTTGATCTCTGTATCATCTCAGAGTGCATTATCAAAAACATGGTTGTGAAAGCAAGCCACGCTGCTACCCGTGACTATTCTCCATCCATAGTCTCTTTCCCTCTATTCTCTCGAGTGATACTGCCAAACAAACCCATCTAGACAGAAAAAAAAATAAATGGGGCCCATTATTGTATGCCAAAGGAAGTCACTACCACATTTCGTCCTTGTAGTTCCAAATTTGTGACCCTCTCTCCATCATAATACCTTCCAATTATTGCACTTTCTATTCCGCTGGCTAACCACTGCTACATCAGTCAGCCCAAAACGTGAAGCGGAAATGACAAATGGTCAAGTATTCAAGAACTGAATATGATTATAATGCCAAAAAAAAAAAAAGAAAAAATTCAATCGATTTAACCCATTCGACGATTATCTCATCGCAGCATCTACTTTCTCCTGAATGATGAGCCTTCAGCTAATTTTGCTTTACCGCCAGTTGGAGTACACAATAAATTGGAACATTTTTCACAAGCAATGGCAGTTTGAGCATGACTAAAGACAGTGGCAATGTTGAAGCATCCTGGACATTTAATATCAATGAAGTAGGAGTTTGGCTCTTGAACCAATTTCTTTAACTTATAAGTGTGTTTTTCAGTTTCTGGGTTTGGGTGTAACAAATCTTGTACTAAGACCATATTTGCAAAAGAAGGTAAATGTAAATGTAAATGTGTAGTGAAAGAAATGGAGATGGAAAAACTTTGAGGTTCAGATTTGTCCCTATTTATACTGTGGATGCAAATGATAAAAAGAAATAGCTGTGTGGCAAAAGATAAATGAAAAAAAATTTTTTTTTATTTTTCCTTCTTCTTATTGTTAGAAAGTGCGTGCAACAAGTGCAAAAAAATTCAAAAGGGGAAAAAGAAATTTTCAAAATGTGTGTGTGTGTGTTTCATTTGTTACTTCTCTCCTTCTCTTGTGACTTTTGAAGAACAACTGAGAACAATATTGTCCTGTGAATTTCGTACATACCACATTGGCGAGCCGTATAGAACTTCATGGAACCATTTTTTCCTATCTGCAAGAAAACCATTGATGTGTAATTACACTGTGGTAAAAAAAAAAAAGAAATATCTAAAGATTTAAGAAATCGCGCATATAAACTGTTGCGGAAATTCCGACGGATTATTATGTCTCAGGTCGGACTTTAAGCAGCGATATATACTTGGTCATCAAATGGCCCTTTTGGGTTCCAAGTAGGACTGGAAGGACAGTCCATCTACCATGTTTATGCCTTGGCTCACCTGCAACGAAGATAGAGAATCCGATCGAAACACTGTAGTGCTCAATCCACCTACGTCAGAAATTATATGAGCTATCGGTGCTATTTGCAAATTTAAAAAAATGTAGTCAGGAATTACTCTCATGGTAAATGATCTATAACAGGGTTATTTGTGCTTGTAGCCTCAAAGTTGACTGGTTAAAGAATATCTTATGAAGCTTGATGCGTAAAAAAGTATGATAAAAGATGTGTTCATATTTTAGGTATAGATTAGTGATAGCTGTTTGAAACACTACTGCTTGCCAGAGCTCCTCTTGTTGAATATACACTCAAAAAGGTGGAGCAGAAGAAATTATTCCAAGCATCGTCTCAGTTCATATATTTGCAATCAACAACGATAGCTTCAAAGGTTACAAAGGGTCATATTTCAACAAAGATTATAACATTCATTTATCTGTAAATAGCTCATTATTCAGAACATAAGAATCAAAAAAAAAAAAAAAAAATAGCAAATAGCTAAGTACCAAACATTCAAAAGCTTTGTCCATAGGTCAAAAAAAGAAAAAAGAAAAGAGAACGAATTGTAAAAAGAAGGAGGTAGTTGTTGGATATTTATACGTTAGCGGGAACAGTTCAAACCTCTCAACATCAGAAAATATAATATAGCAACAAATCGTCCAAGGACCAAATTTTATGTGAAGTAATGCAAAATAAAACTGAACTGCAAATGAAACCGTAATCGTGACTCAGTTGAGTATTTTAACGTGTACTTGCATATTTTACTTCGAAATAACCACTTTCAAACATCGACCAAATATTTTATGTTCCTTTTTACATCCTATGTTCCTTTTTGTTTTGAAGACAACTTGCTGGACCTAACATTTCAGAAGAGTTATGAATCAGCTAATGATGTAACTATGTTTTGATTAGACCTTTAGTAGTACAGTTCTCTCTCTTAACAATGTCTTTTTGTCTCTGCTTTTGCACCCAAATGCAGGTAAAAATCCAGAAACCCCAATGAGGGCAGGCGCAAGTTCCTCTTCAGTTACACAAAGTACACTATGCTAAAGGAGTCGTTTGTCTTACTACAAAGTGTGTGAGTAAAACAACACTTTACAACCTATCGGTGGTTTGTTTATACTAAGTCCCAATTTGGGTTGAAGAAGCCAATGAGTTTTAACAATACCATATTATATATATAGAGAGAGAAAATGCAGCTTGTGGCCAGTCCCCGCCTCATCCCTCGTAGTTGCGGCTCAGAGGACTAAGATAATAAGTGTCAACAAAAAATTTTCAATCCTTTTGTGTTGTTTATAGTTTGAAGTCTAGAAGCATTTGAATGCAGTCTTAGGTCTCCTCCAAGATTCTATTTTTTGGCCATTTTGCATGCAATGAAGACACGCTGGATAAAGTGCCAGAGAATACGAATCATATTGGGAAGTCACAACAAGCAGCTCTGCACTTTTTCACGCATGAGATAAGTTTTGCAAGATGGCCTCGTTCGTTACGTCTAAACTGTAGACAAAAAACGCTTCGTCCCCATGTGAAAAAGTCTGATTCAGCGTAAATACTATATAATGTATCTTTATAGCTATTGTTATAAATACGAAAGACTAAAGAAAGACTGGGCAAATTGGAAGCAAAGGTGGTTTGTTTTGTCTTGTCGTAAACTATAAAATGAAAAATAACAAAATGAGACACAGACACGCTCTCTTCTTACAAAATTACAGCACAAAATTAAAAATAGACACACTAGGAGTAAAGTAAGACAATCTCACTATAAGTTTACACAAGATCGGCAAATATGGAGAGACTAACAAGACACTACATACACAATGCACGTGTTCTTCTTCAGGCTATTTGCCTTTTCAAGGTTATTAAGCTCATCGCCATTCTTCTTTTAGTCTTTTGTGTATATGTGTGGGTATAGTATATACGCACAAAGGCGGTATTGTGTTCACGATAGTAGGTAGTCGAATCAAACGTATGTATTGATTTGCAGTGGGTTTTAGTTCAAAAGAGGAAAGAAGAGAAAAAGCATACACCAACCCAAAACAAAACAAATCAAGCCACTTATCTCTACAGCTAGCATCAAATTCTAGCTACTCATAGCTCTAGGCAGTAAAAATGTGTAGTATCGTTTGTTGTGATTTGAACTTACCAACCTTATCTATCTATATATATATATAGACATATATATATTTTTACTCTTTCTCCACCTTCCTAGATTGTTTCAGTATTTTTAACCTTATATACAGATATCAAACAACAACTATCAAGGAGCACGACAATTGCACTTCTACTTCCCCTCCCCCCTGCTTCGTTCAATAGACAATCAAAACCATATATATATATATACCCTGACTTACCTTTCTTCGAGTAAAGCAAGATAATTCAAGACAACACTCCAGCATAAACAAACACACAAGACACAGGCACAGTTGCAGAAGTAGAGGACTACACACCAAACTTTGCCTTCTCTTCCCTTCGCTTACGAGATTTTTTCACCCATTCACACACATTGTTTTTTTTTTTTTTATTTTCTTATTTTTACAACCACACAATTCAAACAAGTTTAGGTAACTATAATAATCCCATTCTGGTAACCACTTTTCAGAAACACACACACACACACACACACACATACATACATACACAGACTTATAAAGTGGTCTGCTACCTAGAATTACTACTATCAGCTGAAGAGGTAGAGATCAAGACGTAACTGTGCTTGCCTGATCGAAAACTCTGTCAAATTAAGTGTGCACTTTTTCACACCCCGCACAAGAGGATTTTATGCAGTCAACTGACAAGTCTTTGCAACACACAACTGATAGACATTCTATCATCTACTAGACCCATCCACTATGAGCAGTGGTAAATCAAAAGAGTCTACAACTCCTTCAACAGCGTCGTCACATGTAACCACTGGTGCAAAGAAGAAACTGACAGATCAAACAAAATTTACCAAGCTGAGTAGTAAGCTGCCCACGGCACAGTTTAACTTCAATTCCACTGCATCTTCATTGCAAAAGTCGGTAACTAACTTGGAAAAAGAGTCAACAAAAGCCAAATCGTCTGTCTTGGCGGCAAGTGTCACATTGCATTCACACTCGCATGAAGTAGTCTACAAAATTTTCACCTACATTGTCATTATCCTTCCAACTTTGACATCCATAGTGTTCCCCATCAATGCCAAAGCTGTCCCTCAAAATGAGCAAATTGGAAATTTCATTATTGACTTGTTGACTGTAGTGTTAATTAGTTGGGTGGTTAGATTTACCCTTGAATGGCCCTACAACTGGATGAGAGAATTGGAATCAACAAAGACAAAGCTACTTCAACAGTTGAATGAAGACGACTTTGCAATTGAGCACACCGACAAGGTGGTTTTAATGGTTCGTAAAATCAATACTTTTCAAATTATGGCCTTGGTTTGTTGTTTAGTATCCTCACTTTTAAGTTCAGTCCTACTTATATGGACTCGAAAGTATACCATTATTGACCAAAAACGGAAAAAAATGGTGTTTAACAATGTCAATATTGCATTACTTCAATTTTGGTCCATTTTTAGAATAATCATCACTTTTACCGATTCATTGCAATACTCATCAATAACCAATAATGGGTGTCCCTTGCAAACACAAGGCCTAAGCTTTCAAACTTGGTTTTCTGATTTGAAACAGTACTTTTTACCCAACTTGACAAACCAGATCTTGTTGGATCATTTGCAAGTTCATAATAAACAGTTTGATCGCATGAAGTTGGATTTGGTTAGATTGCAGAGAGAATTGGATAACAGAGAGCAAACTCAGAATCTGAAACGGGAGCTCATTCGTCAGCAGAAGCAGCAGCAACAACAACAACAACAGCAGCAACAACAACAAGAAGAGAATGGGTTTCCAGCTCCTGATAAATCTCAATTACGAATCAAGCAGCACCAAGTGCCACCTCAACTAGTCTTGTCGCTGCAAGATTGTTCCAAAATAGAACAACAAATTGTGCCGAAGCTTANAACAACAACAACAACAACAACAACAACAACAACAACAACAACAACAACAACAACAAGAGAATGGGTTTCCAGCTCCTGATAAATCTCAATTACGAATCAAGCAGCACCAAGTGCCACCTCAACTAGTCTTGTCGCTGCAAGATTGTTCCAAAATAGAACAACAAATTGTGCCGAAGCTTAGCGATTCAATCACGCCATTTCCAATGGGATTACCACCTTCAAAGAATGTATCAATGTTTTCCCCAAGACCGAATGACCTTGATTATTTTCAATTTGCACCCACACATTCGTTACACAAACAACATTCTTTTTCGCAAACATCTTTGAAGACAATTGTTGAAGAAGATGATTTGATATTTGAGTCCTTGGAGACGCCATCTTTCAATAGGTTTAACCAAGTAAACCACAGTTTCCCAAACAAGACTATATTGGAATGCACAAGGTCTGTGTTGAAAGCGATTAGGAATGAAATTACAATACTGGACTTATTCAGTAACCCTAGCTCGGTTAGACGAGTGTTGGTGAGTGAGTTGGCCTTTTTAATGAATGAATACAAGTCAAGTGATAACGAGATATTCAAGGTGTTTGTCATGGAAGTGGTTGACAAGTATTTGTTGGGGATATATGTTCAAATTATGGGACACTTGGCCGATCTAGTAAACCATCCTTTCCAACACTTGGTGAGTGCAATCATATGGATCAATTTCAAGCTACCAATCTACATTGCTAAACTATACTTTAGGTTCCTTTTGATGTTGCCTTATTTGCTAGTGCTGTGGTTCATGATCAGACCGGTAAAGTTTGTGGCTTTACAGGTGAGTTTTGTATTGAGAGCTGCATTCTCTTTAGTTTTGATCCAAATTACTAATGATAGCTCATCTCAGCCTGCTGTTGTACCCTCCGATAGGAACCAGGTGTCACCTTTGTCTCAAAAACCAAACTGCTTCCACCCAATTGCTAAATTAGACAAGCCCCTCGCTGACCCTACTCAATTCACCATGAAGCAATTCCATCTTTCGCCCGTATTGTCAAAAGATGAATATTTCACCAGAAATGTTTCTGAACAGGAGAGCAAAGCACAGGCCAAGTATAAGAATGCCCTGTTGATTTCAATTACTCCAAGTTCATCAAAATCGAGTAGTGGTATTAGTAATGGCAGTATACCTAGACAGAGTCCTAAACTAAATAATCCAGTCTTATACGATGATTAGAATAATGTAACAAAAACTTTAAAAGAAAAAAAATACAAACAAAAATGCGTTGGAAAAACGAGGGAAGACAGATATTATGCACATACTTGTCCAGTAAATTTTCCCACTATGTCCCGTCTCTCTCTCTCTCTCTCTCTCTCTCTCCATATTCAATCTCCTCCACCCTATTGCGCACCAGCAAGAGCACTTGAGAATTGCGACCCGGTGGCTTGTTGGTATTCAACCATAAACTCTTCCAAAATACCAAACGCCGATGACACACCAATGATTGTTGCTCCATTCTTTCCCAAACCGCCCAAGTAATCACCAACGACAGCCAATGCAGCGAGTGCAAAAGCTCCAGTTATGGACGCAGTGGGGATAATCTTGGACAATTCTTTGGAAATTGCAATATCTCTCTTACCAGCAATGGAAATTCCTTGATCTTTAAATTGTTTAGCAATGTCTTTTGGAGATGATCCTGATATAAAACTCCATTTGAATGCAAACCATACTGCCAAGCTGACAATTGTCAATGAGTACGTAATGGTTCTGATGGGGGATGTCATTGATGCTAATAAAGTTTGCTCTGGAGACAAGTAGTATAATAAGCCACCAGTCAACGCTAATCTGTTACTAGCTGGTTGAACGACATAGTTGCCGAGCAAAGTAATGATGGAAGCTGGTGCTCCCAACTTGAGCAATGTGGCAAATAAAATGTATCCAACAACTTGAACATTGGCAATGACACTGTATGCAAATAATACAGGTAGTCCACCAGTGTACAATAACCGAATGGGGAACATTTGATTCATACCACGGACTTTGGTTGATCTAATGGGGACATCAACACGGAAATTCTGCAATGCAATAATAACAAACACCGAAGCGAATGAAATGTAAAATTGGGTCAAGTTGGGTAATTGAATCCTGGTGAATGCATGCCAAATTTGCCAGCTAGTCGCTTTCAAATTAAAGATTGAAAAATTACGCACTAAATTCATCAATGATCCTGCACTCTCAAACTTGTTTGAATTGATAACGGGGAACAATTCCAACCCTACTAAATCACCAACGAAATTGGTGGCATTTTGCAAGGCTAAGAAACACAATATACCTGACCCAAATCCGTACCCCTTATCGAAGATTTCCACCAATAAGCTTACAATAACTTGCCAAGATACAACTTGGATGAAAATGATGAAATAGGAGCCCAATGGCAAACTCGACGAAACCAATCCATTATTCTCCTTAGTAGGGATAATATTATATCCCCTAATCACATCGTCATAATAACCAGAATAAATCAATCCCAAGGTGAACACAATTGCAATCCCCCAACTAGTCAATTTCTGTCCACTTTGGAACAATTCTCGATCATATCTCAATCCCAAATTCACATTGATCAACTTCAATCCAGCACCCAATTGCCAGATAAACCCCGCAGTGATGATGGGCAACAACCCCAATTCCAACAATGTGGCTTTTTCCATGGCGAAATTCAGTCTGAATTGGTAAAATGGATCTTGCAAGTGGAATTGAGCTTGCGGGATTAGACCATAGATTGGTAATTGACCGAATAGGAAGATCAAAGCTGAACCTACAGTGAATACGATTCTTTCATCGAATTTGGTTTTCTCAAAGGGGAATTCAATTTCTGGGAGGATGGGTAAGAAGAATTTTACCAAGTCAAGAAGGCGAACTGGGATGCTCATGTTAGTATATGTTATTAAATTGCAGATTTGCTGCTGTTGCTTCTGCTGGTGGAAGCCAAGTTACAGCAAATGGTGTATACAGACTGGCCCCTGCTCCCAATACATACATCCACTCATTTCTGACTTGTGTTTTTTTAGCAAAAAAAAAAAACTTGACGGTGGGATCTTGGTTCAAAAGGCTGGTTTGAATGGTGCAGAATTTTTTTTTTTTTTTTGGTTTTTTACTTTTTTCCAAATTGCTCGTCCAATTTTCAATTCAGCGCAGTTCTGGGTGCGGTCCGATTGCAAACATCGTCTGGCAGAAAAGGTTTCAATAAATACGAAAACAGAGCAAAAAGGGAACAGGTCTTACAAATGCACAGCTCTTTTTTTTTTTTACCGTAATGGTATACATAATTGTAGCTATACTATACAAAAGACGTATATCTGAACAAAAATAATCAAACCTGAAACTAAGTAAAACCAATCGAAATAAAACCAATAAGTGATCAACTATCACCCTTACAAAAACACAGCAACCTCATGCAATAAACGTAAAAGCTCCCGTTGTTGTACTCATTTCCCAACTCTCTTGTTCCTGTGTAATTTCCCAAGTACACCACTGCCTTGTCACTACTCAATCAAAATCCCACCTCATTACCCCTCTCATATATCATTCCATGAAGTCTTGTCTCCAAAACCAACACCACCGCACATGATTAAAGAGGACCCGCCACCAGTATTTGTATCGGAAAAGGTAGAAGGAGCACCCAAGAAACTACCACCAAATGGCAACAGTTGACTTTGTTTCTGATGCACATCCTCCATCAAATAGTTTATGTAGTTTGTGTTTCCTAGATTATATGTGTGTTGGCCAGTGTCAAATTCGGATGCTTTGTTCTTAACGTAAAGGATCTTGTAGATCAACTGCTTTAGTAAAGAGTCAGTAGGTGCATCATCTTTTTCCAAAAGAAATCGCTTTACATCCATCATATTGTGGAAATTCTTCACTTTGGCAATATCTTCTTGATCAAGGTACTTGAAAAGATCATCTCCATAAAATTCAGTGAGTAGTCTTTTACTTTCTTCCAACAGTTGTTGTTCCTGTGGTTGTTGTTCCTGTGGTTGTTGTTGTTGTTGTTGTTTGTGGTGGTGGTGGTGGTGGTGGTGATAAATATGTCCAAGCTTATTGGAGCTGGTCAACTCCTCATCCTCATCTAAGTTCCAGCTGGCTACGTTCTCATCAATATCCTGGCTTGATGTGACAATATTTGAGTTGTACCAACTGTTAATCTTGTTAGATAGCTTTTCTGTATCAGTTTGAACATCTACGTCACCTTCACCATCATCTGCATCTTCTCTTGACTCTTGTGGGCCATCCACTGCGTAATCTGCTTCCGTATCAACCTCTGAGCCTCCCTTTGAAGTATTGGTCAATGAGAGTATATCTGACTCATTGTTGGGTTTTGAGATTGGGTTGAATAGGACATACAGAGACTCTTCATTGACTTCGTCTATTATCTCTAGATCGTCATAATCAGATAAGATGCTAGAGGTGGCTTCAAATTTGTTGCTTTTGCTGTTGTTTTTGCTTTTGCTGTTGCTTTCTATGCTGCTGTTGTTTTTGCTGTTGCTGTTGTTTTCTCTGCTGCTGTTGTACTTGTGTTTGGAAGTTTTTTGGTGTGGCGTTTGTTCCTGATGTTGTTGCTGTGGGAGTTGGTGAGTAGGTGGGGTAGAAGTGGTAGTTCCTCTGAATAGTTTGAACCTAGGGTTGATGGACATTGTATTATATGTGTTGGTGAAGTGGAACCTGTAGTTGGAAAGAAAGATGAGAAGGTTGTAATTGTTGAATTAAATTTAATGTAGTATATACGATATAGTTGTATATAAATCCTAGTAGATAAGAGACATATTGTAAAACTGTGTTTAGTATGTGTGTGTGTGTGTGACTGGATTTACTACCTAACTGATTGTGTTGTGCTTTTGTGTAAAATGTAACTGTGTATATGTTATATGCAGTACATCAGAATAATAAAATAATCATTTACTTTCTTGAGCTCCGAAAGACTACAAAGAAAGAGAGATAAAGAGATGGCAATACACTGATACAAAGTAACAGAACATATACAAGCATTCCTTTTTCCAGAAGATAGGGACTGGTTCTTGCCTATCACTCTACTAGACACATATTTACATATAGAGCAAGGAAGAGTTAAGATTGGTCTCCAATATATATAAGAGAAGAAATTTTGGATATATAAAACATGACGCGCTCAAATGGGAAAACAGAAAAAAGCAAACTTAAATCAAAATTGTTCAATTGAATAAATAGATCTTTCTTTGTAAAAAAAAAAAAATAAAAATAAAAAATATGGATCTTTCAAAGCAAACAGTAATAAACGTAGCCCACACAATTAAAGTGCAACCCATCACCCTACCATGAAAAAAACGTAGCTCTTACTTCGCCTCTTTTCAGTACAAGAGGTTCTAGTATATTCGTCTCACATTCAGGTTTATCTAAATTGTAGTACTAAGTGGTCTCCGAATTTGTGTGGCGCTAGAGGGAATTTCTAAAACATTCTCAACATATATGCACAATGCATGATACAACACTTTATCCATGGAAACGAGTTTACATCTCATCGCATAATTTTAGTTTCAACTGACCAGATAATATATGTTTATCCGTTAATCGGAAAACTGGTCTCCTGCATCTCTCTTTAGCTCAGCTGAAATTTCTCCGAGGCGGAACCCCTCGCACACGACTTTTAAGTTCTTAATCTTCTTTGAAGAGCCGCAAAAGCCACACTTCCGCAGCTCTTATGAGATCTTCGAATCGGGTTGAATCTTACTTCTAAGTGGATGTTTGAGCCATCAATTTCCCAGGTAGCCGAGAGAGAACAGTGAGAAAAATTTGTATCTGTCAAAAGACTCTCAAGACGAGTCAGTTGGCAACGACCGGGACTAGAAAAAAGAAAAGAAAGCATCCAGTAAGATTCTTCTCCCTTTTACATGTAGAGTCCACACACGAACAGTGCTTTGCTGATGTGAGAGTCTGTAAATGACAGTTAAACTTCATACATGGCTCAATTTCTCGATTAAAGACACTAAACTTAATATCCGTTAGTAAACTATCCTTTGAATTGACTTCATTTGCATTTGATTTATTCAGATAGGGGTGAAAGACTATTTTAACTTATACTGTTTTGGATAATCATTTTAAAACATTGTAATAATTTCCAGTGTATGAATCATCATTAAAGAGAAACCGACAAAAAGGGTTTCAACTATGCAATCAATTAGTGCGGAAAAAAATGTAATGTACATACCAGCATTGTATCATTGTTACCATGAATGACTTCGGACGTGAACAAGAACACTGTTCTTTACCATGAATTGATTGGATAGGAGAGAGAGAGAGAGAAAGAAGAAGAAGAATCAAAAGCCGAAACTGAAAAAGATTCAGAAAATGGAAGAAAATTTTTCGTTGCAAACAATCGCGTTCCTGCATATTAATGAGCGCTTTCCCCCCCCCATTTTACAAATATGTTTGTCATAAAATATGAACATTTATTCACATAGATTCCCTTCTGGTCAGTCCTACAACACTTGCACTTCATTTCAATCGAACAAACACTAGCGACTTGCAAATATGGCTGTCAAAGGATTAGGAGAATTAGATAGACAATACGATGGTACGTTTTCAAACACGATCTAAGTTTAAATCAACACATTATTAACCAATCTCACCAAAATTTCAGGCTCAAAATTAAGAATTGGGATCCTTCACGCCAGATGGAACAAGAAAATAATCGATTCATTAGTTGAAGGAGCAGTGAAACGATTGAAAGAGTTGGGAGTCAAGCAAGAAAACATAATCGTTGAAACAGTACCTGGATCGTTTGAATTACCATTCGGCTCAAAACTATTCTATGAACAACAAAAGCGGAAAGGTACGCCATTGGATGCAATCATCCCCATTGGTGTTTTGATCAAAGGATCAACTATGCATTTCGAATATATTTGTGATTCGACCACAAATCAATTGATGAAGTTGAATTTCGAATTGGGTGTTCCGGTAATCTTTGGTGTTTTGACTTGTTTGACTGAAGAACAAGCTGAGGCTAGAGCTGGGTTGATTCCTGGCAAGATGCACAATCACGGTGAGGATTGGGGTGCCGCTGCTGTTGAAATGGCTACAAAATTTAACTAAAAAAATATTTCTTAAGAAAGGCGGAAAAGGGGGTGGAGTTAGACGTGTTTGTCTGCAGTGGAATGCTTTGAAGTGGTTACGATAAAGGACAATGTCTGTAAGTAGACTAGTGTGTGTTTTCTTATATTGATAGAAAGAAAATCATAGTATATCTATAGTGGCTGCCCTGACAATTCGTTGTAGGATTTTCAAAACTTGAAATAATCTCCAGCGAGCTCAACTGCCCTTTCTTTGATGACTTCTACATTCCCCGCTAGAGAGGAGATGGCGCGTTTTGATCAAATTAGTGATCTAGACCATGAGTTAGACAAAGTTTCAGGAGAATAAAATTTTCCACCACAACATTTCCTCCCCCCCTCCAAAAATATCTTTTGAAACAGCCAATTGGCATACACCCCATATCTTCTCCGTCATCAGAGCATTCGATACTTACTGGCCATGAATATGCGATCCAAAGTTGCAGAAAAAAAAAAGAAAAAAAGAATTGAAATTTGGCAAGAAAAGAAAAATAAAAAGAACGACCAGGGAGAGGATTGAACTCTCGATCTTGCGATTAACAGTCGCACGCCTTAACCAGCTTGGCCACCCAGTCTAATAAATTCAGGAAAACAACTGAGCCATACGCTGAATTTTTTGAAAAGTAACTTGCTGAGTCTTTGACTCACAGCATTTTCAATCACATGAAGGAAGGAGCCGAATCATGTCGAAATTGCCTACACCTATGTAAATACATTAAAAAGGAAAGGAAACATTCGAGTTCTCTGTAAATACAATATTCTGAGAGATTAAGTGATGCCTGAGCGTATTTTCTATTGAAAATGTTCACTTATTCCATTTGCATTGCAAATTTGCAAAAAATCGTTGCAAAAAAAGCTTAACTGAAAATCAGTTCACCCGGATTTAACAACTTTATCAACTATCAATCGCCTCTTCAGTGTTAAACATATTGTCTTGATCATGCAAAAATATATTACATTAAGTAGCTACCTGTTTCTAAAACAATTTAAACTATATCCATCAAAAGAAACCTAATAAGTTCTATATTCATCAACTTCCTCTCGTCAACCCCACACCTAGCCCAACTCCTATCATGGCCAACACAATCAACACCCATGCCAATCCAAGCACGAAACTGACAATCTTCTGCAGCTTGGTAAATCTCTTCACGTAAACTCCTCGATTTGAATGATTCACTTCATAACCAGTCATACCACCGTAATACGAACCATGACCATCTTTTCCATCAAATACACCAACTGTCGTGAGGAAATAGATGGGTGGAGCAACTAGGCCCACAAGCATAAGTAGTGAAAATTGTAGCCACGTGTAAGGAAGGAATTTGTAGGTTGACTCATATTCTCCTTCTTGTTTTTCCTGACGTGGGAAATTTGTTGCTCCTCGACTCGGGTTATAAGTGTAGCTGTCAATTTGTTTTTCTTCATCAATCATATTTGATGATGGTTGTCTATCACTAAGGAATAAATCTCGTTTCGGTTGTGACAATACTAATTGCTGTCCTGGTAAATGGGGGTCATCTTGTCTGTGACCTTGCAAATTGTGGGGCTGCGGGGTATCACTATATACATCTCGATGGTTGTCCAATTGTCTACCTTCTAATTGTTTATGACGACTCAATGATGACGATGCGTTGGAGACTCTTGCTGTTGATCTTGTCCCCACCCCACTTGATCCACTCAAAGATCCAGCATGCGATTTCTGGGACCTGGAAGCTAGCACTTCGTTAGGATCAGGGCTATTTGTGCGTGATTCCGAATGGGTCAGAAGTCCACCCGTCTCAGGTTCCCTGGCTGCATTCTGGGTATTTTGACTATTTCGATTCTCATAAACAGACCATCTGTTCTTGGACTCATCATAGTCTTTGTTATGTATAGTGTACAACATTATCGGTAGTTCGTTAGTTGCATCCAATCCAGCTGTCATGTCGTTGACGGTTTGAGAACTACCAATTCTTGGAAGACGTTGCTTTGATGGCAAGTGGGGGTAAATGTTTTCCGAAGTGGTATCAATCGGCATCTCTGGCACTGTCGCTATCGGCTTTGAAACATTAAACATAGTTGACACTGGTCTGGACGCTGCACCTCCTTCTCTGTACTGACTTCGAGGACGTTGATCAGAATTATCACTACTCCTAGTCTGATCATAAGAACTGCCCACCAAGTTCCTCAATAATTCCCCAGAAGACATGGATGACCGTGCCATACTCGAATGTTTTGTATCGTCACTTTTCAACATTGTTTCATCAAAAACGTAAGAATTGGTCACATTCAGGACTTTGGTCTTACTGTTGATTGTCTCTTCGTCAAGATGGTATTCATCTCCGTCGAGAGATATGCTATCATCGGCTAGTGAATGTCGAGGTGGGACCGAGGGCTGTATGAGATGCAGACGGCCACCAACATTACCACCACCACCACCACCACCACTAGATGACGTGTTAGGCAACAGACCTGCTATTGCGCTATCATTGATTGAACTTCGATTCGATGACGAGCTGTGCTTACTGTCCCTGTAATTTACTCTTGGTGTGGCCAATGGAGTTACAGTTGGATCAGGAAATGACGCCCTTCCTGAGTCATTAGTTTCGCTATCATCACTGAGGGCAACCGACGCCCTCAATGAAGACCTGTTTGTTTCCGTTTGTGATATGTTTGTGGCGGAACTCACATGTCTAGCTTTGTTTTTTACCGGTTCAATTTGATTACCGTGCACTTTGAACCGTAACAGCGTAGAGCTACCTGTACTATCTCGATCGGATCTAGGTGTTTTGGGACTGCTCTCGTCGGATAGAACTGAGATTCTATTGAATATTGTGGGTGAAGCTTGACTCACCTTAACGTTTCCTTGTCTGAACTGTTCCTGCGATGCTTTTGCATCAATGAATAGTGAGTTGTCACTGGAAGTGTGCTCCCCTTCCTGTGTTGTTTTTGCTCCGATTGATTTTATAGAGCCCTGCCGTATGATATCTGATTTCAACTGCTCACTTTCCTGTAGTGACAACTCGCCACTTTTCGGTCTTAGATCAGATTCAAGAAACATGCTTCGGGTCCTTGCATCCGAATCTCGGTTGTGGTATTCTTGTAAAACAGAATTTACAGATTCGTCAAATGTGTCATCAAACAAGATAGGCAAATTAACATTTTCTGGATCGCCAACACTTGTCTCATGATTGGGACTTGCTGCAGAATCATCAGAATCGGTATCAGCAAAATCATCCAAAGTAACTCTCTTTCGGTTTGACGTAGAGAGTCTAGAAGGAGTCGGTGGTGGGTTTGCATCCGACAATCCTGAAGACTTTGAACGAATGAACTTGGGCCGAAGTCCGAAGTTCAAGAGCCGGTTTGGAGACTTGGTTGGAGTTAGATCATGTACAGTAGTAGCACCTGGTTGAGATGCTAAAGATTGTTGTTCCTGAGTAACTTGTGATTCCAATTCAGGTGCTTCACTTATACTATCAATGGAATACGATGAAAGTCTATTCTTGAATAGAAAAGTCTTTAGTGATTTGGTTGGTGATGTGAGCTCTGGTGTGAGTTTGCTGTCCGAAGTTGATGTTGACATTGCTTTTTGTCGATTTGGTGAGTAGACATCGTCAAATGTTAGCATTGAGGATGAGCTTGAGGGAGCATTTATGGCATGATGTCTTTCAGATTGGTTCGCAGGGGGGTTTATATGATCAGTTTTGGATGGGGGTTGAGATTGTCGCTGCTCGCGGGCCGAAGCGTCGTCCATGCTGTCACGGCGGCCCTCTTTACTCAGATTTATCAATTTCTTCATAGAGGTGCTATTACTTCAATGTTGTATCAATAGACCAGACAATGACGCAGATGGGAAATCGGTCTCACTTGTTTAGAGTGAAATAGTTTCAGCCTTTTAAGATGACTGAGGGTATAATTGCGTGTAAGTAAACGAATGAATGTTAGTTGGTAGGAATCAGTCAAGAACCGACTTAACTGACACTGAAAATTTTAAAGGAGCGACGTATGTTTGGATAGGGTTGGATGAAAACAACGATAACGTAAGTAATGTAAAACAAGACTTAGTTGATGAATTGGTTTGTCGAGCTGTGTGTTGTAGGAGAAATTTTGATCGAAGGATGTCTGATCTTAGACGAACAGAAAAATTTTAATTGTTGAGACTTTTTTTTGTTTTTTTTTTTTTTTCCTGTTTGCAAAAAATTGTTTCAAAAGAAGGGAGGTTTACCACCACAATTAATCTGCGATGTGGAGAGTAGATGACAAAGCAGACCACGTGATGGAGTTCTACATAGTAAGCCTGCTATACTAGCAACTATTGAACTTCTTGAAAAAGAAGTGTGTGAGTGGGAGCGGGTGCATTCGTCTGTCAAATTTTCGTTCTTCGTTTACGCGTTGACGTATGTTTTCTTTTTTCACCCTGTCAATTAAGTCTATTTTGGCCATTTATATAATAGTCTCTGCATCAGTGCGCACAATCTTCTATCTGTAAGCTGCCAGTCGATATTAGATACTGTTGCTATCTTTATTACTTGAGCTAGATGGACCTATTGGCTCTATACCGTGAGTATAGGGAGGCAGACTGTCATCGAATTAAAATACCATTATCAATACGATTCTAGGTTTACTATACAATCGCAACTGCTTTAGTTAGCAGAAGCTGGACAAGAAGAGAGCTTGTTAAATTATATTTCATCTGTGAATGTATGATACACCACTTTTGCTCCTGTGTTGTTGTTGTTGTTGTTGTTGTTGTTTACAATTGATCTCAATTTGGTAAGACACAAAAGATTTTGTGTTATGTTTCTCAGTTTTGTAACATTCGTATTGCAGCCTCACATCAAATGAAAAAGAGGGAGGAGACATATCAATAACTGGCAACATCTCTCAAGTTTGATAGATTTATCGGTTGCTGCAACCTGACTCAAATTATTATAGTCTGCCGCAATACCACTTGGATAAAACCTGCCGTAACTAGTAACAAAGATGGCAGCTAGTACTCGTGGTCACGAAGTAGTTAGAGCCAAAGCCGTGCCACAACAAAACACAGTAAGGGTCTACACTTTTTTTTTTCTTCATTTTTTTTGACCATCCAGATATTCATATTAATGATGTGTGAAAGCTATACCGCTATAAAAAAGGTTTCTGGAATAAAAAAACTAATTCAGAATAACAATGTCGTGCAAACATTCATGTACTCTTGAAAAGGGATTATAAAGCAATGGAAACTTCCAATTGTGGTGACGTAGAAGTGAATTGAAAATAATAAAAAAAAAAAAAGAAAAATGGGACCTGTGTGCATCACGTCAATGACCAATATTAGAAAGTCTTCTTTCATATACAAACATTGATTCACTGTACATCAATAGTTTCAACTTTCCAATTTTTGTCATTTGTAGTAGGTGGTGGTGGTCGTAATGGTATTAAGGTAAGCAATTGTTTTTAATTTTGGCGGTATCATCTGGGCTTCGATCAGCGCTCCGATCAGCGCTCCTAATAGTTGACTCTTCTTCTTCTTCTGACTCTTCTTCTCTTCTTGCATGGATCAGCACTACCGACGTTTGAGGTAACTGAACCGCTTCCGCTACTGGATCCACTTCCACTGCTGCCAGTGGATGGAGTTGAAGTACCCGAACCACCATTGGAAGCGCTACATTTACCGGCCAAAGCAGCAAACGCAGTTTCAGCGACAGTTTGCAAAGTTCCCCAGTTAAGCAAGTCTTGGAACAATTGAGTGATCAAACCGGATTGCTTCAAAGCGTCAATGATTGATCCAAGGTCAATCAAGTTGTTGGCCAACATTGCCTTGATCAAATCTGTAGCAAATGGGATGTAGCTTGAGTTTGTCAAGATATCCTTGACGACAGAAGTAGCCAACCCTGACTGGTACAATGAGTCCAACAAGTTGTTTACAACATCATCAAGATTAACTGCTCTCTTTTCGGCATCGAAAACAAAAGCATCAAGAGAGTTATCGTTGAAGTCTCTGGTGATCAAGGATGAAACACCTTCGGAGATCAATTGTTCAACTTTTGTAGTCAAGCCGCTGATAATCTGGGCAGCAGCATTAAAAAGCTCAGCATACAATGAACAATCACTAATCAAATCGTTGACAACGTTAACCGCCAAATTGGAAGAGACCAAAGCATCCAAAACAGATTGCAACGAGATCAAACCACTCTTCATAACGGCAATCAAGACATTAACTACAATAGGTTCAAGGTTTGGATTGGTAGTAAAGTATTCCAAAATTTTGGGTACTAATTGAGATTGATTAACTGCAGTCAAAACATCAGTGACAATAGCATAGTCCCTCTTAAGGATTTCAGCGTCAATAGCATCTCTTTTCATTCTGTAGTTTTCGATATGAGCTGACAAAGCCGCCAAGTCTGGCAGTCCGTCTCTCTTGACAACATTGAATTGCCCTGGCAACGAACTCAAAGCTCTCTCAACCTCCTGTCTAGCAACCAAGTTTGGCTGTTGATGTTCAATTGATGCCGCAGAGGCAGTCGCAGCCAAGACAGTGGCCATGGTAGTGGAAGTGGTGAATTTCATAACGAAGGAATTAAAGTGAATCGACGAAAAGTTGGATGGGATGGGGGGAGGAGGAGGACGTTGTAGTTAAAAGACCGCTGAATCAAAGTACGAAAGACTTGAGTTAAGTGGAGTTTGAATATTTAAAAAACAGGGGACAGAAAATTTGCAGAGAAATTTAAAAACATAGGGACAAATTAGCATCCATTTATAGTTATGAAACCTCGAACAATAAGAAGGAAAATCACTTCACTCGAGAATTTACGGTGAATAGATCGAGGATACAATCAGAAGACCAAAAACAGAAACCATAATGCGAGTTTGAAAAAATTCTTGTAAGAATGGGGTATCGTTAACGAGAGATGCTTGTACGATATTACTATATACGGGTATATATTTCAAACAATTATAGTTACGACATTTCCTGATTAGGAAATGTGTCGTAATTTAACTTTTTGTTTTTTTTTTTTCTCGCTTTTGCAACAAGTTGTATAATACTGGTGCATGGGTGTGTTTTCTATTTGTGTGATTACACAGAAAGGCGACATTTCCATATTCAGAACGGGATGTGACAAATTGAGAAGCCGCAGAACTTAAACCCACCAACAGAAGAGAGCATCACTGACTGACATTGAAATGAGCCCCTTGACTTCGAACCAACCAACGGCAACGGTGAGTGGCTTGCCAGCTAAGCTCTGAAATTGACTCGAGAAAATGCGCAATTACCGGTCACGGATCAGGAGGAAGCAGGTAAGCATGCGTGGAGATAAGTCGGCGTTATGTTTCACTGACACTAACAAACAAAACCTTAAAGCTAGAGGTCTATAGTTTACAATAAAAGACGGTATTCTCTTTCATTGCGGGAGGCGGATAACAACAATTGACCATACATAGTTGGCGGAGACGAGGTCTAACCCACTTTGTCGGGGTAACATTCTTCTACGTAACTTTGTAAAAGAGGGTCAGCCAATAGAGCAGTAAATGCGGGAACAGTCTAGTATGTCATTTTACTTATTTTAGATAATATATCGTGCAGCAGCAACTTTTGTGCTACAACTTTGAAAGTCCCTAGGTCTTGGCATTTTTTTTTTCTTTTATTTTTTCATGGGCTGGAACTTGCATTTTTACCCTGAATGGAAAACAAAATATTGATTTTGAAACCAATAAGTGGTGTGGAAATATATGTGAAGCTTTGTACAAAGTTTGTACCCCGTATTTTTCGTTCATTTTTGAAAAATTGAATTATTTTTGGGAGCATCTTGCATTAGACGGATGTGAAGCATTAGTTAACTCCGCCTTCTGATTATACCACTATGGAGTCAATAGTTTACAATGCAACTGTCCGTAAGTAACGCCCATCGATTCAATTAAACTAAACTACAGCCTACCAAACAATATTTAGATTTATGAAACAAAAGAGCACCTCAACAAAAGAGCACCTCCTTCAAAGCTATTCAACCGACAGACATCAACCACTTGGCAACTCCCTCACCTTTTACCGAAAAAGCTCATCAATGAAGTCTGAGTCTTTTTCTTACCATCAGTACTGGCCTTCTTGACCTTAGAGGTTGTTGCAGAAGGTGCGGAACGTTTGGGGGCGACTGGTTTTCTTTTTGGTTTTGTCACTGATTTTGGTTTACGTTTGGTGACTGTATATCCATCTTCATCCACTTCCTGGACTGTCTCCATATCATCATCCTTATTAGCTTCACCCCCTTCCTCTTCTTCGTCAACAAATAGCTCTTCCTCTGGTTCTTTTTTGGCTTCTTCGGCTGCAGCATCACCGTTTCCTTCTGGTGGGACCTCAGCGTCAGTATTGGCAACCACCTCAGTTGATTCTGCTGGTTGCGAACCAATATCTCTCTTTTCGTTTACCCCCACATCATCGTCATCGCTAAATTGAAAAGTCTCATCCTCATCAAACAACTTTTCCAAGTCAGTGGTTGGGGGTGGAGCTTGTTGTCGCTTGGGTTCTGCATCGTCATCGTCATTTTGGTCCTTGTTCAAATTTCCCATAACTATTCGTTCTTTAGGCTGTTTTTGTTCAAGTTTGCGAGACTTATATTGATACGAGGGAGTGGCAGGCTCAGTCAGTGCCCTCTTTTGAGACGTGGAAGTCTCTTGCTTGCGTGAAGTGTATACGGGTTTCGCTTGCTGACTTTGCTGCTTTCTTGAGACATAGGACGACGACAAGCCAGAACTTTTCAGAGGAGTTGCTTTTTGCTGGTCGTCTGATTTCCGTATCGATGGTGGTAAAGGTGTTGTTCCAGTTGCAGTTGCAGTTGAAGTTGAAGTTGCCAGTTCTTGAATTGAACTCGTATCAATTTTTGGTCCGATAATCATTCCATTCTTTTCATACTCCGCCTTCTTACTCAATTGACTCTTCGTTTTCAACTCCTCTAGAGCAATCTCATTCCTTGTAAAAACCAACTCCTTCTTCATCACGCAAAAGACATGGATCGTTGTTATGCTGTCAAACTTCTCCACATCGTGTTTGAGCTTCTCTTCATTCTCAGAAAATTTCACACCTTTAACACCATCCTTGTAAGCGCCAGTTATGACAAAGGATGCCGACACTTGTTCCTTATTCTTGGTGTAGTATTCATATAGAGTTTGTTTAGCTTGTGAGATTGGTATGCTCAACTGACGCGAGAATTTGCGGTACGAAACTGTGTTGGAGTTGAGAATGACTTCACTGGCCAAGTACTCAATTTCCGATACAGGTGCTTCCATCGTCATGGAGTTTGGACTGGGCATGGAGATATACAGAGACAGTGAACGATCCTTGCCCTTCACCTGTCCCTTTTTTTTTTTTATTTCTTTTTCTTGCCGTGTGACGCGTCATATATAATACATGCAAGATAGCTTAGAGTACTTTACATATCATTAGTTCACCAGTATATAAACATTCAATTACAAATAAATAACCTATATAAAAAATCAACTACTACAGAATTAAACACAATCAAAGCTCATCCCTTGCTGGGGCAGATCCAGATTCAGCTTCAAGTTGTTTCTTGTGTTCCAAATATGCTGCTCTCTTTTTCTCTCTAGCTTCAAGATTACCTTCCAATGGACCCTCAATCATCTCTGGAGTGACCCCGTTACTGATCAAAGTTTTCCAAGTCTTGATGTTTTCAAAACCGTTTTGAGCATATTGATAGTCAATGATTGCCTTTTGTACATCCTCTTTACAACTGAGGACAAATGGTCCGTATTGAACAACCTCTTGGTCCAACTTTTTACCACCAACCAAAATAAATTCTAACTCATTATCTTCGGAATCAGTTGTAGCTGTGTTCTCACCACTGATGTAGTCACCTTCTTCATTGAAGAAAACGTTTTGGAACTCATCTACTTTGGTATCTTCATTCAAAACCAAGTTCTTACCCTTCAACACATAAAGGAAGTAATTGAATCCTTTTTGCAATTCTTGCTTAAACTGTCCACCAGCCTTGACTTTGTAGTAGTAGTAGTTTATTGGAGTGTATGCCAAATCTTTGATCGACTCCACACCATAACTCTTTCCACTAATAACCTTAACCGTAACTTTACCATCATCAGCTTTGACTTCAGGAATTTCCCATTCTCTCAAATCTCTGTACCTTGGTTTAGCACTTTTCAAGGCATTTGGCAAATCAACCCATAATTGCAATCCAACAGTAGGAGATCCATCAGCATTAGGTACTGGCATTTCCGAATGCACAACACCTTTACCAGCAGTCATGAATTGCAAGTCTCCAGCATACAAAATACCTTTAGACCCCGTGAAATCTTCGTGAGCCATAGCACCGTGCAAAATCAACGTAATTGTCTCTTGTCCCCTATGTGGATGTTCTGGGAAACCATTAGTACCAGAACTTGAAAAGTGGTCAAACATCAAGAATGGATTAAAGTTTCTTTGGTTAATGACACCAATAGATCTGCGGACTGTGGCACCAACACCTTCAGCTTGTTGTCTAGCTGTGACGATCTTTGAAATTGTTCTAGCGGCCATTGTTGAGTTTAGAATTGTTATGATTAGAAAAATTGAAATTCCCATTGAGCTGGGGAGAATGGACATGTATTTATACTCGTGGGGGTTTGTATGGCTTGTCTAATTATTTGTGTAATAATCGCTGCGTCCGAAAAGATAAATTGCTAAATCAAACGTTGGAAGAATACCCAAGAATATATAAGAATGTGAATTAGTAAAAAATGACTACTGTGATAGGAGTAGATTCTTGAGTAAGATTTGACTAAAAAAGCATTAGAAACGCATCAGTTTAAGAGAAGTGTCATCAAGATAGATTGTAAATTAGACCCTAGCCAATACAAAAGTTGATTTGAATGCAATAATTCATTACTAACCGAACAAATTTTTCCTTGTGTATACCAGATGACACAAAAGCGTATTTGTAATGACTTAGTAAAGAGATCACTTACCTGCATATAAGACTTCACTTCCGTTTAGTAATGCTTTCGTTGTACTTTGGCTATCTAAGACAAGGGCGAGCATCTCTGTCAATGGAACATTGTACAACTTCGTACCTCACAGCTTGCATCATGTCTTTGAAAGTGCTTCTACCGTACATATTTCAATTCCTAGTGAACTACATTCTGTACAAAACTGCCTTTACTTGAATCTTCTTTTTTTTTGCAGTCATTTTCGCCACAACCATTTCATGGCCCCAGCAACCTCAGTCTACTTCTTTCTTGCGAAAGTGTATACGGTATCCCAAATAACCTCAATCTTTGTATCATAATCCCAACCCATTGCATTCTTCAACTCGTCAACAAAAACCTCTGCTATATCGTATTTATCCCCATGTTCTTTCATCCAAGTATGATATGCACTCCAGCTTCTAACATAGTTCAAAAACCACTTCATGTCAATGACCTTACGAATAAATAATGGTGTCTTCGTGACATAAGCATCTTCCGTTTCGCTTGGTGCACCATCACGCTCAGAGACGTACTCATGTCTCAGAATATCATAGAACAAATCTTTTGGGGGGGACTTCTCTTTCAATAAAGACCGTAAATAATCGTGACCCGGTTGTTGATAATAAGGACCCATATACCTTTCAAATTCATCTTGTGGACTCCTTTTCTTTGACGAGTTGTAAGTGTAGTTTTCGTAAATCTCATTTGCTTTAGGGTACCCCACAAAGACCGGGTCTTTATATAACCAATACGCCAAAGTTCCATTTGGCTTCAATACTCTAGCAGACTCTGTATAAAACTTCTCGTGATCCACCCAGTGGCAGCACTCTGCACCAGTAATTAAATCTACTGAACTGGGCAAGATTTTATTCGGATGCGATTCTGCTGATCCAATGATGAACTCAATTGACTTGCCTTTTGGGAGCTTTGGCGTGTTGCTTTGGCAATGAGATATCATCGTAGACGAAGGATCAGTTCCTACCACATTGTCAAAGTAATCAAGGAGCTTGAATGCAACAAATCCTGAGCCACATCCGATATCGATAGCGAGTTGTGTAACTCCTTTCTGCTTGTGGTACTTGATCAACTCCAAGTAAAATGGTTCAGGGTAATTAGGTCTTGCGTCATCATAGTGCTGTGAATTGAAACTTGTCTCTGAGTAAGTTGACATTGCAATGGTGGTGATCATCTTGAAACTCAGGGTTTCCAAGCTAGTTTTACAGTGAACTTTATATGCGGAGAAGAAAAACTCCGGAGCGGTACCGGAGTTCTTCGCAACTACTGTGCAAAATGAATAACGAATGCAAAAAACAAATGGTGTCTCAATAGCAAAGCTATACAACTGAGTGAATAAGAAGAGAAACTTTGAAGTGACTGTATATGAGGAAACTACAAGGTACTTAACAATGGGTCTACATCATGATTTTGGTGCATCTGGAAGGACACATATCTTCAAAAGAATGCAAATCTTGTTCCTTCATATTCCCACATTTCAAATCCGTTCCAGTAGGTATTAGTGTTCTGTTGATGAACGTTTTTTGATCTTGCCTTGGGGTTCTCCCCATTGGTAAGTTTATTTTATCTCTTTGCACCAGAAAGAGTAAAACGAGACAACACAAAATTATGCAAACACGAACCAGGAAAATCATAATCCATTGCTTAACAACAAGGTCAAAGAATGTCGGAGTCCAACAATCATGACAAAGATCAGGACAACATCGACTCTTCATCATTTGCAAGTATTTTGGCTGGTGTCAAACGTATGAGAGATGAATACGGAGGCGATTACTCAGAAAATGACGTAACCATACAAAGAAAATCTCGACCACAACTCCAACAGCCAGCACCCCCACCTGTTAGTTCATCAACGACTGCTAATCCGCCAACAGCTACAGCTACAAGCATCATAACCACTGCCCGAAAGGTTTTGGAAACTCAAAGAGCAACATTAGAGAAGCCAACAGCCAAACCGGTCTCACCGGCCGATGCAGCACGCTCCACGTCTTCCAATACCAACAATCCAGTACGACCGGCAAGACTACCGCAGCAGCAGCAGCAGCAGCAGCAGCATTCGCGATCAGGTGGGCTATCAGATATACTAGTTCACAAATCGCAAGAAAAGAACCCGCTATTGAGTGAGTCCATGATGAAAACAACGCCCTGGGTATTTGATGGAAGCATATTATCCGATTATTACATAAGTCCCACTTTCCAAATCTTATTTTTGTCTTTGAAATATCACAAGTTGAGACCTGAATATATCTGGACCAGATTGAAGAGATTGAACAAAGGATCCAGTATCGTTGAGAATCGAAAAGATAACAATTTACGTGTCTTGTTAGTGGTTGTTGATATTGAATCACATCAAGAAGTGTTGCGCAAGTTGTCCGACTTTTGTATTAAACATGACTTGTCATTGGTGCTAGCTTGGTCGTTTGAAGAAGCAGGGAATTACATTGCTCTTGGGAAACACTTCGATAATGCCCCACATCAAGCAAAGCAGAGTATTCGAGGTTTTAAAGGAGCAGACTACAATTCCAATGTGGTTGAAGCATTTACAGGTATCAAATCCGTTAACAAGACAGATGTCTCTAATCTATTGGCTAACTACAAATCAGTCAAGGAAATGGTGTTGCAATGCAGCAAGCACGACAATGAAATGTTGGGAAACATACCCGGCATGGGTACAGTGAAGCGACGCAATTTGAAGCAGGTTTTCCTGGAACCATTTATATTGAACCGAGCTCTGAATAAGTGAATATAACTGATGCGGAAAAAGTGTCATTTAAGCCTTTGTTTCTTGTTGCTTTTCCATTTCAATCACTTTCCTTCTCAATATCAAATTAATACCATTCAATAACTCATTCTTTTGGACAAGTATATCCCTCAACTTTTTCCCGTCTTCATCTAGTTTCTTAATCTTTTTATCGTAGACTGTTTTAGCATTCTCTGCCTTTTTCTCGACATAATACCCCGTTCCAATATCCACCAAATACTCTTGTTTGGTGACCGCTTTGCCTGGTATATACAAAGAGCTTGATAAGGGTACCAACATGTCATCGGTCTTGGATTTTTCCAAGTTGTTTATACTCGTTATGCAATCTTTTAGTTTCAATTGTGCTGTTTGTAAAGCTTGTAAGGATTGGGTGAAATGATTGATTTCTTGTTCAATGTTTTTACGTATCTCTACCAATTGTTGTGGTGGAAGTGAGTTGAGGTCTACCTTCTGTGGCTGGGACATGTTGAACGAATGGTGGTGACAATATTCTGGATATAGCACTGTCTTTTAATCTGGTGATGAAATAGATTTAATTTTCATTTCAATTTTAATTTCAATTTCAATTTTTTTTTTTTGCTTCTTCCAACGGCTTCCAAATACTTTACATCGCAAACAAACATAGATATAGACTCTACAAAACATGGGTAACGATGGCGGTACAATTGCCAAAAGACAAGATATACTATCATTGCATAATGCCAGATCCGCACACACCGCGTTTGCTGAAGATAAAGGGGAGAGCAAGGAACAAATATTGCTCCAAAGTTGCGCGTTATCAGGTCTACCATTGTACGAGAATAATCCTATAGTGGGCGACTTTAAAGGTAAATTATACATCAAAGAAAAGATTCTACAGTACATGCTAGATTGCAAGTTAGATAAACTTAAAAGACAGTTGCAGTTTCAACACTTGAAATCCTTGAAGGACTTGCAAACTGTCAAAATTACTTGGGACGTCATCAACGACATTGCTCATTTTCAATGTCCTGTCACGAAAGAGTTGGATTACAAGGCATCGTATTCATACTTACGACCATGTGGCTGCGTGATGTCATACAAATTGTTGAAGGAGTTGAAAAAGTCACTAAAGTCACTAAAGTCACGAGAAACTTCCACCCACATCGAGGCTCATTGCCCTGTGTGCAATCACGAATTTACATTTGACTACGATCTAGTCATTATTAATCCCACTGACAAGTCCGATTTCAGCGAATTCAATGAGGAAAACTACGAGTATTTGAGAACCGTGCTTCATCTAAGTCACGCCAAAGAGCCACTAAAGAAGAAGAAGAAGAGAAAGAGTGAAAGCGAGGATGCTGAAGAGGTCAAAGACGACCTTATACGAAAGAGGAAAATGGATACAGATGATGGTTTAGAAACGGGGAAACGAATTAGAGCTTAATAAAGAGTGTGTTTTACTCTATGTCCAAAAAAATTCCAATAGCATTTAATCCTAACTATGTACACGATAACATCTCTCGTTCAAAGTCTTAAAACCTTGATGCATTCTCTGGTAAGTGTCAACATTAAGCTTCCGTAGAACTTGAATCACCCTCGTTTCTTGATTGGTGGTACTGTTCCTCCTCAAATTTTAACTTTTTCTTATTCCAAGGAGCAAAATCTGAATTTGCCCAAATATTGAATGCTATTGATCCTCCACCAACAATGCAGAACCCGGCTAACCCTAGGACCGTTAGTCTGTGTACAACATCAGTGGCACGCACATGAAATGGAAGTTGGTTTTTACCAGCCATGTTGGAGAATTCGTGTGTGGTCTCAATGTATCACCTAACACAGTCAAAACTCTGATGATGATTTTTTTTCTTTCTTTCTTTTTTTCTTTTTTTGCTTTCCTTCTTCGTCTTGTCTCACATCCTCGCTGGAAATTTACATTACAAACTGGAACTTCCATTAAATCTCCTATGTACAGCTATAAAAGATACAGTAGCCATTCGATATTGACAATCCCCGATTCAACTAAAGACGGGTTAGCATATACCAAGTCAGGTAACCAATAGCTATTGTGGAGCCTGAAAATATTAGAAGCTACATGATCGAGATCATGCTCCTTGTCCAAAACCTCGCGAATTATATATTCCAAAATCTCACGGCTAGACTCATTGATAGAGTTCAAGTGTGACGGGAATACTCTGTTATCTTCACTCAATATCAACTCCAGTTCAGATGCAACAAAATTTTGGAATCTTCTAGAATCAAAATGGCCAATCGATAAAGTAGTCAATTGTTCCTGGTGAGAAATTTCTGAAATAGATCTTAATGCTTCGTAATTTCCAGTCTCGATACTAACGGGGAATTGTCTCGGTTGAATTCCTTGAATGATGAATTTCTTTTTGGGCTGCTCTTCTCCATCAACACGGATGGTTAAAACTTTGGCCTCAGCATTGGGGAACGCTTTTGTCACATTCTTTATAAAGTCAACAGCAGGTAATAACGGATGCAAATTAGGACTGCGGTCTCTTCCATCCACTTTCCAAATTTCCTGAAACTGTGTTTCATATGACTTCCAAATTGAAATTTGAGTAACCTCAACCTCTTCACTCGTTGTTGGCTCGTAGCAACAATGTAACCAGGTGGTTGCCCTCGCTGGTTCAGGGAATTGAAGCATAATCCTGTATAAGTCCTTGGTCAACTCTGGCGCCGCAAGGGGCGCATTTGAATGCTGGGTACGTCTAGTGAGAATCGTGTTAGGCACTGGTTGCGGCTTCACTGGTTCCAGTAACGGAAGATTTGACACAAGAAGTAACGGGAGCTGTTTGACCAACGTTTCGTAGTTTGCTCTTGTAGTAGATAGCTGCAATAAGTGCCTCAACCTGAATCGTTGCGAATCTTTTACTGAATTTGGATGATCATTGTGCAAAGCTTCAGAAAATAGATACATTTTCAAAAAGTCCAAAACTGCATTGTTTAAATCGTTATCGCCAACCAACAACGTGTTGATTATGTGCTCTAACTGCAGATCAGTAAGAGCATCCACGCAGTTATTGGTAATTTTGGTGTCATCTTCCTCTTGATCTAGTGCCTGGTTGTTGCCAGTGTCGTTGTCGTCACTGTTTTCATCATCTTCATCCGACCCTTTGGAGTTTTTGTGCCATGTTATAAGTAAGTGGGAAACACACTTGAGAGTGTTTATGAACAAATTCTTATCATCCGTGACACATAAAATTTGAAGTAAAGTGGTGAAGAGAACATCATGTTTTGAGTTGTTGATGTAGTAACATGTCAATGGCTCCAATAAGTCAATTATGTATGCTAGAGTTTCCGAAAATTGGTCTTCGAAACCTACTAATTCATCTATTTTCTTTGCAGGCTGGAAAAACCACCCCGACAAAAACTTTAAAATGTCAATCAACTGCTTCTTGAACCCGGTAATTTGTGACAACCATTGCTGGTTGCTCAAATCCTGAGCGGAGTTACGCAAAGTCAAGAGAGCATCCAAGCTATGAGTAAGCGTGCTTTGATTCACTGAACAGTACTTCTTGTCGTGCACTAACTGATATGGTTTGTATAGATATTGAATCAACTCTTGGGCTATAAAATTATCCTCTTCAAATTGTAAATAAGGCTGGATAGAATTTCTAGCCAAACTTTGTAACGCCCAATCAACCTCTGAGAGTATTTGGGATTTCAATGCCATGATAATTCTCAGCTTCTCGCTTATACCACGATGATTAGTTCCAATTGCTTGTGGTTGTGCATAACTCCCGTACAACCCATAGTTGGCTCCTATACTCTGGTATTGGCCAAATCCAAACTGCAGCGCACTCTGGGTGGAACTATTCAACGGTACAATAGTCCTGGAACTTGTGGTAATTGGAACAAGGGACGGCATAAGGACTTGGATATTGTAGCTGATTAAATTAAAAAGACTGTGGAATGTTTTCAATTTTGTTTACGAAAAAAAGAAAGAAAGAAAGAAAAAAAAAATCGACAGAGGTAGTGTATCTTGGTGAATAACCACTACAAATATACTTTGCTTGACGGTCCAGACGAGTTAGCGGCAGTTCTCAGTAATCTTTCAAGAAACTATCAGGTAAGGTTCCAAGGCGTGCCTGGACGAAGACTTTTGTATCTTTGTCCCCCCCCCCCAAAAAAAAAGTGAGCCTGGTGGTCTTTTCCTCTTTTTTAGACAGCAATTCCGCTTTCTCTGTCGGCGTTCCGTTCCTCAATTTTTCTTTCTCGTTCTGGTGCCGCCTCCACGAAAAGGACGCACATATTGAGTAGTTTATTCTTGCTTGCCACTACGCACCGATTGGATACAGTGGCAACCTTCTACTACCTGCTAGGATACATTACCTTCCACAATGAAGACATCAACGCTTCTTCAAGTGCTTGCCGTTGCTTCTACAACTCTGGCCCTCTTTGGTGGTCTCAGCAATCTTTTCAACACTGAGAATGAGCAAATTTTGTTGATGAACGAAAACATGGAAGATGAAGCATCATATAATGCTGATCTTTCTGCTGTATTTCGTCAAATGAGTCACCCACCAGAGATTTTGAACACAGCTTGGAGAGATATGCGTGATAAATTATCGCCTTCTAAAATTGCCAAATTGATCAAACAGTACCAACTGAAATTAGACTCACCAATGAAGAAATTGAAGTCTGAGAACAAGGACTCCACCAAGTTCGAAATCTTGTCCAGTAGCAAATTTAGTGACTATTCGTTGAGGATCAAAAATACCAATCCTGAAGTTTTGGGACTTGATACCGTCAAACAATATACTGGATACATTGATGTGGAAAGCATTGACCACCACTACTTTTTCTGGTTCTTTGAAAGTAGAAATGACCCAAAGAATGACCCGATTGTTTTGTGGTTAAACGGTGGACCTGGATGTAGCAGTGCTACGGGGTTGTTCTTTGAATTGGGTCCCTCCTCAATCAACTCGACATTAGAGCCAGTCCACAATCCGTACTCGTGGAACTCAAATGCATCAGTCATATTTTTGGATCAACCTGTTGGTGTTGGTTATTCCTACTCGGGTGGCGACGAAGTCAGAAACACTGACACAGCCGCCAAAGACGTTTATGTATTCTTGGAGTTGTTTTTCCAAAAATTTCCCCAGTTCCTTCAAAACAAATTCCATATTGCTGGTGAATCATATGCTGGACATTACATTCCAAGATTTGCTAGTGAAATCATCAACAATGCCGACCGCTCATTTGAATTGGCATCGGTTTTGATAGGTAACGGAATAACGGATCCCTTGATCCAGGCCGGTGAATATAGACCAATGGCATGTGGTCAAGGTGGATACAAGCCCGTTTTATCGGATGAGCAATGCGATCAGATGGAGCGCGACTACCCAAAATGCGCAAATTTAGCTAAATTGTGTTACAAATTTCAAAACGCATTTTCTTGCGTTCCTGCTCAATATTACTGTGATCTCAAACTTTTGCAACCGTACATGGACACCGGTTTGAACCCATACGACATTAGAAAACCTTGCGCCGAGGAAGGGGGTAACTGTTACTTGGAAATGAATTATGTTGATGACTACTTGAATTTGGATTATGTGAAACAGGCCGTTGGTGCATCCAACATTGACATCTTCACCTCCTGTGATGACACGGTATTCAGAAATTTCATCTTAGATGGAGATGAATTTAAGCCATTCCAACAATACGTAGCAGAATTATTAGACCATGACGTTCCAGTTTTGATTTACGCTGGTGACAAGGATTACATTTGCAACTGGTTAGGAAATTACGCGTGGGTAAACAAGCTAGACTACGAACACGGAGAGGCATTTGCCAATCAGCCTTTGAAACCTTGGGTTCCTGCAAAGAGTGCAGTTGCTGTAGACGATGCAATGGAAGCTCAAGGGACAAAAAAGCCAGCCGGTGAGGTGAAGAATTACAAAAAATTCACATTCTTGAGAATTTACGATGCTGGTCACATGGTTCCATACGATCAACCAAGCAACTCCTTGGCAATGCTCAACACTTGGATCCAAGGCGATTACTCACTCGGGTATTCCCCTCGTTGATTGAATACCAATCCCACCACCCTAATTATTTTTTTTTTCTTTTCATTTGGTCAGCTCAGCTCAACCTTTGTGGTAGAATTGCAGCCCGGGAAATTAGATGGTAGACGCCTGTGAACTTTTTACAAGACAGTTATATTTTACACTTTGAATAAAAACAGTAGTTTCGTAGTGTCGCTTCAAAGTAGAGGCTGTGCGTTTTCTTCCGCAACAAATGCTGCGCATCCCTTTTTTGCCTAGAAAATGCATGAACATAACAAGGCAGACTATATTTTCTTGACCCTTACCGGATCTAGTTGTTTTTAGTATTACGTTTTGCCTTACACAAGACTACTGTGAAAGACCGTGACTATCGATTCTTCTATTTCCTGCTGATGGCGTTCTCGAGTACTAAAAACTGAATTCGGTATGAGGCAAGAGATAGCCAGTTAGATTCTTTGCGTAGTAAGTGCCTCTAACTCAATTTGTGTGGGGTGGGGGGAATAATTCACAAAAAAAAAAACACCACGCATGATAAGAGATATAACATTTGTAGAGGGTCAGCATAGATAGCAACACTAGCAACACTATAATTAATTATTCTTACCCTTTAGAAGCGATGTGATTTCGGAAAAAGGCGTTTATGAGAGTAAGAGTGGTGTTGCAATATGCACGACGCGCTTGGGGGTGAATTTTGTGTGCAATGTGTAGGGAGTTACAGAGAGAGCCCACAATTTTGCACATCACATTCTTCTATCTTAGTTTTCTCTTTGCAACAGTCACCCCAGTATTTGATGTTGCATCAGATGAGTTTCAAAAGACAATGATTTTGTGGGATGGGTTTTATTGGTGGATTCAGTAAGAAGCTTCATGAATAATAACCCAGTCTTGTTTTTGTAACCAACCTAATGATAGTATTCATTTTTTTCTTTTGTGTCCTCTTCTTTATGCTAGCGCTGTGCTGGTCGTTTATTGTCTTGTTACAAATTAGTTGCAGGTATGCGTCGCGCTTATCCACCAGCATTGAAACTTTAGATTGCAGTTTATGAGAAGTTACGAGAGCACTAACTGATAGATGACTCTATAATCCATAAGCTCACTTTCAGATCACTTACTCGATATATCTTTTTTTAGTTTTCGTTTGGCCGCCTACGCTGTGCAATCGACCACATTTCCAATCGGGACAGAACTATTTGTCCACATCTCCTACAGCTTACATAAACTCACTTTGTTCGGGTTTTGCCTAGCTTTCATCAAAGGTTATACCACGAAGAGCTTATATAAAAATAAAAATAAGTTTTATTTTTGCTTGGCTGGGCGTGTATATGGTCGGTGAATGATCCCAATACGTCCAGTTTCTTTCCCAATTAGGGAGTGCAGCTACCTATTTGAGACGCTTGCATGGATTATGTAATCGTATATGATTTTGTGGGCGAAAAAAAATAAAAACTCGTTTGATACTTCCAGCTATGTACAGACGCCAAAAAGGATTAATAACTTTGATTTTGCAGTTTAAACTGAATAAAATTTGAAACTCTCGGGAAATCTATATAAGTGTACTCGAATAACCACCAACTTGAATCTGATCCCATTGTTTCTTGTCTCTTTTTTTTTTTTTTTTCTTTTCCCTCATCAACTACATTTGTTCACCAAGTTATTTACTCCAACTACTTACTTTCGTTAATCTTTATTACTACACAATGCAATTCACTTCATTAGTCACCGTCGCCAGCTTGTCTGCTTTTGCTTCAGCCGCTGCTTATGCCAACGGTACTGTCGTCACTGTTGATGTTACTGTAACCGGATACACCACCTACTGTCCAGAACCAACCACCTTGACCATTACTGTTTGTGACCAGGATATTTGTAAAGCCAGTGAAATTGAGGTCAATGAGCCAAAGACCATCACTGTTACTGAGGAATGTGTCATCCCAACTTCATACACCACCAATGAAATTACCATCACAAAGACCGTTTGTGATGAATGTGAAAAGACTGCTGCTCCTGAAGAAGAAGAAGCTCCTGCTAAAGCCGCTCCAGCTGAATCCGAAGCACCATCTTCAGTAGCTGTTGCTCCACTTGAAATTGATACCACTTCTACCGTCTATCAAAATGTCACCTCATACGAAGGTGCCGGTGCTAAGAATGCCGCTGGTGTTGCTGCAGGTTTGGTTGCTATTGCTGCTGCTTTGTTGTAAGCTCGATAGGTATATATGTCAGTTGAGTATAATTTATAAACAGATATATCTACAGGACATTGCACTCTTTCGTCCATTTCAAAACATCTGCAGATTTGTAGTGTAAAGGCAACTGCTCCTGCTGCAAAGTCTTCCCTCGTTCTCAACGCCAGAATCGTTGAATAATTTTTTTTTTTCCTCTACACCCCATTCCAATCGACTCACAAACGAAATATCTGCTTAAAGATTCTTCAATCACCACAGTGGGCCACATGAAGGTATAAACACACCATGGCGCTATATTCGACTGAAAGTGGAAGTCCACATGATCTGCATAGCTTTTACAATCCCCATTCTACACCAATAGACAACCAAATTTCAACTTTTCCTAAATCATCCAGGTTTTTTGACACATCAACTTTGCCGGATTTGAAACACCTCGAAGTCAGTGACGATGTGCACCACCAGGTCTTGTTTAACGGCCAAGTTTCGAATTTCAACTACAGTCCTTTCAATATATCACAACAAAAATTAAAGGCCTCGCCAGCAATAAACTACGACCTGATACCAAACAAGTTCGCTATTGCGCCGACAAGTTATCAGGAGGAAAATGAAATTCCGTTTTTGCGATTGAGTGAAGAACAGGCGAAAGACCCTATCTCTTTCATTGACAATCTACGAGAATTGGGCAGCAAGTATGGAGCAGTCAAGGTCAAACTTCCATCAAAGGATGAGAAATTGTTTCAAACTACGAATCAAGTCAACTCAGATTTGTTTTGGTTCCATACAAACAAGTTACTCAACAATCCTACAAGTGACGAGCTATTAGTAAGACTTGAATTTCACCGTAATTTACTTCAATTCCATCAAAGTGATCAACACAATTATTTCGAGGATGTTGATGCAACAAGGGCAAAAGAAAAGAATGGCACTGCCAATTTGCAGTTTCATTTGAACAAGTTACCAATGATTGACAAGCGGCCCTTAGACTTGTATAAATTATACCAATCAGTAATCATACGAGGTGGATTCATCGAAGTGATCAACAAAAAACTTTGGGCTCAAATAGGACGAGAGTTGGGTTACAAGGGGAAAATCATGACAAGCTTGAGTAGTTCCTTAAAGGCATCTTATCAAAAAATTCTATACCCTTACGAATTGTATCTTGCCAACCGAAGTATGGGTTTAGTTAAGGAAGAGCAGTCAACTTTGGAAACACTACTGTCCGGTAGTAAGCGAAATATTCAACCCATAGACACGCCCGAAAAAAAACAAAGAGCTGATAATCGGTACTATGCACCTCGAATTGTTGGTTCGGAGAAACAGTTTAAACGCCAGCTCAATACAAAGGTTTCAAAAGGAATGTTGGCCAATTCTCCCCATCTAATAGATGTGAAACAACCCAACACTTATGTTGTCAAACAAACTGACAAGAAACGAAACAAAAAGGCAGCGGATAAAGTAACTGCATTCATAACACCTCAAGCTCTGCTTCAGGCGGGGTTGTCCTACATACGAGATCATCAAGATGAATCTTGTTCTACGGATGTCCCCAAAATTGCTTCTTCCTATACATTAAGACAATTTATGGAGAAAGACATAAAGTTTCAAGAGCACATAATCCATCAAAATAGACACTTGTTTTGTCCAGATGCTAGTCAAAGAGATTGTATAAAGTTCCAAGATCTCGAAAACCTATATTGGAGATATGCCAGAAATACCGACATTGACCTGGTATTTTCCAATGGGATTGAACTCGAAATGGGTAAGGACTTGCCAACTTCTGTCCATGGTTCCGGTTTTGTGAGAATTGGTGATGACATAGCAAACTTCAAGAATGCGCTTAATAACCACCTATTGAGTCTTTCTCACGCAAAACTGGCGGTAAATTCAAAGAACCCAAACACCACACCTCATGTATTCTCACAGCAGAACCCTTGGGATTTCAACAGGGTCGACAATATAGATCAAACTATAGAGTCGGCATTATACCCCTGGAATCTTCACAACTTTGCAACTCTACCAAATGCTATACTAGGAACTTTAAACCAATTCGATGTGGGAAATCAAGAATTGACAGAAACTAGGGTAAATGTTGGCATGACTTTCAGCACCGAGAACTGGACATGTGAGGATCACTTTACTCAGCTCATAAACTACCATTTCTTTGGAGCTCCAAAACGTTGGTACTTTATTCCAGAATCAGAATTTGACAAATTTGAGCGATTAGTCAAAGATGTGAATACAGATTTGACGTCTTCATCTGCAATGAGTCGAAACGAAATATCTAGAGCCGAGAGCGTAAGCACAGCTTTGTTTAGATCCAGTAATGAAGAACTTGAAACGGATTTAGTGATCAAAGCCATCGAGAACTCAGTGAATACAAAGGCGGATCACAAGCTCCCACATCGCAATGTGAGATTTGCAAATTTGTGCCAACGAGGAGAGCTTCTCTTAAACCAAGATTTACGGATAACGCCGGAATTGCTAGATTATCACAATATTCGATACACAACAACAGTGCAGCATCCTGGGGAATTTATTATAAAGTTTCCTAAAACTTACTCATCAGCTCAATCGTATGGATTCAATTTTACAGAGGAGACTAATTTTGCATCTAGCTTGTGGCTAGATTACGCTTTACACGGAGAAAAGTGGCTAACTAAACAGGGTATATTGTCTAATTTTCTGATCTTCAAACTCCTTATTACTGTTGCATCAATTTATGACAATGGAGGCAGCATATCTTTCAACTCAGATGTTTTCTCAAAAGTTGCAAACCTCTATAAAGGTTTGTATCTCAAAGAAATTGAATTGAGGGACCAAATAAGAAAGTTGAAAGTAAAAGAGACAAATGTCACTGAGGAGTCTTTGTCTGATATAATTGCTGATGACGACTATGGTGCTGCTTTTCCGTCTCGTGTAATGATTACTGATGTTGATTCCAAGGACTCCATGTTTGTATCAATGGAAAACTTTTTACATTACTCATCGTCACCTGAATTTATGGAAAACTTTGTTGTTGAGTTACAATTGTTTCATTCGGATGAAAAACTTAAAACCTTCCACAAAGTTTTAAGTGAGTATTCGGTTGATTTCGAGTCATGGATTCAAAATTACGAATCGTTGATGGCTGAGGGCGATGAGATACCATTGAAGCAGTACAAAGTGTTGCTCAACGAGGGAGACAAGATAAATTCATCGATTTCGTCAACTTCGGTTGTTGGTGGCCAATCATACGATCAGCAACGAATGCGCGTATTTGGTGAATACCTAGAAAACTTGAGATATTTTACAACAAGCGCGTCTCAATTTATTGAAGAATGTCAAAATGTTTTGGCCCTCAAACACCAGCAGCGTATTAGAAATGGACAGGATTTAGCGCATCAGGAGCGTGCATTTTCTTTGAAGGAGTTAGCAAGTCTCGTTGAGAGAATCTCCAGTTTGAACTTTACGTGTCCAGAGATTGAACAGATTTTAGAACTCAAAACGGAGATTCAAAATTTTGACAAGGCCAGCCGCTCACTAATTGCAAAGAAGGGCAGATCATTGCAGGAATTTGATGATTTGATCAGTCTTGGGGAAAGTTTTGGCTTGGATATCCCGTCGTTGGATTTCATCATTAGAATACGAAATCGATTGAGATGGATCAAGACGTACAACTTGATTGAAAAAGGAGTGGACCCTTTTTCCGACAGAAAAGAAGTGTTTTCGATTGACGATTTGAAAGAGTTTTACAATTCAGGTTTGGAACTTCTAGCAGCGGGAGACCTTGAATATATACAACTGATTGAAGTCATTTTGAACCAAAGCATTGTTTTCAACAATGATGTCAGAAAGTTTTTGCAGTACACCTTTGTACATGACTTGGATGTCGAGAAGTTGAGATCGATAGTTGACAGCTTCACTCTGGAGAAGTTGTTCTTGTCAAGTGAAAATTACTCAGAGCTATCTAAAGTCCATTCAAGCTTGGAATTAATAACTCGATACAAGGACACACAGGGAGGTGGAAAATTGGCATACCACGAGCTAAAGCAGTTGTATAATGGAATTATCGACAGCGGGTTGAAGTTTGAAACTAGCTCAATTCAAGAATCATTGCAAAAAACTGAGTGTTGGTCAGATTTGCAATGGCAAAAACTTGAGAAAGTCAGGATCATAACAACTATCAACAATACAATAGCTCGTGACAGTGTAAATCCCAAATTCACGTTCAATGCCAAACTTGTGGAGAAGGTCCAGCGGCTTGTCTACAAATGTGAATTTAGTTTGTCCATTGATGACAAATTTGAGGAATCTTCTTCCTTTGTCAGTCACCAAGAGAATGAGCATGATGATCCGAAATATTACTGTGTTTGCCGAGAATATGAACATGGAACCATGGTTGAGTGCGACGAATGCAAAGAGTGGTATCACGTGCAATGTGTCAAGGACTTTAGTAAACCTAAGGAAGAAATTTACAAATGTCCTATTTGTCTATTGTTGAGTCTGGGTGAAACTGAGGATAAGTATCTCATGACCAAGTTGTCCATGGATGAGTTGATCGATATGTACAACGATGGTGAAGCATTGGAGGCAGTCCCAGTCAACGAAATGACAGCGATGAAAGACTTGATTGATATATTGAACAGCTATTCTCGTAGTCTCAACTTGAACGACGTGTTGAATGAGCCAAACGAACAAACTAGATTTGAAAAGTTGATGTTTGTATTGCGAAAGTTGTATGGATGTGGAGTGCAAATTACTGACTTGTTTCAAAAAGTTTTGCGTCACACGAGATTGGCGCAACAAGATATCGTAGCCAAAAAGAAACAAAGCAATGCACAGTCTGTCCCCGCCATGTCTGAGGAAACTACACAGCAACAGCTTGAGACTGGTACAGGTGGTGCAATCGAAACAGAGCTCACCGGGAAAGAGAATGGTATTCAGCCTATGACGAATTGGAAATCTGCTATGCGTGAAAATGGCATTGAAGCTCTGCATGCAAATGGAGTAGAAATTGGCATAAAAGACAACAAACTGGTCGTTAATTTTCACCCACCGAACGAAAGTACTCAAGAGATTCGTTTTGAAAATGGCGTTAACGCTGAGCTCGGTGATCGGTCAAATGCGCATGCTAGTCAGTCAAACTTGACCACTCAAAATCATGCAGGATCCACAAATTTTGCTTTTCCAAGTGAAAACCTATCTCGTGTGCAAAACTTGTCGTCGTCGACCAATACCTCAACAGACAACCCTGTCCCTGTAAAAGACAAGAGCACAAAAGATGAGGTGGATCTTCAAAACGTACAAAATTCTAGAAAGCAGCAGATCTTCATTGGTACAGCAAAAGACATAAGTTCCCAAAATTCACCTCATTTGAAAGACCCAGATGCGAAAAGTGCTGCTGAGCTCTCGCATTGACACTGATCTTTGTATATAGTCAAGTACGAAAGAAGTTAAATGCAAAATAAAATACGCGCTCAAATATTTATAGGAATTCTTTTGTTTACCAAAAACAAATCTACATACTCTCCAAAAGCAACGGGATAGCACTCGCCACTATGTTTAGCAGAACAATGACATCCACGTCGATGACTTGCGAAAATGCATTGGAGCATCTAATAAATCAAAGCTGGGAGCAGTGTGTTGGAAGCGGGGATAAGATTTACGTTAAACAAGTTCCCGTTCTTGTGACAAAGATGGAGGAAATATTGGCGATTGATTCTACTTTTACCAAAATTGTACGAGATTCGCTTAGCGATTTTGTAGCCAAGAACCCCATGTCCAAGTTCAATAAGTCAGACGCGAGAAAAGTCATCATGAGTCTGATCAGCCCAAAAGAATTTGCAAGTACGCTACGAAATAAATATGGCTTGACAGATGAGGTTGTTTGGGCGAGGATCAACACTTCAAAAACTGCTCAAAATGACACGTTCCATATTTGGAAAAGGCACCAGGATACAGCGGAGTTGAGATCAAAGTCGATGAAAGATGAAGAAATTGAAAATTTAAAGAAAGAGGTTGCGATTTTGAGACAAGCCAATAGTGAAAAGGAGATCCAGTTGAGGACATCAGCGCGAGAGATTGATCGACTAAATACTCGTGTTAAGAGCTTAACCGCCAGTCACAGAGACAGGGGAGATGGCGAGAGATCATTGGCTGCTCAATTGGCTGATAAAGATGCAGCATTGGTCGAGCTGGCTCAACAATGTAAGAAATTCAAAGATGCGTGTATCGAGTATAAGCAACGTGAAAAAGAGACTGCTTTGGCGTTCAAGACCTTGGAGAAGGAAATTGAGAAACAAAATGAAGTGGTGCTGTTTTTACAAAGTAAACTACCGGTTGAGAAGGGTTCAAACGCCTTCAAGGACTTTCTCAAAAATTTGCCCATAGTTAAAGAAAGCTTCATCTTTTTGAAATACAGACATGAATTGAAAAACAAACGTTTACTACTAACGTCTGTGTTGAGTATAATTTGCATGTTTTTGCTCATGGTGAATTTAGTTCTGGTAATTTACTATCTTCTATTGCCAATGGTTGGTTCGTTTGGTAAAGGCTCAGGTATTGTTTACATGGAGGAGGAGGAGAAAACTCGATCCCCAGGACTACTAGACTTGATGAGTGCCATACCGTCAGTAGAGAAGTTTATATACGAATGTATAGATTGGTGATTATAAAACACAAAATAATTTCCATTAATAAAACTACATAAAAATAGTAAATCTAGAAAGATCAAAATTATATTATTAAATATTTACAGACCTTCCTGGAAAGAAGAAGCAAAAAAAAGAAAAAAAGATCCAACAGCATTAAAAAATCCATCCCCACGCTTAGTTCATTTGCTTGACCAAAGCGTTGATGAAATCTTCTCTGTTACCGGTGTCACCACCTTGGATAAAGTGTTGGAATTTTCTTGATCTGAAACCACCAGTTGGGTTAGATAATTTGAATGGCCACAAGAAGTTGTTGACTTGTTTGAAGTTTGGACCAACAGTGTAGATTTCGTGAATCAAATCTTCAATAGACAAGATGTCGTATTTACCCAAGTTGGCTTCAATGATGGCATTGTCAGACAAAGCAATTCTTTGCTTGTTGATCTTACCGTAACCTCTCTTGTAAACCAATTGTCTGATGGTGGACAATGATGGGTAACCGTAGGCAATGTATGGTTCAGCCAACTTGATCAATTCGGAGGTAGCTTTAGTCAATCTGACAAAGACACCGGAGTTGATTTGAGTCAATCTCAACAATTGCATAACCTTTCTTGGCTTTGGTGGAATCTTCATGATACCCTTGATTCTGACAACGAAAACCAATTTTGGTTGAGCGTCAACGTAGTATGAGCCGGAAGCCTTGGCATCTCTCTTGGCCTTGATGACTGATCTTTCAGCATCAGAGTATTCCTTTTGGTACTTGGCGGCTCTGTCGTAGATGACCTTTCTCTTTTCCTTGTTAGACTAAAAGATTTAAATGTTAGTATTTCCTGGACAACTTCACACTTGTGCAAACCCTCAAGATTATAGATATTTTCTCAGTCCCGAAAGATGGTTAACTGAAAGACAACATAGCCGAAGCTAGCCATTATGCATTGGTTTGATTTCATCTTCAAAAATAAAATGATTCGAGGACTGCATGGAAATCAAAGTGTGTACATACAATTCTTCTGGTCTTCTTAGCAGCAACTCTTTCCTCGGCGGTTTTTTGTTGAGCCTTTTCCTTCTTTTGTTGAGTTTCTGGCTTGATAGCCTTAGCAATGGAGTTCAATAAACTAAAGAATAAACAGTTAGTAACCTTGAAAGAACAAAACATATTCTTTCCAGCAACCTGTAGATAACTCCACAATTCTCCTCTAGAACAATTTCGAATCCATCGATTGTTTTGTATTGGACCGGAAAGGCAATACACGGATACAGAACTGAACGGCCAAGTTCATTCTGATCCACAATCGATATAGATTCTCAAAACTCAGAGGAAAATAGACGTATCAGGCATTGGCTAAAACGAAGATATATTAAAGCTGCAAGACAATCTAATTTTCCCATGGTTGGATATGAAAAAATAAAAATAGAACCCTTTCCTTTCTCGAAAGACTCTGATGCAAAGGATCATGTCTTATTCAATCCCCGTCTCAGCAAATCTCTTTTAAAAAGAGTGCTGGACCTCTGATTTGTATCCACATACGTAGCCATTTTTGATCTTCAGTTCTTGATGGTAAAAAGAAGAGAATGTATGTCAGTTTGTGAAAAATTTCGATGCGCTTACTATTTTCTTAAAAATAAAAAAAATAAAAAAAAAAAAAGGAAAGCTTTCTCGTCGGAAGCTTTGTGGTGAGAAAACAAATTATAAAATCTTACACGTGCACAAACCCAAACAAGTAGGGCTGCAGCCCCAATCCATTGACATTATATGTAGAATGGATTCTGAAAGCTTCTCTCGGCCTTCGTCTTGACCTCGAAGCCTTCCCATCTCTCCCTCTCTTTTCTGACGGCGCCACTCTACCAATTTATTATTGGTAACACGAACAGTCACTTGATCTTGATTGCAGATTCATGGCAACCAAAGAGATTGTTGATGGTTTGCAGCCAATTTGGTTGTAATCGTATCCATCCACAGTCAGACTGGATTGGCCTTGAAGTGTTTGCTTGTTTCCAGATTGCCGGAAGGGGTAGTGTAAATAACTTGTAATCGAGTGCGTATATGAAAGAGGTAGTTTCTATTGCCCTGTGTTATCAAGAGGTTGGCGATTTGTAATACGCAGCTCTCATTAGAGACATCTGCAGTACCGAGTATCACAACTGACACACATGTACGTTCGAGGGTCGCGTCAATCATTCAATGCCCTGCCGGCTTTAGCCAACTGTCTGCCTTTCTTGGCCCCAACTATTGCGGCCCGAGCGTTACCAATATGGCCCTGTGGATTCCAATCACTCAGTAGTGCTGCCAAGATCTAAACTCAAGACTATGACAGTCCATTTGTACTACACGTATAACAATTTCTGCGTATCATTTGATGAGAAACCTAAACACTGAACAAAAACCCCAAAAAAAAAAAAATACAGTAGTCTTAGTATCATATCAATCTTACTCTTCTAAAGATCTTCCGGAAGATCACTGAAGTCCAATTCATCCAAGTTGATGGACACCTTTTCTCCAAAGGTGTTCTCTCCTGAGTATAACACATACAAGAAACCATCTTCATCCTTGTGTTCTTCATAAATCGTACTAATCAAGGCAGCTGTTGGGGGTAAGATATCATTGACAAATATGAAAATAGCCTTTTCGCTAGGTAACTTGATTCTCTTTCTGATAACATAAACAAACTGGCCAACCGTCAAGTCAACGGGAACCAAATACTTGCGTTTATCAATTTCAGGAATATCAGAGTTTTCAACCTTTTCGCAAATGACAGGAACTCTATCCTTGAACCTCTGTGCGATTCTAGCAGCTTCTGCTTGTCTCTTTTCTAGTTGTGTATTGGTTAGTAATCAAAGTCAACGTTGCTCTTGTTGAAGACAAGAACGTGCGCAAATGTAAGGTCAACAATAATACATACCAAAGGGGTGCTCGTCTTTGAATTGTGATCTCATCTGTTTAATGTGGCTACGACTGTTGTTAGTACTGTGTATTGATGACCAAAGAATATGTGTTTGTTGTTTGCTCTTTAATCGATTGAGAGAGAAGTGACCGAAAACAGTGGCGTTTCGCAATGACTGATTGTGGAGATAAAGGGAAAGAAAAGAAAAAACAAAACAAAACAAAACAAATAAAGGGGAGGGGGGAACGACAAAAAGCTCTCTGATAAGAGCATCAACAAAGAAAATTGTTTAACACATACACCTTGTTAGTTATTATATTGATTGAGTGATGAACGATGGATAGCGAGGTTGAGTAGTTGTCTGGATTTATCTATAGCAAAAAAGGGCGGAGAGAGAGAGAGAGAAAGAAAGAAAAAGAAGGGAGAAAGATACTGAGGAATGAGGGAGGTGCGTGCGGGTGTTTTGTTTTCGTTTGTGTCGGATGCTTTTGACGAAAGATAACGGACACGCATTTCTCATGATAGGCACATATAATCTGTAATCAAACAAACACACTTTCTCCATACAACAACATATGTGCCCAAGTACTAAGGAACACAAACAGATTCCGCTCCCTAATTATAAGGAACTGCTGCATTAGGGTCTTGATATTCATACAAAGCAAACAATTTGAACACAGTGCGAGAGGAGAAAGATAAGGTCGTGTAATTTCGACTTGTGGAGGTTGTATATGCTGTATACACACGTCATATCAGTCTTATTTTATTTTTTTTGTGTAGACATACACGCACATTCGATTCGTATTTGCGTGTTGCAAAAACATCACCCAGTTCCTAAGTTCGACATCAACGCCAGGTATTACATGGTCACCACATCAGAGCTCAAGCGGCTAGAGTCACTACACAATAGAAGAGATAAAGAATCAAAAGATATAGACAATGGAAAACCTAACTTATTTTCAATTGATTGGCTAATAAGGCAAGAGTTGAATCAAGAAGGACCAACAGACACAAATAGCTTGGCCGAACGTAATCTTAGAAATAAACGGCTAGAATTGTTGTTTCAATCGATTGACAGTGATCTGGACGAGAAAAATGATACATATAGGGAAACAACACCAAACGAAAGTCGAGCCAAAAAGGAAGAGGAGACGATGAGAGATGAAACTTCCATAAACTACCCCACAACATTTTTGAAGCCTCACGAATTGACCAACGACTTGGAGATAGATCTAATGGAAAGCTCTTTATTCAGTAATAGGCATGACCATCAACTCAAGGACCCTAATTCAGTGCAGCATAACAGCTATGATATCGTTGACAGTCTCACAAACAGTAACTCCGTGAAAGATAACAGTTTAAGGTCCGTTGGCTCCCCTGACTCGATCCCAGCTCGTGATAGAGCTTTTGGAGTGATTTCGCCAAGAATAACTCACAGACATCACAGAAACCAATCGACACTGCTCGGTACTGACACACATTCATGCAAGGCCAATTTAAAGCCATTAAAACGTTTCAGATCTGTTTCACAGTGCGACTTAGTTTTCCCAAACTTGAATTTCAAAAAGCCCAAGAGGTAGGTTTAAAATCTTGACACACGAAAGCCATTAGAGTTTTGTCGGACTCACAACCGATCGAAAGCAAATGGTTTCAGATTTCCCAATGGGACCAAACAGAGGCTTAAGTTATACGACGCGGTATCATTTCTTTTTTTTTTTTTTGTAACTCACACGCTTTTCTTGGTTCAACAGCCAGCCAGAAGAAACACGCAACAGTGAAGGACAAAAAAAAATAACCACAACAGAAGAACCTATCTATAACAGGACATATCCCACATATCCACTTCGTGTAAACCTATCCATTCTAACGATGTTGAGAGCATTCACTAGATCATTCTCGTCTACCATTCCAAAAAAGAACTTTGCAAATGGCCAATTGTTTGGTAGAGTTGGAAACGTGGACTTTAAAGAGTCAGCAAATGGAGTTAAATATGTCAGATACTCCTTAGCTGTTAACAAATTCAGAAAAGGTGAAGAAGCACTCACTGATTGGTACAACATCACAATTTTTGACGAAGAGGAATTGCAAAGAGCAGAGAAGGCTTTGAGAGTTGGAAACAAGATGATTGTTGACGTTACGTTAAGACTTGACAAGTTTGAAGATCCCGAAACAAAGAAAATTCAAACAAGAACCTCTCTTATTCAAAAACATGCCGAAATTGTACAGTGGGGTAAAAGACCAGACGAGGATAGAGCTGAAGCCACAGAGTAATTGAATAATGAATCATTTTGTATATCTAATATATCTTCCCACCTCCACCTCCTCTCTCTCTCTCCCCCCCCCTCTTCTATAACTATTTCAATGTAATTTCTTAGCCAAACTTAACTCATATGCGAAAGCTACGGTTAATTTGACGTGCTCTCTCACATGTTCAAAGTCAATTCTATCAATGGTGTCCATGACTGAGTGAATGTACTTGTTGGAATATTTCATTTCACTCTCAATGAGGAATGATGACGGATATCCGTTTTCCAAAGCACTAGCATGATCTGAGCAAGCGTACCCACATTCACTTGAATGATAAGGAATGGAGTTGTACGTCTCGATAATCAATTTGATGAAGCTGTTCAATTCGACACTTGTGTAATCCTCAATCAATCCAAAATGTGGCTCCACTCCAGCATCAATACTTCCCTGTGTGTATCCTGTCATGTCTTGTTGCAACATACCAACAACAACCTCCTTGGCGGATGCGTACCTCGAATAAACATCAATGGAACCCAACAACCCACCTTCTTCAGCAGAGTACCAGTGAAACTCCAACGTGTTGTGAGGTTTGTAAGTGCCCGTTCTGTACGCCTCAAGAATTATCCTCAAAGACTCCAAAGTGGTCACAGTACCCGATCCATCATCGTCTGCTCCTGGTGCTCGCATGATGTTTGGTAAAATCAAATTGGCTGAGTCTTGATGTGCTCCAACTACAACCTTGTCCTTTACCTCACCGGGAATAGAAACGATGATTGAAAATTGATCCCAACCTTTGTGGTGAATCTTTTCAATTTTGATTTCCTTGAATGGGGCAATCAAGTTGGAAAGTTGATCAAACAACCAGGCTGCACTTTCAGCCCCACTTTCGGTCTTGTAATATCTAGTGTAGAAGGAAGTAAAATTGCTCAAGTTATCACGGACGCCATCGATATCAATCGAGTTATACAAATTTTTAACTTCTGAGCTATACTGTGTCTTTTTAGGATAATTGTAGACTGGAATAGGCTTTTTCAACGTGTCAATTTGCTTGGAGCCAATAAAGAACAACTTTTGCCACAAGGAATGCGATGGTTTGGCAACCAAGCCTTGCTCAACAGCAACATCAATGGAAATCTGTTCAGTCATATCAATAAACCTCTTGTTTGCTCTTTTCAAGTTCAATTTCTCCTGCTCTGAAGCAAGTCTATATTCATCTGGTCCCAATTTGAGGAGACGGTCTTGGTGTCCATTCCCATGCAACAACGAAAACGCATTAAATGGCCAATCAGGAGCAAAATCAAACAAGGGAAATGAAAGTGCAATACATGCAAATAATGAAACGAATGCAAGGATCTTCATATCTCTGGTGGCAATGTATGGAAGAAACTGTGGATGGCAAAAAAGTTCGCCTCGGCTTTTGTGCCGCACGTCGGTTTCTTGCTTTCTTCAGATCTCCGGCTCATGCAAGCAACAGGTGCTCCGAACTTGTAAAAAGAAAGATACACTCTGAGAAATCTATAACAAGGGTCAGTTTATGTCAATTGACCCAGAGGAAACAATTTACAGTCATTTCACGCTTTTCCATTAGTCAGCTCAGCTTTACCACGAAGCATCAACTTTGCTTTTCCTCTATGTAAATATTGTCCTATGGAAAAAAAAAAAAAAAAAAATAACAATGAAAAGCAATAATACTATCACCCTTAACAGCGTAGCTACTCTATCATTTAGCTTCAGTTCTACTGCGTGGGGAATATGGTGATTAGATACTCGAGACTGCAGTGTATTTTTTTTCTCTGTTCATTCTCTTCCTTCAACTCATTTTTTTTTTTTTTCACAACATTTTACAAAAAAAGCAAAAACAACATCACTCATCCATCCACTTATCCATCCATCCATCTATCCATTTCTTTTCCCCTTTCTTTCAGAGGAATCACCATGGTCAGCCTACTTCCGAGCTTTATTGGATACAATGGCTCATCAAGTGATAAATACATATCGCCGACCATTACTTCAAACAATGCAAATTCTGATGGATCCTTGAAATTACACCAAGCAAATTCCACAACAACAAACACTTCACGAAATCAATTGTCGAAACGATTCGTCGAACCTGTTGGTTTGGAGGTTAAGGAAGCAAACTACAAGATCAGTGTGCCCGATTTTGCCACATTACCGCCATTGCAATTGGGTTCCAAACTTATTTCAAATATAAACAGGATTGATTCTAGTATTCCACATGACATTTTCCTCTCGGAAGGTCAAAGCAGAACCGACTCGAGCTTAGACAACTACTACTTTGATTATGAAAATGGCTTGAAGGACTTTTCCCGTTTCGAAAAAGTTGAGCAGATTGATTTACCCGATAAGATTTTTGAGCAGCACAATCAAACGGAATGTACAACTAAAATTGGTTTATTCCCTGAGATTGAGCGTACATGGCTTGCTGTTGATAATAAGTTGGTGTTATGGAACTACCGCATCCCGCAGTCGTCGTTCAATAAGTCGGCCCAATTCATGACAATTGATCAAATTCAAAACTCAGTATTGACGGTCAAGTTGGCCACACCAAAGGAAGGGATCTTTTCTAAAGAAATAACCCACTTGTTACTAGTTGCAACTACAACAAGCATTCAAATTTTCTTGGTCAAATACGACAAAAGCCTCAACAATTTAGAGGTCTTGAATCTCGACCTTTCTGTATCGACACACGGGTTGGCGGTGGATAATTTTGCAGTGCATCCAAGAACGGGTGACATATTTTTCAGTGGAGATACAGATGGTGTCAATATTTGGAGACTAGACTACTCCACCAAGTCTACATTTACCAAGAACAGGTGCGACAAGGTTTGTTTGACAAAAGCGGGTTTGTCGAGCGTCATCCCGTTCCTGGGATTTGGATTTGCGTCAGGAACTCCCTTCACTACAGATTCAGTGTCGAAAAATATCCCCGAAAAGATTGTGCAATTGGAAATTGATGGAAGCCGAGACATTTTATATTCGCTTTCGAACAAGTCAGTAATCCGCGTATACAAACTTCAACCCAAACAAGATCACCTCGTGGAAGGAAGCACATTAACACCCAGTCAAATCTTCAAATCAGCATCCTCAGTATTTGTCGATGCCAGCAACTTCAAGGTTTTTGAACGTTTTAAAATCATCAGCATTCACAGGGTTTCACCAGAGGAGTCCTCCACTGTGCAATTGATTGCAATTACAAGTAATGGATCAAGAATATTACTCAAATTGGGATCGACTTCGTCATTTTCTACTTTACTCACTTCTTCACTATCTGCAGCCCATGCGTTAAAGCTCAATCTTGTCAACATTAAATTTCCTCCAGCTAGGGAGGCGCCCATTGTTAACAACGAACTTGATGCTTTCACTAGAGATAGGCAATATATTTCTCAAGTTATCGCTAACCAACAAAAGTCCCAGCTACTTAAAAATACAAAAATTGCCAAAGTCATTAGTCCAGGTGTGTTTCTTTGTGTCAAAAAGACCAAGAGATCGGATAAATTGTTTATTGCCACTGCAAATTTTGGATATCTCAAGAAGAACAATAAGCTTGTTGAAGACGCTGAGTTTGTGAGCTACACCTCCAATGAAGATGCTCCTTATACTTACATTCAAGATATTGTTCAAATAACACCATCAATGAATGCAACGACTACGCCAAACGGATATGCCAATGTTGCTGCAAGTCAGTATACAAAGGAACCATTGAGATTTGCTGTGTTGACAAATTTTGGGATTATTGTGTATCAGTTCAAGACCTCAGATCAGATCTTGAGATCTTTGACTGACGAAGTCATTGAAAACTTTATCGAGGAAAATGGGTACGAAGAAACTTGCTCCACGTTGTTGTATTTGGGGTGCTCCTATGGACAATATAACTCAAATGACATCTTTCAAAGAAAGGCACAAGTTTTGTTTTCAACTTGCGGTAGCAACGCACGGTTAACCGATACAAGGTCAGCATCTCAGCCAACAAGCTTGATTCCACATCACTCACTGTTGCAAAACTATACTCCTCATCCAACTGTTGATCAAGTAATTCTTAGTGATAGGCTATATGGTACCTGTTTATTGCTAGGAAGATTCCTTCGAGATATATGGGACAAGAAGGTATTTGGAGCTTTGCCGGGCGTCAATGTTACACCAGCGGGACAAATTGAAATAGCTAGTATCAAGGATAGGAAGGTTGTGGTGGGAAGTTTGAATATTGATGAGAAGCAGATTGAATACTTTATTGGAACTATTGTGGTTTTGATAGACTTTTTCGTACAGAATGAAAGCAATATTCAAGGCTTGAGTGCTCCAAGTTATAGCTCAGACCCTAAACAATTTGAGAATGAAGTTTGTTTGAGGGCCGAAAGCATCGCGTTCACGTCAATTTTCAAGTCATTGGTCTCCATGAAAGAAGCCCTTTCGTTCCTAATGGTTGTTTTGGAGGAGCTTCACGGAAATCAAGAAAATTTTGACTCGCTTTTTGAGCTCCTTTCACTCACCAACCAAGCAAATCTCTTAGCAATAACATTTAAGGACTTGTTGTTGCCATCTAGGGAAGTTAAAGTCTTGATAAAAGACCTCTTGTCATCCATCATCAACAGCAATATCAGCAGAGGTGGGTCGATAGATTTGATTGCATCTTCTTTGCAAGCACGATGTGGATCTTTTTGCTCTACAAATGATGTGTTCATATTCAAGGCTCTTGAAAACCTCACTCGTGCCAAGAAGATTGCTCCAAGGGACTCTGAATTGAAATTGAAATGCTTGAGAAATGCCGTTCTTTTGTTTGAAGAATCATATGAGACGTTAACTTTTGACCATATTACAAATGCGGTCGATGTTATGGTAGATCTTGAGTACTACTCAGGTTCCATTGGAATGTTGTTGAACATCGCCAAAAAGTTGGGAAACAATGCTAAACTTCCAAACTTTGCTTACGGTCAGGTCAATGAGAGCGTGGTTCAGCAAGAGCATTTGGAAATTGAGTCAAAGGTGAAAAAGATGTACGATACTATATTTTCTGTTTTACAAAAGATTGATGAGAAGGCATTGAAAGTTGTGGAAACAAATAATCAACTTCTTATCAACGGGTTTTTGGAAATTAGGGATCTTGCTTACGATACTTGTTTTGCATCAAAAAATGAACAGTTCCAGTGCGCCTTTTATGACTGGTTCATCAACCAAGGTTTAAGTGATCGTTTGTTGGATGTCAATACACCGTACATTTTGCCGTATTTGGAAAAGCGATCAGAAACAAGTGTTGATTTGACAAATATATTGTGGCTGTACTATGCCAAGAGAGAGAGGTACTACGATGCGGCAAAGATCTTATACGCCTTGTCCATTTCGCAATTCACTCTTGAGCTAACTCAACGGGTTGAATACTTGTCAAGAGCCAATGGATTCTGTAACTGTGTGTGTCCGCCTAATTTAAGACAGGAAATGATCCAGCTTTCGTCAACGATACAGGAGCTTTTTGATGTCGCAAACCTCCAGTTGAGTTTACTTAGTAGGATTGAAAGGGACCTGAGAATCAACAAGGAAAATAAGGATCATGCTGTGAAATCATTGAATGGTAAAATTTTACCCATAAATGAATTATTCAACACGTATGCTGACCCGTTGGGATACTACGATTTGTCGCTTATTATCTTCAAGATAGCCGACTACAAAAACAGTGACGACATCTTGAAGAGGTGGGAGTTGTTATTTGACAAATTGTTGCACGAATCAAAGACTTCAAAGGAGCCATTTTATGTGTTATTGAGCGACGAGTTTACTCTCTACGGCCCGAAATTGTCGTCAGATGATATTGTATTCCCAGTTGACGAGCTTATAATCTTGGTGAAGAAGACTCTTGATAAGGCAGCAGAGTCTGATCCCACTACTCAGAAGCCACCTAAAGGATTTGTGACTGATTTGTTTGTCAGGGCTGGGGTGAGTCCCGAGAAGTTGGAGTATTTTACAAGTGCTTCGGAAAACAATGCTTAGGAGAAAATAGATTACAAAATGTAAAATTTATTGTACAGAAAAAGCTCAACTCTAATGAATGTATTACTAATTAAGTTGGTAAAACTTGTTCTTTTGAATATCAAACCTTTCCTTCTCAAAGTTTCCAATCTCACTTGGTCTAAGATAGTTTGACGGGAGATCTGTGCGTTGTGGTTGGTGGTTCTTTGACACATAAAGCAAAATTCCGTCAATCACTAGGCTGACTGAGTTTGGTTCGGGGCCCTTTGGCATTATAACATCACAAAACTCCTTGGTGGGGAAGATGTAATCACTCATTTCGACCCGAGCACCCAACAAGTACGCATTGATCACAGTCTCCAAGTTTTCGGTCTTGCCTTCTAGCACATCCCTTCGAATCCATCTTATCAACCGCGTATCGGCGTCACTATCTATAAACACCTTGATATGAGCCATGTCTCGTAGCTCTTTGTCGTAAAGGGCATACAATCCGTGCACTAACACTATCTTTTGCGTGATGCTCGACTGATCTAACCTTCTCAAATCATGTTTTAGCTTTTCAAAATTGAATCTGGATGGCTTCAATATGGGGAATTTGTATTTTTCTTCCTTTTTAACTGTGATCGCTGCTGATTTGGAACTTGGGAATTGGCTAGGATCAACAGATGATTTCTCATGATCAGTATACTCATTCATGTTGATTATTTGCACATCAATCGGAAACTCTTGCATCGTAGAGTGAAGTTGATCTCTTATCGACAATGCTGCAGTTCTTTTCCCTGCAGCATGACCTCCACCTAGTAGCACTACGATTGACGTGGCAAGGTGGTGGGCACTCATGTTATGTTGCTATGGAGTAGTTGCGAACACATCTCAATTTAGGGACCTCAATACAAAAACAAAACTTTGAGAAAAAAAAAAAAATAAAAAAAATAAAAATCGAGCGGTTGGAGGGCATCGCTCTACACTAAGATAAACGTGTCACCCAAAGATGGACGAATTTGACAGAGATGTGGATAAGGAGTTGAAATTTAGTCATAAGTCAACAAAGGGCATCAAAGTCCACCGCACATTTGAAAGTATGAAGCTAAAACCCGAGCTCTTAAAAGGAATTTACGCCTACGGGTTCGAAGCTCCATCGGCAATCCAGTCTAGAGCAATTATGCAAATCATAGCTGGTCGGGATACTATTGCCCAGGCCCAATCTGGAACTGGTAAGACGGCTACTTTTTCGATAGGGATGTTGGAGGCAATTGATGCCAAGTCAAAAGATTGCCAGGCATTGATCTTATCACCAACAAGAGAATTGGCGATCCAGATTCAAAATGTTGTGCAACATCTTGGTGATTATATGAACATACACACTTATGCCTGCATTGGTGGTAAAAATGTGGGAATGGATGTGAAGAAACTACAGCAGGGTCAACAAATTGTCAGTGGAACACCGGGTAGAGTGTTGGATGTTATCAGGCGAAGGAATCTTTCTTCAAGGCATATAAAAATCTTGATTCTAGACGAGGCTGACGAGCTATTTACAAAGGGTTTCAAAGAACAGATATACGAAATCTACAAGCAGCTTCCGTTTGAAACACAAGTTGTGGTTGTGAGTGCTACATTGCCTCCAGAGGTTTTGGAAATGACTAGTAAATTTACCACTGATCCTGTAAAGATTTTAGTGAAGCAAGATGACGTTTCTTTGGTGGGAATAAAGCAGTATTATGTACAATGTGAACAAGAAGACTGGAAATTTGACACATTGTGTGATCTCTACGATAACTTGACAATAACCCAAGCAGTAATATTCTGCAATACAAAGCTAAAAGTCAATTGGCTCACAGATCAAATGAGAAAACAGAATTTTGTTGTGCTGTCGATGCATGGTGATATGAAACAAGATGAAAGAGACTCCATCATGAGTGACTTTAGAACAGGCAATTCTCGTGTTTTGATTTCGACTGACGTGTGGGCTAGAGGTATTGACGTGCAACAAATATCCTTAGTAATAAATTATGACTTACCGAATGATAAAGAAAACTACATTCACAGAATAGGTAGATCTGGAAGGTTTGGTAGAAAGGGGACAGCAATTAACTTGATAACTAAAGCTGATCTTTCTACAATGAGAGACATTGAAAGTTACTACTCAACGAGAATCCGAGAGATGCCGATGAATATCAATGAGATCATGTGAAAGAGGAAACTGCTTTGAGTGTATAGCTTGGTAGGTCAACTCTTGATAGAAAGGGGAAGTCTCCCTCATCTCAATTACTTTTGTGTAACCATCAGACGGAAGTAAAAAAAAAAAATAAAAAAAAATTCAAAGAAAAGCAAAAAGCTCCATCAGATCATCTCAATCTCTCTCTCTCTCTCTCTCTCTCTCTCTTTCATCTCAATCTCCAATCAACAATTAATCATGGATGCACAATTCGTAGGGTCATTGGAAGAGACCTTGAAGCAAACTTTGACACCGGACTCATCGGTGATCAAGCAAGCTTCACAAAGATTGAGCAAGGAGTTTTATCCCCATCCTCAAGCATTACCTGCATTATTGCAAATTTTACAACAGTCCAATCAAGATGAAGTCAAGCAATTAGCTGCTGTCGAGGCTAGAAAATTGGTAGCTGACAACTGGCCATCTGTTGATACCTCGTTGAAGCCAAGTTTGAGGGATTCGTTATTGAAGAGCACTTTTAGTGAACAAAACAAACGTCTTAGGAACGTTTCGGCTTATTTAATTGCTGCTCTTGCGGAAACTGACTTGGATGCTAACGAATGGCAGGATTTGTTACCAACGTTGGTCAATGCCATTCAAGGCGATGATCCAAAGGTCAAGGAAGTTGCTACTTTCACCTTGTACGCCTTATTGAACTCGGACATTTCAGCCTTGCTTCCTCATGTTGATGATTTTGTGTCTTTGTTTGGCAATTTGATTAGAGACCCATCATCAAAGGATGTTAGGGTTTATTCTGTGTTATCTTTGGATGCACTTTCGCAAATTCTCGAAGATAATGACGAAGTAACAGATCAAGTAATTGAAAATTTCAAGGCAACGGTCCCAGGAATGGTGGAGGTCTTGCAAGAAGTGGTGACGTCAGATGACACAGAGCTGGCTCAACAAGTTTTCAGTGTTTTCAACAGTTTAGTACTCACAGATTCCAAATTGTTGGGCGACCATTTGGTCAGTTTGATAAGAATGATTAGTGAATTGGTCTTGAACACTCAATTGGACGAAGATTACAGAATTTTTGGTTTACAATTTTTAATCTCGTGTGTCACATACAGAAAATCGAAAATTTCTTCCAACAAATTAGGTCCACAACTTACAATGGTCGGGTTGAAAGTTGCATCTGAAGAAATAGATGTTGACGATGAGTTGGAGAATGAAGATGAGGAGAACGAAAATGAAGAAAATTCTCCTCCTTCCTTAGCTTTGAGGCTACTTGCTGTTTTGGGTGCCGAATTGCCTCCATCTCAAGTGATTGATCCGTTGTTTGAGGCTCTTGAACCGTTGTTGACATCTACAAATCAGTTTGAAAGACGTGCTGGTATTCTAGCCATTGGTGTCTGTTCCGCGGGTGCTCCTGACTATGTCTCTCTCCGGATCCAGAAAATCATCCCAGTGTTGATCAACGGAATGAAGGACTCGCAACTTGTCGTGAGAGTCGCTGCACTTAGAACCTTGTCGCAATTGACTGCAGAGCTTCAAGACATTGTCACCGATTACCATGAAGAATTGTTGCCTTTGATCATTGAAATCATTGATTCAGCCTCCTCGGTCATGGCTTACAAATATGGTTGTATTGCACTAGACGGCTTGATTGAGTTTATGAGCCATGATGCCATGGGTAAGTACATTGAGCCATTGATGCATAAATTGTTCTACATGTTACAGCAAGCAAATACACCTACCTTAAAAACAGCCATTGTTTCAGCTATTGGTTCAACTGCATTTGCTAGTGGTAAAGGATTCACCCCGTATTTTGAAGAGTCAATTAAGCAATTAGAACCATTCATCTCTAACTCCGCGTCTGTGGAAGGAATGAGTGAAGACGATATTGAGTTGAGGGCCACCACTTTTGAAAACATCTCAACCATGGCTAGAGCTGTCGGTTCTGCGGCATTCTCATCTTACGCCAAGCCCTTGGTTGAAGCCGCTTACACGTCATTGAACTCTGAACATCCTAGAATTAGAGAATCGGGATTTGCTTTTATTGCAAATATGGCAAAAGTTTATGGTGCAGAGTTTGCCGGCTTTTTGGACCAAATCGTGCCACAAATTTTAACCTGCTTGGGTCAAGAGGAGTTCACGTTCAAAACCAATGAAGATGAAGAAGGAGACGATGATTTCGGTGGAGATGATGAAGATGATGATCCTTTAAAAGTTCATACCGGTATCACCATTGAAAAAGAAATTGCGTCTGTGGCTCTCGGTGAGTTGGCCATTGGAACTGGAAAGGAATTTTTTAAATACGTTGAGCCTTCGTTGGCTGCTTTGATTGACCAAGTTGAGGGCTCATTTGGTATGAGAGAAGCCGCCATGAATTGTGTATTCAAAATTGTCAAGGCTATGTTTGTCGCTGTTCAAGGTGAGGATTTCAAGGCTCCAAAGGGTGTTCCACAACAACCCTATGTGGATTCTAATATTCTTGCTCTTATTGAAAAGGTTAGAGATTTGGCAATTCCAACCTTGGAAGCTGAGTTTGAGGCTACCATGGTGGCATGTATTCTCGATTGTGTAGCTGATGCATTGCATGTCATGGGGGCTATATTTATCGTTAATGATGCTAGTGAAACGAGTTCTTTGGAAAACTTGTGCATCTCGTTAATGAACTTGTTAAAGAAGGAGCATCCTTGTCAATTGGAAGAAGAAGAGATGCCACAGGAAGAGGATTCGTCTGAGACCGAAGTTTTGCTCAACGAGGCTGCATTGGAAGTATTGGTAAACTTGTCAATTGCCTTGGAAGGAGATTTTGCAAAGATTTTTGCTTCATTCAAGGATCCAATTTTGGCCAAATTCAATAGCAAGTCGAAACCAACCAAGGTTGGCTCCATTGGTGCTATTGCTGAAATGGTTGGTGGAATGAAAGCCGCCAACCCTTTTTCAGCAGAGTTACTCCCTATATTTATAAACAAACTTGCTCATGACAAGTCTATTGAAGTCAAGGGAAATGCCGCTTATGGTATTGGTTTGATTGTTGAGTACAGCCAAGTCGACTTATCCGCCAGTTATCCTCAAATTCTTGAGTTGCTTTTCCATTTATTGAACAAAGTGGATAAAAAGGCCAGCTCGGCTGACGATGAAGAAGCCAAGGATGTTGTCAATAGATCTTATGCCAATGCTTGTGGTTGTGTTGCTAGGTTGATCTTGAAAAACCAACAAGCTGTTCCCTTGGAGCACGTATTGGGACCATTGTTGGGGCATCTTCCATTGGAAACTGGTTTCGAAGAGAATACACCAATATTTGAGGCTATTATCAAATTGTATGAGTCTGGTAACGAAAGTATTGTGTCACAAACTCCTAAAATCGTGGACATATTTGCCGGTGTTTTCAAAGCCGAAGAGGACAGAATTAAGTTGATTAATGAAAGTACATTAGGAAGAGAGGAAAACATTGATGCAAGAAAGCAGTTTTCATCTGAAGCATTGAAAACAAAGGTTGTTGAGCTTTTGAAGTTCTTGAATCAAAAATATGATGGCGTGGTGTCGTCAAATGAGACATTGAAAACAATCATACAATAAATAAAACTTTTTTTTCTTTTTTGTATAAGGAAGTAGAAATTTTGATGCTATTCTCAATTGGACAAGCTTTATTATGTAATATTGGCGCACTACCTGCCTGTTGTTTCAAAATGTGATACCTTTAACTAAAAAATAAAGAAAAGAAAAACTTTTGTTTAATGGTGGCTGAGACAGTGAAGAAATTACCTTTTTTGGCTGCAAAAGGCATTAATTGAAAACTATAAAGACTTATTTTTTGAGTTGATTTTTAACAGCATATATAACTGATACTGTTAGGCCAAAAACAGCAAAATGTTATCTAGGTCTTGAGTTAACCCAAGTATGAATTCAGGAGCTGCTGGTACAGCAGCCTTTAGTTTTATTGCCCTCATTTTATTAATCCCACCATTTTCATGGCACATCAAGTCTAGAAACATCCCAGCAATTTTATTGGTGACATGGTTGACGCTAGTAAATTTGATTGGTTTTATAAACACGATGATATGGAGTGGAGAGGATTTCGATACCGTTTATGACGGCCAAGGCTGGTGTGATATCACTACAAAAGTTGACGCGGCTTCATCGCTTGGAAAATTGTGTGCCATCGCATGTCTTTCAATGAACTTGTATTTCATCTTGTGTGCAAAGAATCCCCTTTTCATGGACAACACAAACTGGAAAAAGATCTGCATTGACTTGGCCATTTGTTTGATCACTCCATTGTTGATTATGGTGTTCATTTACATCACTCAATCAAGAAGATACGCAATTGTTAGGTATCAGGGTTGCATTACAGTTTTCTCACCAACAAATGCCACTCTTGGTTTGTACCTTGTTTGGCCGTTAATTTGGAGTTTTGTTGCTTTGTTTTTTGCTGTGTTGACATTGTACAAGTACTTTCAAAAAAGAAAAGATGTCAAGGATATTCTCAAATGTACAAATTCTGGTTTGAATTTGAAAAGGTTTGCAAGGCTTTTAATTTTCAGTTTTTTGATCGTGTTTGCAATGACTCCACTTTCCATCTACTACTTTGCACAGAAAGTTTCGTATGCGCTGTATCCTTTCCGTTGGAGTGAGGTACACGGTCCAGATTGGGGAGATATCTATGCCGTGGACTTCGGCTTCTTTGCAGTCATTGATAGGTTGGTGAATGCCTCCTTATCTGTTGTTGCGTTCCTCTTGTTTGGTTTGGGAACTGATGCCTTGAAGATGTACAAATCGTTCCTCGGATTAGCTAATAGAGATACTGGCGAGCCATTGTCTAAAGAGACAACTTACACTCACCATGGCACTCCAACAAAACTCTCATCCAACAAATCCCAATTTAGCAATCGTACAAACTATAGTGAACCAACTATGGCGGACGAATTTGGTCAGGTAATGCAAGAGTTAGGTGTAGTTGATGAGAATTCATTGGATTTAGAGTCGGGAAGAATGATGAAGCAAAACCCGCCCCAGAAAAAGACTTCTAATGTTGGAGTGCTTGAGATCGAGGACTCAAGCTTGAGTGGCGATTTTTTATACAAGTACGAAGTTAAACAGAAAAAGTGATTTTATAGGAGTTTAACAAATGCATCCCTGAACTCCTTGGCGTGCACTTTACCTCTGGTAATTTTCATTGCTTTGCCAACCAAAACCTGTATAGCATTTTTGTGACCCTCTTTGATTCTCTTTACCACATCAGGACTCGACTTGACAACCCCCATGCATATCTCATTGATGTCCAATGTTTGAGTATCGGACTCTAGTTTCAAGTCGGAAATCGCCTTTTCAAGCGGAACCTGGTTTTCAACAAGATACCTCAATATCAATCTTTTTGATACCAAGGAGTACTCTGATTTGACAATTTCAATCAACGTCTCCGGGCTTATGACCGTCACATCAAACTCTTTGTCTAGTTTAGCAAACGCTGTGATGAGCTCTTGGAACATCCACTTATTTGCATCTAAACCCCCAAGCATCTCAAAAAAAGTCTCATAGTATTGTAAATGTTCAGGTTCGGCGAGCAAGTTTTTTGCATGTGCCAATTGCAAATTGTGTGGTTCTCCAGTCAAGCGTGCTAAAATTTGGTCAGGAAGGTCAGGCATTGAAGCCCCAATTTCGTCACCAATGTTGCCACTCAAATGAATACTAGGGAGCTCAGAGTCAGGAACGTATCGGTAATCAACTGCATTTTCTTTGCTTCGTGACGCTATCGTCGTATACCCATCCCAGGACTTTGTTTCTTGTATAATCGGTTCACCAGTGCGAATACGCTTCACCTGTTCGTTGTATTCATATTTCAAAGCACTCAAAATGTCCCCTGTTGTACCGATGTTTTTCAACTCAACTCTAGGATTATCATTGACACTAATATTGACATCTACCCTAATTGCTCCTGTTTCCAAATTCCCACTGCAAATCCCTAGGTGTCGCACCAATAACTGGTACTTTTTAACAAACGCGCAGACTTGGTCTATATTTTGAAAGTCTGGTTTTGTCACAACTTCAATCAAAGGCGTTCCAGCTCGATTATAGTCTATAATATCACCAAACTTCTTCCCCGTATCTTGCTCCAACTGCACCGCCTCTATTCCAATCTTCCCCAGTGCATTGTCAAAATCGGTCAACTCCAAAACCCCGTCTTTGGCCAATGGATGAAAATGCTGTGTGATTTGATATCCCAAAGGTTGGTCAGGATAAAAATAATGCTTTCTATCAAATTTAGAAAACGGTTGTATTTTCATCTTTAATGCCACGCATGCTTTGAGAGCTAAATACAAGGCCTCTGGATTCAACTTCGGCTGAGTTCCTGGTAAGCCAAGATCGAAGTAGCTTACTTTTGTATTGCAATTGTCATTGAATCCCGTTTGTGATAACGAAAAAAGTTTGTACTTGGTCTTCAATTGTGTGTGAATTTCCACCCCACATTTGAGTTTGAACTCGGGAAGCAATCTGAAGGATTTTGCGGTAGAGGTTGATAATCGTCGAAGCATTGACATATGCATGATTATGTGCGATAAAATCTATATGAGGATTCGATTTCGAGTCGTATTCTCGGTTTGAAAGAAAGTTTGACAAAAAAAAAAAGAAAAAAAAAAATTATAGATATGCATCAGCACAGTACTCACTTTATTCCCCACTCAATAATATAACCGTTGTAGGACTTTGATGGACTTCTTAATAAGTTTCCTTGTGTATATCTTAACCCAAGCTTTACCTCAGATGGGTTTAAGAATGGAAAAAAAGAAAAAAAAAATTGTAAAGAGGGTAGGACAAAAAAATAAGAAATAGCTGCTCTCAGCAGGATTCGAACCTACGATCTCCTCATTACTAGTGAGGTGCCTTACCAACTTGGCCATAAGAGCTATTTCTGATCACTGTTGTAGTACTCGTTGAAGGACTGGTGTAGTATTAGATAATTGTCTCTGTCGTAATGTTCTAAGGTTTAGTATATATTGTAAGTGTAGTGGAAGCGATATAAGTCGTTCACGAGTAATACAACTGTGAGGAAATGTAACAGGCTGAAGTGTATATTAAGAATGATCAACTAACTTCGATCAATCAGATGGAACTAAAACTAAAGTTGACTTGACTTAGCTTGACTTAGCTTTTTCTATCTCAATCCGTATCCCGGGGGATTTCCATGTTCTTATATAGTATTTCATTCTCCTAATATCAAGGAGCACAATCCTGATCTTCCTAGTCACTCAGGCATAAAGACAAACAAACTCAGACACAAATTCCTTCTTTAGGAAATGAAGATGGTTATTCATAATAAATGATAATTTCCTAAAGTAGTTAGTAATTCCAAATGATTACTCTTTGAGGTAATAAATGGGTTTCGTGTTACCCCTCAATCTCTTACCTTACCTAAACAGGATATTTCCAAATAATTGAACCTTGGAATAACTTAACCAAATCTTCTTGTGTCTATTGGAATGAATGAACCGTCGTGTAAGGGTTAGCTATCTTAATCATATGTTAATGTGCATCTTATACCATTCCAAAAACACGTGATTAAGATCATGTGACAAGGAACCTCATGCCTCTAACATATGCCCCTGCTGAAAGAAAACAAGTGTCCTCACTTGACCAAAGTAAAGACAAAAGTCCTTCCACTTGAAGCGTTAGGGTAGAGCCATATTTCAATTGGGTCAGAATTGTGAATAAGTGGTAATGCCAGCTAAAAGTGAATCATGGAATTGCTGATGATGACCAATAGTCAAACAGCAACAAACAAATTGAGATGGACCGTTAACGTGACCGACACGTCCAACAATGAAAGGGATCCAGTTTGTGCCTAGTCCCGTAACAAAAGACAAAGTTGGAATAAAACACATCTTCAGTAGTTAACAAAAAATTAAAAAAAAAGTATTCCCAGAGGAACCTCGCACGGAAGTGAGGCAAAAAAAAAAAATTCCGGTTGTGGAACTCGAGGTTGAATTCGAGCAAAAAAAAAAAATCATATGAAACCTAGAACCAACACTAGGCAAAAAAAAAAAAAAATTCTGTGGAAACCCGCGAGGATAAAAACCACAGCCCAAGCATCAACAGTCCTAACAACTTTGCTCAGTCCGGATCAGAGGAAGTAGTAGGAGTAGTGAGGATGTTGGGTGAGTTGGTGACCGTATCCGATTGTACTGCTGCATTGAACTCCGAAAGCAATCTATCCAAATACGTCGGTGGTATAGCTTGACGAGCAACATCAATATCGAAAACAACAGCGTGACTTGGATCACATTCATGAAAGGTGAAAGCAATCATTTGATCAAGTAAGTTTAATCCGACTACTGCTTTAATCAGTTGAGTTTGAGCAAATAACCTCAAGTACGGCATAGTTGGTAGTGGAGGTTCTTTTGGAAATTGCAATACTCCAGAATGATATGGCTTGATATGTTTTACATTGAAGGTTCGTCCAAAATTTGGGCTAATGCCTACTTCAACATCATATATGTTAGGATTGTTGGGGTAGACTCGTGAAATTCGATATGGACCAAAAAACAAATTAGATTGCTTTGTGAGTTTGAAACTTTGAACGAAAAGGTTGGCGTTTCGGTGAAGTAGAACTTGATCTTGGACTTTCAATATGAGTTCTTTACGGTGCTTGTTGTACTGTTGTTCAGCATCCTTTTGAGCATTTAGCATGTTGTGTTGTACTAATTCCTGGGTAAATTGAAGCATACGAGCAAAATCTTCGCCAGTACGTTGATTTCCAGGTATTGAACGCATAGCTTCATGATGGACTAAACGACTATCCAAATGTGGTGGTAATGGATTGAACCCGATGTCCGCTTGGAATGGTGATAATCCAGTGGATTTGTGAACATGTGAATTATAAGCAAATTCTACCAACGGTAGTTTCAACAACCAATCACGATCTTGATAATCAACAAAAGCACGTAACAACTGAATGAGGGAACGATTGGTGCGTTCTGTTTGACCATCTGTCTGTGGATGAGCAACGGTTGAGAACTTTAAGAGGATTTGTAGTTCTTTATGGAAGTTGATCCAGAAGGTGGAAGTGAAACGCACATCGTTATCACTTATAATTTCAGCCGGTAGACCATGATGTTTGAAAATTTCTGAGGCAAATAATTCTGCAGCACCACGAGCCGTAATTGTTTTTGAACAAGGGCAAAAATGAGCTCTTTTAGTTAATCGATCAACCACAACAAGAATATAGTCTTTTCCTTGTGATTCTGGGAAACCGCCGACAAAATCCATACTAATCAGACTCCATCGTTCCTTAGGTATTGGTAATGGTTGAAGAAGCCCATAAGGATTGTGGTTGGGTGGTTTTATTGCTTGGCAGATAGCACAGGATCGAACAAACGTTTTAACAGATGCCAACATTTTAGGCCAATAGTAGTATTGTGATAACTCAAGAAAAGTAACCTCAGCTCCAGGGTGAAGATTGCTATCCGCTGCATGATGTTTGGTAATGACTTGGTGTTGCAAAGATTTTGGTACCCAAAGACGTTGTATTGGTTCAGCTTGAAGATCATATCCTTTGAACATAAGTAATTTATCAATCAAATAAAAATGACGAATTCGAGCCTTAATCTCTTTTGGAACTGGTAAATTATTGGTTAAGACACTGTAAATTGTAGAGCATTCTTCATCCTGCCTATAACCGTCTCTGATTTTGTCGAAAAAATCGTCGTCGAAAACAAAATGCGAATTGTTGAAAATAGTCACACTTTGCACCATCACCCGGTTCTTATTTGAAATTATACCAACAGGCGCAACCGTCATCAAATCATTAGAGACAGTTTTCTCGTCTTCCTTCTGTAATCCAATTTTCAACTCATCTTCGAATTTATTTGCAGATTTTGCCAATTCAAGCTCAAATCTTCTGGACAATGCATCGGCTTTATTGGTATGGCCTTTAATATATTCAATCAGGATATCAAATTGGCATAATCGCTCTAACCAACGTGCAAGTTTAAAATTTGGTGGATTATGACTGTTCAATAAAAAGGATAAAGATTGATGATCCGTTCGAACGATTATTTTGTGACCAAGTAACCAATGTTTATAACGATCGAGGACTCGAATAAGGGCAAAAAGCTCCTTCTCACGTATGCTGTAATGACGTTCATGCGTGTTCAAGGACCGGCTATAGTGAGTCACTGTACCTTCTATTTTTCCGTTTTTTCCAAGTATCTCGATGATAACACCAATAGCGAAATCAGAAGCGTCAGTTGTAATAACATAACAAGCTCCCAGACGTGGAGTCAACAAAAAATTTGCATTACACAACAATGACTTTACCTTCTCAAAAGCTTCTTGCACAGTTGGATCCTTTGGACGTAACTGGCCTAATCCAGCTAACACAAGTGGTCTAACAATGACAGCAAAATTTTTTACAAATTTGCGGTAATAACTAACGAAACCGACAAACGATTGAAATCCTTTCTTTGTAATGGGTAACTGCCATTCCTTCAACACGTTCAACTTATCAGAATCAGTTCGAACTTGATTTGGTGCTATAATATGACCCAAGAACCGTAATTGTTTACGAAAAAATTCACATTTGGAAATCTTAGCCGCAAATCCATTTTCCTTTAACGTTTCAAAAACATATGTGAGGTGTTTAAAATGGTCGTCCTTGGTTTTTGAGAACACAAGAATATCATCAAGGTAAATTATAATGAAACGGTTGAGTGCTTTTTGAAAGATGGTGTTCATGGCTCTCTGAAAAGTGGCAGGAGCGTTTCGTAACCCAAATGGCATGACTGTCCATTCGAATAAACCATAAGGGGTCACAAAAGCCGTAAGAGGTACACTTTCAGGATCCATAGGAATTTGATGATAGCCCAGAATTAAATCCAATTTGGAAAGATAGCAACAGGAGCCAATACTTTCCAACAAATCCTCCGTTTGTGGTAAAGGAAAAGAATCAGCAATTGTATTTGAATTGAGTTTCCTGTAATCAATAACTAATCTCAAACTTCCATCTGCTTTGGGAACAAATAAACAAGGGCTTGAACAGCTGCTAGCTGATGGTCTGATATACTTCGTTTCTAATAGTTGATGTAACTGTTGATCCAAAGCTTCAAGTTTATCACGGGGGATTCTGTATGGTTTCAAGTTAGGGAAAACATTTGGATCTTTCAAACGAATCTTATGATGAAAAACGCTATCCTTAGGTTGGAGTAGTGGTGGTTTTGATAACAAGTTTTCACTATACTGTTCTGACAAGTCATTAAGGAAATCACTAATATCTTTTGAAACATGTTGGTGACGGTCGTTTGATATTAATGGACCTAACTTATCTCCAGTGAGATCATCCCTTGGACTAATTTTGGTGTTCATTGATTGCTGAACAAACCAGCGTTCTTCAATGGTAGGACTGGTCATTAAGTTATCTGGGTCAATTGATACTAAGTTGATATCTTCACCAGGGGGTATGACCTTCAATTTCAGTGGAAATTTTCGGAACTGACGTGACACATCAGCGCCTAAAATAATTGGATATTCGAGCATTGGGGCCACAAAAAGTTTAATGTTGCAATTTAAAACATCCCAAAATAATTCGACCACGGCAGTAGTATTTCCAAGAAACTGCTTGTTCAAACTGTACATAGCTATTGGAGTAGTGGGAGTTAACATTAGTTTGTGCTTCTCAGCTATGGTGCTAGAAATAAAACTAACATCTGAGCCACTATCCAAAAGTGCCGGGTAAATTGGTAAACTTTGAAATTGCACCAACAATCTCTCTACATTTTTTCCATTAAATGTAGTGTTACCAATCACTGTGGTGAGTTTAATGTCCTCCCAGGACGTACTTCCAATTAATCTTTTGTTGTATTTGAGTTGTCTTTGTTTTCCTTGTTCTTGGAAAATTTCCCATTTTTAGCCTTGCCTTGCTGGACGTAACAATCTTCATTGGTATGTTTTCCGTTTGGGTGAATCTTACACTTAGGAACCTTATTTTTTCCATTCTTATTTATTTTCCAGTTGGGTTTTCCATTTGACTTTTCAAGGTTACCATATCTCTGCTTAACCGGTTCTCCTCCAAACTTAGCAATGGTTTCAACGGGTAATTCTTTAATTGACCTAATTTGTTCCACTTTGGAAATTTGCTGTGCTACTTGAAAGTAATGAACATTCACGGCTCCCTGGAAAAGGTGAACAATGTGAGCTTCTTTGGCCAAGCGTTCATGCAACCTCAATAAATGCACAATATCGAAAAATTCTGACTTAAATTCATTTAACGATTTTGCTTCTTGTTTGACTTGCGCCAATTTTTCCAAAATCATGTCTGTATGGTTAGGTTTTTTGAATTCCGCTCTTAAATCAGAGAAAAATTTCTGAACATTAAGTTCACTGGCCTCTGAAATAGAATCCACATAAGTTTCCAATTGGTCATCTACCTCAGAAAAATATTCTTCAATAAAATCTTTCGCTTCTCCGACCATATGTTCCAAAGCGATTCTAATGAGATCCCAGGCATAAAGTTTATTTTCTTGTTTTGCTCTGGCTTTAATAACTTTGTAGGACATTTCCGACAAAACTTTTTCAAGCATAAAAGTGTCATTTGTTCCTGCAAATATGGTTGATTTTTTCACATTCTCATCCTTGCTCTTTTGATTGATGAACCATTGTTTGTTCTTGACGGGGTCCTTTGGTCCCGAGCGTGGTTGTTGTCCAAATTTGTTTTGTTTGAAACCAAATCTTTTATTTTGATATCTTGCCATGATTGCGAAAAGTAATCTCACGTGGGTGTAGGATCTAACACAGAAGCGACGCTACCAAACTGTTGTAGTACTCGTTGAAGGACTGGTGTAGTATTAGATAATTGTCTCTGTCGTAATGTTCTAAGGTTTAGTATATATTGTAAGTGTAGTGGAAGCGATATAAGTCGTTCACGAGTAATACAACTGTGAGGAAATGTAACAGGCTGAAGTGTATATTAAGAATGATCAACTAACTTCGATCAATCAGATGGAACTAAAACTAAAGTTGACTTGACTTAGCTTGACTTAGCTTTTTCTATCTCAATCCGTATCCCGGGGGATTTCCATGTTCTTATATAGTATTTCATTCTCCTAATATCAAGGAGCACAATCCTGATCTTCCTAGTCACTCAGGCATAAAGACAAACAAACTCAGACACAAATTCCTTCTTTAGGAAATGAAGATGGTTATTCATAATAAATGATAATTTCCTAAAGTAGTTAGTAATTCCAAATGATTACTCTTTGAGGTAATAAATGGGTTTCGTGTTACCCCTCAATCTCTTACCTTACCTAAACAGGATATTTCCAAATAATTGAACCTTGGAATAACTTAACCAAATCTTCTTGTGTCTATTGGAATGAATGAACCGTCGTGTAAGGGTTAGCTATCTTAATCATATGTTAATGTGCATCTTATACCATTCCAAAAACACGTGATTAAGATCATGTGACAAGGAACCTCATGCCTCTAACAATCAAAAAACGCAAAACGTGTAATGCAACGTAACAACATCACGTGATTAACACACGCTTTTGCAAGTGAATTGCGCTTTACTCTGAGTGCTGTAAATCTTTGTTACTGTACATTTTTGAGCATTTCTAGGCTTCATTGAGTTGTAAATACTTATAGCCAACGAAATCACTCCTTTTCTTTAGATTTGTTTAGCTTGACCAAGAAATTTTAACTACTTTTGGAAATGAGCATAGGAAATCACTAGTTGCAATAGTTTGGATGCAAAATTTCTTACCTAAAATTATTTTTAAATCAAGCCTAATTCAACTACCCCTGGGCAATCTCCTAGGAAATGAATTTGACCTTTCCACTTTCTCAGCCCTACTTTTTTTTTGGCCTTCTATAACCATCATCAGCCCCTCCACCCTCCTCATCGGCCTGATATGAGAAGTATGACGAGTTTTGCTTATATGCACAACCGAGTTATAGTTTCTAGAACGTCTTTTGAATTACTAAACAAAAACAGGAATAAGTGAATGGAGGTCAAGACGCTACATCGCGTCTCCTAAAGTGAGATCCTTCAAATGCCTTCCAAATACCCAAGGCGCCTTTCTTAATTAAATCGGTTTTCTGGAACTATTGGATGCAGACTCAAATGAGATGTGGTCGCTTCTTTTCACTTGCCTGTGTACCATCCTCTAAGGTTATTCCGGCAATTTTAAGCATAGAAGAAAGAGGGGGTGGAGGGGAGGAAGAGAGCATATTCAATCAGCAACAGTTTCCATGTTTCCTCCACTGCAAACCCAAACTATCAAACTGTTTCGTTGTTTGCTAAGAGTCATGTGACTCTTTTCTTAAAGTGACCACAAAAATATAATAGTATAGGATAGAAGCGGAAATAACTCAAACTGTACTCTTTGGAACTCCAGCACTTTTTGCTCTTTTTGAAAAAGTACTTACCATTGATCTCTTCTACCGAATGACTTTTCCCCTACTACATCTATTCATATTTTAATTGCAGGATTCTATTTATAGTACAGATCTTATCCATTGCGGTTTGGTTGCCGCCCTCGCCCTCGCTCCCCCCTTTTTTTATTTTTTTCTTTCTTTTTTTTTTTTTATTTTTATTTTTTTTTCTGTTAAACTATTTAGAGTTGAAATACACACACACAGCAAAGCTTCATACCTCCAAACATCCAATAGACAACAAAGTATTACAGCTGTTCTTCATTTATACACATAGCTTCTGCTGGCACATACACTAATACACACATCAAAATTAAAATTCTAGATATGGGTAACGTACCAACAAAAGAAGCGAGATCTAGGTCTAATTCAGGCGTATCTGATTCCCACAATAGTGGAGGATCTAGCTCCAACACGTTCAATACGGGTGGATCGTCGTCATCTTCATCATATGCACGTCATCCAAAACACCAAAGAAAAGGAAGTAGCCTTACGGGGTTCGTAAATGGCCACCAACGATCAGCTTCGTCTGATTTAAGAAAAGCCAAACGTCAAGAAGAGAAGGATCAAAAACAGTATCATCATTACAGCCAGTTAATTGTCAAGTTTGACGAGAATGTGGACGGGGGATACTTGGCTCCTTACGGAACTTATAAATCCAATCTCGACTTTGACACAGATATAGTTCGGTCATTAATTGTCAATCGTGAATTGTCACCATTTTTCACTCCGTTACAAGATTTTAATGAAAGCTGGACAGATGATGAGTTGTGCATTTTGCTATCTCAATTGCCTTTACACGCATTGGAAGAGCCCACTGAATTGAATGGGTCCGAGGAGGAAGAAGAAGATGCGGATAGCCACAAGATTCATAAGAGTGCCAATTATTACAAACGACAGGAGGAAAAAGCCAAGTTGAAACTGTTGATTTCACGCATGAAGGATATTCAAAAAGACGAAGAGCAAAAGTATATTGATGCAAAGGGCAACTCCAAGCAAATCCCCAGTAGGGACTTACTTTTGAGGCTATATCGAAATCCAAGTGAATGCCCCATTTGTTTTTTGTATTATCCCAAACATCTAAATGTGTCACGTTGCTGTTTACAACCAATATGTACTGAATGTTTTGTACAAATCAAACGTTTAGACCCCCATCCACCTCATGATGATCCCTCAAACCACCAGGCAGGGGAGCAACCACATTCACTCATTTCAGAACCGGCAAGCTGTCCCTATTGTGCCATGCCCGAGTTTGGGGTTACTTATGATGCTCCATTGGACGTACATACTGGGCTTGGTGGTATAGTACCGGGGGATTATAAAGCGACCGGTGCTATCTTGGAAGATGACGAGAGTATTAGCGGTGGTGCTGGTAATGCTGCAGATGAGGAAGCTGTTGCCGACGACGACGATTCTGGCGCTAGCCATTCACCCGTAAGGAGCAATCGCAAAAGTATTGGTTCTCCTATACCCACATCCCCGCCACCACCGAATTCTATGCAAAGCAAATTGTGGCCACAAAAGAATAAAGCAAAGCAACGCAGTAGGAGAAGTTCAGTTGCGGCGAATGCGCCAGGGGTCATAACCATTGATCAGATTCGACCCAATTGGGAGCACACTTTGAACAGTGCCAGAAATAAGTTAGCTAGAAGGGCAGCTACCGCAAGTGCAATACATGCTAGTAATTTGATAATCAATGGAGATGAGGGTCAAGGTCCCAGTAGCAATCGCGGCAGTGAAAACTCAAGAGCAAGGTCTGGAACAACAGGTTCAAGCTATAATGCAACTGACTATTCACTAATTGAACAACAGATGATCAACGAAGCTATGAGATTGTCATTACTCGACGAAGAGGAGAGAAAACGCAAAGCCAATAGCAAATAGTTGTTTTCGATGTTGAGCTCGGTAACTAGAATAATATGGATATAGTTTATATAGTTCCTTTCTAGCAAATGGTCCAAAGAATTTTCACCGAAAAAACCAAAACACAACCAGACAAGTAATTTTAATAGTAATTTGAATTAATTGTGGTAATCGGCGTTTCAGGTCCACACATTGAGAAATCTGGGTAAAAAAGTTTTGTTCATTCACACTTCCCCACTGCAACAACCCTTTGGCAGTGAAGAAATAGACCGAATTCGGCATTAATATCATTAGCCGCGGCGTTCATCACTTTGTTAACTACTTCAATGTGATGAATTTTGTTCAACAACACCAAGAACTCGTTAATATCTTGGTATCTGCTAATCTTTCAAGTCATCGTAGGTATATTTCATTATACGGCTTGAACTTCTTAGAATTAAGTATTGTTATTAAACGAAACAACAATATGGTTATCTGCGTATGGTTTAAGGATGGAGGTGATGCTGTCACTAGGTACAAATAGCAGGCTAAAAGAAGTAAAACTATATTTACTCTATTAAAGCATTGTACGGAAACGACACAGATGGGATATGCAAGTGCTCTTGTCCCCCTTTCCGAGAGAACATTCTGTTCAGGTACATTATTGTGTACGAAATGAACCGGTTGCCGTTGGAGTACAAAAGTTTGAAGACAAGCTTATACTACACAAAAAAATCTTGAAATGAAATTTCAGCTCATCAACGGGTCATCATTGGTCGAATACGACATGGCGCAGGTGTTGGTGCCGGTGCCGGTGTTGGTGCCGGTGCTGGTGCCTTATACTTCTTATGTAATATGGAATCAATTCCCACAAAGACTTTCTTAGATGTCAAGACGACTCCACTTTGAGGTTCACAAGGCCGGCCAATCTGCATGGTGAAAAGTTTTTAATTTTTTTCTATTATTTAAGTTGTACATAAATTTAGACGACGTGTTGTATAAAAGCACACAAGAGGAGTTAGACAAACCCACTACGCTAAACTACGGGTTTACGTTGCTTTGTGTAGTAACTTGATTGGTCGACTTTAACAATTCCTCAACAACTTGAAACTTTGAAAAATCGCAGAGACGGTAAAGCACTGAATGTCACGAGTTTCAGAGTGTGGAAGCATGAGGGGTCTGCTCAAACTCTCTTGAATTGGAATTGGAAACCAAACTGGCCAAATATTTGAGGAAGGGCATTCTGCACTAAGAATTTAGCCGACGCAGTATTTGACCGTGTGTCCTTGCAGAAACGTTTTTTTTTGTGATTTGGCGCGTAGCGTTAAAATAAGAAAAAAAAAAAATAAAAAGAGAGAGGAACAATAAACGAACGGCGCCTGTGCATATAAGAGAATAACAATACAACAGTTAGAGAGTCGTCCTTTTCTGTTAAAGCGAAGTTTGTTCAATATGTTGCTACTCTTCCACTTTGCTGACACCCCCAGAGCTTTTTGACTTCCCACTGCTGATTGCACTTTGCTTACCCTGTTTGAAGTGGAGTTATTAAGAAAGTTTGAGTCCGTAACTCAAAATTTCCACTGGAATACTAGAGCACACTTCGTCTAAATTTAGAAACTACTGATTCTTAGTTTCAATATCGAGCCAATTGCTGTCACCTGTTGTCAATTGAAGCAATTTTATTACACACGAGCGAACCACTTCATCGACTCCCAATTTTACATCGAGAACACTACTTTGGAAGATCTCCATCCAAATAAAAAGGGTCTTGAGTCCAGGGTCCATACAACCAAAATATACACACGAAGAAGCGCACAAATAATGTCTCCACCGTCGACATATTTACCCACACGACGAGTATATGATGTCAAAGGTAATCGAATAAGAGAAACGATCAAATTCAATGATGAGCCATGCCATGGTCTTCCCCACAATTCCTTGAACAAGGTGAAAGTTAATGTCAAAATTGCGGCCCTAACGTATCCAACTGACTTTTACCACCAATTGTACAATGTCGTACCAAGTAAACGAATAATTGTCAAACGACATCATCGTGGAAGTAGCAGCGGTAGCGGTATTGGCTCAACAAAACGAACAAAATACTTGGTGTATCCCTATACCACATGCAAGATTGAAAACATGCATCAAGAACTACAATGTTGTTGCAACTTAACTTACGGCGAGGATTTGGATGGTGGACTACAGGCATCTTTATATGTGTCAGAGCTGCTACTAATTCCCATTCCAACAGGCGTAAGTTTACACGATGTTTGCTTTATTTGGGACATTGCATTACCGTTCTACATTTACTCGGGTCATATTACTAATAAGACGTGCGTCATATTAAATGACATCAAACGGGAAATAAATGAAGTGTTGATTACTTTAAATCACTTGAACATTGATCAGCGTAACATTACAATTCTTGATGAAAGGACATTTTCACTGAAACATGGCGACACATTTGACACAGTCTTTTGCTTTAATGCAAAGTTAATTCAATTCGCCGAGTTTTGCTGCCAACATCAGCTGCAACAGAAACAATACCAGAAATCAGCAACGGGATTGAGATCTGAATCGCAGCTTCAACGACGGTCAAAAATACTAACCAATTTTCCCATTGTTGCAAAATCAAACGATAAAACATATCATTACATGAAACTTGCATACGATGATCGAAAATCCTGTGTTGAGCTATTGCAAGTTATTCGGGATTTGAACATCACTCGAGTCAAAGAAAATGGACCAAACAGTTCTTCTTCACAACCAAGAAACAACTCAACCAGCACGACATTGTCATCGACATCAACATCTACCTCGGATGCCATATCACTACGACAAGAGCTTCACGATGATAACCAGTCACTAACAACTACGCTCGATTCTAGCCACGACGAGTATAAATATAGCAAGGGCCATTGTTCTTGGTTTTGGTGTGACGATGATGTTGATTTAACAAATTACAACGACTTGAGTCTCACTATGGACCAGAGCTTTGAAGATGACGATAGCACATGTTGTGAAGATGAAGGAGTATTTGAAAGTGCTGCCGTACATGACATGAACAAAAAGCTAGTTGATGGTAAATCCCATCGTATTTGCTACTTCAATCGGAACGTAAAGTCTAATGTTAATGCTAGTATTATATAAGTTATACCGAGCAACAGGAGTTCAAATTCTATAAATTTTATACAAAATGCTAATAAATAAATGAAGTACTAATCCGATTCTTAATCCAAATTACCCAACTCTTTCAAAGTATCGCTCAAAATCAGTCTCAATTTGAACAAATTTACAATACACAACTTCTCATCTTTCAAATGGGCATTATCACTAGCTTGTCCACACGGAACTTGTGCCGCGGGTGCATTGAAGCATTTTTCAAGAAACCGGATAGATGGAATAGATCCGCCTTCTCGAATGAAGATCGGATCTTGTCGCCAATGCGATTGCAAGTTTTTGTATAGTATCAGATACAATTTGTTTGATGGGTCTCCCAACCAGGGCTCCGCTTCATGAAAAATATTGATTTTCAAATGGTTATCTGATTTCAAATTGTTAAATGCTGTAGTCAAATGATCAACCAACTTTTGTTTGATTGTGGTTAAATCCTGATTTGCAACTATACGCATCGATATTGTAGCATTGACTAGTTGTGGAATGACTGTATTGTTATTTGGACCAGAAACTTGAATCTTGTGAACAGTTAATGATGGTTGACGCCATTTGGCTTGCAACACATCTATGTCGACATTTTGTTGAAATTTGTTCTTGATGTCGTCATACAAAGCCTTCTCCAGTTGTGAAAGTGGTAACAAGTCATCGTAAAAACCTTCAATTTGAATCTTTTGCGTTAAGGGGTCAATCAAAGTGGTCAAAATTTGCATCATATCCATAACTGGTTCTCTGCTAACACCCCCATCAACCCCCGAGTGACGATCAGGTTTGTCTGACTTGATGATGACATTGGCATTGATGAGTCCACGAAGTCCATAATTCAAGCAAGGTGTAATGTCGTCCAACCAATAGGAGTTGCTCAACAAAATCCAATCAATGTCACCAATTAAGCTCTTGTGTTGTTGAATCACAGTTTGAAAGCCTGTGGAGCCACATTCCTCTTCCCCTTCAATAATAAACACCACGTCACAGCTCAACTCTTGCTTGTGATAAAGGTCAGCAACGGCGTAAATAGCAGCAAGTATTGGCCCCTTGTTGTCACTAACTCCTCGCGCGTACAAGTTTCCTTCTTTTGCCGTCAATTCAAACGGATTCGTACTCCAATCTCTAGCTTCATGGTTCGTCGCGTCAACTACATCATAATGACCATAGTACAAAACACGTTCATGCTTGGTCACAGGTGTTGAACAGTTTCGCTTAAACTCGGCAAATACAATCGGATTACCATTTTCCACCGGCAACAAATTTGTTTGGTAGGACCCAAATTTTGTTAGCAAATGTGATAGAAATTTTGCACAATGACGACTATCTTCAAGGTAAAGTTGCGGGTTCTTTGAGATTGTTTTGTAAGAAATGAATCTTTTCAACATTGACAACAAGTCATTATCGCTCAATCGAATACTCTTTTGTAAACTAGGCAAAGTGGCCAATGTTGAGCCTGAACTCTGCATGAAATCGTCGGTGCCATCTTCATCCTCGGAGACGTTCCACAATGTCAAAGACTTGTTCCCGCCTGCTAACAAATATGCTTCATTGTTTAACTTGAACGTGGAGACCGTGTTTATAATGCCATCCTCTTGATCGGAACTCATAACGACACTGTCAGCAACATTCTTGTGCTTCATGGTAAGTTTCACCAATCCTGTACCTGAACAAGCTTTGTACAATGTATCTCTATAAACACCCAAGCTTAAAACTTCATTCATCCCTTCCTTGTTGAATACAAACGATCTAATCATTTGCAATGTCAACAAATCCCATACATTGATACAAGAGTCCCCCAATCCAACATAAAGTAATGATCCCTGTATTGTCATTGATAGCACAGACTCGTCATTTTGCAATGATGCCAACTTGTGCAATTTTTTCAGTCTGATTGCCCATATGTTGACTACTCCATCACCACCACCTGAAACGATGAATTTTCCTTCTCCAAAATGGCCAATTGCCGTGTCAACAATATCAAGACAATAGACGTATCCGTTATGGGCAAATCTCACAATATCCTCCGGTTTACATTCAATGAAACTCACCACGGGTTTGCTTTCATCCACAGGAGTCGAGTGCCTTGAGTTTCTTCTCATTAGTTCGTGTCTTGTTTGCAATGTATTTTGAGAACCACCTGGCCCCTTTGAGTCAAAAAACTTGTCGTATCTAAAATGGGGCAAATTTTCCAAGTTGGCTCTTCTCGAGTTCTCATTTGCCACAAACAACCTGCACCATAGAATACTGGCATTTTGAGCCCCTATAACCAACGTTTGTAATCTGTCGCACCATGCAAGGGAGAATATATCGCCGATATCAACCAATGAGTAAATGACATGCGTGCACTGAAATCCAGTCTTGAAGTCATACACCTTGACCAAAGAATCCGAGCCTGCCACGAATAAAGTATCCTCCTTCTTATTTACACAAATGCTCAAGATCGAACTGTTTTGATGTGGATTATCACTTCGATCTATTTCGTGTTTCAAACTGTACGTCAACACGTCAAATATCAATACTTTCCCATCCTGAGTCCCACAAAATAGCAAGTTGTTAGCTGGCGAAGAAATGCAGCAGAGAATTGAATGTGTGTGGGTCCATTTGTGTACAAGTTTCGGTAGGGTTGCCGGTACAGAAACTGGCATTCCATCTACATCAACGGAATTTGGAGTTGATGGCGGTAATGGAGGAGAATTTATCACAATATCTCGGCCGTTCTCAAAGTTGGAAAACTGTGGCGTCGGAGATGTTGGCGCTGCTGCGGCGTTATTGTTGATACTATTTTTCAAATGCTGACGATATGCAGAAGCTTCGTCATGTACATCGTTACTAGTATTTGTAGACCTCTGCTCATGTAGGCTTTGTGATGATATTATGTTATTATTCACAATAGCCAATTCTGCCATAGACATGTGTGGACTATTCAATCTGATTGGAGTTGATGCTCTTGGGCTGTGTATTTTGGATTGCAGGACCGAAGTTTCATGGCTTAGCGGTAGTTTACTTCGTGAGGTGGGTACATATTCACCCTCATGAATGTTTGTTTGGAAGTTGCTCATAGTAGATGTGTTGTTGGGCATGTTTGGGTGTTTGAGTCTATGGGGCGTTGCATTGGGGAAAATTTTAATACGAATACAGCGTTGTATACAGGAATTTTATAGTTAGTCATAGAGAGGAGAGAGAGAGAGAGAGAGACACACACACACACATACACATACACAATACACAATACACAATACACCAGTAGAGTAGAGTACAGTAGAGTGCAGTACAGTGTTGATTTGCAATGGTGAACGATAAGCAAGACACGTGAAAGCTGATGCAAATATGGTGCTGGCGAAATTTGAAGTTGGGTACCTCTTAACTGCTTCGAATTAAGTAAACAGCATTCAAGAATGTTAGAGGTGGATCTGGACTGAGAGTTTTAGTTATCTGCACCGAAATAGTACAGCGACCGATGCGATACTTTCCGTGGTTTGAATTTCTGACTGGAATAGACATGCGAACTAGAAAATACGCCTTGGAGTTTGATCGAAACACGCAAATACTATCGTACTCGGAATAGGACTTGATATATAATTTTTGTACACCCCCCCAGTTCTCTCACACATTCTCCCCCTTGAACTTTGGCTTTAACATGTAGGATGCGACGGTTCGAGAAATAAGGGATAAACAGTTATATTATTCGTATTCAAACTGGAAAGGGATGTCATTGTAGTATTTTGTTGTGCGACCCCATGCACAGAAGCGGCTTTCCATTTCCAATATCGTCTATAGCATGTTGCGGGGAGGACGTTTGCGTAGATTGAGAAACCAACGTCCTTTTCTCTAAGGCTCTACCAAAATACAGATCTTGACGTGTTGTTGTGGGGTCTGGGTCCTGAGTATTAGCCAAGGTCAAACAAATACCGTTTACGATAGCAAGCACTTACTTTCTGCTCCCTATTCTCTGTTGCGTTTTGTACTAAAGATGACTCCTAAGCGATGCTATTAACTAGATACGTTTGGCCGCAGCTCTGTTTAATATTTAGATTCACCATTGCACGCATCTAGGAGTCGTATCTCAAGTTCTTGAAACAATACAACTTTTCTTTCAACAATCACGTGTTTCAGGGGGGACATGGATTAGCAGTTCATAAGGAATAATAATATTCCAAAACCCTTCATTATAATTTAAGTTTGACATAAAATACGCCAAGACTGCTTCATTGAAATACCCCTCAAGAAAATATCCACAACTGTTCGAATCACGACGAACTTACACAATAAGAATGCAAGCGTGTTCTTCCAAGGCAATGAAGAAAAAGGTCAGTAACATCTATCGGCAAATGACACGTTACTACACTTCTGCAATGTACTGGTTCGGATTTAAACAAATTGAATTTCTTTTTTTTTTTTTTTTTTCTCTCTTCCTGTTGCTGCTGCTGCTGCTGCTGCTGTTGCTGCAATTTGTTTAACAGTCACACGATGAGTTACTCAATTGGTTCAGACACTAATTATACTAAGTACAATTCCGAGAAGAAAAAAAAGGTACAAAAGGGTTTTCACCTTATTTTTCGTGCAATTGCAAAGACTTTTTCTACTTTCCTAAAATTCAGTTTTAAACCATCTCATTTCTCTAACTCGCATTCCCCTTCTCTTACTAACCAAGAAGAATTTTGTCCAACTCACAATTTTTCTTATTCCAGATCCCACAGCACTCTATCAATCTTCAAGAGCTTCAAGAAAGTCAAGAAAAAAAAAAAAACAAATCAAGGGTTCAAAAGAGCCATCAAACAACCACAAACGAGAACCACACCCACCTTGTCACACTCACTGGAATTTTGGTTTTGCAAAATCACAATGAAGTTTGCCCATTCTTTGAAGTTCAATGCTGTTCCTGAATGGTATTACTTGAGATATTCCTCATTAAAGAAAACAATATACGAATTGCAACAAGACCAAATCGCTTATAACGGTAACCAGGATCAAGGGTTTATTGTTGGAAAAGACACCACAACAGTGACTGAGTTGGTTGACAAATTTGAAGCCAACTATACACCATCGTCCAATGGCAGCAGTAGCAGTGATGGTAATGACGACTCTATTGCCAAGAGCACGAGTGGTGATAACGACATCGATGCCAAGACGAATTCCAAGGACGGAATGAAGAATCGGTTAGCTAAGAAACTCAACATGTTGCAAAAACTCAGAAAGAATACGCCTATTTCTGATAGTGGTAATAGCAGCAGTGCCAGCGACATTGAATTAAATCATATTGATCTCGAACGAAATGACAAGGATGGTGAGAAAGTTGGTGGGTTGGATGATGCACAATCTTATGCAGCTGAGGTTGTGAGCTTATCCAATGGTACTTCGTCCTTCAATAATCTTGACAATGTAATTAATCGTTTTATCAACGACCCTAACGAGTCCTTTGCCAATCCAAACTCATTGGAATTTGATCCATTGCACGTATTTGCCAAGCAATTGTTGATTGAATTGTCCAAAATCAATGATTTTTACAAAGGTATCGAAAAGGACATTTTTGATCAGTATAACCAATTGAACAGTGAAAGTGAGAAACTTCGTATCAAGAATGCTTTGGAATCTGAACCAGAAATACCAACCCATAGCAGCAGCACGGACAACCACCATAACACTCACCACCACCACCACCACCATCATCATCACCACCACGACGACGACGACGATGAGCAAGATCATCTTCAGCATGATTTGGAAAAGCAAAGTACTGTAAATGTCCATATCGTACACGATGACTCGGATGACGAGGAAGACGAGGTTGACAAGCACAGCTATTCCGACTCAGTATTACTCGATGAAGCTCACTTCAACGAAAACCACAAATATTCAGTCACCAGAAAAAAACAATGCTTGGCCATGTACATTCGGTTATCTGAGTTGAAGTCCTATATTGAATTAAATCGAGTTGGATTTGGTAAAATTTGCAAAAAATTTGATAAAGTTTGTGGGTACTCCATAACTCAAGACTTTTGTCAACATTTTTTACCATTGCATTCGTTTGTATTCCAGCCACAGGCAGTTGAATCTATCGATACCAAGCTTGATCAAGTTGTGCGAATTTATGCATTCTCCTTGGGAAAATTACACACTCATTCAACCAAACATGACTTGGAGCCAATCAAAAATGAATTGAGATCTCATTTGCGGGATCATATTGTGTTTGAAAGAAATACCGTTTGGAAAGATTTGTTATCATTGGAAAAACAGTCATACAATTTGGACTTGGATGAAAATGCAGTACAAAGCAGCAAAATTGGCGAAGAAGGGAACATCGCTAACTCATTGATGAAGATGAAGATGGAGGATATTGATCTTCCAAAATTTCTTGGTGGGAAAACTATTGCAGTACCCGCATTCATATTTACCAAACAAGTTTTGAAAATTATCATCACAGTAGTGACGTTTGCCATATTGATGTCAGTAAAGACGCTCAATGATCCAGTTCAAGGAAGAAGTTTGGCCGTGCTTGTCGCTTGTGCCATGTTGTGGGCTTCAGAAGCTATTCCATTACATACCACCGCCATGTTCATTCCGTTACTCGTTGTTACTTGCAAAATCTGCAAGGTTAGTGGATCGGATGAGCCCATGAAGGCCCTGGATGCAGCGCTGTACATTTTCAGTACAATGTGGAACTCCACTATTATGATCTTGCTCGGTGGATTCACGCTTGCTGCTGCATTATCGAAATATAACTTGGCCAAAATTTTTTCATCCTGGATCTTGGCTGCTGCCGGTACCAAACCAAGAAACATCATTCTTGCCAATATGATTATATCAATGGTCCTTTCAATATTTTTGTCAAATACCGCTGCTCCTGTAATTGCGTTGAGTTTAGTCAAACCAATGCTCAAGAGCATTCCATCGGACCACCCATTTACCAAAGCTTTAATCTTGGGTATTGCTTTTGCTTCCAATTGTAGTGGTATGCTGTCGCCAATCAGTTCGCCACAAAATGTCATTGCATTACAAGAAATGACTCCCAACCCTGGTTGGCAGATGCTTGAAGTAAGTTTGCCAACTACAATTGTTGCTGTTTTTTTCATTTGGTTGTTGCTCATTTCAACATTCAAAATCAGTAGTCTCAAAGTGGCCAAGATAGCACCAATCAGAGAAAGATTGACAGTAAAACAGTACTTTGTCCTTGCAATTGCAGTTGTCACCATCCTCTTGTGGTGTGTCATTGAAAAGATTGAAGTCAATTGGGGTTCGAGTGGTGTAGTGACATGTTTTGCCTATGTCATGTTCTTTGCCACGGGTCTACTTACAGTTGATGACTTGAACAATTACCCGTGGTCGATTATTGTATTGGCAATGGGAGGTATTGCCTTGGGTAAGGCAATTGGCTCATCTGGTCTTTTGTCAACAATTGCAATTGCGTTACAAAAACGCATCATGGATTACAGTGCTTATGTCATTTTGCTCATTTTTGGAATCATTGTGCTCGTGTTTGCCACGTTTGTGTCTCATACAGTTGCTGCATTGATTATTGTTCCATTGGTGAAGGAAGTTGGTGACTCTTTGCCAAAACCTCATCCAAATTTGTTGATTTTGGGCACTGCATTGATTGCATCTTGTGCCATGGCATTGCCTACTTCTGGGTTCCCTAATGTGACTGCAATCGGTATGAGAGATGAATTGGGAAGGCCATATCTTACTGTTAATGAGTTTATTTCAAGGGGTGTGCCAGCATCTATCATTGCATATTTGTGTGTGATTACCATTGGCTATGGAGTCATGTCCTCCATCGGTTACTAGGGCGGGTGAATGGTTGTATCACTTTGTGTAGTGTGTATTGAGATCTGTAAAGCATGTCAAGTCTGACACTACGGGACTGTGTAACTGCTCAAGGAATACGGTTCTAAGTGATCTCTGAATAACAGTTGTACATGAAAAACGGTAATTGTGTGTCCAGAATATCATCACTCCCTCTTTAAGCGATAACCAATGAGGTAGCGCTGACTTTTCTCACCCACCTTCATATACAGAGCTGTACATCTGTGCCATCAACTAAGCAATAAACTACACTATCAAAGATGAGCTCTCACAGGCCAAGGTCAAACTACAAACACCCAAGTGGTCTACCGACGCTACTACATCTATCACAACTATGCATCAAGCGGCATTTGTCTCAACTTCAAGATGTCGGCACCACGCCGTACCATTTACTTGCATCGGTATTGAGTTTGATGTCAGCAAAGCAGTTGGATCAACTAGAATCCTTATCGACTCAATTAACACCACATAGTGATGAGCTTTGGAAACAACTCATACTAAAGGATTTCCCTGATCGACCAGTTGAGCTAGGTCTGGTGGAACTGTTGAACAAGTTGAAATTTGAAAAAATGCCGTACAAGTCATTATACTACAAGTATGTGAAACAACGAGACGATTTCAGAAAAGATTCAGCCAAGAGATTACGACATTTGAACGAGTCGATGAATAAAGAAAAAGCCAGAAATAAGATTGTTGCTGTTGATAAGCTAATGCGGGATCCCTCAGTTCGGTATCGACAGTCTTTCCGAAATGGACAACAACTGCTGCTGCTATATAATAAGAATACTATTTTGGGGAAAGCAATACGAGAATCACAAACGAGATCACTTATGTTTGGCACACTGGCTATGAGGAAATATGATTCGTATTCTGCATTCAAGGCTAGGGAGTTTGCCCCCATGAGGGCACCTAAATCAAGCACTAGACGTACTACATTCTTCGATTCTAGTATAGGGCAGCAGAAGCAACCACAGATAACTGTGCGAACTAATCCTGGAAAAGGTAGCATCATGCCCATCAAGGGGAAGCAACAATCATCCTCTTGTCCTTCTTCTCCGTCACTGCTGGGAGAGGTTTCTGAAACATTGAGAAAGAAACGTGTAATCCAGCAACCATCGATATTCCTTCAAAATAAAAGATCAAGACCACCATCACAAACATCGCCTGTACGGAAGCAAGAGGAGAAAGAGAAGCACAAGCAGAAACAAAAACAGAAGGAAATCACAAGAGAAGAGCCCAGCAAAATAAAACCGCTTAAATCGTCCATATTTAGTTAAGACAAGTACTGTTACTACATTTTAATGAATTACGAAGCTTAACTGGCATCACATGCTTACATTCTGTCAAATAAATTTTCCTCTGTCTATTACACCTACCTATAACTCACGCGGCGTCTCTTTTGTACTTTTTCAACAACTTACCCGTGAAACTTTCGTCATATTTACGCTTATACCCAGCTGCATCATGTTTCTTATCGACATCTTCACTCTCATTACCAATCAAATCTCCATCGCCCATACTAATAACTTGCTTATAAGACTTGATCCTCAACCTAGCATTTAACAATGCCTTCTCAGGATTCATCAGTATGCAACTTCTTGCCTTGGCAGAGTTCAACCCAAGCGTCTTCAAAAGTGTCATGATATCATTACTGTTTCGCACCTGGAGTGGATTTTGAGCACCACTCGAAACTACCAAACCTCGTGATCGTGAACTTCTAATCAACTGTAGTACGTTGTTAAACCAATTCTTTTTGATCAAGTTGCCGCTCACGTCAGATGATGATGAAGAAGATGGGACGTACCCCAGTGACCCTCCACTGACTAGTTGACTATAGTTGATTTCAAACTTGATTCCTTTAGCAACTCCAGTTCCAATTGCCTTAAACTTCAAAAAAAACGGTAGTTTTGTACACAAGTTGAAGCTGATCAAATCACATTCAATGTTCAAAATTGTTAACTGTAGTGATTTTTCATTTGTCGGTTGTATCGCAAATAAATCGAAATGGTTTTGTAGTTTGGCGACTCCTTGTAATTTGGACGAATCGTTTACAATCAAAGTAATGCGTGAGAATAAGTGCAATGTGGGGAAATTGGGCGATAGTTCATCCGTAAGCTGTTTAATGAGAATAGGGTTAATCTTGTCGGGTGTATTGAAGGGAATTCTGACTGATTCATCAATGGTGAAGTTGATGGCCTGATGGGTGATGCCTAGTTCCAAATTGGTTATTATCGTGTTTTTCAAGTCTGTCCATTGCTGTGGAGTTGGTGACGTGTTGTAGTTATTACAGGGCCATGGAATATTGAGGTCATATGACATGGTAGATATTAATCACACTGATGTAATTGTTCAGTTCTGTTTCTGTATAAACTGTGAAGAAGAGTTTTTCAAAGGAAATGTAACCAGAGCTACCGATTCCAATTTTTGTGTAAACACTGTATCAGTCACTCTTTCATATTACAAATCCATATCGTTTCATTTTGCCACCAAAAACTTTCAAACACAAAACAGTGCAGAGTATATAAAAGCAGAGTAAAAAGTCACATCAGTTCCTTTGCCACTTCATTCATTTGTCCAATTTATCCACTTCCTAGTTTCCCTTTTCAAACGCCACCGTAATCATGTCATCAGTCGCCAATTTGTTCATTGACAAAACTCAAGCACCTCCAAAGGAAGATCAAGGTATTATGGACATTGGTAAAAACTGTTCGTATTGCAACCAACTAGATTTCCTTCCATTCACCTGCGAATTCTGCAAAAAGACATATTGCTCTAATCATCGAACTTTAGAACAGCATCATTGTCCACACAAGGATAAATTTTACAATCAAGCGCCACCTGTACATGCTGACCGTAGTGGTGGTGCTTTATCGTCCACTTCTACTTCGACCACGATATCCTCGAAATCTTTGTTCCCCGATAGAGCAGCAGACAGGAAATTGATTGATGAAAAGTTGAAAAAGAGCCCCGAACCTACAACTATCAAAGAAACACAATTTAGAGTTGGCGATGTAGCTGGTACCAATGCATTCAAAAAATTTCAAAAGTTTCTTAGTATACAAAAGGATAAAAAGAGTAGTAGCAGCAGCAGCAGCAGTGGTGGTGGTGGTGGTGGTGGTGCGAGTGGCTCGATATCGAGATTATTTGGCAAAAAGTCTTCATCTGGTACAACTACTACCACCGGCAACAATGCACCTGCCAGTAAATTTGCCGATATGGCAAAGTTAAAAAAGAATGCACAGGGAGATGCTAAAATTTCAGCATCAGATAGAATTTATCTTTGGTGTGTTTATGTTAAAGATCCCAATGCTGCAATGAATATTGAACAAGATAGGAAGCCAGTTTATGTATCCAAGAATTGGGTGGTTGGTAAATCATTGGATTCGATAGCTGAAAAGCTACGTATTTCCAATATTAATAACCTGACCACTATAGCTGATGAAAAATTGAACATTTTCAAGATTGATGAAGCTACGAATGAACCTAGGTTGGTCAAGACTTCAGACAAGTCAAGTTTTTTGAAAAATGGAGATACTGTCTACTTAGTTAGAGGAGTCATATAGAGAAAAAAAAAAAAAACAAAAAACAAAAGTACATTGCAATGATATTCACAAAGTTCAAACATAGTTCAAACAAAATTAGATAGTCCTCTTCTCTAATTCCTAGTATATACATCCTTAATTCCATCATACTCTAGCCAATTCATTAAACAATTTTGATCATTCAAATGTTCATACCGGCTGAATTTCCCCGCCACACAATGCGAAGTGAATGGTGTATTGGCACAGTTGTAATATGGATCATGATTGTACCCCAAATCTCTGAACCAGTGTATTTTCGACTTATCAGCAAACAAACTCACGCCAATTGAATGAACAGGTGCATCCCCCCATCGTTCATAGTAAAACCCACCCGTTGAATCCAAATACTTGAACCAGTTATTGTACGCATCACTTCTGAAAAAATCCATATCTCCAATTTCGAAATTCGACCAGAAATGACACGTTGAATAACCACCCGCAATTTTTGTCTTTTGAGGATTTTGCAAGTCTTCAACCAACCATTGGAAACTACCATTTGGATTAACATACTTGTAGTTGTCCCCTGTGTTTAAGTACTTGAGCGTTTCTGGCCAAAGAGTCTTGATTGATTCTTCAATATCGTATAAACTGACTGTGAAACCGTAAATCTTGCCAGTAGTTTCCATATATTTGAAAACATCGTATGTGACATCAGTGTAGAAATTAACTTGTGGTTCGATTCTCCAATAATACTTGTATTTCTGTAGCTCCGGTACGTTGTAGAATTGACCCAGATAAAAACGACACATGTTGTGATACGAGCCTTGTTTAGCATAAGCAATATTGTGATCATACATAACTTGCATAGCCTGCGCCTCCTTTGTCTCATCTATTGACAGTGGCTTTTTCCAAGCTTCAGGCTTGATGGTGACAAACTCAACCGGAGCATCCTCGGTGTATTTCACAATCTTTTGTTTGAAACGTTCGGTAAATGGCTCATCATTGATAAATGTGTATGGGTAGTTGAATTTACCATTAAACAGCTTTTGGAATCTCCTTATACTTTGACCTATTTTCGACATTTCTGAATTTCTGACTAATGCCAATATCGTGGCATTTGCTCTCTTGTACTGGTGTTTATCTTCTGGTGGTGGGATTAACGAGGCATCTTGGGGCTTGCCCACTTCTGTATTCATTAACTCGGCATATCGTTTCGAATTCGACTCAATAATTTCTTCTCGTGTTTGCTTCTTCTTTTTGTTCTTGTGTATAAAGTTGAATTGCACATTGTTTGGCTCAATGATTGACGCTATCGATGCATCACTGTCTGACGATGATTTCAAATTCCATCGGTTGTAGGTGTTTTTCAAACTGTCACTTAGATTGGGCAAATAGGAGAAATCAAAGTTTTCTCCAAATGATGTGAGTGACCAATCATGGCTAGCTAGTTGTTGATGATTGATTAATTTGGAATGTATTGCTAGTAAGAATAATGCAGTGACAGTTAGAATGATATATAGCAACTTTCTCTTCCTTAGTGTAAACATATTTGTAGTCAAAGGAGCTTGTATCTTGTAAAATGGTTTTGCAAAAGTGGGATCACGTAAAAATTCTCCAAGGTTTGTGAGTAGCGTTTATATTTGTATTGAATATTCTATTTATGCTCCCCCAACAACAACAACAATAAACGGATTAAAATTCAGGTACACGCGCAGGAAAGGGGAAAGAAAAAAAAAAAAAAAAGAATTAAAGTAACGAAAATAAAATAAAAAGGACGTGCAATTGTGGCGAAGTCTTTAGTCATGTCATGTACAACCTATATTGTTCAAGAGCAAAATGCCATGTCCAGTAACGTATTCCTACATCATTGAGCTTCCCATGTTGATATATCATTCACTCTTTTTTCAGTTCTTAAATGGGCACTTATGGCCAAAGGAGGTTGTGGCTGAATCCAAAACTTATGCTTCTTATCATGTGATGAAATTCCAAGCTAAGCCTTGCCAATAAGAACTTTAATATCCCCGTTTACCTGTATTGCTTTCAATTGTAAATAAAAAAAGAATGTGAGCAGAGGAACAGACAACACAAGGCTTCAAAACGTTTACTGCTTGAGTTGAGATGAACTTCACGACCGTTATTGTCAATTGCATCGGCTGCCTAAATCCTCCGAGACCAAAGGAAAAAATAAAAAAAAAATCGCTTCACGCTTCGGTCTCAATCTAGAAAAAGGAACAAGTTTCCCAGAAGATCTTGATGTATCAAACATTAGCAAGGACTAGCCGACGGTATCTTTCAAAACTACCAGATAAGACATCCACGCTCGCTAAATTCAATTTCCCTTTGGCAACAAGTACCATAAAATCCGTCACTGAAAATATCCATGAGTTTATAAATCACAAACAAAAAGTCACCTTAAATGGGCATATACATCGAAAAGCCAGAATACGGCCAACTTTGAGCTTTGGTTTCCTACGTGACTGCAATGGGGAGGTTGTCCAATTTGTTGCCAATGCTGCAACAAATGACAAGGTTATGGACACAATGAAGAAACTCACAGTTGAGGAATCAGTTAGCATTACCGGATTTGCACAACAAAAACAATTGAGAAAAGGCGAAACAGAGAGCTGGGAGTTGGCACTAGAAGATATTCAAATACTAAACCTGTCAAACATTGATGCTCCAAGACTAGAAAAACTAAAGCAAGCCCGACCAGAAGATCTCCCACCTCAATTTAGATACTTGCAACTACGTACCCCATTTTATCAAAATGCTTTACGTGTGAGAAGTAAAATTGCTCAACTAATCCGTAAAGTGCTTGTTGATGGCCACGATTTTGTTGAGATTGAAACCCCTTTGCTATTTAAATCAACACCAGAAGGTGCAAGAGAATTTCTTGTCCCTACGAGGTCGCCAAACCAATTCTACGCATTACCTCAATCTCCACAGCAGTACAAGCAAATTCTCATGAGCTCTGGATTCACAAAGTACTTTCAAATTGCCAAGTGTTTTAGGGATGAGGATTTGAGATCTGATAGACAACCAGAGTTCACTCAAGTTGATTTGGAGATGAGCTTTGTGAATAGCTCAGACCAGGTAATGAGAGTTGTTGAGGATGTGGTGTTGAGTATCTGGGGAAAAATCAAGCAAACAAGTATGTACACGTTGAATGAAAGCGGAGAACTAGTTGAAACTGAACTGGACGCCAACGCTACCCGCTTGTCAAAGTTAGACTATTTAACAGCTTTGCAAAAGTATGGAATTGATAAGCCAGATTTAAGATCCAAAATCTCATTCGAAAGTCTTGAAGACTTTTTTGTTGCGACAGAGAACAATGACTTTCCAGTTGTCGAAGCATGTGTTTTGAGAGGAGCATTTGACCCAAAGCTTCAACCATCGAAACCACCAAAGTCTCTCACTAGTGAGTTAAATTATTCTCGAAGAAGGCCCTATGTATTCATTATCAAGTCTGAAAATGATACGAAAACCTGGTACGAGCAACTTGTAAAGAAGGGGTTCATGAGAAACAAGGGCAATTTAAGTGAGGATAATCTTTGTCGTCGCTTAAGCTTGAACCCGGGTGATATTTTAGCTGTTTCAAGTAGATCGCATCTACCATATGAAAACCCAACTCCTTTGGGCAAGTTTAGACAATTGGCAATATTGGAATTTCCTGGAAAATGGCAGCGTCCAATTCGAAGAGGAAACGACTTGGTCGATTCTTACAATTCCGATGAAACTGTTGTTGGAACATGGGTTGTTGATTTCCCACTTTTCAATCCAGTTGAAGTATCAGAAGATACTAATGCACCATATCCAAAATATGACAAAAGCCAGTTGGAATCCACGCATCATCCGTTCACAATGTGCAAATCAGAAGATTATAACTTATTAGAAACCGCTCCTTTAAAAGTAAAGGGCGAGCATTACGACTTGGTGGTCAACGGAGTTGAGGTAGGAGGCGGATCAAGAAGAATCCACGATGCGGCATTGCAGCAATACATATTTGAGGAAGTTTTACACGTAAAGAATTATCAGCAGCTATTTGGTCATTTGTTGAAAGCTTTGAGCATGGGCTGCCCCCCTCATGCTGGGTTGGCTATGGGGTTCGATAGGCTATGTGCTATGGTGGTTGGCACTTCCAGTATAAAGGATGTCATTGCGTTCCCAAAAAACCAATCGGGATCGGACAGAGTTGTTGAGAGTCCTACTACTGTTGATGAAAAAACATTGAATGAGTATTTCATTACTACAATAGATTCCTGTAAATAGATCAAAATGAATATACCACAGTATACACTGTTTATTCACGTCTTCTTCCCCTCAATTTTTGCTTCTTTTCTGCAGCACCAGTCAACTCATCTAGCTTACGTTTATTGTATCCACTTTGTGCCCTTTCGGCTCTTTCAGCCTGAATTCTCTTTTCTTCAGCTAGCCTTTCTAATTTCAACTCAATTGGTTTTTTGGTTCTGGTGATATCTTCTCCACCATGGAATTCTTGTTCCTGTTCCTTCACGAGCCTTTTCCAATCAAACTTCTTTCTCACAAAAAGCTCCATTGACCAGTTTTTCCACACTAATTTACCATACTGGCTTTCCTTCACTTTATGCGACTCGCTCATAAGCTCAGATGCAATACGGTCCTTATACATGGGCAATAAAACTGTGAAATCCCACAATCTGTCAACGATATGTGAGCCATATGAGTTGCATGACAAGGCAACAACTTGGTTTTGGAAAATGTTGAGGTATCGTTTTCGAAGAATTTGCACTTGTTTCGTTTCCTCTTTATCAACAACCAAGGAGTTCTCAACAACGTGTGAAAACACCCCATGAAAACACATTTGCACAAACTTTTCCACTGGCAAGGCAATGAAATTCAACCACGTACAAATGACGAACCTGCTATCAAGTTCCATTAATTTTTCCAAAAACAAGGCTCTCTTTCTTTCCTCGGCAGTCGGCCAGTCACCTCTTGTGTTTCCCAATGTGGATCCCGTTAACTGTAGTACATTTTCAATAAACTCGGTAGATGTGTCTGTTTGTGGATTTGCAAAATCATAATTGGGAGCAAATTTGATGAACAATTGTGTAATAATTTCATCTCTCAAATAGTTTCCTCTCAGAATTGATGCATCGATAACCTTTTGAGCCAAGTCCAAATTTTGGTTGTCAGCAATGGAAATAAGGTTGGAAAGCTCCGGTATTATTTGGTCCAAAATGAACTCCACCTCTACCGGTTTCAACTTGAACAACAATGCTTGGATAATGTAAACACCAGTGGTGGACCTCCTTGCTAACTTCAATACTCTGTCTTTCATATAAAGTTTGTATAGTCTTTCGATATATTGTGGCTTTGGACCATCATTCTTGATTATGGCTTCGAAAAAGTGAGATCCTACAGGATCCGATAACAAATACTCCACAAATGCCTCCTCGTCAGAAACTTTTTCATCACCTTGTTTGGAAAAGACCAAATGCCACATTGTACGCTCACGATCAACAAGTCCTTCTAATTGAATCACGAGTTGCATTACGGGTGATGCGATTTTGTGAATACTCAATTCCCTTGCCTTTTTCGTATCCATGTCCTTTGTTAAATCTTGGAAATACTGACGAAGTTCTTCTTTGAATGCAGGTGGTGTTTGGAATGCTCTATTGAAATCTTCATTATCCTTGATTTCAATCATCTTTCTAGCAATCTTTGACTTTTTTGATCGCAAAACAGAATTTGACACAGTTGTTGATGGTAACTCTTTCCCAGCGAGAATCAAGATCAAAAGTCTCAACACATGCGACGCATATTGGTGATCAATCATTGTCAATAAATAAGGTTTAAACTCATCCACCATGGCAATGAACAAAGTCTCTACACTTTTAGTGTCGTTTCGATCGGCAATCACCACCCCATCTTCCTCTTCATATTTCACCTCATCGGTTTGCAAAATCTCTTTTTCAATCAATGCTGCTGCTCTCACAAGCAAGGTTTCCAAAACATGCGAGGCATACTTATGAAATGCTAGGGACACAAAATGGTTTGAAAGGTTTTCAAAAATGGTCTTCAATTGTTGAGTGTTGGCGAACAATACTAACCTCTCCATCAATTTAGAACAAATCTGATTTGTAACTAATTTTAACTCCTTTCCCTGCGCTTCTTCCAACACCGAGGTAATAAATCCTTCTCTATCTTCTTCACTCTCAAATGCATTAACATTCAAGGTAGATTCTGCTTGTTTGAAGTAATCAATTTCACTTGCGTCAACGAGTCCAAAAAATGTATTGGGGATATTCTCTGGTTGAGCTTGTGACTCATTCTTGGGTTCTGAAAAGTCAGTACTGTCCAATTTCTGCGCTTTCTTTTCAGCTCTTCTTCCTCTTGATTTAGAGCTCCCCATGGTTTGGATATTGTACTTGGTTCTGAAAGAAGTATTCTTGTTTTGAGATGATCTTCTCAAAAAAGATGTGGACACAAAAAAACAAAAAAATGATATTAGAAATGTCCTTGTATACAGGAAAATCACTGCAACTAATGGAACAGAGCTTCCCTCACAACCAATTACATCCGCAGTCAACCTCATAGAGTATTTCAGATGTTCAAAGACTTGCAACCGGCTGATTCCACTGTCTACTATAAACGGGTTTAAAAACAAAAAATTATTTAAAAGTCTAAATAATATATAAAATCAAGCTAAACTAGTGCTACTGCAGAACACTTTGCATGGGATATAAAAAGATAAAGAAAAAAACGAGGTTTGACTTCAACTAAAAGGGTGAGTATGAGACTCTGAAAAACAGCATGGTTGCCATTCACACGGAAGAAGCTTCCTCACAAGCCTCAATCTTACTTTTGTGGTTCATAGTAACCATAGGTGGTCCAATGTGGCTTGGCTTCAGCATCTCTCTTTTGAGGTTCATAGTAACCGTAAGTAGTCCAGTGAGGTTTGGCTTCAGCATCTCTCTTCTGTGGTTCGTAGTAACCATAGGTGGTCCAATGTGGCTTGGCTTCAGCATCTCTCTTCTGTGGTTCGTAGTAACCATAGGTGGTCCAGTGAGGTTTGGCTTCAGCATCTCTCTTCTGTGGTTCGTAGTAACCATAGGTGGTCCAATGTGGCTTGGCTTCAGCATCTCTCTTTTGAGCACCAGCAGCTTCCTTAGCTTCAGCGACTGACTTATCCTCGACCTTGTTTTCAACTTCAGAATCAATTGATGGACCATTGAAGAAAGCTTCAACTACACGTTCAAGTGGGTTGTCAACTGGAAGTGATGGAGCAGCAGTTTCGTTTGAGGCGACTGGAGCAGAAGCAACCAAGGCAGCAGCAACGGTAGTGAGAACAGCAATTGACAATTTCATTTTTGGGAGTCCTTGAAGATTGGAAGTTCTTGTTTCTTGATAAAAGTGAATCAAATGTTTTTGTTTTTTTGATGATTTGAAAGAAGAAAGATAAGAGCTGAAATAGGTGGAATCAACGGATATTTATATTGAAATCTTTGAAACACAACGGCCCCCACTCATGGTGAGTTGAAACATAGCTCTTGAGGTAAGAAGTGATGTGAGCCACATTAATCAGTAGCTGCAAACAAAGGATCAAAAAAAAAAAAAAAGTTCTCAATAAACTCTTGCTTGAAAAAGTCCCTTTTGCAGCCAAAAAGGGAAATTTAGTTCCAATTCATTCTATGCACAAAATAAAATTGAACATAACTGAGAACAATTATTCTTTGATGTAATTTTCTACACAAGTCGAAATACGGGAGAATGCTGCACCCTATGAATACCAAAAAGGCAAGCCTATCCGACACTAGCAAAGTTGAAAAGAAAAAAATGCTTGGAAGAGAAAAGTCAGTAGCACGTGCGCTTTTGACTACTATCGTAGAGCAACGTCTTGAGTAGGATCGGGAAATTTGGACTGCAAAATTAGAAAAGGTGACTCTTTGTAGAGAACTAGTTGGTTATTGTTGACCCAGTAACTCATTTGACGAAAGCTATTGTATCGCAATTTTCTATTACAATGAACAAAAGCTTTGTGCATGTGGAACCACCAATAATAGCTCTGAGCCCAAATTCTGGCCACTACATGAAGACTCACTTCTCAACCACAATTTTCGCTGAGTCTTGTTTCAAAATTAAAACATTGTACAATTTCACGTTTCTATCAACAGAAATCACAAAAAACCCTATTATAATGTAAATGGCCCACCTCATTCGCCAATTGCGAATATTCTGAAACTTCATAACGAAAGCCGCACAAAGCTAATCTGGACTTCAATTACCTTTCCGAATTGAAAAACAGTTTAAGCACTCTTTCTGCCAAGGTATGGCATTTTGTGCACTTCCAAATCTGAAATTGAAAAGGTTTTCGCGTGTGCCATATACCTACTCCTCCCCTTAGTGTAACCTTTTGAAACGCCAATCATCGAAGTTGTATCTTGATTTCTTGATCTATTAAGCTTGGTTGTCCCAAAGCCATATTAGATTGGCCAAGACATCTATGTTTGTTTCAAAAAATGTAGGACTTGATGAAACTAAAAGCTTGCTCAAAAGTAAGTGGTGTTGCAATGCGCTTGAAATATCCAAATAATCCTGGCTACGATGGCACTAAAATTAGCTTTCTTTCCATGTATTCAACGCTCGACCCAAGTTCTAAAACAACGCGGCGCCAAACGTTTTTGAGCACACTTGTCAATCCGATCACTCTGATCCAAATGGTATACATTAAGAAACTGAGGCGTCAAACTCTTCTTCGCTTGACCCGTTTCGCCTCAGCTCCCTCTCTAAACACCAACCCTACTCATATTTGTGTAGACAGTCTTCATACCGACCCTTTCTTAGCTCATCAAGTTTGATCAATTTCTGTAGAATCACCCTCATTTCATCCTTATTCACATCTTCTCGCTCTTTCAACTCGGTGATCTTGAACAAAGCCTTCAAGCAGCCAACATTTTCCTGTCCTGTATCCTCCTTTTCCAACTCATTTATCTCGTTGATTAAGTCGATTTGTTGTTGGAGTAGCTGTTTATAATCGTTTTGATCATTGTCGGCGCCACTTGCATTGAATGCATTGACAAAAAACTCATCAGATAAAAGCCAGTACAAGTAAGACCAAACTGAATTGTCCTCGGGACTCATATAAATACCAGTTTTGATCAATTCCAAGTCATTATTCAAAATCAGCAATGGTGATTGAAAAAGATGCAAAGATGGATGGTCAATGGCAGCAGCAGATGACGGATTCTGTTTAGCAAGCTCATATATCTTAGGTATCAATTTAGTTCGATTATGCCATGCTGAAAAATTCAGAAAATCAATCAGGATTTTAGCAGTTGTGTAATCAAATTCATCAAGATTCAACCGCAACACCTCATCATCACCTTGATCCGATTTCAATTTCTCCAATTCTAGATTCTCAACCACAAACCTTCGATATTGCCATCCATGGAAATTTCGTTGATCCAATTCCAACATCTTCCCCACTGTTTTGAACTCAAACCCCCAATTAACTTGTTTCAAATCGACCAATTTGAACAAGCACCACCTCCGATGATTCCAAATCCAATACACTTTGGGGAACTTGCGTAATTGTGCCATAACGAATTTCAACTCATCATTCAAAATCTGTGTCAACTGGGCATGGTTTGATCCATACGCATTTTCAATGATTTCTCGACGATAGTTCCAAATGGTGTAGAATTCTGGGTTCAATTGGAGTAAGCTGGTTGTTGCATTGAAACTTTCGTCATTGTATGTTTGTAAATCACGCAATTGGAAAATGTGTGATGTCAAGTCACGATAGTGCTTGATTTTTGGTTCGTCTTTGACGTATTTCTGATGCTTTTGCGATTCATTGAGATGAACTCGTTTGACCTCGTGTTGCTAATAGCAGAGACAATTATAGTTAGTATCCAATAACCCGTGGCTAGCAACTAGGTGTATCTCTCTATACGTACCATTTTCTTTGTGTGTATGGTGGGTGGTATCTTAATAGCCTCTGACTTCTCGATCATACACATTTCACTGTTTACATTTATTTTTTCTTCACTTCAGCATACACATATATACAAAGCTTCACTAGTCTTCCCTTCGCTGCCGCCACCATATCCAACTCACTATGTCAGCATCTAAGCTAGCGCTCAAGGGCTCGTCCAAAATAGTATCAGACTACTTTGAATTCGCAATCAACAGCATTCTTTTCCAACGAGGCATATACCCTGCAGAAGATTTCATCACCGTACGAAAGTACGATCTACCAATGGTTATCAACAATGACGATGATGTCAAAAATTACATTAGCAACATTATGAAACAGTTGAAGAAGTGGATCTATGGCAAGAAAATCACCAAGTTGGTTGTTGTTATTGTTTCCACTAGTACTGGCGAAAGCATAGAACGATGGGAATTTAATATCGAGACTAAAGATAATGATGAAGGAGATGACCAGCATGAAAATGGGGGTGACAAAAAAAGCAAAAACGAGATCCAAAAGGAAATTAGAGCAATAATACGTCAAGTGACGTCGTCGGTGAGTTATTTACCAGTTTTACGTGACGACGAATACACATTCAATGTGTTGGTGTATACCGATAAAGATACAAATATACCTATACAGTGGTGCGATACCAATGGGGATGGAAGGATATTGGAAGGTGACAATGTTGATGAAATAGATTTTGCTAGTTTCAGTACCGATAAGCATAAAGTAAAGACGTCAGTTAGTTACAAATTTGAATGAAACAATTTGAAGAATAGCAGTACGACAGAAAGGGGGGAGGGATTGGTGTCCCCGCGATAAATAATCTCTTCACTAAGTCATCTTGTCAATCAATCAATCTTTGGCTTAGCTTTTCATGTTCGGCGAGTTTCTGCTTCTTTTCCTCTTGTTCACTCTTATCCTTCGTTTCTTGCTCGTTAGCAAACCTCGATCTCTTATTACTCAACATGAACCTAACCAGCCCTTTCGTAGCCACGCCATAATCCCAATTTGCCAAATACTCATCTTTCTCGTTTAACTTGAAATTGCAACTCTTTTCATTCAAAATTTCCACATTGTTGAACTTTTGTTTCAATTCCAAGAATTTGAAGATTTGATTCTTGCCGGTAACTTGGTCAATTGGTGGTAAAAAATCCTGCAAGATGCTATGATCATATTGATGTGTGTAATAATCCAATATGTAAAGTATTGCTTCATTGACCAATGTTTCGGGACACTGAAATTCATTACAATCCAACTCGCTTAAAATCTTTTTGATCATGCCCACTTCTGCATCCTCATCTTCGTCAATCTCATGGTGTTGCAAGTTCATGTCCTTGGGGTTTAGACTCAAACTTATAATGATTATTGCCAAAGCAATACAATGAGGTGGCACAACTAAACTCAATGGAGTTTGTATAATGTCATAATTGATGAGCCAACAAAGCATGGATATCTTATAGTTTAGACCCAAGTTTTTGCAAAATTGTATGAGTAGATCATCCACATTGATGGCAAAACTGGGGTTGTTCCCTAGATTGAAGTCAAACTTGGTGATTTGTAGCAACTTGAACTCGGTACTCAAGATCTGTTTACGCTGTAAGTCAATAAATGGAACGCCCACTCCATTCGTTTCAACAAGAGTGTTTTCATTAATTTCTCTCAATTTATTGCAAACTTGTTGAACATCCTTTAGCTTCTTAATACAATCTTCAACCTTACTAGCAAGAAATAAACAAGTTATGGCAACAGTATATGGTGAGTTTTCAATTTGCATGGGCAGTTTGGCAATATCAAATTGATTGAACAAGTAAAACCGTTGGTAGTAATTCATAGTGGTTGCAAGAACACGAATGGGAAATTTCAATATCTTGACTGCTTGATTCAAGAATTGGTATATTTGTTGTTTAGTGCTGGCATACTGTAGTTTTAACGTTGACGGTATGGTTTGGCTATGTAAATATGATAGTTCTTGCAATGTAAAAAATGGTCGCGATACTTGCGTTACTGACGTTATTGTTGATGCTGCAGAAGTTGCAGAAGCTGGGGCGGAGGGTGACTTCCCTTTATCCAGGATTCCTGGTGTTACGTCGTTGGACATGGTTAAGGCGGGTCTGCACTCGTCTTGGATGAAGATTTAGGCGAGTGATGGGTGCTTGTTTTTTTTTTTATTTTTTTCCTTCTCTCGTATTACATCATTGCGCAGAGAATCCCAATGGCATCAACACACAGAGGAAGAGATCTCCAGATCTCCTCGGATCCACCTGGTTGACACTTCCACAAAGAAGATAAACTGAGAACATCTCTTTCTCTAAAAAATCTAATATAAACTGTAAATAAACTATAAGAACACTAGACTGAGGAAAGACACATTGAATGGTATATATGGTGATAAATTTTTTTCTTTCTTTGTAGCGATTTTCATGTTTAAGCGGTGAATGACAAGGAGAATCCCAATTTGTGGACTGGTTCAGCCAATTTCAATGAGTCGAAAGAAGCACCCAAACCCAATTTAACACCTGGTCTCAAAGCTTGAGTATAAGACAAAGAGGTCAAACCAGAGTCAGCAATCTTGGCTTTGATGAATGCAGACTTGTCCAAAGCGTACTTAGTGGCGAATTCAACATTGACGTTTGATGATTTGACTGAGTCCCAAGTGGTCTTGGCACCAACTTCAACCAATGGCGAGACTCTGTGGTAGTAAGCAGCGGAAAAGACAGACAAGTTTGAAGTGGCAGTGGCAGCCAAGTTGTAAGTCAAGTTGGAGTAACCAACACCAACAGAGTACTTGTTGACCTTGGCGCTAGCAATGTCGTAACCCAATTCGGCACCAGCAGTGAAACCGTCGTGAGCAACAACCAAATCAGCGGTGGCAATTGGACCTTTCAACAAGTCAAAGAACAATCTAGCGTTGACAGCTTGTTGTTGGTAGAAAAAGTTCAATTTGGCGTTTCTTGGACCGTTTGGAACAATTGAAGTGTCCAATTCTCCCTTCAAGCCAGGAGTCAACAATTCAGCCAATTCAATCTTGGTGGACAAGACGTTGGCGTTGTTCCAACCTTGGGTCAAAGTCAAGCCAGTGGCCTTGTCAACGTGCTTGGCTTCAACGGAAGCAGCAATTGTGTCGTCCTTAGCTGTCTTACCTTTAACGGTGAAAGCAACACCATTTGGAGCAATGGTTTTGACATCAACAGCGGCAGTTGACAAGTGGTAGAAGTCCTTGTTCAACAAGTCGTTGGAAGCTTTAGTCAAATCGGAGTAAGCAGCTGGAGCCATTGTGTGAGTTGAAGAGAAATCAATTGATTAGGAGTATAGAAAGAAAGTTAATTGAAACTTGTGAAGAAGAGAAGAAGAGAAGAAGGAGAAGCAAGAGGAAGGAAAAGTTTTGTTGGAGAAATTAATCGTTTGTTTGTAATTCTAGAGTTTCTGGCGTTAAAAAACAAATAAAATAAAAAAAAAACTGTGGGATAATTTTTTATTTTGTATGAGCCCAAATACAGTATTACCCAATTAGTGCTTTTGTGTACAACTACCTTGTGTTGTTCTTTGTTGTTTCTTGTTCTACAGAGTTCTCACCCATTTACATGATAAATGTCGTACAACCCAACACGTTTTCCATCAAACAAATCACAAAATCAACATTTCTCATTGGTTAACTTTGCTAAAATGTCTATGTCTCTTTGATGAAACGACATTTGGTTAAAATCTGATCATTCACGACATAACGCACGCACAGCACACGCAACACACACATGTCACACATGTCATGCACTTACCTCTCACTTACAAATATATCTCTTCAGTTTTCGAATGACATTATGTTCCCCATCTTCCCCTCACCTTTGTCTCTCTTTACCCTTAGAAAAGATCATCAGGTTCTGTTTCAATACTAATTCTCCTCAACAGGTCCCCCGTGTGTGTTTTCTTTTTCTTCCTATGACAACATGTTTATACGTCTTTTTATCACAAAATCTCACGCGTTCACATACATAAAATAAAGTGAGATCTCACTCTTGCTCTGCTCTCTGAACGTCATGATGTGTATGCATATGGTGATTCTATTATTCTGTAGTAATGGCTAGCCTCCTTGTTCACCGTTTTTTTGTTTCCACTACACATAGTATACCCATCTTTGTTGAGAGCCCTAAAACACTCCATTGCAGATTTTTTTTTGTCACTCCACTTTGAAAATAAAAACGATCCATCTCCTAGTTAGTAGTCATTATTATTCACGTTATTGCAGAGGTTGGGTTGTTCTTCATGTAACATTGATTTTGAACTACACCTGGTGCATATTGTGATGCGTCAAGTGCTTCATAAAGCAGGGCAACGTGGCCTGCCGCACAATTTCTACCTCGCTTACAATCATGGCCTCTTTTGTTATGCACCTTCTATTCACGTGGACAATGCAATTTGTGCTCTGTAACTGTGTCGCGTTTTACCAACTCCGGCAAGACACACTGTGCTACCAAGTTCAGTTTCGACATTGCGATTGCATTGAGTGTTACAACTGTGAAAGATTGATTCCGTTCGTTTAAAGATATAGCAAGTCAGCCACCCAAAGAGGATAGTAACAGCGAGTTCTCAGGTTCTCGGCACCACCAAATTTTTCTTGTATTCTGCCATTCTCCTACATCGGACTTGAATAAGCTGCCAGTTCTGAATACTACTCATGATTGGCAAGACAGCGGTACATTGTACCAATGCCAAAATTGCAAATGACACAGCTATGCAAGCTCAAAAATAGCAAGGTTCTGCGTAGCCTTGCCATTTTACGTTTCTTTTGCGAATCCATGATATCACGTGCAGAAGTAAGGAAAAAGAAAGTAGTGCGCAAATTAATTTGCGCAAATGATACAACATTACAAATATCATGCAATATTTACATCATCTTTGAGCACAGTTCTCTTTATGAATACTGCAGAGTATGAAGTTCATACTAATAGATTCCAACCAGCTAATAGTACAGTGCTGGAAGCATCATTACCAAACCTGTCTCAAGATAGTGCAGCACTACAACTTGTCGCTCAAACCAACTACAATCACAGCAACACCAGCAACGGCATCAACGTCACCTAATGAATTTGAGTTTTATGCCTCAACCATTGAAGATTTTGTGTCCAACCATCAACTTAGTGGCAACACATCTACTGTGTCGCCAGGTAACTCGCTTGGATACATGGGAGGAGGATACGACAAGCATTTGCTACAAAGCATGCTTCTTGGAACTGACATAACCGATTACAAAGTAGTTGAGCATTTGATACAGGATGCCAGGTTACGACAAGGTAATGGCTATATGATACCTAACCACATATACCGAACTGATTTACTCCAATTACCCATATATCAAGGTTACAATTATCGAGACTCACTAATTTACAAGAATTTAGGAGTTGAAGAATTGATCCAGATCCCAACAATGATGGTTCCAGAGAAAATACATTCAGTGAGACATTTGTTTGATTCTATATGGAGTTTGCTATCACATATACAGGGATATGGTATGACTAGCGGGGAGGAGACCGAAAACAATAGCAGCTCAAATGGAAAAGATAGTGGAAAATTACGACAAATTCAAAATTTAATCATTCCAGGTGTAGGTACAGGATACGGTCATTTAAATGAGTTTGAGCTGACTAAGATCATGATATTCGCCATGTTTGTATTCCACTTGGACCTCAAAAGTAGCACTAAAAGCAACGGCTATGTTTCTTCACGTCTTGACCAATTGAAGAAATCAATGTTAATCTTGTTTTTTTTCAATAAAGATTATCGATTATTTCAAAACGAAATAGATGTGCTGGAGATGGAAAGTTTGATCAGCGATTACGGCAAAAATGTTGAGTTGAAGCTGGACTCCATAATGGAGTTGGATGAAGTTTTCCAATGTGTCAAGTTGTGAGCACCAGTAAAAACATAGGATGTGCACCGGTGAAAAAAAAAAAGAAAAAAACTATCTTGATAAAAGTTATATAGATGACTTAGAGGTATATAATAGACATTTAGATCTGTTTGCATTTCGTTGTTAGATGTTCATAAAGATAGCTTGTTTGGCTGTGAACCATCGTAGGTTATCGCAGGGGTTTTGTGTTCAGCATCGGAGTTAAACTTTAAAGTTGCCTCATTCAGACCAAGTTCAATAAAGACTAAGAAATCATTGGAGAGAGCTTGTTATGCCTTTAGTAAGTGTACGCTCTAAAACGACCTCCACGTCTCTGTAAACCACGTGTAGTCTATTAAGCACTTTTCATGTGTGTGCGGGTATATATCAGGGAAAGTATTCAAACAAAGGGAAAAACGGAATTGAAGAAAAAGAGACACAAGATGAAGGAAGGAAACACTGCCGCCCAAGAAAAAAACAAAAAAATAAAATAACCCAATTTAAGGGTCAAAAGGAACTACTCTCACTACGAAATTTCATCCTTCTCTCATCTTACTCCATATCTACCCCTACTGAACTACACACTCAACCCAATAACATACTACTCAACTCCACGCCAAGAAAATGCCAATTGTACCTGCATTCACACTTGGTTTCATCCGATGCAAGGAAAACAACAAGATCCTCTTGCTCAATCGTAACAAAGCACCATGGATGGGCAAATGGAATGGTGTTGGTGGCAAAATCCACCCGAACGAGTCGCCATTGGACTGCATGATTAGAGAAGCACAAGAAGAGACTGGGTTGATGTTGCCCCAATTTGAGCCGCGTGGGGTCTTGACTTGGGAAATATACTCCAAGGAACAAGAAGAAGAAGGAGACGGAAGAGGAGGAGGAGGAGGAGAAGAAGAAGAGTCTGACAAGAGTGGGAAAGGTTTGGGCGGCTTAGGTTTGGGATTCGGAAAGTCGCATAAGAATGGTACTGTTGTGGACCGAGCTTTGAAACATGCAAATTTGGCAAGTAGTGGAGGCTTGTACCTCTTCACTGTTGATATTACATTGGAGCAATATGAAAACTATCGTACACCCATGGTTTATGATGACGAGGGGATCTTGTGCTGGAAGGATTTTGAGTGGGCTACGTTTGAGTTCAACTTGGGGGTCGTTGATAATATACGTGCTAATTTGCCACGGATTTTTGCGTCCAAGGAGGATGATTTGTTTCAAATAAAGTATGAAAATCTAGATTTAATTGAGAATAAATATGTACCTGGTGGTGCTGCTGCTTTGTAAAATCTGGCAAGATTGAATGACAAGGGAATGCTCAACGGCACGAGGCTTCAATCTTTCGCGACATAGATGCTGTATGTGTACATTGTATACGTTGTAACAATTAGATTGTATTATATATATATATATATCCCCAAAAGAACTGTAAACACGGACGGTCTCCTCATGTGGTCCACAATCTAGCAGTTCCATCAGCACCTGCACTAAACAACCACGCTTCCTTTGGATGCCAAGCAATATCCAATATACCAATTTGATTTATAACTTTATGGCCAGTCAACTTCTTCAATGGTACCAATAATGGGTTTGTCATTAAATCATCGTATACAGTACCGTGGAACACGTGTATACTTCCATCATCAGAAGCCGAGGCAAAAAGTGGCAAGTTACCCTTGTGGTACTTGATTGTTCGTACCGCCTTTTCATGGTACCTCAAAGTCTTGTATGGAGTAGCACTAAGATCCAAATCATGCCAAAGAACACGCTTATCGTATGACCCAGCTAACAAGTTGTCACCTCTTGGATGCACATCAATGGTTGATAGCAATCGAACCCCAGGCATCAACTTCTTGATCAAGTTCTGCTGTGACAAATCGTAAATCTTGATGGTACGTTGAGAAGCAACAAACAAGTGAGGTTTGAAAGGATGGAATTTGGCGTCCATGATCACACCTTTGGTTTTCTTGAATGGTGACTGTGATAAGTGTTTTGATAATTGGTGGATTAACACAGCTGTGTTTTTGCTATCGGGGGAAACAGTGACAAAATAATCACCTTTTCTATGCCATGAAATCTTCTTTACGGTTCTACGGCACTGTATGATAGCGGAGATAGATTGCAATTGTTGTGCAGCAGTAGGGTTGATCCATTTCGCTACATCCTTCTTGACCGCAATTGGTGTGGATGCTGCTGTTTTTGCATCTTCTTCTTCTTCTTCTTCTGCCCCTTCCGCTCCTTCTTCTTCTCCTCCTCCTACTTTCATTTCTTGCTTCTTATTTCCAAATGTATCGTAACCCCAACCACTTTCAATTCTCAACTTACCAGTATTCTCAATATCAAATCCAAATATAGGAGGTACCAAAAGATAAATCTGCTCACCAGCACAAACAGCCAAAATACCAGTATCTGGGTCAGGATGCCACTCAATGCTTTCAATATGATCCTCGCTGTTATGGTCCTTATTAATAATCTGTGCTTTGAACACTTGTCTACCAGTCAACACCTCCCACACTCGAACACTTCCATCGTCAGAACCGGTAGCTAGCCAAATACCCTGTGGGTTGACGGCAACAGTCCTAATCTTACCCGTATGACCTTCGTATATCGTTGAGCAACGTATAGGGAATGGTCTCAAATCCTTTGGCGATGGTAATTCAGGTATTAAACTTTCAGGATCAATATTCAATTTATTTTTGCGCAATCTTGGAGCAAGATACAAGTCCAAAGAACGTTCAAATCTCTCACGAACACTGTCTTGATACCCGGGCACCTGTCTAAGCGATTTATACTTTTGAGGTACAAAATTACGTTCACGATCAACAGGGTCTTCATTTTCCCACTTGGCACGTTCTTCTTCAGTCAAGAGATATTCTTCCGGTGGGTTATAACTCTCATCATTTGTTGGTGGTGGCAATTTAGGTGCTCTCAAATTCATAACATGATCAGGCACTTCAGTTTCGTCATCATCCCAAAGATCGAAATTCAACTCCTCATCTTCCTTTTCACGTTGTTCTTTGGCCTTTTCTGGAGTCAAAATTCTTCCTTCACGAATAGCACGTACAATCTTCATAACTCGTTTAGCTTCATGTTTCGAAGGGACAAATCTCCTCTTGGGCTCAGGAACTGCCGTTAATGGCATCACTTCTTGATCCTTGGTGAACCAATCAATCAATGGCTCGTATGGGTTTATGCTTTCATCAGTGTTTTCTTGTTTTTGAATCTTGCGAATCAACTCCAATTCCTCATCGGTAAGTTTCAACGAAGTACCAGTATTTTGATCTAATAACCCGGTCCACCCTTGAGGTAAATCGATACTCTCCAACAACTGATCCAATGCTGAACCTTTTGCAGGTCTCATTATTCTCTTACCATTGATGTCGTAACCGATACGGGGCATTTCGTCGTACGCCGAGATGGGGATATTACCAATGGTATTAAAATTCTCGGCATCGCTGTCATCGCTATCGTACACGGGTTCAATTTCTGGTTTGATAATTCTTACTCTTCCATCGGAATATTTGGTCTTGATATCTTGAGATGATGGGTCTTTAACGGTTAAGTTCTTGATGTCGACATCAGATAAGTCTTCCTGGGGTTCGTCGGAAAATTCAACTGAACTGTAGTCGCTAGGATCTTCTTCGCCGTCATCTTCTGCAAGAAGTTTGTTGAGTTCTTCTTCAGAATCAAAATCTGATTGGCTTGCTTCACTAATGTCATCCTCTACTTCTTCTTCTTCTTCTTCTTCTTCTTCTTCTTCTTCGTCACTGCTCTGATCAATCAATCCTTCAACTTTAAATTCATCATCAGAACTCGATGCGGCCACCACGTCTTCATCTTCTTCTGACTCTTGTTTTCTCTTTTTCGAAACAAGCTCCTCCTTTTTAGGTGCTGGAACCAGTTTGGAATTACCCCTAGACCTTGCCATCTTCTATTAATTGTCTGTAATTGGTTGCACGAGTAGGCTAGACGTATACCGGTGAAAAAAAAAAAAAGAAAATTAATCTGGTGAGAAGAGTTCCTCATCTCGAGTTTTGTGGTGGTTATATGCAGAACCAAGCGATTCACGACAACTACGTCTTGCCTTCCCTCCCCTTCCACGGCTGCACACTATGAACAAGATCAAACAAATAAACCGAATAAATCAAAAAGAGCTTGCTTCAGGCACAACATCGTACAAATCATCCTGGCACTATGAGTATCGAGACACAAACTACGTCTTCATTAGCAACATCCCCGCCACAATCAAACCCCAGGACTTGGTAGTCATATTCAGTCAATATGGTATACCGACCCATTTAAACTTGGTCAAGAACCGAGAAGATACTAGTCAACATCGCGGATTTGCGTTTTTGAAATATGCCCATTTCAAAAGCTGTATTTTGGCAATTGATAATTTCAATGGTATCAAGATTGGGGATAAAATGTTGCATGTTGATCACACTTATTATCAATTGAGACACGGTGAAAAGGAAGATGACCACTTGATAGATTATGACGAAGTGAGGAAAACTTTGCAAGTTGAAGATGGCGTGGAAAAGGAACCAAGAGGGGAGAAAGAGGTGCGATTGATTGATGAAGGTGATGTTTCGGAGCTTAAGGCTATTGAGTATAAGATGAGTACAGAGGAGAAAAGTGTGGGAAACAAGGACATTAATAATGAGGAAGATGATGAGTCTGTTGATCCTATGGCAGCGATCGAAGAGAGCACAGCTGCAAATCCCAAAGCTGGAGACGATGACAACGAATTTGTTGATCCTATGGAACACTTCATATCAGAGACATCAAAGAAACCGAAGGAAAAGAGACGCCACAAGTCGCATAGAAGTAGTATGCATAAATCGCATCGATCACATAGGTCGGGCGATAAGTCTTCATCGCAGAAAAGAGATCGAGATCGAAGTCCCACACGTGCTGCTTAAAGGAAATACAAAAAGTGGGGCAGAGTGAGAGCATCGCCAGTTACTAGCTCAAATACATATCAAGTGCTATTGTCAATGTCACGTTCTCCTCATTACAAAACCGTGTCCCAATCGCACTACTTCACACCATGGTTGAAATAATAGTCAATAAATCTAGCCTTGGCATCAATGCTCAAATCCTGATTGATCAAACTCAAGGAATTCAACTCAAATGATCGTCTAATCTTTGACAAATCCAACTGCCCTGTACTACTGATACTGTTGTCAAATTCATATACCTTAACTCTAGTGTATTTTCTCCCAAAATCAGTAAACAATTGATAAAGGTAATACAAACTTGAGCAATTGGGAATAGGTAAAGTGAAATAAGTAGGATACAACTTAATAACAACCGATTTGACTCTGGTGAATGACTCCCATGAATATTTAGAGCTCAACTTTATAAATGGCAACAAAGCGGTATTGTTTGAAGTGGTACCTTCCAACAACAACACCACAATTTCATTCTTGAGCTTCGACACGTCATCGACTGGAGGACCTTGGATTTGATTTACACAATGATCAATTAAAGTCCATGGTGAGTACTGATACAAGTTGCCCAGCTTGTCAGGCACGAGAATTGTAATTCTGGATGTTTGTGAAATCAGGGCAAGAATGTATCCGTCCAATGGCGATGTGTAGTTGGCAATCACCAAATCACCTCGTTGAGGTTTATAGCTTTTCAATTTGTCGACTTGAGATGATTTGACTCCGTCAACTGCGTATTCAATGGGACTAAATCCAAATAAAAAGGTGAATATAAATTTCAAAAATATGTGGAGTCCAGTTAGAGTGTATAGTATCGAAGCAACGGTAAAAAAAGGTAACTTGGTTAAGAATATGGGTAACTTTGTACAGAATAGCACTAATCGATATATGAAATCAGTTGGGAATAAATTGTTCGTGGACTTTGGTTTGTTTTTTGTGGAGTTGGGGAATGGGATCGGCATAAATGGTGATAAACCAGTTGCCCTGTCTCTCCAATTTGAGAACTTCTCCATTTTGAGTGTATTGCTGTGTCGTTTATCCCCTGGTATTTCAATCTCTAGATGGTAACTTGACTTTAATGTGAGTGATTTTTTTTTTCCATATCTTTCCTCTGTCGTAAGAGCTGCAAGGGCAAATGAATGATTTGCCCGACCCATGTCCAGTATAAAAACTACAAAGCTCTACGAACTGCAACAGGAGAGCATACAATGGTCAAAAAAAATAAGTAACTTATAATTATAATTGATAATATACACCAGAATTTACCCCAATCAATTCAAAGGGTGATGATCATAAAATAATAATCCTCCCATGAAATCAAAGTAAAAAGAATTAAAAAGAAAACAATAAAAGGTTGTTTTTTGTAAGAATACAAAAGAAAAGGTTGTTTCTGGTTTCATTGAGTCTTCAATAAAGTGTCTTGACTCACATTCAATTTCTCTCTTTCTCAACCCATTCAAATTTTGTTATTGTTGTGTGTGTGTGATGAAAAACCCCCAAATAACAGAAAATAGTATTTGTTAGTTAGTTAACTTATAATTCTTGAGAAGCACCTCCCTTAGCCTTCTTAGCTGGCAACAATGATTGGTGGATGTTTGGCAAGACACCACCTTGGGCAATGGTGACGTGACCCAACAATTTGTTCAATTCTTCATCATTTCTGATGGCCAATTGCAAGTGTCTTGGGATGATTCTGGACTTCTTGTTGTCTCTAGCAGCGTTACCGGCCAATTCCAAAATTTCAGCAGCCAAATATTCCAAAACTGAAGTCAAGTAGACTGGAGCACCTGAACCAACTCTTTGAGCATAGTTTCCCTTTCTCAACAATCTGTGAACTCTACCGACTGGGAAAGTTAATCCAGCCTTGGCTGATCTTGAAGTAGAAGCTTTTTCGCTTGAACCGGCTTTTCCTTTACCTCCTGACATTGTATGATACTAGTGAATTTATTTGATTTAGTTTGTAATAATAAAACTATAAGAAAAAGAAAGAGGAGAAGAAGAAGAAGAAGGTTAAAGATGTGATGTTGAAATTAAGGAAATTTGTTTTGCTTTTATAAAGAGAGAAATCATCAATCATTAACAAAATAAACAGAAACAGAACTAATAATACAGACACACACACACACACAACACAGAGATAATACTAGAAGTAAGAAAGCCAGTAGCAACAGTGTATGTGTATGTGTGTGTGTGTAATAGTGTCACAATACTGCCAAGATAGTGCTAGTTGCCACCATACAATGTGGGATAATGCGTGTAAAGTGTATGTGTGTGTGTGTGTGTAGTATATGCTAGGTCGTGTACTTTTGTAATCTCCCCTCTTTCTTCTTCTCTGTCTCTTCTCTTCCTTCGTCTGCACCTGTCCTCCCTCTGCTCATGTATGTCTTCTCTCCTGTTTCATCTCCTTCTTCTCCTTCTTCCTCTTCTTCTTCTCTCCCTTCTCTTGTGTCACATTTGTCACTGACCCATTATTTCGTGGTACTGTTGTTTATTTTTCTTCTCGAGTCTCAAATTTACGCACCTCAGACTGAAATTTACTCTATTTTGCTACTGATAAGAGAAGAAGAAGAAGCGCGAATTCAAACATTTGTTTTTTTTTCTACACAAAATAACACGACCTTTTTCTCTTGTGCGCGCGCCACTCTTTAGTTCTCTCTCTCTCTCTCTCTCGCGGTCACTTCTCGCTCTCTCCTCTCTTCTCCTTATGTCGGGGGAGAGGCGAGAAGAAGTTCTTCTTCACTAAAGTGCAAGTGCCGAGTGCGAGAGGACATATACCACAAAGCAGTACAATTATTGTATACGCATATTACACAATTGCTCTAACTTTCTTCTTACTGCTTGTCAGTGCTTGTATGTGTATGTGTGAGTTCAGTTGTTTGGTTTGTTACTTTCTCTAGTTTTATTTTGTTTGGTGTTGCCTCTCTCTCTCTCTCTCTCTCTCTCTCTCTCTCTCTCTCTCTTTGACATAAATATTCCTTAAATTCCCACTTTTCAAATCAAAACAATTTAACAACACTTCTTTCTTTTCTTCTCTTTTTTTTTTGAAACTTTATCAAAAGTATATCTTTTAATTCACATCAATCTATAACTTAAATCAACAATGGCTCCAAAAGCAGAAAAGAAACCAGCTTCCAAAGCTCCAGCTGAAAAGAAACCAGCCGCTAAAAAGACCTCTTCCTCAACCGAAGGTGGTAAGAAGAGAACCAAGGCTAGAAAGGAAACTTACTCATCATACATTTACAAGGTTTTGAAACAAACTCACCCAGACACTGGTATCTCACAAAAGGCTATGTCCATCATGAACTCATTTGTCAACGATATCTTTGAAAGAATTGCTTCCGAAGCTTCTAAATTGGCTGCTTACAACAAGAAATCTACCATCTCTGCTAGAGAAATCCAAACTGCTGTTAGATTGATCTTGCCAGGTGAATTGGCTAAGCACGCTGTTTCCGAAGGTACTAGAGCTGTCACCAAATACTCATCTGCTTCAAACTAAGAGAGTTGAAAGTTCTCCAAACTTTGCTGTCAAATCCTTATTTCACTTCTAAGTCCTTGTTGTCTTTTGTCTTTCTTTTGTTTAGTTTTAAGATATTTGGAAATTGAGAAAAAAGATATCTAAATGATTTTTGGTCATCTTGTTTAGGTTCTTTGTTTTTGAAATCAATCTTATATGTGTATATTATATTTAATAACATCAGGTTTTATCTAACAATCATACTAATGTAGCTGTTCTTATGTATCTTGCTAATACTAACGTGTTCCTCTGCTTCAAATAGAGTTTCCTCTTTCATTCATTGTCTATATATATCTATCAGTGCAGACTTTACATCTCTCCTTCCTATATTCAACTCAACTTCAACTCTAACCCGAGTTGTTTGGTCTGCCCGTTGATGGTATCGCCAGTACCAGTTGCTGCTGCTGACTCACTCGAGAAAAACACTATGAAAATCAAACAACTCAACAAGTTAAACAAATGATGCAAGTAGAAAGTGTGTCTGCTTCCATAAACCAAGGAATAGTAGACAATATATCCCAATATCGTTTCTACTAATTTTACAACTGTGCCACTCAACTTTGGCAATGCTCCACCTTCATCACTGCCACTCTGACTCTTCCTTCGGCCTTTATTGGAACTCCTCCCCCTCCCGACTAATGCATTGTTATAGTAAGTTGCTAATAGTATAGGCAATATCGATAACAAGTTATGGTGACTGCTAAATGGAGTAGTCCAATTGACTTGTAAATTGTGAATAAAGACAATCAAAATGGGAATATTTATAGGCAAGATCCACAACATCAACATTAACCACGACACTTGAAAGTTGAACACAGTTTCTATCTCGTTTTCTACCTCGTCTCCTTCCTCTTCCTTGCCCACTTCTCGCTCACCATTTGATTTCAGTGGACTGGTTCGTGTTGCCCAGCTCCTCAACACATGAACCCCTTGGTATACACAGCAAATCAAATACACAATCTGATAAGGTAGGTACCATGGAGTTAACAAAATAACACCCGCCATAAAATATACCTGCAACTTTACCAAAGCTGATTTAACTCTCTGGGATGCAATGTTGAATCTCAAAGGGTGTTTCCTCACCACAATATAATTCAATATTATGCCCAATACCATCAACGCAATGTAAGTTAACCAAACGACAAAATTACAACACAAGTACAAAAGTACTCCAATTATCGTAAAACCCTGACTCAATCCCAAATACAACTCATTGGATTTGAATCCTGATTCTGTTTCATCAATAACAAACTTGTTGTAGTCGGTTAAAACCACAGGATCAAGATGATGCATCAACTTGTTAACCCATGGAACATTTATTGCATAGTTGAGAATGATCAACGCCCCCATTATAACAGGCCAATATCTTGAATTCAAATAAATCAACGTCTGATCAAATGCGGGAAACTTGCCACTAGAACAATACTTACCAAATTGTAACATCAACACAACACATACAATCGCAACATTCATCCCAACTATGGTGATTCGATACCTCAAGATCAACAATTTCAAACTGGCTATGATATCAATCGACACACTGATATTCAATGGTTTTGCCATATCGTCTCCTGACCATACTTGCAAATTCATCCCATAATCGGATTGGACTTTGTAAGGAACATAAGGGGCTACACCATGCATAGTCAACTGTAACTCGCCTTCCCCAGAATCTGGAACACCATTTGTGTACCATTTGCTCTCAAATGGATCTTCTGTCCATTGTCTAATAAATGTATTGAAATTCTGTCCCTCAAGTTGACTTTCTTTTCCACCTTCATGGGTAAACTTCAACTTGTAGACATATAAGCTACTCCAAGCTTGAGGGATTTTCAAGTTTGTCAGCACTGGGCGAGAAGAAGGTAAGCTAATTGAGCTGCCAATTGTGAAAAATTTAATCCACGAAAGAAACCCAGACTCAGTGTTCAATGTGTAATTACCTGGATTCGTAGACAATTGACAATATACCGTGGCTTGCTCATCTTTGGGGAGGGTTATCACAATATTCGAATATCGCTTCAACGTTGTCGAATTCAACACCAAACTATACATTGGCGGCGTGTCTCCATCATAAGATGAATGCGATATGTCAGGCACACCCTTGCTAAAATTGGGGATCGTAGCTTGTAGTGAGGATACATCTGTGATCCCGCTGGCGCTTCCTTCATTGTAAACCCCTACTGCTCGTTGATGCTCCCTGTCTTGTCCTTCTCGTAGCTTTCCTAATGGAGTACTCGATATCAACGTGAATTGATAGTCTTTCTTTTTATCCAAAGAGAATGTATTGAGTGACCCAAGCTGGTTGTTGGTATACACCGCACCTTCATCTAGCTTATTCAACGTCTCTTTACTCATTTCCTCCCTTCCAAATATTTCCTCTTTAGGTATAGTTGATAACCTTCTATCCTCTGCTGCATAATCTTCAAATCCCGTTAAAAAATAACGCTCATACACTCCAATTCGATCTTCAAGAGTAGCTGTGTCACGTAAACAAGTCAATTCTCGCAACGCCAACGCAATCCTTGTACGCAACTGTTGACACCAAACTACAGCCAAATGATCAATTGGTGTCCAAACTTGCGGTATTCCCGTGGTGAAAGCCGTAAATCCATTGGTTTTGGGCACAAGGTACCCCAATGTCGTATAGTCTGCCGGTAATGTTGAGTCCAACGCACCTCCAGTGATTGATATTAGTGCCACATCATGCAATCGAGTGTGAGCTACACTCGATAACTGATTCAACTTGGAGGTGCTAGCGGCTGAGCAATTGTTGAACCCACAATACCAAAACTTGTCAACTGCTGAGTAGATAGTTGACAAATCGCCATCAAAGGTCAATGGTGACGTAGAATGTGGCGAACTCAACGTCAATATATCTTTGATCGAATCAGAAGCATAATCAGGCAACGTCAACATGATTCTCGCCACTATCCCACCCATTGAATGACCAATAACAATGACTGATTTGGGTGGATTGGCTCTATTGGAATACAAACTTAAAATAAACTTCACTGCTTCATTGGCATATTCAGCTTGGTCTAGTATAGTTCTCCCATGGAAAGCCGTAAAATCTTCATTGTAATCAACAGTGAAGAAATCTAATTTAGGATTACAGCCTCCGTAATTTGATTCATCGTGGAGCTCTGACGTCCTTGCTGCTATTGATCTTACTTGTCGATGATTACCGGCATTGCCAGGAATGAACAAAACGGGTACCCCTTCTAATTCCATGCTAGCAATATTATCACCCCCACTACTCTCCGGTGGTTCCTTATCCCTTCCTTGTTCCCGATATAGGTATATCGAATACTTTGATGCGTATTTTGTATGCAGTTGATCAAAAGAATGGATCTTGATATAAGATGGATACATCCAAACCGGTCGACAACTAGGGGCATCGGGACCATTTAGTTTTGAAGTGTATGACTTTAGTGTGAGAAGAATAAGCAATCCGCCCAATAGAATGGTAATATAGAATGGCAGTCTGCTTAGTCGTGCTGTATTCGGTCGCATTGTTTGTATGGGGATGAGAGCTGGTTGACAAAGCAGGCTACAAAAAGTCAAAACTGCGTGCTGCAAACAGATTTTTATTTTTTTCTTTGGTCAGATTTGTGGAGTTGCGTTTTGCAGGTCCCCTTCTCAGCGGATTGTGTTCCTAGTATACGAGTCAGCTCCACTTTCATGGTGCCCTTACTTTCCGTAAAGTTTACGTGTATATTATTCTAGCTTTTGGTTGTAAATTGTATACAAGGTAGACAAAAATTATGACAATCAATTATACAACCTCTTCCAGCTTACTCTAACCTCTCATCTCACCGCATCCTTGAATCCTCTCTCTCTCTCTCTCTCTCTCTCTCCATCAAAACTGCTCTTCACTTCCACTTAGCAAGGCAACTTACTTTGTCTTTTGTTCCTGTTGTGTGTAATCGTTAACCAACTTATACTTGTCAACAATTCCAAAGACATTTCTGACTTTAGCCCAAATATCGTGCAATACTGGATGATTGACATCATTCACAATTTTGTCACCGGTATCAGCAACTGTCTTGACATAGCTTCTAGTAAAAGCACTGACTTCATATCTCTTCTTCAAGAATACAGTGTAAACCAAAAATGGGCTCAATGATCTTTTTCTAAAAGTGATCAACCTCAAAATTAACCATACATAAGTAACCAATTCAATACCACTAGCAGCTTCAATTGACTTGGCGTTGTTTTGACTAACGAAATTGGTGATTGCTGTGGATAAGTTGCTCTTGTCCAAACCAACAATGGGTAAAATGTATCCATTGACATAAGCCAACACATGGAAAGTTGAAAATATAGCAAATGGGACCAAAGTTAACCAAACGTAAGGTCTGAGAAACAACAAGAACCCACCCAACAAGATGTAGTGGGTGTTATCATCCTTGATCAAAATACCAAACCTAAGACCATTCTTTTGTACCAATTGGAATACCAAAATACCAAAAGAAATCAAAACACCCAACAAGGTGACCAAGTAGTCTAGTTTGTACAAGGATGGCAAGATTCTGATAAAAGTCAAGGTGCTGCTAATAAAACCAACAACAGTAAGTACATTACCAGCAAACCAAGCAAATTGTAAGGTGTATACTAGTTCCAATAACTTGTTGGTGTCCACTTTACCCTTGGAAGTAGAATTGGCCGTTGGAGTAGCGGATTTTTTAGTTGTGGCAGATGGCATAATTTGAACTGTGGTTGTCTAAAATTACTGTTGCTTTCTAATGCACTGTAGTATAATAGTGTGTTATATCTGTGAGTCTTTTGAAAGAAAAAACGTTGGTTTCCTGGTTGATTGAGTGTAGGTATAAGCGCCGTTTGCTATGCAATTGAACTCAGTAGATAAATGAGAAGAAAGATTGAAAGTTGTGGATGAATTCGAAGGAGTTAAATAAAACGGGCGCAATCAAAAGAGAGAAAAGAAAAAAAGAAAAAAGAAAAAAGAAAAAAGAAAAAAAGAAAATGCATGAACAGAAGATACTCTATTGTTATCGTCTTCTTGTGACATTTTTACATTTTTTACGTCATACGACAATTAAATATGAGTTTAGCTCGGTCAAATACCATCAGTCCTTTTGAAGTCATTTGAATGTCAAGTCTACAACTCTTCAGAAATGAATTGAAATGGAAAGACACCATCTGCTTTGCAGATGTTTCCATACTTTTCTGCACTTTAGTCTCTCAATCTCTCCTTACATACACATCCTGTTTTGTCTACCCCCTCCCCCTCCTCCTCCCCATTATAACAAAACAAGCAACCTCACATTGGAGATAAGGAAAAAAAAGAGAAAAAAACCGACAACATCAAACTATATTAATATACACTCGCATCTCCTATACTTCTCTCTACATATATACTGTATACTTTAGAACAAAGTGGGCCATTGCGATGAGTCTCTTCAGTACTGAACCAACAAACGCAATTCACCTCAAGTTTCAAAAGACAAACAAAGATACTCGCCGGTTAGTGATTCTGCGCACATTTGCTCCTAGCCACTCACCCTTTTAACGTAAGAATCCCTTACGGCTCTTTTGTGGAGCAGGTTGTGGCGATGGTTCTTGTGGCAACAACTTTTGTTTCTCTAATTGTACCTTTTTATCTTCCAACAACTTGATTTGTTTGGTCAATTTATCCTTCATTTCCTTATGTCTAGCAAATAAATCAGCTTCTGATCTTTGTAACTTCTTTTCCTTCTCACTAACTTTTTGTTGGAAAACAGCCTTCATTTCTTGCTCCATTTTAGCCAATTTAGCTTCATGTAGAGCCCTCTCTTCCTCTTGTTTGGTTGCAGGGTCAAACTCTCTAAAGACGGTATTATCTTGCTCGATACCCATTTTCCTCAACTTTTCAGTACGATAATGCTCATACAATTGATTAGATGTGGTTTCCCTCAATTCTTCTAAAAAGTTTCTCACCAACAATTCACGCAATCTGACAAAATCATTGTGGTTTTCGTTATCAACTTCAATGACACCCCATGGATATCTTCTTCCTCTAACCAATCTGCCATCACCAGTTTGAACTTCTTTGGTGGATCCAATAACGGCAAAGGGGAAACTCTTGATCAACTCATGGGTGTTGGCAATGACTTCTTCATCGTCATTCTCCGATACGGTTGGGGTGAAAATTTTGATGCCATGATAGTCAATATCTGCCAAAATTGCACGTTTGAACTCGTGGACTTCTTCATCAGTCAATGTGTCTGATTTCGAGATGATTGGAATCAAGTTGACTTTTTCATGGACTTGCTTCATCAATGCAATATCCAAGCTTCTCAACGAGTGACCCGTTGGTTCGATAAAATACAAAAACGCATGCACCCTGTTGTCCACAACTGTCGACCTGTTGATACGTGACTCGGCTTCCAAATACGAATCAAATCTACTATTTATCTCATCGACAATTGGTTTCCACGAATCAATGTTGTTCAAGGCGTCACCAAACCCTGGCGCAGTAATAACACTTACATTCAACTTGACCCCATCCTCTTCAATTTCTGTCACTGTAGTCTTGATCTTGACCCCGGCATCTCCTCCTTCCTTTTCCAGTGGTTCAGCTTCAGCTTCAGCTTCGGCATCTTCAAAGTCATCTTCTTGACCGCCATCATACTCATTCAATTTACTGCTCTTACCCATAACATCACGGTTGAATAGAGTATTAATCAATGTTGCTTTACCTAATCCAGCTTCACCAACAGCCATAATGTTCAAATTGAAGCCTCTCCTAAGAGATCTTCTGTGCCATTGTTTAGGCAAGTTGGCAAAGCCAACATACCCGTTCAACACTCTTTTGATTATTTTGATATCTTGAGGCGTAGAACTGTGTGGTGCATGCAGATTATCCACTACTGGTAAAAATGAAAAAACGTTAGTATGAGATTTATAGAGGGGAACGAATTGGGTTGTCACATACCTGAAGTCATGTTGTGTGTGTATCTTTATTGAGCGTATTGTGTTGCTGTTAACGATTTAGGATTTGATCTGATTTGTTGACGTTTTTCTGTGTTTGACGAGTAAGAATAGCCACCGATTCACAACGACAATGTTTCCTTCCAATTGCAGTATAATGTATATCTCTTATATTCAATCTAACAATAGAGTCTACTACCGACAAAAGTGTGATTCGATGTGTCGTAAAAAACCCACAGACGATCTCCAAATTGAAAAGGTCTCTTGATCTGTTGTTGTTTGTCTGTTTTTCCTCTTTTTTCTTTGCCTCAACTTTTTTTTTCTTCCACGCCCCCCTTTTCACCCTTTTTTATTTTTTTTTTTCTGACACAGATAAATTCATATATAAAACCAAAATAAAAAGTGGAACCGCGTCTTATTTGCACGTGATTGGTCATGTGACTTGTTTATATAATTACCAGATATCAGTCTTATACGATTTTTGGGAGAGTAATGAATAGTATCACTAGAGGCACAGGCTGTTAAGAATTACGTTGATATATTTTGCTAGCTTGTATCAATTTTTTTTATGTGTGTATTGATCGATTGTATTTCACTGTGCATGTGAACATGGCTTCGAGTAGTACAAACGAGTCTAGAATGAGTTCTATCTCTCTTGGATGTGTTGAAAAGGGGACATTCATCTTTCTAAAGTAGTAACTGCGTGATTGAGAGAAAGCTTTTCTGAATTCACTAATCTCAGTTACGAGTACAACTTCCACAGCTCTTCCTCAATTTAATTTTTTTTGGAATCAAAGTGTTGCAAAAATATTGTAAAACTGCACTGCATCAATATCAACATATTCACGCTTCGAGGATAAAGTAAAACAACTACCGTAATAAAGTCAGTACTCATAGCATAGAGCTACATTTTGCTTTCAAAAACGATTACATCGTATAGATCTCTATAGCTGTCCCATAAACACTACAATCTCCTTTAAGAATCTACTTTCGCAATTGATCCAACAAAAACTCCAAAGCAAATTTAGCAAAATCACTCATATTTTTTGACCTCTCTTGATTACCAAACTCTCTTTCCGTAGAAGAGTCACCGTTGGGACCTGTAAATCCAAGAAATACCGTACCCACATGAGGTACAACTCTATTACTACCGCCACTCTCGCTCTTTGCATCATTTGCTACACTTTCTTCCACCTCATTTTGTCTATTAGATAAATGCAAATCAGTTGAGGGCCCAGCAAATCCAGTTTCAGAAAGCACATAAGTGGACCCCAATTCATACCTAGCTGTTCGTGCCAATTTCAAAGCCACCTGTTCACTGGGACCCATATAGTTTGATATCTCTTCCTCTGTCCATCCTGAAAGCTTCAATCTTTGTTTCAACGAGTACAATAGTTTACCACCAATGTAGAAATCCGATGCACCGGGGACTGAAACTATGTAGGCTGATATTAATCCACCACAAGCAGCTTCGGAAACTGCCAATGTTTGTTCTTTGGATCGTAGAATCGATGCTATTTCTTGAACAATTTCTGTTATCTCTGTAGGAGGGAATGCCATTTGTGAGATTGGGGCAAAGGATTGTTAGGGAGTATTCTTTGGCAGTGCCGTCAATAGAAAATTTGGGTAGTGTATGTTGGGTAAACAACTCAACTGGATGTGAGACGATATTATTGTTTTCTTTTTTTTTTTTTTTTTTTTTTTTTTTTTTTTTTTTTTTTTTTTTTNGGAGGCGATATTTTTTTTTTTTTTTTTTTTTTTTTTTTTTTTTTTTTCTTTGACTTCCGTTCAGTATTTTCCAGTGGCAACCAAAAGCTAAGGCATCAAACTCCAATCCTTTAGAACTCCAATAGAACACAACACTACTTAGTGGTATCCCCAAATGACATCGACTAACAAATCGCTAAAGTTCCACGCGGGTAAAGTACAGTACAATGAAGACACGAATCGATGCACACCATTGCCATACGAAGGTGTAATCTCCATCAAACCAAGTGCTGAAGAACCAGATTTCTTGGATTTCACTTGGACACCAAAACCAGATCAAACTCTGCAAATCAATGGAACGCAGCAAGTGGAAAAAGATGAGTTATTGTTGATACCGGGTGACGTTACGATCAAGACGATAAAATCTTGCAATACCGGCCGTGTGTTTGCATTTACTTTTTTAAGTAGTGGAGCCAAGTATCTTTACTGGTTACAGGATGTTGGAGATGTCGATGATCTTGGGAAGTTGACGGAAAAGGATAACAAATTGATTCAACTGATATCGTCTTTGATTAGTCTTGGCGATGACGAGGATGTTGAGTAAGTATCTTTTTTAGGAATGTGCTTTAATGAATAGAGAACAATTGTGCTAACTTATGATTTTTGTAGTATGAAAGAGGAGGATAAAGGAGACGATGAAAAGAAGGAGAAGGAGGTAGAACAGAAGGAATCGCAACAAGCGTCTCAAGCGACGGTGCCACAAGCACAAAGGACTCAAAACTTGCCAAGTCAATCTCAATCTCAATCTCAATCTCAATTCAAGTTACCAATAGGGTCAATTTCTTCGGTTTTAGATATATCCACAATTGACAACCATTTGGACAAGCTCTCCTTAGATCAATTAAAGCACATGTATGGTGAATACTTGCCACCGTCCATTGCTCAAAACCCGACCAAAGCCAAGATAATTGAAGTTGTGAGAAGTGGATTTTTCCAACAAAGTGAACAGAAGTTGACCAAGCAGCTACGTGCTAATGAAGGTGCAGGGCTTTTGTTGGCTCAAAGTTTGAAGTATGACTATAAAGGTGAGGGAATTGAGAACTTTTTGAAAGGGGTAAGAGAATTGTCCAAGAAGGAAAAGGAAGAAGAAGGGGATGGGGAGGAGAAGGATTAGAAGTGGGAAGAAAATGCCAGAAAGTGAGTAGATGCATTAGTGCAAGCTCCATGGTATCGTGTTTTCGTGGGATGCATAAAAAGTTTAGAGGTAAAAGACTTGTTAAAATTACAAACACAAAACATTGTAGTGTCTATGGTGTCCCAAGTAACCATCAATCAGTTCACGAGGGCACTTGTAGGACCAACTCATATGCTTGAGTGTTCTCTACTATCGTCGTTGCATAAGCTGGTGGGATTTTTTTTTTGGTAGTGTGTAATGTACACGACCTTGCTTCAGTACATTACGTCACCTCAGTAATGTACAAAAAAATTATTATTTAACGTTGTAGCAGCACAAAATGCAACAACTGTATTTTGTATTGTGGCGGGGTGGGGTGGAGGTTTGCTTTTGTATTTGAAACTCTCGATACTTTGTTATCATCGTCACCATCATCAACATCACCAAGGTTATCCACAGCAATTACATTAAAAACACAGCCTTACTTCAAATATATCAAGCTTTATTTCATCTACCTGCCTTGACGCAAGAACATATAACAAAACGGACATCAGAAACTTGATGAAGAACAAGATATAACGACCCTGTTTTTTTAGTTGACCAGACGCATATTTATACAGATACCACAAGGATGAGTACAGACAAAGTTGAGATATATACCCAACCACCGGACCAGGACCAGAAGAGTGAGTCTGTTGAGGAATCGATAGCAACAAAGCTCGAGGAACTTATTGTAAAACATCCAGTATTACCTGAGGATGCAGATGAGGGAGAGGGCAATGATGAAAAGGCAGAAGATGACCGGGGGTCAAAGCTTCAACAGAAACAAGAGAAAGCTAAGGAAGATATCAAGAAGGCGCATTCCACCAAACATGTGGAAGGCAGACACAAGGAAGCACAAGATTCTGAATCTGAGAGTGAAACAGAAGACGAGGCTGATGTTGAGCTTGATCATGATGGGATGGAGGTACCCCAGGGTAAGATTCCTCTAGATGGACAGTTTTCTACAGAGGAGTTGAAGAAATTGATTGAAGTGGCACAAGAGAAGGGGATTTTGAGTGAAGATGTTGATTTGAAAGTAGTTGATTCGAGTGAGATTGGAGACAGGATTAGATTAGCTGATAGTCAGGCTAGTGACAACAAGGAGGAGGAAGGGAAAGAGAAGGAGGAGGAAGGGAAAGAGAAAGAGGAGGAAGGGAAAGAGAAGGAGGGCTAGCATGTGTAATTGTAGTAGAAGTTAAACTTCTTCCACTTTAGAGTCGTATGTAAAGATTTTGAACAAAGTGTCAATGGCGTAAGCATGATCTACAAAAGGAGGGGGCTCTGTCTAATTTTCTTTGTTGCCATTTCACTGCACACGCCTAGTAAAATTATCACCAAAAAAAAGAAAAAAAAAAAATTGAAGAAGAAGATTCACCAGAGGTTGCGCCACTACAGAAAAAAGAGAATCTCAATTAACAACATATGAAAACTTTGTATTTAAACGTTACTAATAAAAAAAAAAAATTACTACAGTACATCATTAATCAATATGAAACGATTAAATAACTAAAAGGAACCCAATAAGCCGCGAACTGAATATAGAAAAGGAAAAAAAAAATAGCTAAACTAAGCACAGCAAAGCAAATAAATTTTTTCCTCTTGTCCATTATTAACCTCCGAAACCGTACAAAGTTCTACCTTGTCTCTTCAAAGCGTAAACAACATCCAATGAAGTGACAGTCTTTCTCTTGGCGTGTTCAGTATAAGTGACAGCATCTCTGATAACGTTTTCCAAAAATTGTTTCAAAACAGTTCTGACTTCTTCGTAAATCAATGCGGAAATACGCTTGACACCACCTCTTCTTGCCAATCTTCTGATAGCTGGCTTGGTAATACCTTGGATGTTGTCTCTCAAGATCTTTCTGTGTCTCTTAGCACCACCCTTTCCTAATCCTTTTCCTCCTTTTCCTCTACCAGACATTGTTGATTATTTGTTTATATGTGTGTGTGTGGGTATAAGTGTTATAGAAATAACGTTTGTTAGAAAGAAGAAGAAAAAAAAAAGGAGAAAGAAGAAAGAAGAAAGTGTTGATGAGGGAGAAATGGTGCGGGAAATATAACCAACTATATATTGAATGGAGAGAGAGGAGCGAGTGAAGCGAGTAGAGTGAATGAGCGAGAGAATGAGAACTATTGTTTTGTCTCTGCATAGTATATTATTTGTGTAGTGTGTAGTGTGTAGTGTGTAGTCTGCTAGAGTAGCGTAGAGTAGAGTAGAGTAGTGTATCATGTAGGAAAAGGAAAAGGAAAAGAAAAAGGAAAAGGAAAAGGAAAAGGAAAAGGAAAAGGAAACAATAGAACGGGATAAGAGAGAGAGAGAGAGAGAATGTGTACGTGTGTGTGCAATAATAATGTGTTGAATATTGTCTCTCTGCGCTTAAACAAAAGACACTGAATTAAGAGCAAAACAAAATTGTGTGGTGTCTTTTCTCAATGGGAACGGCAATAAAAGGAAAATTGGGAGAGTCACGAGAAGCAAAAGAAGTAGTGGGGGATTTCTTTTGTATTGAACAAAAGACCACCCATCTTTTCTTCATCTTTCTCTCTTTCTTCTGTTTTGTTGTTGTTGTTCTTCTTCTGTTTTATATTTTTGCAATTTCGTCCTTTTGTGTAAATCACAAGAGACAGAAGAATGTCATTTTTTCTTTCTTTACTTCTTTTACTGAGAACTGACACATATCTTTGCGACATTGTAATCTCTATACAGTACCAACTATACGTAAGCAAGAGAGAGAGTGTGTGTTCTGAAATTTACACATAAATTCTGGTCCACGGGTATTTATCTGTTTATCTCTATTTGTAACAGCGCAGCAAACACAAAAAAGAAGAAATATTAAGAGGCAAGAAGAGAAGAGAGACTAACAAGAGAAGACAAGAGTAACTAGAAGACTTAGTAAACAGTAACTATAGGACAAGGAAAAGACAACAATTTCCTTGCTGCAAGAATAGCAATCACAATCTTCCACAACAAACGCCCTACTCCCCAATTTTAACAACGCTAACTAAATATAATTTTCTCACTCACATTGCGCGTCCACTACAAATCCCTTTTAGTTTAAAAATCATCAACTTTCTCCTCCACTCATCAAACCAAAACATTCTCCCCTTCTCCTTCTTCTTCTTTTTCTTCTTCTTCTTTTCTTACATTAGAACAATCAATCAAAAATGGCTAGAACTAAACAAACAGCAAGAAAATCCACTGGTGGTAAAGCCCCAAGAAAACAATTGGCCTCTAAAGCCGCTAGAAAATCCGCCCCATCTACCGGTGGTGTCAAGAAACCACACAGATATAAGCCAGGTACCGTTGCTTTGAGAGAAATTAGAAGATTCCAAAAATCCACTGAATTGTTGATTAGAAAGTTGCCTTTCCAAAGATTGGTTAGAGAAATTGCTCAAGATTTCAAGACTGACTTGAGATTCCAATCCTCTGCTATTGGTGCTTTGCAAGAAGCTGTTGAAGCTTACTTGGTTGGTTTGTTTGAAGACACTAACTTGTGTGCCATCCACGCCAAGAGAGTCACCATCCAAAAGAAGGATATCCAATTGGCTAGAAGATTAAGAGGTGAAAGAGCTTAAATTTAAAGAGAGAGAGAAAGAAAGAAAGAGAAAGAGCTCTTTTTTCTTACTACTTCTTTTCTTCTTATTATATTGGGTAAAACAACAGGTCTCTTTGTTTTTAATTCTTTTGTATTAGTAGTTAATATATATTAAGTTATATCATTGAATGAGAGAGAGAGAGAGAGAAAGAGAGAAAGAGAGAAAGAGAGAGAAAGAGAGAGAAAGAGAGAGAAAGAGAGAATAGTAGGGAATGTAGTTGTAAAAAGGCAATCAACTCTACATCAGTTTCAGCTTCCCCGTTCCCTCATGAGAGTATACGTTTTATTTTATTGCAACAACCACTCTTAATTCCCTATACAACTTCAATATGGATACACTTGTGGCTCGGCCAATTGATCCAACCCACTAGCCTCTTGCTCCTTAGCTCTTTCTTCCAAATATGGCAACAACACATCCTTAAATTTGTAAAAACCTCTATACTCATTGACATCTTCATCCCAGCTCGTAATTCCATTCAACAATCTTCTTGGCACATATGGCTCCTTGCACAACTCAACCATGGGAATGAAATAAGTACGCACAGTGAATGCAACCGCTCCAGTCCTGGGCAATCGTCTCAAACTTTGGCGTTCACTTCGGAAAAACAAGTTATTGACATCAGTTGCATCAGGCGCAGTATTCCATCCTACATTGGCATCTTCTTCTGATCCAATCGATGAAGACCAATCCAAATGATTGTCAGTTTGAATGAAATAATTATTACGCACCACGGGTGACTCAACAGTTAAACGACGGAAAAATTTATTCATTGCTGGTCCCAAATGTGTCTTGTACTTGGGAACATCACCCGAAGTGTGTATTTGATCCAATTTCATTTGAAATTTGTCTTTGATCTTCCAAAATCCTGCCAAAGTGATGCATCCCAGCTCTAACGAGTATTGTCCATCATCTTCATTTTCAACCATAATTGCAATATCATCTTGAATCAATTTGGCAGCAGTCACTATAGGATTGCACTCCTTATCATTCAAATCATATACTTCTTCGGTTGCCAAAATCTTAATCACACGCTTTTCCTTGTCATAGTGGAATAATGAAGGATACCTCACAGGCAAATAATCCAACAACTCTTCAAGAAACTCCCATGATGCAGCTACTGCCTTTGGGCTGGTGTTGTACAAATCGTCGCCTTTTGTTGCAAGACGTTTCAACTTTAAATCATGATAATACTTCCATTGGTTATCCAACTCAATCCACGAATGCCAATCCATGTTTCTTATACCCATGGTGATAGTATACTTGTGTTTGAAAGCACGGTAAGGTATTGGTTTGGTCCCAGTAAGCGACCAATTGGGGAATGGTGGAGGATTGGGTGTTTTGAATGAAGTATTTGGCTCCCAGTACCCAAATGGACGTTGGTCCATCTTGGAAGGCGTGGTCTTACCCACTGGCCTAGATGTGCGAGGTATCAGTTTGCCCTTCTTGGTCTTGGTGTAGTATACAAGTAAAATACAAAGTGGAATCGCGAATAAAATCACAGATCGTTCTGCTAGGATATGCAGAACCCATCCGGTAGATGTAGTTGTAGTTGTAGTGGTGGCTGTGGAGTTCATGGTGTGACTTGTGGGATAAAGGAGACAGCTCTAGTTATCCTCCCCTCTGTTGAACAGCAAACTTGCCGAGTGATAGATTTATATATATATACACATTTTGAAATGATAGGGTTTGAGGCTATCACTGTGCTGTGCATATTGTTATGCCATATGCATCTGATAACAGAAAACGTATCTTTGTGCCGAATTAGGCAAAAATTCGCAGCATTTCCAAAAGGAAAGAAAAAATCCTCGACCTTGAAATAAACGTGGTAGTAGCACACCAAACTATACTCACCCCCCTGCTCACCTCACATCCTACGCAGGTGGTAGAAATGCGGCAAATAACGCAGTTTGTACAAAATTCCAAACCAAAATATACCCCAAAACATACTTAAACCAAGGCTCATCATAACTCCAGGCCAAAGTCCAGTAAATCAAAGGCGAAAAACTGGTGATTCTATTCAAAATCTGCACGTTCCAAAAGAATACCCCGCCAATGATTATCAGGGCATTCAACACGACTAGCGGTAATAATTTTCGATACTGAGGAAGAACTTTCCACGTTGAGCTCACTGAATAGCAATTCCATATCAAAACCGGCGCAACGAGGATGAAATTGGGTACATTGTTCAACGACCAGTATGATAAGAACCCATTACTCCAATAGTGTGATTGTGCATACAGAAATAGACTTGGGAATCTATTTAAACACCAGCCTTGTCTCTGTGGACAAAAGGTGAGGTAGTGGTGTATGTTTTGACCAACAAGAGTAGCTCCAAGTACAGACCCGGTGATTATGGACAGTATACTTGATGTCCAGTCTTGTTCAATGATGCTAAAATCGTACAAGTCCAACAAGTACAAGACGCCTAGTAATAGTGAATTTGCTCTGACCGTAAAGCCAAATGCGCAAACAATACCACTTAATAAATACATGTAAACGTTTTTGACCGACTTGTTGCTCCTAGTTGCAACATTATTAAACTCTATTGCCCTGTAGTACAAGTAAAGAGCTAACAAGGTAGTCAAATTGCTCAAATTCTCGGAATAATTTGTAGTTAAAAACACGCCGGCTGGCGATATGATCATCATTAGACTAGCAATGTAGCTGGTTCGAGAATCAAACGTCAATTTGCTCAAGCAATACAAGACCAAAGCTGAAGCAAAATGACAAGCGTTGGCAATCAAGATACTCCACATTTGTAGTTGATAATAATTGTCACTCGGTAGTAACGAAATCAATTTGATCCACCCAGGACAGAACACAAATTGATGTTCATAAGCAATCTCGTTTACAAACAAGTCATTGAAATATACCGAATCCCAAGTAATTAATTTATTCAAAATGGAGGTAACTATTCCATTATAGGGAGAAGCTGTAGATGGTGAACTTGCCAACTCGTCTATGATCAATTGCGAGGAGGTATCAAACCGAGATGGAGCAAAGTATATTATAGCCAATTGGATTAGCTTAAGGGTAAGGAACGAACGTAGTAGACTCCATAGTGAATGACGTGGCATAGCTTCAAACCTGATACATTGTCGTTGATCAATTTTGAAAAGAAAGAAAAAAAAAAAATAAAAATTCCGTCACTCAATCTGAAATGCGATGATGATGAGAGATGGACTTATCCTCGGCGGTACCAATGACCACGACTCAACTCCATTTCTTCTACTGCAATGAATGGCTAGACACGACTTTCTATAAACGCTGTTTCTACTCCTTTCTCAACCCTTCGTTCTTGACCTTTTCAATCCCCTTTTCTGCTCTTTCTTTGTCCAAATAGTAATAAGGTCTAACCAAATCGCCTCGATCATTCAATTCAAACACCAAAGGGATACCAGTGGGCACATTGATCTTCAGTATATCATCGTCACTGACTTTATTCAAGTACTTGATCAAACTTCGAACTACTGACCCATGCGTCACAATCAATACCGTCTTGTTCAATTGAACCATTTGATGATCGAAAATCTCGTACTTGAAAAACGGAATTAATCGATCCATCACCATGGCTAGGGATTCGCCTCTTGGCAAAATGTTCTTGTTCAATATATCATTGTATTTCTCGTCGATGGATTCATCCAGTTGAGGATCAATCAATGGTGGCAATCCATTATAATTTCGTCTAATGTACTGAAACTTCTCCTTGTCTTCACCCAATTCAACAAATACTTCGTGTTTATCACGACCTTGGTATTGCCCATAGTGTCTTTCATTCAATCGCCATGTTTTGATATGGTCAACCCAGGGTTTATTTAGTACCTTGAGTATAATGAACCCGGTCTCAATTGAACGTATTAGTTTCGAAGTGTATAGAATGCCAGGGGAAAGACCATGCTGCTTGATTAGCTCGCCAGCATATTGGGCTTCGTTTTTGCCCTTTTCAGTTAGTGGAATGTCGATCCAGCCGCAGAACTTGTTCTCATGGTTCCATTGGGATTCCCCATGTCTTAGAATTATCAACTTGTGAGTGCCCATCGTTGGTGGGAGTTATCGGGGGAGTGATGCGTGAATAGTTTTATGCCAATTGAGTAGTCTCTGATGAGCGACTGTAACTAAAGATTGAGATGTTTCTATGTAGTGTCCCCAGCTTCCCCTTGTCTTCCGTAGTTGCGAGGGATTTTGACCAAAGAAAAAATAAAATATTTTTCTTTTTTTTTTGCTGACCGGGTTTATTTTATTTATCATGGCAAACACAGACCCGAATTGCGTTGGTTCCCTTGCAAACATCATGTGGCTTGGTTTAGTTGTAAAGGCTCCAAAGAAATTCACTCTAAAGAGTGAGCTCATATTCACGAAGGATGTGAATCTTATTGGAATTGACTCGTATTCGAGGATTCTCTCTGTGAATCAGGCTCTCTTTTCGGGTCAGATACTTGAAGATGCCTCGTACATGTTAATGAATTAGGCTATGCAGAGCAAAGAGGGGATCCACCTAAGCAATTATTTATTATCAACTCCCCCCCCTCCCCCCAACGAAATGCAAGTGATTGGAAATTTATTGATTTAACCTTGACATTCTTGAAATCTATGTTGCAATGTAACATTACATTAATGGTAGCAGTGCAACCAGGTTACATTTTTACCATCAGGTTGCAAAACAGACAGACATGGGTCCTTTTCTTTGGGCTTTTCTTGACATAATGTCCAGCAAAAGAGGATGCCAACTGGGAGGAGAATGACGGGACTCTTTATTTGACCTTTAGTCTGATACGTGGTTTCAAAAATAGTAGAAAGCTGGTATATGTTGGCACTAGAATTTCAGAGAAGTCGTGTTGTTATCTAGTCAAGACACAAAAGCTGATAAACGCCAACTAATCCCGCTAAAAAAAGCCCATTTGCGATGATCATACATAAGGAGCTATAACTGTTCAAAATTCAAATTCCAAACCAGCAATTTCCATGTCCACCATCATCCGTCCAACACTAGCCACACTATAACCATGACTATTGAACGTAAAGTCAAACCAGGTGGTCCATTCACTTGGACTCAAATCCAACAAATTGTGAAATCAAATAACCTTGAAATGTTTGCTAGAAGCGAAGATCAATTCCGCAAGTATTCCAAATTCAAAAATGACCTCTCATCAAATGGTATCACCATAAATGACCACGTATTGAAGGAAGAACTAGAGTGGAAGCAAAGTGATATTCGGAGCCAAACTGCAACCACACCACCACAAGAGTATTCTACATCAAATCCCCAGGACCTCATTTTTTACAATCCTGATGATATCAAGATTATTTACAACAAGTTTCCATACTATTTTGAAGAGTCGGTGGTGCATTTGTGCGTGTGGTCGAAATTGACTATACCAAACGATATCAACTCGCCCGCTGGTGATATCTCCCCCTTAACGAAACGCATTATTGAACGCTATTTGCAAAAGACATTTCTTGAAAAGGGCATATCGAAGCAAGATATGGTGTGGTTTAGAAATTGGTCAAGTTTGCAAAGTGTCCGCAGCGTCAGTCATATTCATGTTCTTTTGCACAATGTTGATGATGGTATTTTACAGAAACTTCTCAAGTCGCCGGGTAATACCTTAACCATAGAAGATTATAGAACNTGAGTAGAGAGAGAGAGAGAGAGAGAGAGAGATACATCGAAGTAATAACGTTTCGATAAGAATAGAATTTGCTTAGTTAAGCGCAACATGTAGATGCTTATGTAGATGCTTATGTAGATGCTTATGTAGATGCTCATGAACAGGGCTCCTCTAGTCTTGAATAGAGACGTGCTGATGTTCGTGCAACATTCCTCATCGAAGCTAATCTCCATGTCTTTTTTTGTTTGACATGGCACGATTCTAGTCTCAATGACATCATCATTCGATAATCTCTGGTAGCGTTTTTTATCTTTTGTATTTGGTCCCTCTGTCTTTCTCTCTCTCTCTCTCTCTCTCGAGATTTCTAGCCGCAACTGGTAGCTTCTCGCAAATTCCACAACATTCGATGATGTTCCAAACCCACTTTTGTGTCCAACCGATATGCCAAACTTGGACTTTATTATTGGCAATGTTGAAAAATTTTGAAAAATTTCAACAATTGTCCCACTGGGCTATAAATATATCATCAATTGTCTCTCCCACTACAGTTTTGGCTAATTTTTCTCTTTCTTCTTTTTCTTCTCCTCCTCCTCCTCATTACAATAAACTAACTCATAAACACAAATAACAATCATGTCTAAAGCTGTTGGTATTGATTTAGGTACTACATACTCTTGTGTTGCCCACTACGCAAACGACAGAGTTGAAATCATTGCAAACGACCAAGGTAACAGAACCACTCCAT